TTTCCATAATAATCAGCTCTAGTAACTACTTGGGCAGTAGCTACTAGGCCCATAGCGAAGCCAGTCTCGTCAAAATTGTAGATATCTTCCTGTGCAATCCCATGTTGCATTATAGTGATTTGTACGCGATCAAACCACTCTCTAATAACCTTAGGGTCTTCGCATTTAGCGCGCCGATAATCATAGCGTCGAGTATAGCGAGTTTTCAAGCGATCTTGTCGTTTAATAAAGTTGGTGACCCAGTTCTCTCCGACTGATTGAACTGGGGTAGTACCGCGTTGAGCAAGTAGAATATTGGCCATTTCTCGTATATGGGACGGTCGGGGAGGGGCTCCACGTCGATCTAGCGATAGAATCCATTGTACAAGCGATTCCTCTTCATTTTGAGTCAATTTATGACTATTGGCGCGTGTTTCGAGACGTGTTGGTATACCACGTAATCGGGTTTGTAGAGTTGAACGAGAAATGTTGAAAATACGTGCTGCCTCGCGAATACTACTAATTTCTTGCTTTTTTAAAGCAGAAATAGCAAGTAGGATTCTTCCCTCTTGTTCAGCTAGATTTTTTGTATTTTGACGCGCTTTTGGAGGCATGGTTGGTGGTTGAATTGAGCGAGGTTTTCGACCGGGGCCAAAACGCGTGATGTGGCTATTCCGCTTGTGTGGCTATCTCGCTTATGAAATACGTTAACGGCGCATAAGATGAGTCAGCACCACAAAAGCACGTGCCCGGCGGCGTCATCGGACCCGGAGTTGCGTGGCCGACGCAACGGATCGACGAGGGTTCAACATTCCACCTTCTACTTCTACCAGCTGGGCTCTCCATTCTAGAAGCTGCAAAATGGCCCATCTAGATCGCCCAAATCGAACTACAATAATTGCACTCCACATTTGATCGGAATCCCTCGCTTCGGATGGAGTTGATCCCAAATGATGGATTCTAACGGCAACTTTGCCCGGCCTTTTGACGAATCCCTGATCCGCGAACTACCTCAGCTGCAGAGTCTCCGCATCGCTCCTCTTCGCCAACCAGTTTCCTCCCGCATACTAAGCATCCCCTCGCCACTTGAGCCCAATGCCAGCAGTGTCCGGGATTCAAATACCATTTCCAAGGCCAAATCCTCCACTGGAATCGGTGGCCCAACTCGCAACAACGATTCGAATGGCGGAGTACCGGAGGCTTCCAACCCCGGGCGGACCAAGAAGAATGATCCTTCAGTAGATACGCTGCTCAGTCTTGAGGCCCCTCCCAAACCAATCTTACCGTCTTTCGTCAACCTCCGCGCCCTCGAGCGGTTCCCATACTCTTCATTTGACGATGACTCGTCTCACGCTCGCAAACGTCGCCGGGTGGACGTGCAGGCCGACTCCTTCGGCGAGCATCTGCAGCTACCAATTCCGCAGTCGCAGAAGGAGCAGCGACCGCCGCCATTTGGACCCTTTGCCATTCTCAACGGGCTAAACGAGCCGCCACCCAACGCCGCTCTGCTACCGCCTATCGAAGCGGGCTCCATCACGCAGCTCCTGACCAAGCCCTCCCGAGACCAATCCTACGTCGAGCCCGCGTTACTCACCGCTAATTCTGTCGCAGATACGCCGAGTTTTGAAAAACGGGAGGGGAGGATTGAGGAGATTTTGGACCCTCCGGTCGCGGAGAAGCCGACGCCGGATGACCAGCGGAATCCCGCAAGCAGTGTCGCGGAGAGCGTGGACGTCGATTCGACGGAGCCTCCGAATGGTGAAGTCGGAATTGATAAAGAGCATGAAACGCCCGTAAACGAGGACAACGAGCCACTGTCGCCGAAATCGAGGGGTCGGTCCCGAAAAAACCTCCGTAAATGGACCGAGGAGGAAACCACGGCTCTTCTGCGTGGCGTGGTCAAGTGCGGTATCGGAAACTGGACAGCAATACTGGCGCAGCCCGAACTCAAGTTCAATAAGCGGAGCGCATCGAATCTGAAAGATAGGTATGATACGCGATGTGTCTTCGAACTCCCACCTCCCCACCAATCGGCAAACTAACAGTCAACCAGGTTTCGCGTCTGCTGTCCGTGGGCGTATCGGGCTGCTGACCCTAACGAAGCGACAAAGAAATTACGCGACAGCCTTGCCGATGCTATGCTGCGCGCCGAGTCCGAAGGGACTGGGAATGTCCCTGGGAAGATTCGCCTCCCCCATCCATGGCCGGCCAGTCTTGGACCGCCCTCCGCTGGAAGCAGCTCGACAACCAGCTTGGACGAACCCTCATCGTCCAGTGCCTCCCCCCTGACCGAAGTGGAGCAGAACAACTCCCAATCTTACTTCAAACAGGCCCCATCGACCAGTTCTCCCCTTAGTTTATCTAGTAGATCCAAGTCCACGCTAGCTTCTCTTGGCATTCCGGAGCCGCACTTTAACATGAAATCCCGACGTCGCTCGCGGCGCCCATTCACAGCTGCCGAAGACGAAGCTTTGCTCAAAGGTTATGCCGTCCATGGCTTTCAGTGGACACTAATCCAACAAGACAAGCGTCTGAACTTCGGCCACCGCAGAGCAACCGACCTGCGAGACCGATTTCGGACCAAATTCCCCCACGCATATCGTGACGGAGGCTCCGTCAGCGGTAACAAGACTCACAACGACCAGACTAAAACTGTACCCGATCCTAAAGACAGTAGCAAGCCGAGTCTCATACGGCCTACCAAACCATCTTCAAATCCGGCCCATCCCAACAAGCCTGATGTCGAACAGGCCCCATTAGGCCCTATCGATCCGGCTCTCTCTGCCCCGGCTCCGCCGCCAAATCTCCCTGACGGCACGTCAACAGGTACATCCTCCACCGCTGTCTTTCAGTTTCCTCTGGACGAGAACCCACCTGGCGCTCCGGCGGTGGATGCCTCATGGGCCGATAATACCCTTGCTCCTATGTTATGGGATGAATTAACCTAGTTGTCATTTATAGGGTGTACGGCTTTCTTTTTTGTATTTCGGGCTACTTCTCTTTTCTCCTTTCAGTCCTTCTTTCTCTTTCTCTCCTCTTCTTTTTTTTTCTCATCTATTTTAATTTTTTTTTTTTTTTTTTCATTTTCTTTCATTGCTTTTGCCCATAAAATCTTCTCTAACTGCTTTCTAATCATCTTTCGGGTTCTTATAGTTTCATCTCTTGCTGGATATGGGAGCTACTTACTTCCTTTCATGCTTACATGCATCTATCATCCTGATACCCGCGCCTTGGTCCTTCTTACGAAATCGCTCTTTGGTTTTGCATGTTTCTTCTTTCTGATCTCCCCTTCTCTTCTTGATTTCTGATCCTCTCTGATACTATTGCAGCTTTGAAAGCTCATATCGACAGATAGGTAATTGGCTACCTAGAAATACTGTTAACTACTTCTATACATAAATGCACACACTGCGGAAAAGCAATGATTATGAAAATTATATTAAATAGTGTCTGATCCAATTAGTGTAGCCTCAGGACCATGTATATCTAAATTCTTTCTTGGTTTCTTTTTTTTTAAAAAAAATTAAAAAATAAAAATAAAAAAATAAAAACGAGAGAGAGAGAGAACAGACAAACCAATAACCACCAAATAACCTGTATTTTGGACCTCACACTAAACTAGCTACAACGAAGTAGGTTATCAACAAAGGCAGAAATGGAGATGATGAAAATGAAGATGCCGCATTCGCCTAGAACAAGATACAAACGAGGAGAAAAGATCGCTATTTTGAAGAAAAGAGAAAAGAGGAAAACTTCCCGCCAGAAAGACAGACAAAAAAACACAACTTCAAAAGAAGAGAAAAGACAAACAAAACAGCAGGATATGCCTCATGCAGCTCAACTTAACTCGCAATCGCAATCGAAATCGCAAGTAAGAGATCGTTTCAAATCAATGAATCAATGCACGACGCGCTGAGGGGTATTCCATTGTGACAATATACCATATCAAACCATACCATGCCATGTCACGTTTGCAAGTAGAAGCGGAGCAGAAAATTGGATCGAAAAATGTTGCGTGAATGAGCACGGGAGAGAAACAAATGTGCGAAGCCCGGACCGGCCACGAGGATGATAACCACAGCACGGCAGGACGAAGCGTTTAAAGACTCTGCTGAAACGGGGCTCCGTATACCGAGTCGAGCATCCTCGGGCGTGACTGAACCCGGGTAGGGTAGGCTAGAATCTACCATGCATTCCGGTCCCAGTTCGGATCTATTGCCATCGAGTCATTAGTATGAGACCCTCTCAAACCAACCCTTGACACAAGTCTCGAGAAAGGTAAAAGGATAAGGAAAGAAGGGAACGAACCCTGAATAAAGCTGGCCAGCACCTTACTCCCCGTCTGCAGCAATGGATGTCCAGCGACAACCTCCAGGAACCGCTGCAGACCTTTCCGTCGATGCTCGATGACGTCGTCGCTGAAGCGGTTGGTGAACACCTTTCCGGGTAGCGGGGGGATGGTGACGCGCGTGCTCTCGCGCTCGAGGATGTCGCGGAAGTATTCGAAGTCGGAATATCGGCGGCGCACGATGGAGTGCTTGAGCTTGAAGGCGGGGATGTTGGTGCGGCAGATGATCTCATACGAGGTGTACATGTTTCGCGACGTGCCGTGCGTTTGAGGATTACGGACCTAGAGCGATTCCAAATCATCCGTTAGCTTAAATCCAGGAGTGTATTTGAGGTTGGGGTGGTATCGGTTGGCTAGGGTTTCAATTGGAACCAGGAAGCGGGATCGAAGGCAGAGCGGGGTAGGAGTTGGTCGAGTTACTGACTTCAATTTCGAGGAAGTTTTCGGGAGGTCCGTAGATCTCCTCGAAGGTCTGCTGTCGGGATTCGGGAACGGCCTGCATTGTGGAGGGACAGGGGAGGCCTGAGAAGTTGGAGAACGATCGGACCCCAGAGATGATAAATTAATAAACGGTGGGGAGGGACCGCGGGGAAGTTGGAGGCGGGCGGACTGGGTTGACCGCACGTGAGGGGGGATTGGATGGAAGGAGGGAGACTGAGAGAAATCAAGGTCTGGGAGTCACACGGAGCAGATGAGGAATCCGTCGAGGGAGAGGTATGAGAGAGAACCAACGAAGAAAAGCGGCGGCGGAGAGGGATTGAGGCCGGGAGAAATGACGACGGAGCAGTTGATCTGTGATCACGCGGCCCTTCGTTGATCCATTCCGCCGGTTGCCTTAGGCTCGACGGTGGATCCTACGGAGTAGTACGGAGTATCTTACACAGTAGTAGCACTCCGTAGTAAATGTTGGAAGAACATTTCTCATGTACGCGCTGAGTATATTGGAATTTAATCTCTACGCCAAAAGTCTACGATAGCCACTTCTATGAATCTCAGACAGTATCATACAAGGCACACCCCGGGTGGGTTTGGTCTGTTTGCATGTAGATCGCCCTCCGCTCAGCTTGGACCTGCATCCTTTCTTTCTTCCTCTCTCCAACTCTCTCCCGCGGAAGAATTATTAGGATCACTCTACTCAAACAGTATTCATACAGTCATCTGTCCCCTCGATTTCCTGCCTCATACATGGTCTTCTAATCGGCTTGGAAAGCCTCCACACTCTCGAGGTGCTCGGCATCGCTAGCCTCCCATGGGTGCTGTCGCTCCAGCTGTCGAATCAATTGTACATGTTTCTCACTTCTCGGCGTGACCTGAAAATCGAATTCGGTGGGATAGGTGAGCATCCCCGGTTTCGGCTTGACATCCACCTCGATTTCCTTGTCATCCTTGTCCACCGCCTTGGCCATGGTGAACGCCGCCAGCGATTGCGCGATGTTGAGGTAGAGACTGGAGTCTGCAAAGAACCGCCCGGGACATATTCTGCGGCCATATCCGAATGCCTCTGTTTTGGGATCGGGCTCATTACGTGGCTCCAAGAAACGATTGGGATCGAATGAATCGGGCTCGGCATATACTTCAAGGTCCTTCAGAAACCACCAAACGGCTGGGAGGAGGAATGCGCCTTTGGGGATGTGCATGTCTTTGTACTCGAAATCCTCGGTGACTGTGTGAGGGAAACCCATGGGTGCAAGTGGCCACCATCTGATAGCCTCCTTGACTAAGGCATCGACGTACGGCAACTTGTCGCGATCCTCGAAGCCGGGTAGTCGGTCTGTACCAACCACCCGATCGATCTCCTTCTGGGCCTTGCGCTGCACGTCGGGGAACTTAATCATTGCCAGCGTGAAGATGGTGAGAGTAATCACGGTAGTATCCGCCGCAGCGCCATACAGACTAGCAGCGGTCCAGACAATCGAATCCTCGTCCTCTCGACTCAGAGTGCCATCGTCACTCTCTCCCCTAAGCTGCTGGACAAGCTTTGATACGTATGACGGCCGAAATTTCAACGAAGCCATTCGGCTCTGGGAAAACCGGTACGGGATATAGGCTGTCGCCTGGATGGATTTTCTCCATTTGCGAGCAGTCTTCTTGAATGTTGCACCCGGGAAATTCTCCGGTAGATGTCGGAGAGCCGGGATAATATCAACGGCCCACGCCATGGGAACAGCGGCGAGGGAGAACTCAGTCATCATTCTGTCGATCAATTCAACCAATGGATCTGGCTTATGAGGTTCGATGGTGTAATCGTACGCCATTCTCAAAACAGTAGCGCCGGCAGTGCTGTGTTACGTCGCCCTCGTTCTGTTTAGTGCACGGGTCCTCCCTCAGCTCAAAGCGGAAACTCACGTTTTGAAGTGCTCCAGCCATTTCCCGGGCTCATTTAACGCCCGCACAAGCTGTCGGCTTACCCCAATCTCCTGGACCCCGCGGAATTCTGATGCAGCCACCTTGGTTCCAAGCTCCCGATGCAGGAGCTTGCGATAGCGTCGAAAGGTGGGATTGTAATCCTGGCAGACGACGATGGACTCATAACCGCAAAGCTTATTTGCCATGATCATCGTTGGCCGTCCCGACGTCTTGCTTGAGGTCTGTTCAAGCAGCTCATGCGCCGCCTTCTTGTCGTGGATAATAATTAGTGTCATACCCATCACTGTCACGGAGCTAATGCCACCATAAAGATCCTTGTGCTTAAGCCAATGCTGGTATTCAGGGATGTCGTTCGGAGGAAAGTCTCGCAAATTTCCGAGGATAGGCAACGGTTTTGGGCCGGGGGGTAGATTGCGTCGGTGCTTCTGGGATGATTGCCGGTATACAAAGTAGCCGACGAGAGCGGCAATACCCCACAAGATCGAGGACGCAAAGGCCATGACGATGATCGTCTATCAGGATCAACTATGAGAACGGGAATAAGAGTAGAAAGAACTCCTTCAGCTGATTTTATTACCTCTTTGAGGGGGTTTCGTTTCTTTTCTGGTGGCGCCGTGCATGCGAAAGCGTTCGTCTTTCATTGGCCTCCTTAGCGGAACCGGGACACTTGGATCCTGGCAAGCGCCTTGAGGATTCCGAGGTTTTAAATGACATTTTGCAACCCGCAATTTGCCTATCGGCATAACCTGACCTTTTCTTGACATCATGCAGCCCCATATGAGACGCGTTACATCGCGGGCAACTCAAGCTTATACGTATGTGAATGAGAAGTGGGCGCCTGCGACCGACGACGATGGTGAGGCGAGGTTGATACCTGGTTTGAAGGAGGGACGCCGTCGACGTCGACGAATAACAGTGTGACGAATCTGTAGGCGTTTGGATGTCTGAGGAAAGCTGTTGATTATTTCGCCGTTTGCTTGCCCCTTCTTGGGCAGCTTAGATAGGCACCACTGTGGAAGACCTCGTTTCTTTCTAGATCCATCAATCGATTCAGAATTGATCAAGAAAACATCCTTTTGTTGGATTTTTTTCAATCATCTTTGACCACTACGGGGCCCTCGCGTGGTCAGGGTCGGCGATGTGTAGGATAAGAGAGAGGGCGGCGTCGCGAGGGAGCGTCTCTGCGGTTTTGGCGATGGAGTGGAAGAGGCGCTCGTTGGGGTTGAAGCCGTGGGAAGCCAGCGCGATGAAGACGAGGATGTCACGCTTCCTAGGTGGATGCAGAATAAGGGTTAAGGGTCTGTTTGATCAGTAAGTTGGAACCAATCACTCTGTTTGACCGACATGGGTATACCAACACAATCAGGGATCGAAGATAGATTCGTCCAAATTAAGATCCTCGGCCGAAGCTTCTAGTAGCTTTTCTTCACACTTGATGGACGCCGATCGCAGCGGGATTGCTATTGACAGGTACTGTAAACGGAGGGATCCGGCTGCATGCCTGTTTACTGTCTTTTGACTGGGCTCGCGTTGAAGACTCACGGATACTTGTCGGAGGAACTCGTCCGCCAATTCCATTGCCTAATGAGTTATATACATTGGGCCCTTCTCAGTTCCGTTGGAAGGAGATCTTTTCAATGTGGTCTTGGTCAATTCTGCTTGTGCGGAAGCTATCATATATCTCTATCGCTTTGCAGCAGAGCTCCTAACCGGTTAGTTGTAATCAATCCTCCATCTGATCAGGAACCTAATGTTTACATCGTGTAGGATTTTGTTCGAAATTCGAAGAAATTAATGTCACCGTCATCAACCCGAATATGCAGGTAATCCAGGTCCGTGAAGATGGAACAGAACTCTACCGAGTTACCTTGAAGAATTGGGAAAGATGGGTTCTCGATCCAACCGGAGCGCAATATGCGTTCAAAGATCCGTTACGTCCCTGGCACTCCTTCCAAAAACGGCACACGTCGAAAACAAACGAAGAACATGAATTGGGCTACCATCGGATCGACAGCTTTGACTCCCCACTTCCCCTTATTCAAGCACTCATCGCTCAAAAGGAAGAAAATGGGCTTGGACGAAAAATTGACGAATTCATTCCTGTTTTCGCTCAAAGCCATGGCAACCGCCTTGCCAATATACTGAAAGGTTCGGATCCTCGATTCAAGGAGATCAAAGACAAGTTTTCTCGAGAGTTCGCCGCTCATCTCAGGAAGAGCATAGATGAGCTCTCAGCGCCGGAAGAGTTGAAAAGAAGAGACAAAGAGGTCAAAATGAGGCTAATGAAGCTTTTTCTTAACCCCTCGCAGCAGGTGGATCTAGAGAACTTTGAGGAAAAGCACATGGGGCCTGGTTGAGCATCGGCGGCCATTATTACGAGTCTTCTGTTTCATGACTGTCCTCGAGAGAATACGGCTGCTTTTGGGAGGGTTTTCAATGCGATGAGGCGGAGGGGGGCTCAGGTGTTTCTCTTCTCTCTTCTGTCTATTCATGGAGCTTAAATTGAGGGTTTATAGCAAAACAAATTACAAGTTCGAATGTTGGATTTGGACCCCGTCCTTTTGCTCGACGCCCTCCCATCCTAACAACTCCCCAGATACGCCGTAATCGTGCTGGTCTTCAAATTGGCCAAGGTCTTCAAAGCCTAGGGCCAGGAGGTCAAGTTCCTCGACCTCATCGACCACTCCACCATGTCGGACATTGCGCCCCATCTGCGCCTACACACACTCACCCGCAATGCCGCCCTCTCTCACATCCTGCACATCGCTAACCCAGACCCCGTGTAGGCCCTAGCCATAAACGACCCCAACCATCTCAGTCTGATCAGCGACAGCGCCGAGAACTGTCCAGTTCTACGAGCCTGTTGGGTCTGTTGAACGGGTGGATATCTTTATCGCGGACCCTCCGGTCTACGCGGCCCTTCTCGTCTGCGTCTGCGAGGAGCTGGGAGTACGAGACACGAGTCGACTGGAGCTCATCACCATTCTCCGCAGACCAGAACGATAATTCCTCTATCCGTGGTGCCTGCCCAGACGAGAAGCTGCGATGGGCTTTGGAGTAAGTCAACAGACTTGCGATGCTTTGGCACATCCTTGATAGGATGCTCTGCGTTAGAGTTTAACCGCCGCATTAAGAGTATGAAATGGTAGACTTCGAATTCTTGGGTCTTGACTGATGGCCAGCTCCTTGTTGCCTCCGTCGCCCGTCGGACAGGGCTAAATTACCTATCCATAGGGGGTGAGGAGTAGGCGTTGTGATTAGTTGCAGGGCGAAATATCAGTGGCTTTTGTTAACTAGGTAGGTAGTCCCTCGCATATCGAGAAAGAATAGGGGGAAACGGGCTGAACAGTGAGGATGGTTCTTCCTCTTACTCCGTACTTTGTTCTAGTTTAGACGTACTAGAAGGCAAACAAAACAAATTGAATTTTAATCTAAACGACACTAACTAATCTTTCATTAGGATAAAACAGCAAGTAAACAGATTAAGAAAACCCCAGCTAAAACGACTCAACGCATCTAAAAACCAATACTCTCAAACTCCAACCTCATACTCTGCGAATCCCTAGGAGCCCGGTAATCAGACCCTCCACTAACCCGCTTTCCCTGGAACAGACAATCAACCCATTTGCCCTTTCCATCTGGGATTTTGTGGAATATCCCGTCGATATTACCATCCCCCATAAACCGCATCTCCCCGGAGTGCTTTTCTCCGCGAATCCCCAGCCCCGTGTCGCAGTCTCTGGCGCGCCATACGAACGGTAAACCGCCCCCGTCCTGGTTACAGACGGGCCAGGGACATTCGGCCATGTACAGGACCCCCTTGACGCATCCGAGCTGAAAGTTGCCCCAGAGGCTGAGATCGTCGAGGCAGATTATCATGTCAGAGTTGCAGGTGCTGAGGATGAGGGAGTCGATTTTGTAGACGCCGTCCAAACAGCCGAGGATTGGGCGGGGACACTACAGTTGCTTTATCAATAGAAACGTGAGACGTTTGTCAATCAAGTATGTTAAACTCGTTGAGTCTGTGAGGCCTACTTACCATACTGCGAGAACTTCCAGAGTCCTGCGGCGCAACCGACTCCGGCTTGACACCGACAGTCGGCGTTGCCTTAGCGGATTTGCGAGGCCGATCGAGCCCTCCAACATTAACGTTGACGTTCAAGTTGGCAACAGAAATACCCAGACATCCCGAGTTCCTGGAATTCTCGACAGCTTGAGATGCGAGGCTCGAGAGCCCACCGTTATCATCGAGATCGGTAATGTCTCTCACTCGCTTCTTCGTAGCTGGCGCCTTTGGCTTCTTTTTAGACGGGGTCTTCTGTTTAAACTGGGCCTTCTGTTTGGACAGAGCCTTTCTTTTAGCCGAAGAAGCCTTCTTCTCTTTGATAAGATTCTTCTCATAGCTGTATTCTTTCTTCAACAACCGTTCCAATCGTTGAACGGAGCCCGGTACCTTGAGGGTATCCTTGTTCAAGGCATCAAGGAGGCGCATCGCAGCGGTATCTTTGTTATCCGTTGGCTGGAGGCCATAATGAATCAGTTGAGCGCGGTACCAGTGCGCAGGCTTGTCCTTGACCGAGGTCATCTTGGGGGTTGAGTTGAAGATGGCACGTAGTTCGGGGATGGAGGAGCGGCGATGTCGGCGGTGGGGAGGCACGATGGCGTAGAATTCATCGTTGTAGTATTCGAAGCCGTCGCGAGCGACAGGCAACGGTGGGAGATCCATCATCTTAGTGGGAAGAGGATCGGTCGGGTTTTGTTAGGGGCAAAGAAGCTAGAGTCGGTGGTTGATTCTTTCTGTGGTGTTGAATGTTAAGTAAAGGCTTGCAGCAATCGAATGCCGAAGGATTCCCTGGGAATGGTCATGGTGATGTAGGTAGATCCAGTCAACTCTGGCACTTCCCTTATTCTTGACACATATCAATCACATGGATAGAGACAAGGTTCAAGAAACCAAACTCCCAGCACCTCGCCATATCTGGAATATTGCACAATCTTTACAAGGGTATAATGATCAAATCGCATAGCCAACAAGAACATGAGTACAAGAAGGATATCAAAAGAAAGAAACACACTTAAATTGTCTAATACACCTTGAAAAGAGCTGAAAAGAAAAAGTAAACCCCATTTGAGATGAAAAAAAAGACCAATTTCCCATGAGACCGTTAGCAGATAAAAACAACCAGAGAAGAAAAATGTAGATGTAGCATGTGATACAGAGATAGGAAAACAGAACTCCCCCAATACTCAATCAATCAGAACTCATCGGAGATCAACAACGGATTGAGTGTATTGGTTCAAAATAGAAACGTCATTTACTCCTGTCGACTGCGCTTAGCACCGTGCGGGTTCCAAGATCCATCTCCGACTCCCTGGTTGGGGGTGAAGAAGCCCTGGTTGAACGCTGGATTGGGAGCCTGGAAACCGCCTTTACCTAGCAAAATATCGTGGTCAGAACATGCACATGAAGCAGATTGAAAAATGACTCTCAACGAGACTTACCCTGCATACTCATGTTTCCGCCCATGCCGCCCATCATCGGGTTCATGCCACCGGACATGGGGTTCATTCCCATACCGCCCATAGGGTTCATAGCCGGCATGCCCATCATGTTCGGTCCACCCATGCCACCGCCGCCACGACCACCGCGCATGCCTCCAGGTCCGCCTCGCATACCGCCTCCCATCATGCCGCCGCGGTTGTTGAATCCGTAGTTCGGCATGCCACCCATTGGGTTGCCGGGAAAGCCGCCGCCCATTGGGTTCTGGAAGCCGCCCATGGGGTTCTGGAAGTTGCGGTTATTGTAGTTGCCCATATTATTGCCCATGCCACCGCGGTTGTTGTATCCTCCACGGCCACCGCGGAAGCCTCCTCCGCCTCCCATGTTGTTGTTCATGCCGAAGTTCATGTTCTGGTTGGATGAATTGAAGCCACCGGACATCGACCGGGCCTGGTTGTCCTTTCTCATAGGGGCATCCTTGGGTAGTGTGCGGAAGGGGTTAGGTTGGGGACTGGTGTAGTTGACGGTATGTTTGCGCCCGGCCTGGCCAGCAAGAGCGTATGATTCGATCTTATGCTTAGTGGCGGACGAGGCCTGAAGGGTGGTGAACTCAACGAAGGCTTGACTGTTGCGATTGCTGCGTTAGCGCTTTACGCAAGAGGCACTATGTATGGTTCGAATATTACCCTTTACTCTTTCCGTTCACCTTATGCTCGCTGAACGTTACGTCCTTGAGCTCGTCTTCACATTCGGCTTCACGAATCCATCCACGGATATCATCATCAGTAGTCCACCAGAATAAGTCGGAGATAAGCAAGGCTGGCGTCGCGTCAGGGTCTGCCTGGCGGTCGTCGTGCTCCTTGCGCTTCACGCCCTGGGGCGGAGGCAGATTCTGGTTTTGCGTTTGCTGCTGCTGATTGGCATCTGAATGTGTTACATGTTCACCATTTGCGGGTTGCGGGTTTGCCGAGTGATCCTGTTTCGGGTTCGATTCAGAGGGACCATCTCCAGGCACAGGGCCTCCGTTTTGAGTAGTCACGGGCGCATCTAGGATGAGCTCCGAGTCATCATGCTTGGTATCTTCCTCCTTGTAATCTCCCTGGTCATTCCCGTTGTATCCACCGCCATCTCCATAGATGTCAATATCGAAGTTGTCATCTTCAGTAGCCATGATGCTAGGATATGATTCGGTGTCTCAGAGCGTAGGGATGGGTTCCTTGATTGTAGAAAGGGAAAGAAAAGTAATACAGTCCTTGTCTTCTGGATATGATTCTTTTTCAGTTTCGAAACAACTGGATGTACATGTCTGTAGACGTAGGCCGTCAATTAGCAAGAAGGTAATCATTCACTGGAGATAGAAAAAGAAGCTGTTGCAAGTATCCCGGAAAGTAGGGGATTGTATTGGGTCATCTTTTGAAGCGATTGTCGCAAAACACTTCAAGATTCTTTTTTAAAGAAAAACGGAGAGATAATAAAGAAAGCAAGCGCAAAAGTACAACAGAAAGGATAAAAAGAGGCACGATGATACGTACAATCCGAAGCGAAGACAGCTTCAAAAAGGAACAAATTTCTTTTTCACCAGCTGATACACCGAGATCTCTTGCAAGGGAGATACAGTGCGCGCAATATTCTCTCTCCTGGTCTCAGGATTTCCAAGTACAGGTAAAATGATAAGGGGAGTTTAGTTTCAACCAAAGCGATAGAGAAGATGAAGATAAAACCACAGGTGCGGCGCTGTTAGGAGCTTCCGCTACCACAGTCAGGCAGGGAGAGAGCGCTTTCTGGCTAGAGAACAGGTCTGACAAAAACCCTCCAGATGAGAGCGCACACGCAAAACGAGAAAGAATAGGTGTAGGAAAAGAACCGGCGGACAGATCCGTCAGTTTCAAATCAGTTGAAGACCTCCGGAACACTGATGCCACCCAGGAAGTACACGGCTAGTTGGTATCCCCTGAAACGTAGCCGCCAGCGGTCGGGTCAAAGTCGATAGCGAGGAAGAAAAAGACAGAGAAAAGGGGGTGAAAGAGGGGAGGAAAGGTGAGTTAGAAGGGGTTAGTGATGAGCTGACAGATAGCAGACAATCCCTTGTAAGACGTGTCCGAAGAACGACGATGCGGGTGGAGCGCGCGATATGAGAGAGAAGGGAAGGCGAGAGCTTCGTCCGATCTCGTCTCGCCGCAGCTGGTGGAGCTACCCCGTCGGCATTCGGCAAAACTATCCCTCCGGTTCCCCGGCCACTTTTACTTTCTTCTGGTTACTTTCCGATAGTTACAAGTTCATTCTTCAATTGCTCTTACAACGCCGGGGGGTTGGTCGCTCATGTACACATGCTTCCTCACTCACCAGTCTGGCTAAATTCAGAACTGGAAACCATTAAGTATAAATCGAGTGCAAAGTCCACCTCTTTCAATCACTTCACCATATTTCGTAGGATTCGTCATCTTCATCATATCTCATCACCGGTCGACTTCTCAAAGATGTCCGATGCCCACTGTCCTCCTTATGTCGGTTAAATTCAGGCACCGAGTTCAGTTCACAATCATAGTTCCTTCCGAGCGGTGGATCACCTTCGTCATCGGCCGCAGAGTCATTCCAGCTATGCAGAGTACAGGTGCCGGTTGACAAGCCCCAGCCATTCCACGATGTCGCTAGAAAATTGTCAGTCAGTATCCTCTCGACGGATAATCTATTATGAGACTGGACGAGTGACTTACCGGCGAGCACCGGGGCGTTGGGGTGCCAACTTGCATCTCGAACACATGTGCGCCACATCGGTTCACCGCTCCTACTCCTGAGCTCATATGCAGTAGTATAAATATCAGGATCCTGCGGTCGCGAGTTCTTCGTCGCGGCTCCCGCATCGATCGTTCCGGCCAAAGTGGCGTCCATGTTAAACACATGAACCTTGCCGTCCTCGCTTCCCGTGTATACGTATCTCGAGTTCGTGCTTCCAGGAGGTGAGAAATGGCATCGGATCAAGGTTTTCAAGACCCGATGGCCTCGGAAGGTGACAACCGAGCAGTCATGTGGATGTGGTTCATAGTAATTGTGGGGATAGGATTCAAATCGGTAGTCGAAGCCGCTCGTATAGTTGTTTACGTCGATAGTATCGAATTTGGCCGTCGTCATCATCTTTCTAAGATCCCAAAGTTTCATCGACTGGTCTTTACCATTGGAAATGACGTATCGCCCATCGCCCTTGCTATCGACGTAGGTTAACCCTTCAGTGTGGCCCATAAAGACCCCAGCTTCACGCCCATCACCCATTGAGCGTCGGTCCCATACCCGTAACGTGGAATCATCGGAGCCGGAATAGAGGATATGGGGCGAGGACTTGTCACCGAAGCAAACAGCATTTACATCGTCCTCATGGTTTTGTAAGCGCAGAACCGACTGGTGCGTCTCTATGTCGTAGACGATCACCGAGTGGTCGGATGTGCCAGCCACAAGCTCACGGCCATCACCCGAAAATCGGATAGACCAGATCTATACCCGATTAGTTATGCTTGAGCCGTCAACGGAAAATGCATTGCGTACTCCAAAATGTGAGCTTCCAAACTGGTTTCGCCGCCCTCCTCTTTCGCCAGGTAGTATGGACAGATCCAAGACCCCGGGGTCGGATGAATCCAGTGGGTCCGTGGGCGCAAGACACACAAGGTTTCGAATAGATGTGTAGGCCAAGAATCTGTTGTCCGGGCTCAAGCTGGCGTCGGTGATGGTCCACTGACCGAACGGGTAGGTTACTGTCTTGTAGTACTTCCATTCGAAAGGATTGGACGTGTCGTACATCCTAACCTTGAAGTCTTGTGCGCAGGCAAAGAAGAAATTGCCATCGTCCGAGAACTGTCCGGAATAGCATCTCGAATCAAAATGGATTATTTTGTCTGCGATCGAATCTGGTATTAGGTCCTTTGTGTTTAAACCGTTAGTATGCCGACCACCCTTGTGCCAAAGTCTAGAGTGCTGCACGCACCTGCGATATGGATTGAACCTCCCTCTTCGGTCCGCCGGATACATCGATGCCTAGTTCTCGCCACATCATCTTCGTTGCCAGTGTTCGTTTGCGTTTCTTCAACTCATCCACATAATGCGTATTGCTCCCAAAGTCGCCGGTTCGCATCAATTTCGTACCCTCGTCGCTCGGGACCTTCGGAAGCTGAGCATTGTTAGCTCGTCGCGGCTGTCTTCGGTATCTGAAAAAGCCCTGGTAAGGATCCTCGTCCTCATCGTCGTCGTCGGCACCCGCAGGCCAGCCGTCGTAATTAAGAATGTGTCGCAAGCCATTAGAAGCTAGTAGGTTGAGCAATCGGGCTGCGGATACTTCTCAAGTTAGTGTTTAACCCGGAACGTGTTCTAAATCGATGAACACAGTGTTCAGTATCCCTGTCCATACCTCGATTCTGTCGGCCCGCCTGGCCATCCCCGCCGTCCTCGGGATTCGGCGCCTCCATCGTGAACTCGATCTGCACACCTGGATGCAACTCCGGATCTACCAAATCATCAAGTTCGTCGAATCATCAGCAAGATGCTTTCCTTTCCTTATCCGACCGAATACCCCAAAGACTACCCATACCGAGGTAAACTCCAAAACTGTTCGGATCTTCGTACAAAGGACCTCCGTCATCCAGGTCTCTATCATCCGAGAATTCAGAGTCCGGCTCAAAGTCCACATCCTCTTCGTCGTCCTCTTCAAGCCACTCTCGGGCCGGATGCCATAGGGTGGGGGAATTTCGCTGAGACGGTCGCTCCTCGGGTCGGTCGCCGCCGGGGATGGAAGGTGAACTCATGATGAGTCGAAGCTGGGAGGGGTTGTGACGATCAGAGCTGAGAGTGCAGGGGTTAGTGGCTAGTAGCCATTCGTTCACGGTCCAATAGGAAGGACAGGCGCAATCAGAGATTGGAGCAGGCCAGAGTGTTACTGAGTCCAATTGCGCGACCGCTGGATGTGTTGTCGATAGCCCGGGAATCGGTTATGTCATCTCTCCAGTCTCCGCTTCGGGTGGCGCTTTTAAGTCCGGGCTATCTCCGCTTCGTGTTCTCCCTTCTATCCCGAGAGCCGGTGGAGTACGAGTCATTGTGAACTATGGTGCCCTTGCAGCGGGAAAGGCTGGGTCGAGGATCGAGTTACACGGGTACATCCGACGTGCTGGAAGTAGCAGTAAAGAAATTCGTACTACAGGGGGTTAGCAAACACATCTTATAGCTACAGGTTCATGAGTAAATCTTTGAAGTGGATTCAGCATCAAGAAAAAACGTTTCTCAATTGTAGTTACAAATCTTTAAGCCCGTTTTTGCCAGATCAGTTCGCGTACCTTCAAAGGTACCGGTAGAGACCCTTCTCATTGAAGTTCTTTTCTTCAAGAATCTTGACGACATCTCCTGTAGTTTTCATTTGGGCGATCCGGGGGCTCGAATTGCCTTTTCTTATTGCCATTGATTGAACGCACATGGATACGGAACTTCGGTATGGATCCGGTCTCCGAGGTGGTTTTGGCTAGGAGCTTGAAGGTTGCTCTTAGCGTCGGATCAATCGAGAGAAGCTTCAAAACACGATGACGCTGTGTAGGCTAAAAATATCGAATGGTGCGGAGACAAAGAGACGAAGAATAAGAGAGGAAGACCAGATACGGTTTTGATCATTGAACCGGGAGTAAGTACCGGCTTCCTTCTCGCCAAGTCGACCCATTAATGCTAACCACAATGTGCCCAAGGTCGAGGCTACCAGGATGCTCCAGATCTAGAGTCTTTTGCATCGCTTCCAGGAACTGCGACTTGACGATGATGTTGGCCGTCGAAGGATGACTTGTGATCTCGCCGTTGTTTGTGCGGTGATTCAACCAATTCAAAAAGCAGGGGCGGATCCGAAACTGCTGAGTCAACTTTTGGACTGGATGATGCATCGTAATTAGCCGTTTTGGAAAGGAAACGGTCAATTGCTGGGCGAACTCGTTGTACCGATCTGATGACTGAATGGAAAGAACAATTGGGCGGAGTTGCTCCTTATCACCACAACTAATAATACCCTTGATCTTCGGTCCTGCTCTGAGCTTGGTGATGTGCAAAGATCCAACCGTCAGGCTCTAGCTCCTTTGGATCCTCGTCTCTGATAACAAAGATCCCTTCTGCCGTGTCCCCAAAATTTGAGGCTATTATCGGGTCTCCCATGTTGTTATTTGTAGACACTATTACCGAAGCCTCGCAAATCACCTACTTGCATTCTTGAATGCTAGAAGAGCCTTGCGTCTGGTAACTTCGTCCAACTGGGAGAAGCTCTGCTTTTCGATGAGACCTGCTTAGTATCGGAGAAATTGCAGCATATCTGCTTCCTCGCCTTCAGGGTCGAGGTCGCCAGGTCGTCCACACGCAAAGTACCAAGAATCCCGCCATATGGTCGAACAGGAAATCACCACCCGGGTATTGAATATGTGCTTAAATACTTTTCATTTGGTACTGTCATGTAGTACCATGGCCAGTTCCATTTCTTTGAGCCATTCGTCGGAGTTACTATAGAATGTTATGAGTCTCAAGGTTACTGGCCTCGGCCCCTCGTGCTTGGGCGAGGTCGAGAAGCCCAAGGAAGTTAGCCACCATTCGTAAGCGTTGAAGAGGCTGAAAGAGGGGCCCTATGAGCACGGCATTTCTTTTTTTTTCTCGTGTCATATGTTACACCATGCTGAGGGTTTTCGCTTCGACGTCGCGGGTAAATCCCTCTACCGCATCGAACCATACTCAATGTACCTTGCATTTAGTTGTCGCCGTTGTCTCACAGAGCCCGAAAAGCGAAATCGACCCCCAGGTTGTAGAAGCAGCTCGTTGGAGAAATTTGACGCCGGGTCTCGCGATCTTGCTGGCTTTCGTGGTCTTGTTCGCACCTAACACGCTCCTAATAGCTTGAGTATCCTCCATAAGCTTTTCGAACTGGCGAAACGAAATGACAGGTCCTGTTTCTAGATTTTGCGCTTCGTATTGGCGCTTTCCACCTCATACTCAATGTATGTACCTTGCATTCAAACCAACCGTTTTTCGAACTAACGGAACAAAGGAACCGGTCTTGTTCCTCCCCTTTACGCATAGTATGGCGTTTTCCCGCCTCATACTCAATATACCTGGCCAGGTACCGGTGCAGCTGCGCTCCGTATGGGGTCAGAATTGTCACTCCACAACTGGATATGCCATGGTGGCTCGGCTGGGTCAGGAGGGCTGATTGGTTTGCCTTGTGCCCTTCTCAATCGATACTTGTACAGCTCATGGGCCTGCCGGTGTACAAATCTTTCGCGCGCTGGAACCGGGAGGTTTTGGGAACGTCAACATTCTTTCCTTGCATAGGCTGCGAGGTCGTTATGGCCGATGAACAATTCAAGATTCAGCTCATCATGAACCGGGGTGATGAACCTTTTTCACTGCTCTATCCATGACAAAAGAATCGCCTGCGGTACCATGATTAGGGTTGCCCCAGGCTGTGGCAGCCTGAGCTTGCCGGAGGGGCTGTCTGGCTCACAGGGGCACGCGAAGGGAAACCGGTCCGTTGGAAATTTCTCACGCTTTTTTAGGTCATTTTTCATTAAATGTAGCCCATCCTTGTGCTTGCGTGACTACGCAACCTCTTTGAGCGTTCTCCTCAACCAGGCTACGGTGGCCAATAAAGCCAAGGTGGTGAGGGTCTATGTATAACAGGCCTGGATCAGTATCAGATATCAAAGCCTTTCTGGCTGGAGACTTACCTTGCCGAGTCTGTAGTGATCTGGCTGAACTTGACGTTGTAAAGCGACGCGATTCCCGATCCTAGCGTTGGTAACATCAAGGAATAGAAGCTCGCCTTGATGGCCGAAGACATGCTTGTTAAAGGCAAGCACATTTTTATGGCACCGCCGTAACGCTGGTGTCAATCGAGGATCGTGAAGAAGCCAATTCTCCTAAAAAAAATAAAAAATAAAAAATAAAAAAAAAGCCCGGAATATCAGATCCCCTAATATAGGGGCCATCCTGTGCTGGCATATAAGTAGGATGTCCGAGTGGCCGCCCAGATCGAAGCCGAGGAGGTAAAACTTCCACACAACGCGCTCTTCAATGTAGTGTTTCAGGGTGTGGTTCCTGGTCGTAGAGCTCGAAGTGCCCAAATAGGCACTCCACGTGAAGGGGTGATCCTCCCTGAATATGGACTGATAGATGCCATATTGGGATGCTCTGCTGGCTCTCGCCGTAACGATGGATCTAAAGTACATTTCTAGACTTCCCCTTCAAGTCGAGAAATTTAGCCTGAAAGTCAAGTCCGATGCCGAGGCCACCAGTTGTAACTATTCGCGCTCTAAACAATGATACAGATAGTAGGTGTACACTCCGATAGGAGGAAAAAGCAACCAAAACCATAGTACACCGTCTTTCAACTTTCAACAACTGTCCCGCTTGATAAAGGTATTCTTGTTGAATTTGTAATCAGATGCCGAGTGTACCATCAAAAGGTCGGATCCAGAATACGAGCCCCGAGCAGCGCGAGCGGAAGCGGACGGTGGCTCTTCGGTCGTTCCACGCTGGTCCGCCAACAGCCGAGTAACTCTCTCGTGGATGTATGCCAGTCGTGGGTCTGGTTGGCGTCTATACGGTCTCTCTCCTCACAGATATTCACCGCAAAGTACATTTCTGTATTCTTCGTCGAGGTTCGGCCTTAGGTCAAGGCCAATTCTTTTCAAATTGTTGACCAGGTGTCGACTTACCAATGTACATGTCTGTCTTCCTCATCGAGTCAAGGAAGTCAGCGTCGAAGTCAAGATCGATACCGATGTCCCCAGTTGTGACAATTCACGCAATAATGTGCTTTCTTCTTCAAAACAGTATCTTCGATTTGCAAATCGTACTTTCTCTTCGACGGTTCTTCCCAAACCATTTCACCGTCCTGTCTGCATACTCATAGCTTCTGGTGTGAGTATGGGCCGGGTGGATTTCGAAAAATGCCCGGTGATCAATATTAGAGTCACGCCGGACGTTGAACTGAATTTCGATATAGCAAGGAGTCTTCTTGTGGATCCGGGTAGCATTATCGATTTGCTCGTCATCAATCTTCAACGATTTTTCCTAAATTCTTTCACGGTCCTGTTTGCATACTCATAATTCCTAGCGTGAGCATGGGCATGGGTCTCGAGAAAGGCTCGATTCCCGATCATGGGTCACTTCGGAATGTGAACTACATGACAATTTTGCGGGCCAGCGAGCTAAGCAACACGAACCCGCGTTCTCATACGGCGTATTGTCTCCGGTTTTCTTATGGATCCAGGAGAATAGGAAATATCTTTTCACAGGATTTCTGTTTGAGCCTAGCTAGGCCCTGAACTAGCAATTCCATATGAAGAAGAAGTTTCCCTCTCCAGACACGGGGATAAACCATGGCACGATTGACATCAGCAATCCTGTCAATCAAGACCTCCAGACCTTTCCGCGCTCGATAGGTCCACATCGACGAACTCCCAAAGGTGTCGCATCGCCTCGTGACACCAGATCTTGTTCACCAGGATACAGCGGTGGAGGAGGCCGTGGCGCTTCGTAGATGCGATGATCATCTTTTTTGTTATGAAATGCACAGGGGAAGGAGGGCAGAATGACACTGTATCGGCTACACGCACGTAGGCTACTAAGGAGCGAATGCCTTTAGAATGATAGGGCTCTTAATTTACTTGCATAACTATTAATCTCTTATTCTATGATAGATGGAGGGGTAAGTTCCTCAGAGGTTCGAGAGTGCAGACCAAGCTGCTAAATCACGTAATCTCATAGATTCGTATCATTTTTCTTGTTCGAGGCTGTCATCCAGGGACGGACCACACAGCGGTGCCCGGCGGGGGAGACCCTACAGCCCGTAAAGAGCAGGGACAGGGCCGGGTCCCCTAGATGCTGCAGACAGCGGTGACACCATGTCGTCTTCGTCGGCTGTCGGCGGTAGAGGGGACGGTAGTAGTTAGTGGCGGAAGTTTCGACGGTCGCAGGGCAACGGCGTGTGGGTTGGCGGTGATGACTCCATCCACAAGGGACATTTTTGTTATATGCCCACTTGCAGTCACACTCCATCCACCTGCAGTCACGGCACCTCCCTGGCGACCAACCCGTGATCCGCTGGAAGACTGTCCTGTTCATTTTCCCCTTCAGGATCTCGATTGCCTTCCTCGAGAGCTCGGCCTCAGGCACACTCTCGTTCGGCGACTTCTGAAGCTTGGCGCGGGCCAGCTCAACGCAGGCCTCGGTCCGCACGGTGGGTGTCCCGCGCTCATAACCCGGTAAAATGTCTATAGACATTGATTTCATTGCGGATTATGCTGGCGTAACACGCGTACCTTGCCATATAAACAGTCCGTGCTTTGGTCGTATTAGAAATCGGAAGATCTTTCATTATGTGCCGTTAGCATTTCGGTCTGCAAGTCGCCGTATTAGGGACGGAATATTGACTCCTGTCTCCCTATGGATCCAGGAAAGCAGGAGACATGTCTGAACGATTTTTCTCTATCGATTCCAGTTCCTGACATGTAACAGGGATTGCGAGTTCTTCCATTGTGTGCCGTTGAACTCTTTGACGGCGGTTGAGCCAGTCTCTCGGCTGGACAGCAATAATCTTCTGAGGATCGCTTTTCTGTTTGCCAGTCGCGAGATTAGGGACCTGGTCAATTATTAGTGGATGGCTCCACTGCATCAGAAAGCGGAGACTACTCACGAATCCCTTATCTAGGGTCTAGTCATGATGTCGGCGATGGAAGGTGGACCTTGAGAATGAGGGATGGATGGAGGAGAGATGGATGGAGGAAGAAAGAAGGATCAGAAAGCGGGCGACTGGGGGGGATTTTATAGGCGATTTCTAAGCCCAATGAATTCAATTACTTAGTGAAAAAAAATTCCTTCTATTACTATCTTCACTTGATACAATCGAGTGACTGAACTAGATGTGTGAATGATCTGGTCCCCATCTGGTGATGTGGTAGCTGGCTCCGTGAATTGAGAAATACGGTGGAAATAATGGAATCATCCGCGGTGCAAGGTGAATTGAGGTTTCTGTATGTGATATCGAACGATTAAAGGGTAAATCTGACATTGGCGTAGTCATTCATCATCCGGGAGTCTTTACCTACTATATTTCTCCTCTGCAAGATCTGATTCACTAGTCGCCTGACATAACAAAATTCAAATCTAGCCTTTGTTCTGGCTATACTATATTCGTGGGCATTGCGTCATTAAGATATAGAAGATAGAGCCAACCCAACAAGCAACATTATAAACAAAACAACAAAAGATCATCAAGCGTTATAAAAGAACTCTTGTAGAGAGCACAAAGTATTAGGTGAAGATTGCAGACAAGAAAAAGAAAGAAAGCAATAAACAAATCCTAAACCTCAAGCGTTGCAACGGCTGCAGCCATTGCAGAATCAACAGGGAGAGTCGGCATCTACAAGAGTTTCTTAAGCAGGGGTATCAAAGTTATCAGCATGAGATGCATTTCATCATCAGGGTCGTATATATAATTGGTGAGTTTCGTAGACGTATACCCTTTCGGGTCTGTTTCCAACAAGGACATTGCCTCTAACAGTAATGGAAGCGACGATTGTATGTCCAGGCGGCTGAGGTCGAAGTCGAGTATGGGTGATTTCAAGTAGCTTCCGCTCGAAATGATGGATTTCAGGTATGAGGTGCTGGCCTCTTCCGGGGCTAGAATAGGGGCTTTGGAAGACCGTCGAAGGGCTAGAATCTCCACGATGACTTGGAGTTTGGTTCGTAAAGTGTGGTATTTCTTACGCGAGAGGATGTGTTTGGATGGAACAGGTCGGTTGGAAGGTAGAGGGTGATCCGGATGTTTGAGGCGTTGACCTAGTGCGAAGGAGCTCTGAGTCACAAGATCAAGACTTTCGGTCATTTCGTCCTGATTGTCTTCTTGAGACTCGGCCTCTTCAAAGATGGGTGTTGGTGCTCGGAAAAGCTGCAGGCCATTTTGGCTGGGACACGAATGCGATCCACGTGATCTAGACAACTTGGCTCTTCCATGTCGAATACTTGGGGTCAACTCTGTCAACAGGAATGTGCCGGTGCGGTGCTTCAAGCTTATTTTGGATGGCATAGGTTGCGTAATCATCTTCTGAATCAGGAAGCTTTGATCGAGGTTGAATTTTGGTCTCTGGTATCCATATAGTCCTAAGCCATGGTGCAGGTTGCTCGGAGGAGCAGGCGCAAACAACGTCGAATTTAACAAAGACTTGCGATTCGATAGTGTCTTCTGCTGTGTTGGACTTTTACTGGAGAGAGCATCGTGGGTAGATGATGGCAAGTCTTTCGGGATGAGCATCACTGACAAAGAATTGTGGAATGACGTTAAGGTAGAAGTCTCCAAAGGGCCAGTCTCGTTGCAGTTTTGACTATCCATCGACACGGTCGTGGATTTTGGACTCATGATCTCTGCGGAGGACATGTCGGTGATATTGACATCATCCGTGGATTGACTTGGGTGCTTCTCGATTGATCCCGAACGGTTATGTGCTTGGGGAATCCGCAAAGCATCCTGAATAGTGATGTCCGAGGCCTGCAAATTCGAGTTTTCGGGTATGGTGCTGTCCGCCGCCTGGCCAACAGTCGCTTCGTGGAGACTGAATCTCGCCAGCTGCGATGTTTCCTTAGAAACCTTTTGGCAAGACTTTTTTATGCAAATGTGGCACTCATCGATATCCAGTCGCAGCGAATGACAGCTTGTGCAATCACTCATAACATGACCACAATTCCTACATTCCTTGTTGTCGAGGCCGTCTGATTCAAGAGGAGCGGGTCTGGCGAGGTTTCTTTTGAACAAAGCTGTGAGTGAATCCCCTCGGATAGGACCATTGGCAGATTGAAGTTTGGGGGGAGGTATCCTAGAGGGCGACTGCACATCTGAGTCTGCATCTGTAGAGCTCAGGGAGGACTCTGTAGAACTTCTTTGAAGTGGTTGCCGATAGCCTGGAGTGATTTCGGGCTCTCGAATAATGGTTTCGACCCTGCTTGGCTGCTTAAAAACCGAGTGGTGGAAGGTCTGTCTCCTAAAAGAAACGGGACTTTCGGAGCCTGAACCCAACACAGCCGGCAGGCTTTGCCGGCTGAGGGAATCCGAGTCCATCTCGGAGTAGCTGCTTGCCTGGGAGAAGTAATGCTGATCGTTGTTGGAGTAATAAGAACCACCATTCATCTGGCCACCGAGACCCCCGGACTGGAAGGGGTTCTGGGGTCCTCCAAAAAAGCCGCCTCCATTGAAGCTCCCATTGCCACCGTTCGTACCACTTCCGCTGTCTCCGCTGCTTCTTCTGCTCTGGGACGCGCTGGTATTTGTCGAATCGTCCTCGCGAAGACGGCAGTGCTCAGAGACACATTTAAAGTAGTCATCCCAGCCGTCGACGTATCTCGTGCAGATCTCACAGATCACCGGGGGTGGGACTCGCCTCTCTATACGGTTGATTTGGTCCCGCCTGAGTCTGCCTGAATGTCGATGGAAGTTTCTAAAGTGGTCATGTACCTTGTCCCTCCTAAACGAGGTCCAACCACACGACGACGGGCAACGAAACTGATATCTGGGGTGGTGCCCCTCAGAGACATGCCGCTTGAAAGTACCACGAGATTTGTACACCTTGCGATGTCCATACTGACAAAGCTTGCAGAGAAATCTATCCTTAAACTTGCAACTAAGGCTGGGCCGCTCGTCGCGTTCAATTCTGGTTTGGATCGTAGTCTCAAAACTACTCAATCTGCATTTAAGGAGTTCTTTTGCATCGTACAGCTGGGGGAAACCAGGGCAAGAGGCAATCTCCTGGACCGTTGTTCCGATCTGCTCCAATTCACTATGCAGTCTTTCTAAGAGAGGAGATGAAGCGTCGGGTTGTGGAGGGAAAAGAGGTCGCTGGCCCAGAGGGCTCGTCCCGGGTGCATCATCGGGCGCGAGTGCATCGTCGAAGGAGAACTCGAAGTCAACGTTCTCGAGGGCTAGGTGCGGCGATATCCCTATCAGCGACTGGGGCAGATTGTCTGTCTGAGGTGAAGGCACTTCTAGGAAAGGCATGTTGTCTAGGGCGTGATCGGGACCGAAGCTGCTAGCAGGCGACATCGGGGACTGGCTCAGCATCTTAGGATGAACCTGTCAGTAAGTCGAGCTTAGGTCGGAAGTGCGTATAGTTAACCCACCCTGGAAGTATCTTGAGGTCCGGGTGGCATAAGGTGGCCACCCCGCGAGGAGCTGTAGTTGGGAGTCCGAAACAGCGGGACCTCTTCAAACCCTTTGTGATAAGGCGGCATGATGGCAATATGGAGCAAGTGGCCTCAGCCCTTAAGCCAAAGGCAAAGCACAACCACCGAACAGTCAAGAAGGATAGGGTGAGATATGGTACAATGAGGAGAGACGGATGATGTCAATGATAAGAGCGGAGAGATATGAAGACAAGCAGACCCAATGGGGCAATGGAAGATCAGCAAGGTAGCTTGGTCTCGGGACCGGGGAGGAAAGGAAACCACGAAAGGGAATTATCCAAATCGAATACCTAACACAAGGGAAGTAGGAAGAAAGAAAGAAAGAAAGAATAGAACAAAAGACTAGAATTAGAATGAAAGAAGATTGTCGGAGGGAGAGAGACGATATTTAATTCATAGTTATTGGTAACTCGCGAGTCAAGCAAAGCCAGTGATTACTCACCCCGTCCTTTTTGCCCGGGTGAGCTATTAGGGAAAGCAGGTAAAGTAGTATGCACTAACTAGCGAGAAGGTCACTGGTGTGGGTGGTAATCCTTTGGATGTCGACACTGGGCAATTCAGGCGAAAGAAACGAAGGACAGTGTAATCCGAATACCCAGAGCCTCACACCCCGTGAGAATACCAGGTAAACTGAGGTGAACTGGCCTGAACCGGTCGTAAGAAGTGAAACCAAGCCATTTTCTCCGAGGCAAATAGGGCGCGCCGCATGACGTGCAGCTAAGGAAAGCATAGACACCCTGGAGTCTCTGCTGCATCTGGCGCGACCGCGGAGTATTCACCCCTCCTACGTAATTGGTGACGGACCTTGCAGGGGATTAATCGTTGCCTAAGGTCAGGAAGGTGCGAGGAGAGAAAAAGCAAAGAGATTCGCGGGAAATCTCGCCAACTTGTCGCCTCATTCTTTTTGGTCGCGTCTTCTCTCGGGCACGGCTGGTTGCAAGTGACTGGTTTGAAACGGAGCACGGAAGACTATGATCCGAGTTACGAGGGACCGAAAGAGAGAGAGAGGAAGCTAAGGATGGAGGATGTGAAAGAAGCACGGACGTACGAAGAAGGTGTAGGGGCTGTGGGGGCCTCTCCCGTTGCTTTGCTCGGACGAAGTGGAGTCCCCATTATCGAATATCTTGATGAACGCTGATTGAATCTGTTTGGTCCTCGATTGATCCAGCATCCGACATGCTCCGACCTGCGCCAATCACTCCCACGATCCGGTGTGATGGCATCGCAGACATGTACAAAGTACGGTGTACGCACTCCATTCCAGTCCATTCCTGCCCTAGGCACACAGCCACTTTCACAGTGGTGAGGGGGAAATGCCAGGGACTACCACCTTAAACCAGGTACATCCGTGCCAATTTTCCCGGGACAAGGCCTGTTCGGCTGTTGCTTAGACTCGACAGAGTGTACGCCGTCAGCTTGCGTGGATTTGCAGATTCTTTTTTTCTTTGTTGGACTGCATTTCCTGGTAATCATCTTGCTTGACGCCCGTTGAGACGATCGCAGTCGCAGGTGATCTCCCGATGACACATAGGGCACCTGCAAGTCACAGGGCGTGGTATGTCCCTATCTCTTCCGTCTAGAGTAGGAACTCCCTTTCACTCGGAGTTAGCGTGTCTTAATTGTCTTAATTATCCGTCATTCGACGTTGAAATTGTATTACCCCGTACAGTTAGCACTATCTGCACGCAGCAGCAAAATGAGGCGTGGAGAGAACGCTCGTCACGGGTGGTCGCTGTCGTCCGACTGCTTCTCAAGCCACGCTCGGCGCACGCCGAAAGAAAAACAATCTAATGTATCGCAATAATAATATTTTGTCAACCCACCAGTTGAGGCACTGCTGAGCGACGTGTTCCACGAATGCTTGAAAGACTCGGCTACGCCACTCCTCCCCGAACCTGCGGGCGGGTTGAGAACGGCCCGCTGGGTCGGCCAAACTCCACCCACAGTTTGTCTTCCTCTGCTGTTCAGACGGTCTGGATCTCTGCAAAAGATCCTATGCAGCTGCAAGAAAAGGCACTCGGGTCAAGGAACTAAGCAAAAAGGGGAGTTGGTCGGTGTTCAGGGTCTAGCACCACCCAAACTAAAATCGCAGCACCTCGATTAATGATCGTTTTGGCTTAATTCGTCGCACACCCACCAAACTATATTTTTTCAAACCAACCTACAACTATCTGTAAAAAAAAAAAAAAAAACCAACTAGCAGCACAACCTTCCACGTAACCCAATGCCATATCTCAGACTTGATTCACTTTAATGCAACACGTGGAGACTCGAGAGGCTTGCCTTCTCCTACGAGTCATTCCCGGGGAGCCTTGTCTTGCTGGCCCTCAGAGCCTTATCGACTCCGATCGATGATATTCGCCACTCTGACATCCGGTCGGATACAAGCGGGCAACATGCCAAGGTCTGTCTGCACAACTGTTTCAAATTGAATGCTCATTGATGGTCTCTGGGTGTGATGGAAGCTATCCTGCATTGTGGCGGAGTTGATTGAGAGGAGGATGACTGTCTAGAATTCATGCTAGACGGTTAACTAGTCCATTGCTGATGACATCACCCACCAACCGGGGATGGTGTTCTAGAACCACCTTGCCTAGTCGAGGGTTTGATGGGATGGAGATGGGAGGGTTAGTGACTTAGTGCCCAGTGTTGGGATGGTCTTAGGCCGGCAATCGCCATGGCTTAGCAGCTAGCTTGAGCCTGTGGGGGGTTTGGATCCGGGGAAGAGAGCATGGAATTTTCGATGTAACGTAATCAATTTTTTCTGAAGATGGGTGGAAGGGCGGTGTTACAGAGTCCAGGCCGTCGCAGATCTTTCGCGCCCAGGATGTGACTCACGCGAAGGTGAAGTGCGAATACATGGATTATACGGTGTTACACATACACCTTTGGGGATGATGCAGATTGACAGTCCAGAGCGTTTTTTAAGAGGCATTCCAGAGATTCTGAGGCCCCCCGGATGGTAGGTCTCTTCAATTTCAACAAGTCAATTCTTTTCTACGAATAATGGCGATGAAGCCATCTTTTTCTGTTCGATGTTGACTGCTTCATGGGTGCAACCAACCGGCCATACCCAACCGCGGCCTCCCGAGAATCTTGAGCGGACCCTCGGGATTTGACTTGACGTGAGAATCTGCGAAGGCGCAGAAACCAGGACCCGGAAGAAAGCATGGCGCCAAATTCTGGCAATCGGGTTTGAACAAGGGAATCGAAATTTTGTTTTTTCTTCATTCAGGGGAATCTATGCACAGGCTGTGAGATGTGCTCGTACATCCGAGAACCCTATAATTTTTTCGCTGCGTCTTAATGCAAAATCCACCCATGGATCGGAAACCCAGAAAACACCAAACAACCGCGTCGACCATTCCATTCGTTTAGATGTGAGTATCGTAGGGGATAGGAGTGATGGTCTCGGGGGTGGTGCCCTCGACGAGGTGGGCCTCAATGGGCTGGACGGCCTGGCGCTTGAGGTGGAGGTGGATGCCCTGCTCCTTGGCCTGGCGCTTCTTCTGGGCGTTCTCCTTGACACGCTTGATGAAGTCCTCACGGGAGCGGGAGTGCTTGACGTGCTCGATGCGGACGTTGACGCGCTTCTCGAGATAGCGGTTGCCGACAACCTTGTAGAGGAGGACACCGACGGAGGACTTGGTCACGTTGTAGACGACACCGGTCTTACCGTTGTAGACCTTGTAGGGCATACTGTTTCCAATGTCTCAGCAAAAAACGACCCATAGAAGAAAAACAAAAACCATTTCCTCCACAATTCAATCGAGACTTTGCGCGGGCGGGAATTTCAAACTGACCCCTTCTGAACGGCACCGTTGACCTTGATATCAACGATATCACCGACCCTAAAAAATGCATTTATATCAGATCCTGTTCAAAATATCCATCGTATCTTCGAATTCGGCGGGAGAAAAATTTTCGAGCGTACCGGTAGGTCTTCAGGTAGGTCGACAGGGCGATTTGGCCGTGCTCCTTGAAGTTACGGCTGAAGGCATACTGAAAAAAATCGTCAGCGCATGACTCCCGACCGAAAAGCGCATTTCCATCATGGTGAACATCGACATACCCGAGTGCCGGATCTCAAACCGTGCGAGTGACCCATGTCGGCGGTGTTGGTGGTGCTGGAATTGGGAACTTGTCGACAACGAAGAAGTGCCTCACTCTGCCGCCCGTAGGGTTGTAGACTTCTTCGGATGCTTAGTGCGCGGTTCTCCACCGCCCAGGGCTAACCCTTGCGCTAAGCTGATTCCGGCTCCACTCTCGCTCGCTTAGTTCCGCTCTCCAAAACGCATCTTCATCTTCTCATCTGTCGCCGACTTGGTCAAGCTTAGTGTGTTCGACAACCTCGCGACAACGCCCAATTTGCAGCCATGGCCCCCGTCCCGTGAGTATACAGCCACGTCGATGTTATGCGCTGTTTTCGAACTCGTCTAATTATCATGTTCTTTACAGTCGCGTCTACTCCAAGACCTACAAGGTCCCCCGTCGTCGTAAGTTTGCCTTGGTTGAAATGACTTCAGAAAAAAATTTTGAAGACCGACCAATGCTAATTTTTGCGCAGCTTTCGAGTCGGCTCGTCTGTTAGTACTCTCCGGCCACTAACCAGAAGCGTGCTTCTGGTTATGTCGTGTGTTCACGTCTCTAACCTGGTTGGAATAGTGACTCGGAATTGAAGATTGTCGGCGAGTACGGCCTGCGCAACAAGCGTGAGGTGTGGCGTGTCCAGCTCACTCTGTCCAAGATCCGTCGTGCTGCTCGGTATGCGACCCCGACCCCTAAGAGATAACAATCATCGCGGAGGATACAAAAAGAAATTGCGCAAGGAAACGGAATCAGAAACAGCAGGCTAACGGTTCACATCTATCTAGTGAGCTGCTCACCCTCGACGAGAAGGACCCCAAGCGTCTTTTCGAAGGTAACGCTTTGATTCGCCGTCTGGTCCGTATCGGTGTGCTCGATGAGTCCCGCATGAAGCTCGATTACGTCCTGGCCCTCCGTGTCGAGGACTTCTTGGAGCGTCGTCTGCAGACCTGTGTCTACAAGCTCGGCCTTGCCAAGTCCATCCACCACGCTCGTGTCCTGATCAAGCAGCGTCACATCCGTGTTGGCAAGCAGATCGTCAACGTGCCTTCCTACATGGTCCGCCTGGACTCCCAGAAGCACATCGACTTCGCTCTTACCTCGCCCTACGGCGGTGGCCGCCCTGGACGTGTCCAGCGCAAGAAGGCCGCTGCTGCTGCCGGCGGCGGTGACGGCGAGGAAGAGGAGGAGGAAGAGTAAATTCTTTAAACATGGAGTAAGGACGGGTTTCGCTATGGAACACAAAATTTGGGGGCTTCCTTGTGACTGCAGCATAGCGTATCATGTTGTACGATCATGCCATTCAATGAATCAAAATTTGGCCTTATGGCTACATTCCGAAACCCGAATACATGCTATAATCCTCAGTTCTGTAGTAATCCGTAATTGTCCCTGCCCCCTCCCCCGCGCCAGGCTATCCAGTATTACATTTTTGTATCCCCTTGAACCCCTCTGATAAGAAATTCCCAAAATAAGACCCAACGCCTTTCCCCACATTTTATCGTACATCGTGCTAGTTCATCGATCCCCAGGAGGAGTTATTCCCCAACACCCACTAGTCCCTTGAGCACCTCTTCGGCGCTTCTGTACCATCGTCCCATTTCCTCGAGCCTGTCACTTTCACCCTCCTGCTTCTTTCTCTTGGCTTCCCGCGCCTGGATCACGGCTTCTGATTTTCGCTTTTCAAGCACCGTGAGCTCCCGCTCTATAGTTTCAACCTCCCTCGTTTTACGAGGCAGAGTATTCTGTACCGCGGCAAGCTGCCGATCGAGTGCCGACAGTTCTGCCTCTTTCTCAGACAGAAGGTTCAACGTTGCGGGAAGTGGGAGGTTCTGCGACGACGATAGATCCATGTTCGCGACCTGCTTCGCGCGCAGACCCGCAATTGTGGATTCAAGATTTTCAATGGATTCAGGGAGTGTCGAAAGTTGCGCCATCTGGAGCTGAACGTTCTTGTAGCCTGTCGGGGAGTCATGATGTTAGCGATCTTCTTTCCTTCTGAGGCCGTCGCCAGGCAATTGCTGGCATTCATGCGCGGGAATAACTCACGCCTTGAAAGATCACGACCCGTCGTCTCCATTTCTTCGATCATCGCTCGCACTTCTTCTTTCCGGGCACGCAGCTCGGCTTTCACCTCTGCTGAATGCACCTCTAACTCGACATTCTCATTGTGACCGACCACAAGCGGCGGATCGCCGACGATCGCTCGTAGGAATTTCTCTTTCGTGACCTGTTCGACGTAGGAGAATCGGAGTTTCGAGAAAAGTTCCTGTTTTCCGGCCTTTTGTTAACTTCCTCTCATGGGGATCGTACGCGAACCAATGGAGTTCTCACCTTGTAATGTGTCAGATCGGCCTCGAGCGAGGCAGGCGTGGGATTGTCGATTGTAGAGACATCGGATTTTCGCTTCGACGGAGTAGGTGCTGAATTTCCTTCTGGAGAGAAGATCGGCTCGCTGATGCGAACAATCGCAAGATTTGTATCTAAATTGCCGCTGTCTTGCTCCAATTCCTGGAGTTTCTCCAGGATGTCGGTATGGGAAACGTCCGACATTGCGAGACTTCCGATATTTGCACGCAGTTCAGGTCGTAGAAAAATGTCAATGACTGCAATAATAAAAGGTTCACCTATAACATAGAATTGTCGTAACCAAGCGTATCCAAGAAGCGCCGAAGTGGGAGGGGAGGGAGAGAATCGCGTGTTGGCAGAATCGGCGGAGATAAACAAATGTCAGATGCGACCGCTCGATCGGCGCCGCAGGCGGTGAGACCAAAACAAGCCCGCTAATAATGACCCAGTCAGTTCTTTCCTCCTTACGTCTTGACTCTTTCTACGGGCTTAATGATGTGCTTGGGTCTCAGTTCTCCTGGCTGCATACTGTGACGGGTCATCTTGCTTCCTGTCAGTGTCTGCTATTTCGTTCCATTTCCTGACCGGACGCTTGACTGCTCTATCTTGTCATCTTCTCCACGGCACCGCAACCTGCCGCCACCCATCTTTGGCGATGCCTCCTAACGCAATCGGCGACGTCAACAACGATGACTATGTGGCTCAGGTGCTTGCGGGAGAAGCGCGGGATAGCTCTCTGAAATATTCGGTCCAGGGACTGGGTGCTTATATGCCTAAACGGTGAGAACTTTATTTTCTTAGCTTCCCCCGCGTTGAAATTGCTGAGCTGATGTATGGAATTATTTATAGACCTACCGGCGCAGCTCCTAAACCGAATACACAATTTTTACGTCATATCATCAATCAAACGGATAGTCATAATGCAGCCTTGAAGCGAAAGGAGGAGAGGGAGGCAAGGGAAAGGATGCGACAGCTGCGAACCCAAGCAATTGACTCTTCGCACGATGCCACCAAACCCCGTCATCGCCATTCTAGAACCGACGATCGAGATTCGCGACGTGAAAGAAAGGACGACCGTGATGAAAGATACCGGTCGCATCGACGCAGGCATAGGAGTCGTTCAGCATCCGAGGACAAGGAGCGTTCCAGTAAATATCGCCATAGACATGATACGGAGGAAGACGGCCATAGATCATCCCGCAGGAGTCGTCGACATCAGTCCTACTCTCGATCGCGAAGTCGTTCGCCTAAGGACCGGGATTCATACTCTCGCAGTCACCATCGACGATACCGACGACGTTCCAATTCACTCTCGCGGTCGCGGTCGAGATCTCCCCGAGCGAGGGAAAGTCGGAGGGAAAAGGACAGACACAGTGAACGCAGTGGCCGGCATCGCTCCCGTGAACGCGATCTATCTCGAAAACACGCCACCACTCGCAAGGAACCGTCTACCGCACCTTCTCAGCAGAACGGATATGATACAGACCCTCTGGAGGATTTGGTCGGGCCTCTTCCCCCGAAGGAAAACGGCTTTGATGAAAATGTACCACTTCGTTCCCGCGGCCGAGGTGCTTACAGACCCAACGCTAGCAACATTGATGCGCATTTCGCCGCCGACTATGACCCTGCACTGGACGTGCAACTAGAAGACGATGACGCAACTACGAAGAAGTCCAGTCGCCGCCCGGTCCCTGGATTAATGACCGGAGATGATGACTGGGAACTTGCTCTTGAAGCGGTCCGGGATCGAGCACGTTGGAGACAAAGGGGCGAGGAACGATTGCGAGAGGCTGGTTTCAATGATTCATTCGTGGAGCGGTGGAAGAGCAACACTACCTCCACAGCCGCAGCGGATGACTCTGAGGGCAGACTTGAAGATGTGAAATGGTCGAAGAAAGGAGAAGGTCGGGAATGGGATCGCGGCAAATTTGTTGACGATGAGGGTCATATCGATGTGAAAGCCTCTTGGTAGCCGGTTTACGAATTTACCTTAGCATATTATTTCGGGGTTGAGGCGTTGGGACTGGATTGTCCTTTGTTTTGTATCTACAAGCGAGGTTGGTGAGATGAGTGAATATTATAATGATGAACATGAATAATGAGGCATACTTTTACTATTTAGAAGGGTTGAGTTTAGGTTGCCTATTCTAACTACTTGAGGGTGACTTGGAAATATATCCCCGCAAAGCAAAGTTAAGAGTCCAACTAGCTAAGCCATAAATAATTTGCTATTATCCCAATTTAACCCAAAGCCACCTTGAGCATAAATCAAAAATCTCTGTATAATTCATACTACCACTATGAATCACCATAACCAAGTCGAACGTTCGTCATCGACGATGCCAAGACCCGAGCTGTTCTTATTCCGCGGCTTTGTCAGAGTGCGGAATGCGACATGGCGTTCGCCTCGTCCGCACCAAAATCACATCATACTTTGACGCATGAGGAATCTAGAAGCCACTGTGGCCTTGGGAATTGTTAATTGATTGATAATTATATTTAGGGCGAGCTGGGATTATACGGGTTCTTTTTGTCTTTGTATGATTTTATGCTTTTTTGTCTGATCTTGTCACTGACTAGCTAGCTACAAGTCCATACATACCTACAGCGGAGGTTACATACTGCTGCTACCTGCTTGATCGAATCGACGCAGACTCCAGACTACGAGAAAATACAGCTACTCAGATCCTCTATACTATGACGGACGCTTGGGCATTCACGTACCCCTCTCCCTTGGAGGGGTATGAGAACCTAGAGCCCCTCTCGGAGTAAGTTCTTATTCTACGGATACATTCCGCTACCTAAACCCTTCCTTGCCTGGAAGCAAGCCACCGAAAGCCCAAAAGCCAAAAAGAATACACCACCAGAGTCACAGTTCTATTTATAAACATATACTGACAATCTAAATAGCGAGAGAAACGAAGACGGCAAATCATTGAAAAACCCTCAACATGGGGTCTTGAGTAAAGCGTATGAGGAGTTCCCGGATCCGTTGGCCAAGGATAGACGTGGGGGGTTTGATGTGCATATTTATCATTTTCAGGTATGTTTGAGGTTTCTGCTTGTTTGGCTTGAGAGAAAGATAGCGAGGGAGATCCAGAGAACGAGAGAAAGAGGGACAGACAGGCAGAATGTCTAACAAAAGACCCGACCAGAATAACCCCGACCAAGTAGCCTACGCAAAGGCGCTCTGGGAACGAATCCGACGAGAATGTATGTATGCTGGAGAATTCTTCCGTCTCTCATCTCCCAAATCTAAGACACATTTACATGCCTGGCCACCACCTGAAAAGCATGATCTGCTCAAGCAAGCAAGCAGCCTCATCGCGCCTCGTCTCGTGGTCTGGTTGGGGTGATTCCATTCGCACCGATCCAGAACCTCGGAGTCTCGCGAGGGCTCTCGCTCGTCTGCATGACCCGTGATTTGCATCCTGCGCATATACTCCGTACATGCTAACCAAACCAAACCATGCAGTCCCCGAGCTGCGCATCTACACGTTCTTCGATCGACCGATCGGACCGCATCCCGTGGCCATGTTCGAAGTGAACCTGTTCACGCCGGCCCAGTTCGGGGCATTTGTGCCGTGGTTGATCCTGAACCGGGGGCCACTGAGTGCGTTGATCCACCCGAACACGGTGGAAACGGAAGAAGAACGAAATCATACACAGAGGGCGACATGGCTGGGGGAGAGGATTCCGTTGGATTTGAGGGTGTTTAAGTTGTTGCAGGAGAGGCAGAGGAAGGAAGCTGAGAAGAAGGAGGTATAGTACCTAGTTTTGTATAGAGGGGATGAGAAAGCAGGTAAAATTCAATCAATGATCAATGTTCAACTAGAGAAGATACTTAGGCTTAGATTTGCGAGTGCGACACTTGGATCTAAAATCGGAAGGAAAAAAAATAAACCACCGCGTTCCATCCGCACGATTTAAAACATCCCAGATCCCAAGGGTTGCAGTTACAAGGTCACCCAGACCCAGTTCATCACCCGCTCGGTCACAAACCATCCCAGAACATGAGTCCAGGCCGGGTGATCCCTGCAGGGCTGACTGACTCTGAAGGACCATATGGACAGCAGACAGGGCAGTTAATAATGCTACGAACACTCCGAATGAGAGGTACGACAGCCATCACGGGATCGATCGGGCATATCCGACGCGCAGCAAAGCTGACCATGTCGATCCCAAACCACGTTGGACGCTGCCCCGGGATCATTGGTCCTGTCGCGATCATGCTTATCGGCCTTCTGTATGGCGTATTTTCTCAATTCCCGCTCCCTGCTCGGCCCTAACACACAGTGAATTAGTTCCTAACTCACCGAGAGAATGTGAAAATGACTAGGGTTCGGGGCTTCCGATCCAACAACAATAGACAACCCTTGTCAAGGCCGATGAGGATCAGCGATATCCCCCCCTCTCTCTTGTTACTTCTATTCCTGCACGAGGCAAGTCGAGCCAGATGCATTGGCTGTGACACTTTCATCAGCTGCAGGTATGATGCGCAGATGCGAGATTAGTTTTTCTATTTGTCTTGGGTGGTTTTGTTTTTATTTTCTCTCCCTCAGCCCTCACGACAAGGGGGCATGGGATAAATGGACCCCACGATGGCAATACAATGGCCTGGTCAGGAGGTTTAGACCGATCGATGCTATGTAACCCAAGCCATCCTGGAAGGTCGAATTGCAGGAGAACGAGAGATAATCATGTCCCGAAGTAGATTCCTGGTCTTTTGCCCGTGACGGGGCTGGCTGGGGATTCCTCTTAAAAAGGGAAATGGTCTGTTCTGGCCGAAGGATTTCTTTTCTCTCGATCTTGTTGGAGACGTTGACGACGGAAGATTTGCTAGACTTTGTTTGGAGAGGGTCATGTAGGATTTCTTTCCTTTTCTTCTGTTCTATATTTGAGCTAGGTGTTGATATCTAACATATGTCCATGTACTAGCAAAGCAAAAAGATTGAGCACCCGCATCTATGGATCTGGCAGCAACTTCTCTGCCTAGCTATGTGCTAGACTACGGTAGGTCATGCTGGGCCGATTGACAATAACACCTTGCGCTAACCCTCTCCCTAGCACCGCTAATCTGGCTACACAGCGAGGACAAGTACCGACCATCCGGATTCGCCCAGCAGCTCGAATACACCAGCCCGCAGGTGGACTGGAAAGTTGTAGATGGAGCGCCCTCGCCGCTCACTCTCGATAACTTGGACGAGCTTAATGATCTGGGAAACACGAGCGTCTACCTGACGTCTAAAGAAGGCATTGATGCGGACCCGACGCCGTCGTGGTTCCTCGGCGCTGAAATCACGGCGGAGGGCAAGTCCGATGATGTCTCCTCGTCGATCATCGTGAACGACCACGGTGACGGCACGGTAGATGCTTTCTATTTCTATTTCTATGCGTGAGTGTGACATTCATGTAACGGAGAGAGAGAGAGACAGCATGCTCATCGAGTTTGAAGGTATAACCAGGGAAATACGGTCGTGGGCATGGAGTTCGGAGATCACATGGGAGACTGGTTCGTTGATCTTACTCAGATACCTCCATGTTGCGTATGTCTGATGAGATTGACAGGGAGCACAACATGGTCCGATTCTCCAATGGAGAACCCCAAGCCATCTGGTACAGTCAGCATGCCCACGGACAGGCGTTCAAGTACAAGGCCACAGAGAAGAAGGGCAAGCGACCGATCGCCTATTCAGGGAAAGGCACGCATGCACTGTATTCCATCGCCGGGTAGGTTCATGCTAGTTATCGTTTCGCCGCTCTGTCTTTCCTAGCTTCCTCACTGCGATACTAACTTCTCTCCGATCGTCGTATCCAGGAACCACGATCACGCCATTCCGCATCTGAACCTCCCCTTCGGCTTCGTGGTCGACACCACCGACCAAGGAACTCTCTGGGACCCTATCCTGAGCGCATACGCATACAGCTACAACGCCGCCGACCAGAGCTTCAAGCCCTACGATGACAGCTACCCGGTCAGCTGGCTGAACTTCAACGGGCAATGGGGTGACGATGCCCTCCCAGGCGGACCGGAGCTGTTTGGACAGAAGAAGTACGCCGGAGGACCTAACGGACCCAAATTTAAGACGCTTTCCCGGACCAAGGTGTGTCCGGATGATCCATGCGTTGAGCTTCCCTTCCGGATTTGGAGCACGATCAACTCAACGTCGACAACGGCCTGAGGAACTGGGACCTTGGCTTAGGACGAGTGGACGACGAGGTTATGTGGGAACGGGGTCCACGGGGTAAGGGAAAAGGGATGGCCGATTCGTCCGGTACGGACCTAACGGTTACTGTACAGGACGTGGGACATGGTCGAATAATCAGACAGATGATGTGGGGTCAGAGAGAGGGGTTGGGATTGTGTAACTGGATCTGATCTGTTTGTCCGAAGCGTTGCGTTAGTTAGTCCATTATTTGAGCTGCAATGGTAGAGGGAGGTCATTGTGGGAGGGGTAATTGTGATATAGAAGGAATTGATGGTTGATCCAGCTGTATCCTCCATCGTGGAGATGATTGCTCCATAAGCAATGCTCAAGCGAAGAGGGAGTCGAGAGTGGAAGCTAAAAGAAGACGGTTCTTCTCAGGGGCTCCTCTGTTTGTCTCTCTCTTTCCCTCTCGGTCTGGCACGGGATCAGACGAACCCCAACGGGACTAGCGCCGAGGTTCCTGAACAGCTGATCAAATGAGCCAATGAAAGAGGGTTGTTATTTGTCAGGTGGGACACTGCGCGGATTACCGTCACGTTACCTGGTCGGTGTTCCATTGTTTATGACGGGAGGGTTTCCTTTTGAATTTTGGTTGTACTGAGCATTTTGTCACTGTGTGGGTGAACAGACGATTGGGGTTGGAATAAAGACAGGTCATAGGCCATAGAGTCTCTCGCATCAATTCATGCATGCCATATGCATCACCATTACCTAGTGGGAGGTACCCACGTGTGTCTGGAGTTTTGATCATCGTTTATTTAATCATTTATCAGCGTTGCGGACGTAGTTACGGCGCAGGTACAAAGTAGGAACAAAGTACTCCGTACAAACTCTGTTCCATGGGATGGAAATGCAGACCTCCAACGTAATGATGATCCTCATACTCCATAAGGGACGTAGGTAGATAGTCACTGGGCACGCCACGATCTATCAGAATGCAGGAAAAGAGCAAAGGAAAGGCAAATGCCCACCTGTACAACCTTCCCTTGTTTGTCGCATTTTTGGCCCGACATTCCTTCCGCGTAGAGACCGAATGTTATCGAGTGTGTTACCCCTGATTCTCATGCTGGACATCTCGGCATCTCTATGATTGAAGGGAACATACTTTGTACCGTACGGACAGTCAATACGCCCGTCGAGCTAACCGGAAGCGGGGAGCGACAGTCTTGGAGGTCGAGCCCCCTGCAAACTGCCTTCTTGTCCTTTGCCCCTGAATCTCCATCTTCCGAGCGCAATACGGAAAAAATAAAATAAACATTCTCGAGCCTCTTCTCCGCCTTCGTCTCTGCTTGCAGCCCTGTGACAGATCAACCCAACGAGCACGAGCTGCGAGTTGTGGCAATAGAGAACGCCGGCTTCGAATTGAAGCTCCAGTGCGAACCCAATTGCTCCCTTCAAGCTTGCGCAATTCGGATAACGGGTCAGATGAATTAGGAGAGCAACACTTATCATCCTCATTATCCGTTGTCTGGTCGATCATCATCAATCTTAGAACGCCGTGCTCCTTTCATTTCATCTCAGCTTCCCCCTTCAGCCTGATCGTTTAACTTGGGTCTTTTCTTGTCACACCCTTTCCCTTCTAACCGTCTCATCCGAATGCGTCGCATCAGTCGGACGCTGTGAGCAGGCATTTTTACAACTTCTCCGAGGGCTGAAAGCTTTTATCTTTCCAGGAGAAAATATAGGAGCTCCCCCTCACACTGAATACCTTTACTTCAACTCTGCATATTCTGTTCCAATTCAGATTTCCTTGATCTTCCAAGCCGGAGACGCGGGACTGAGCTCGACCGAAGCTTGCTGGGCTTGTGGACGTCAAATTATCGCTAGGCGCATTCCCCCAATCTTATCGTCTCGGTGCGGTTGAGTGATCGCACGTATTCGGTTCAATCTTTCAGTTGCTCAATTGAGGCGAAAAAAGAAACGCGAACAGGCGAACGCATTGAATCGCAGCAGCTCGTATATTTAGCTAGATTGATCCCCAGCGCTGTTGGACACCCCCATAAACTGCCAAGACTGTAAGTGTTTTGCCATCTAGTTGGTTCTAGTGTTCGGGGATTTCGAGCAACCTCAACGCAAGAGAGCTGCACCTGCCAACGGACAAACCTGCGGGTTTGTATTGCAAGGCTTTCGTGCTGACTTATACCCTGCGATTAGCTAGGTATCATCTCCGATCATTCAGGGGAACGGATCGACTTGAAATTGCGCCAGAAGACAGCCGGTAACGCGGGAAGCTTCTGTCGGCGAAGGAATCTATATCTGAGACAACATTAATTCACTGGAACCCCACTTCTGGGCAAAGTACCCATCCGTGTAACAGCCAGTCGAGTGATTGGAAGGTGCCACCCCGATTTTCTCCCCCAATGTCGACCGCTTCATCTAGACCCCATACGCCGGGTTACCCTCAACCTCCTCCCGAACCCTTTCCTGAGAATGGTGATACCACCAAAGACCAAAAACGAACCTCGTCTCTCAGCTTCCTCCGTCGCTCTAAGTCTACCGACATTCTAGGTGAAAGAAAATCCTCTGGAAGCAAAAGCAAGAAAATGGGTAAACCACAAGCGACGGAAGAGGACATCCGTCGCCAGCGCGAGTCCATGGTCCGACAACCTCCCCGTCTGCCCGATTTCGCTCCTCCCCCGGTTCTCGAGACATTCGGTGGTGAAGAACGGCATGATACCGTCCCTGCTCTTTCCAGCCAGAACTTTCCGTCACAGCAACAGGCCCGCAGCGCCGTGAGCACCCCCGTAGCCTCCGAGAACGACCCCTATGCGCGTACCGAGAGCATGACACATCGTGGACGGTATAGCTACGCAAGCAGTGCTGTAAGCACCGTCAACAATCCACGCAGGCTGCGTCGCCGCAAGGATCCGACACCCTACAAGTGAGTGGTTCGAGGGAAGGATTGGATCGGAAGGAGCATCAGACGCTAACATATCTCCCAGTGTCCTTGTCATCGGTGCTCGCAACTCGGGAAAGACCTCATTCCTCAACTTCCTCCGAAACTCACTGGCCATGCCAGCTCACAAACACCCTTCTCGCACTCAGGATGAATTCAAATCCTTTGATCGTCTAGCCCCTGCCAACGAAGGCTACTCGTCCCATTATCTCGAAACGGAAATCGACGGAGAACGTGTCGGACTGACCCTGTGGGACTCGCAAGGATTGGAAAGAAACATTGTTGACATTCAGTTGCGTGGCGTGGCGGGATTCCTGGAAGGCAAATTCGAGGAGACCCTGAGTGAGGAAATGAAGGTGATCCGCTCGCCTGGCGCGCGTGACACACATATTCATTGTACTTTCTTGATCCTTGATCCGGTGCGCCTAGACGAAAATATCGCTGCCGCCGAACGTGCCGCCCAAGGAACATCCAAGTCCACTGATTCTCCCGTGGTTGGCATCCTCGACGAATACCTTGACATTCAAGTTCTACGCAAAGTCGTTGGTAAAACCACGGTCGTCCCGGTCATCAGCAAAGCTGACACTATTACATCGACCCACATGTCCTACTTAAGGAAGGCAGTTTGGGATAGTTTGAAGAAGGCCAACATAGACCCTCTCGAGGTGCTCGCTCTCGATGAACAAGATGAGTACACGTCTTCCGAGAGTGCCGATGAAGAAGAGGAGGATGAGGTTGATGAGTCCAAACCGACCGAGGATCCTAGTGCGGCCATAAAGCCCCCCGGATCCCCATCCGCTCGAAGCCAGAGTTCTCGCAAATCATCTGGATCCCAGGCCGCCTCCCAGCTTCTGCCTTTTACGATACTGTCGCCTGACCCGCACTCGTTGAAGTCCAAGGAGGAGCCCGTCGGTCGAAGGTTCCCCTGGGGCTTTGCTGATCCTCACAACCCCGAGCATTGCGATTTTCTCAAATTGAAGGAGTCGGTGTTCAGCGACTGGCGGGCTGAACTGCGTGAGGCCAGCCGCGTGATCTGGTATGAAAACTGGAGAACGAGCCGTTTGAATCGCAATGGCCCTAATGCTGCTGCTGTTGCTGCTCCACCGCAGAAGAAGAAATACAGTGGCAGAATGGGTCCCCTCTGAATGTAAGGGGTCTCAAGTACCGATTCATATTGCGTCATGTCATCTTGCCCGCTTAGACGGCTCATTTGAAAAATTTCCATCCCTTTCCTTTCCCTTTTACTTCTTCATGAAACAGATGTCACATCCTACTTTTCGTTCCACCTCTCACATGCCCGAGATTTGCGGTCAGGAATGCCAATCCGAATGTCGGGATTCGAAATGCAACGGAGAGTGGGCATGGGTCTCTAGTTATACGTTTTCCTCCATTATGCAATCTTCTTATCTGATTTTCACTTGAACGTGGAACGATCCCAGGTTCCACTCGGAACAACTTCAGACTAGTCGGACAGCCGTTGGACTGACGACGAGAGAGAAAGAACACTTCTTTCGAATACTGGCATTCCGTTTGTGCGCAGTGAACCCCACCGGCATCTTTGGATTTTCCCTAGACTTGGACACTGTTGTTTTACGATTTCTCTGCAAGCTTAGTTGACAGAAGCGCCTGAGATTATTATACCACCTAGCGTACTAATTGCGATATCACTGTCGATGCTCCAACGTCTCTGTTTAAGGACCGACTCGTGTTGAGCGTATCCGATGGGCACGGTTATCTTCATGTTTTCTTTCCTCTAATTCATCTCATCTTATCATTCTTCATGTGCGACCTCTTTCGAGTTTCTACTTCCATTCCATGTATTCCTGATCCCATTCAATTCTCTTTCCTTTTCTGTCGGAATAGGCAGTCTGTGTCCTGGGTGTGCCTCTAATGACTGGTCTCGAGCCCACGTTCTATTATTTCCTTTCTTTTTTCCCGATTGCTTCCTAAGGGGGTTTCGGACGATCAAGTTGTGAGCATGGAATCATATGCTGTTTTTACTTATCAATGAATTTCTTCAATCCGTGCGACTACCGCTACCATTTCCCCAGTAGATTGTAAAATTCGTAGTTGAAGGGTACCTTTACCAAGATCTCAACCAGATGTGCTTAGTAAGCGGATAACATTTTGGCCAAGATCTCCCAGGCCATCATCTTCATCATCTTCATCATTGAAACTCCATCCATCATCATCTCGGGCCATATAAGGATGTACTCCTCTGCCATTTTCGTGCCCAATCCTTGAACGGCATGACTAGTTACATGTCTTCTTTTGGCCCCATCCGCCAGTTGCACGAGAAGAAGGCTGCAACGCTCAATGCAAACCACCAAGAGACGAACAATCGAGCAAATAAGGCTGAAGGAATGCGCGCGACCAATGAGCAGACGTGTGGTGGCTGAACTTGCCGCGAAGGATGGAGTCAAGAGTGCAGGGATTGTGCATTTTTCAAGGGCGCGCCTGGTGGACTGGTGCGACACCGTACTGCTAGGATACGAGGCGCTAACGCAGCAAAGGGCCCAAGCGGAGGTGGATTCAGCTCCCATGGCAGGTCATTCGCGAGAAAGCTGACCACTGGACCAGACTGACCAGGGGCAGTCCAAGGAATTTTAATCGATCTGCCCGTCAGCTTCAATCCTGAGACGATGCGGCTCCTCGACGATTAATATTGTCGCTCGCGTCCCGGGACTGTGGTTCCTGCCATAAATAATTCAGTCAGCGCGTATTCCGCTGCGAGTGACCAGCGTGCCTTTTTGGTAGTCTTGTTCGATTTGAAGTTTCGTTTCCCCTTTGACGCCGACCCCTCCGACGATCAGTTCGTTCATCTCTGCTTATCAGTCTGTTCGCGCTTGCTCAGCTGCCCAGCTGCCCTCCCTCTCCCCTCTCGCTCTCCCGGGGCCACAAACCCAAAATTTTGTTATTTACTTGCGACCGGCTCGCTTTTCGGATCGCAATTTTTATTCATCGCCCGTCCACCTTACCTCGTCATTTTCTACTATCGCAGGCTCGGTCGCTGTCTTTGGTCTCTAAGCAGCATCTAAAATACACTTGTTGTCTCGTTTGAGTTCATTGCCACCCATGTCACTCCAGGTCGGCGACCCACGGTCGCGCGGCCGTTCCACAGGCGGCCGCATCCGTGACCGTTCCCATTCTCGCGATAGTAGACTGCCCTCGCCAGGACCCGATACTACCAGATCCTCTTTTCTAAACCCAGACCTCGTGCGCGAACACCTGCGGACGCGCTCCAGGAGCCGAGGTCCGAGCACCAGTCGCGGCCATCGCAGCAGCTCTCGCTACCGACCTACGGGCTCGGACTCGGACCACGATGACCGAAGCTACATCCTGCGCCCCGAACGAAACCGCGACGACTATTATCTCTCCGATGCCGCGGAGAGTAGATCCGCGAAGCGCAGCAGCAAGTATACGCGATCGCCCAACCTTCGCCCCGTCCGTTACGATGACTCTTCGGATAAGTCTTTGGATTCGGAAGATGACGCCCTTGCCTATGGAGATATACCGGGGAGAACGGAGCGTGATTACTACGGGTATGGAGCGTCGCATCGTGCATCTTCGTCGCAAGTCGAGGCAGCGCAGATGTCCGGGGCGTTGAATGCGGATCGGCTCTTCAACAATGGCTCATCGCGCGCCGAGGAAGAGGTTCCGGGTAGTCATCCCAGCTATGCTCGGCCTGGGCCGTACAAGTATGCGGTGCCCTCCCAGTACGCGCAGGCGCAGCCGGCTTCGCAGTCGAACTGGGCGCCGATTCCAGAGTGCGAGCGACCGGGCTTTGTACCGCCGACGTCGCAGGCAGAACAAGCAATGCCCGGTGCCTTCCCCCCAGCGTCGACATATCCGGAGCTTTCTTCGCCCACCGTAGCGGCCGGGTTCCCGATGCCCCAGTATGCCAATCTCGAAGGACAGCAGTACGCAACGCGGGGTGGTCGCCCTCTTTCGGTATCTACCATCAACGCGTACACACCTTCATTGGCATCTCCGACCCATCAGCGCCATGCATCTGACACCTCTGTCCCGGGTTATGCCAAACCAACCCCTTACCAATATGCACAGGTCGACCCTAAGGTCAAGTATAGCTCCAAATCCTCGTCCAGTGCCGTGCCATATTCCACGCAGCCCCAATATCCCAAGGCTGAAAGTAGTCAAGCCCAATATTCAAATATCCGGTATTCTGCAACGCCTCAATTCTCCAAGGCCCAGACCAGCCGCCAGGATAACGAGCCCCAGTTCGTGGAGATCACCCCAGGAAGCAGGAAGGGGAACCGTCCGACAAGCCTTTCCGTCTCGTCGGCCAACAATCTCTCAGTTGCCGGTCCGGATCCAAATTTCCGACCGGTCAGTCCTCTACAGGAGCCGTACAAAGGCACATACCAGAGTATCTCTCCCATGCCGTCACCGATAGTCATTCCTTCTAAGCTAGACGAGGATATCTCTGACCTAGAGCCGCTGGATGGCGGTTCCGATACAAGTGGCCGGAGGAAGCATCGGAGGATGAAGTCCAAAGACGAGAGAGAGCAGAGAGATAAAACCACCGATCGCTCTAAAAGAGACAGTAGCCGCGTTCGACACGAGCGTCACGACTCGGATAGCCGACAGGCGCTTGTGTTGATCTCTCCATCTGCCAGTCGCAAGAAAGTTTCCTTCTATGACGTCGGTCCCGATGCGGTTGCCATGCAGGAAGCTCTTAATAGCCGCAGTATCGATAACAAGACGATCATCCGCGTCTTGCCTCATTTGACTAGCGAGGAAATGCTGGAACTTCGCAAAGAGTATAAGAACCACGTGAAGCTGCACGGCAAAGGAATCAACCTGGCCAAACACATTCGGCTGAAGCTGGGTAATAGCGCTTTTGGCAAAGTGTGTTACGCCACGGCGCTAGGCCGCTGGGAATCCGAGGCATTCTGGGCCAACTGCTATTACCAGTCCAGTACGTCGCGACGGGAGCTTCTGATCGAGTCGCTCTTTGGTCGCAGCAATAGTGAAATCCGAGAAATCAAGGAGTGTTTCCGTGACTCCCGCTATTCAGACAGCCTGGAGAAATGCATGAAGGCGGAACTGAAAGCGGATAAATTCCGTCTGGCGGTACTGCTGGCGCTCGAGGAGAACCGCCAGAGTGAGCGGGATCCTCTTAATATGGATCTTGTCCATCGCGACGTCGAGGAGCTCAACCGAGCTCTGCTTTCGCGGAGTGGTGGCGAGACCGCAATGATTTACATCATTGTCCGCCGAAGCGATTCGCATTTGCGGGAGGTCCTTCGTGCCTATGAGAAGGTTTATAATCGGAACTTTGCTCGGTCTATGATCTCTAAATCGCAAAATCTTGTGGTATGTTTTCTGCGAATTTTTTTTCTCTTCTATAAATGAGTGATCCCTTGACTAACAATCCCTAGGGCGAAACACTTGCCCACATTCTCAATGGAGTTATCAATCGGCCCATGCGTGATGCACTTCTGCTTCACCAAGCCCTGCGAGAGTCGCGCACTGGCAAAGAACGATCCGAACTATTGATCTCTCGACTGGTCCGATTTCACTGGGAACCGCGACATCTGGACCTGGTGAAGACCGAATTTCGCCGGCGGTATGGCGAACGATTGGAGGAGGCGATTGCAGAGGAGGTGCTACCGACCAGCGGCGGTACCGAATGGGGCGAGTTCTGCATTGAGTTGGCGCGTAGCTCGAAGACGCTTATGAAGAGGGCTTGATAAAACTATCGGGGATGGGTTGGGGCGGTATGTATGTGTACTGTACATGCATACCTGCTTCCCATTGGATAAGCTTTTATGATTCATGACTGTTTATGCATCTAGAGGAATGAATCGGAGTTGTTTGGACCGTGTATTTACTTTATCTTTGCCTTTTCTTTTCTCTCCTAATTTTTCTGGATCTAGCTTTCCGTTCGCTGGTTGGTGAAATGGCCCAGGAGTTGACATCGATTGATATCGTGGATTATTGTTTGATATCCGGGGATTACAAAAATATTTCGGGATTATAGGTAGTATCATGTGAGCATGCTTTACTTTTCTACTTTCCACTAATCTTATTTAACTAGTCGAAGACAGGAAGGAAGTAAATGGGGGCAGTGAGTTGTCGGGTTACATTTTTCTTGTCTTTCCTCTTTGCGGAGTGCAGAGTGCGAGGCGAGAACTTTATGCCGTGGGCTTCAGAACTTTCAATCTGTTCAATGACCCTTGCACACTATCAGAAGCCAGATCGATACCAACTGAGCCTACTCGCTTCTGAGGTCGTGGCCGAACTGTTTGTTAAGTCCGCAGAAGGCTCCTTGCTTCTCGATAACAATGACAACTGTACAGTGTACACTTCCCGGCACATGCAAGGGGAGGGATGCGATTTAGACAGGTTTGTGTCTGTTCTCTCCTGCACCAAAGATCCAGATAGGTAGGAATTCAAGAAAGTGTGTCTGTCCCAACATGCACCAAAGTCAAGAAAGAGAAAGAGGGATTTAAATTAGCGAAGTCACCTACATAGTCGGTCTCAGGCTATTGACAGCACATCCTGTCGGTGAACTTGAGCCAGCTCAACGAGGCATATATGCGAATACACAGCATAAAGTGCATTGGATACCGAGCTAAGGAGAATACTAACCGACGTGGTGACTTGGAAACCCACTGACCACCCTCCAGGAAACGTGAATTATGCGTGGAGAGAAAAGTAACTCGGAAGTCGGATCGGAACCTGGTACCTGCGTGGGAAATGTGATGATGGTTTTGTCCCTTGGCCCCTCTTTTCTTGTTTTTTGGTTGTTGTGGAACCGTGAGATTGATTGTCTTGGGTCGCGGGCCTGATTGGTCATAGGGGTTATTTTCTTTTCTTCTCTTCTTTGGAAGTCTCCTTATTCTTATTTTATTGGATCGATGGGTCGATGATCGGGTATGAAGGCAGGTATTAGGACTCCAACTCGTTTCCATGTCTCCGCTCATCGTCGTAGGTAAACTGCGATCTGTGGGAAAAAGTGGAGCGGATCGGACTTCTCCAACCTTCAGTGTTCAGCCTCCGCACTTTCCGTGGTGGTGATCATTTGGATTTGAAATCGATCATGCAGGTCGAATCGCACCCTGGTTCCTGAGGAGCTTGGGCTGGTCTGGTCACTGGTCATCGGTCACACCGCAGGAGTTCCTAGTCGAGAGGGTCGACGGAGTTCTGTGAAGGAGGATTTCCGTCTCACATGATGGTGTCACAGAGTGTGGTCATACCGAGGGGATTTGAGTTGACGTATCGTGGGTAGAGAAGAGAAGAAGGAAAAAAGAGGGGTCGAGATGATCAGGGAGATGCCTGGGGATGCCTAAAGTGCCTGAGGAAGCGATCTCGAGTCACCTGCCCGATTCGGCAGGTGCTCGTGGCTTCGCCTTTTCTTCTGCTCGGATTCATCTCTTTGCTCTTCATCATGACCGCTCTAATGCAGCATTTTACAAATCATCGTTTTGAAGTCCTTCGCTTTTCCCGGTTTTATTCCTTGTCGTCGCTCATTGTCATCCAATCGCCGCTCGTTTCTATTCCTACCTAATATCCTAGGCAGTCATCCGTGACTACGCAGTATAGACTAAGATTCCTTGGCTCTTTACCTCATATCTTAGGCGTTTCTTTTAAGCTCCAATAGTCGACAGAGGTGGATCAAGACGCAAAGTTCAATTACCACCCACACTACGCCCCGCGTCCCGCCCTGTTGATCCGATCATCCTTGGCGCCTTGACTATGTTTATCACGCTGCCGTGCTAGATGCCCTTCATGCTATGCTTTCCCTTGCATGGTAAATCATTCTCCCCCATTTCCTGGGTCAGATTATTTGGTATCGGCTCCTCGGGTATATGGCATATATCTTGCACGAGACCCTCCCCTCCTCTAGAGGCTGGTCGGTCAGACGACACTCGGAAGTTTTTCCATCATACATATTCTTGCATTTCTTGACTCGCTTCTAGATTTTAACTTGTCTCTTACTAAAGTTTTGTCAATCAGCTTTAGTCTCCCGGTCGAATTCTTCCCGGGCCCCTGGAATGCAGACTCGACCAACTATATAAGCGCTCGTGGCATTCCGATAAACATTCCGCGTCCCATTCCTGGTGTTTGACATCGCCAGCTCCTCTGCTTTATTTGTTTTTGTGCAGTGAAGAGAAAACAAACACTTGCCAATTATATAAAGTTTCATTTTTGAGGAAACAATGATTCTTGGTTGAGCGTCAGCCCCCAGTTCAACATGATCTTCCCGCTTCTTTGCATCTCGGCCGCATTCCTGGCTTCCGGGACAAATGCAGTGTCGACTTTCACTCCCGCTAGACCTCCCGCTATACCGCTGGCTGTGAAGTCCCCATACTTGAGCACCTGGCTGCCGACAGGGAAAGATGGTGGAAATGGAGGATACCTGGCGGGAGAATGGCCGACCTTTTGGGAGTGAGTGGCTCTGGTCTTGAAAAATCGTTGAAGGTGAGTATTGGCTAAAGAGCTAACTCCAATACAGAGGCCAGATCAATGGCTGGGCCGGTATGATCCGCGTCGATGGTCATGTTTACACTTGGATGGGAGGGATACCAGGAACGGCGATAGTCAACCAGACAGCCTATGAATACACGTCGACAAAGAGCATCTTCACCTTGTATGTCAATGACACGGTCCAAATGAATGTTACATTCTTATCACCAATCACGCCGGACGACCTGCGCAGACAATCACTCATATTCTCTTATCTTGATGTGGACATCGCTTCGCTTGACGGCAAGGACCATGACGTGCAGTTGTACGCGGATATCTCTGCAGGTATGTCTATTCGTGCCACCAGCCAGCATAGAGGGAGCCCCAAGTGCAATGTGAGAGTCAGTCTAGAAATCCGTGTCTGACTAGATTGTAGAATGGGTGTCAGGAGACCGCAACGCCATAGTGGAGTGGGACCACAGTGTCACCAAGAACGGTGTTTCTTATCATAAGATCAATCGCCAAACACAATTGCTATTCTCTGAGGTCAAGGATCAGGCTGAGTGGGGTGACTGGTACTGGGCCACAGACAGCGGAAATGGTCTTACTTATCAGTCTGGAGCCGATACTGCTGTTCGGGGCGCATTCACCAAGAATGGGAAGCTCGATAACTCAAAGGATACCAACTACCGTGCTATTTCGAATGACTGGCCGGTCTTCGGCTTTGCACGCGATTTCGGCTCGGTGAAATCGGCGGGTGCACTTTTTACCATTGGTTTGGCTCAGAAAGAAGCGATCCAGTACAGCGGTAGCTCGGATGGAACTATTGCAGAACCTTCACTATGGACAAGTTACTTTGACGACGGTCAAGCTGCGGTAAGTGCTACTATGGCATACTTGAATGAATGCCGGTCGCTCATCCAGATTGTGTAGCTTGAATTCTTCCACCATGACTTTGCGGAGTCGACTTCTCTCTCATCCGACCTGGATAAACGGATTGCGACAGACTCTTATGCTGCAGCTGGCCAGGACTACCTGACCATCACGTCTCTCAGTACCCGCCAGGCATTCGCTGCGACACAGCTATGTGGAACAACAGAGAATATGTACCTGTTTATGAAGGAGATATCTTCGAATGGCAACATGAACACAGTCGATGTCATCTTCCCGGCTCACCCTATCTTCCTATACACCAACCCGCAACTTTTGAGCCTGTTGGTGAAACCACTTTACGAGATTCAAGAACGTGGCAAATATCCTAACAGATACGCGATGCACGATATCGGAAGTCATTATCCTAATGCAACGGGCCACCCCGATGGTAATGATGAGCCAATGCCTCTGGAAGAATGCGGCAACATGGTGATAATGGCTCTGGCATATGCACTCAAGGCAGGGGATTCGCATTATCTGGATCTTCATTACAAATTCCTGAAGCAGTGGACAGGGTATCTGGTAGAAGATGCCATCTACCCGGCGAACCAGATATCTACTGATGACTTTGCTGGTCCTTTGGCGTAAGTTAATTTACCACTGTGGTACAGGGTACAGAGCTAACGCATTTTACAGAAACCAGACCAATTTGGCCTTGAAAGGAATCATTGGTATCCAAGCCATGGCTGTTATTGGAAACATGACCAACGATTCTGAAGTTGCTACCAATTACTCACGTATAGCCCATGATTATATCAACCGGTGGCAGACGCTGGGAATTGCCCACGATGCAAACCCACCACACACTACGTTGTCGTACGGATCAAATCAATCCCATGGTAAGTCTATACTTCTGGCACGAGATTTAGCATGTGCTGATTTAGCAGGACTTTTGTACAACCTCTACGCTGATCGAGAGCTTAAGTTGAATTTGGTTCCTCAGTCCGTGTATGACATGCAGAGCGAGTTCTATCCCACGGTACAAAACACATACGGAGTGCCACTTGATACGCGGCATGAATATACCAAGGGTATGCTGAATTCAAGAGTTTGTTTGGTGATTTGATGCTAACGTGGACAGGTGACTGGGAACTGTTTACAGCGGCCGTCGCCTCGAAAGACACAAGGGCCATGTTCATTCGGCGACTTGCGACGTGGATTAACGAGACTCCTACGAACCGTGCCCTTACCGATTTATATGATACAGACAGTGGAGAGTAAGTTGCTTCTATCTCCTTATTATTGAAACACCGAACTAACAAATCAGTTATCCTCCAATAATTTTCATTGCCCGTCCCGTCATGGGCGGTGCCTTTTCTTTAATCCTTCTTGACCAGGGCCTGTGATTTGAATGGCCGTCTTTTTGATTCAATTCTTTGCTGTAGATTAAAGCTGTGCAGGTCACCAGCAATAATCCATATTTGTTGCCTTATTGTTATCCATGGTCATTGTTTAGACCGGGACTTTTGTTGCGAACTACCCATTGGTTTATAGTGCATTCGCATTTAGCTTTTTTACCCCTTGCACTGAAGGAACTACGTGGTTTATTGACACGAGCTCCAAGCTTCACCCAGCAAGAGTAGATCGCATACTAAATGAAAGGTTTTCTTGACTTGTCAAAAAATGCATCGTCTATACTCAAATGACGCTTAATCATCTTTCCTACGTTCAATGCATCATCGCCATTCATCCCATAGTCTTCATGTACACTGTCTCGTATATATTGTGTCTGAGGTTCATAATGCGAATGTCCCCAGTCGATCTAGTTGGATCTAGAATCGAAAGAGCGAATAAGTTCTGTCAAGTATCGAGTCAGTTTTTCTGGTCTTCAAATTTCGCAAGTCCACGCAGATACGCATTAAAATTCAGATAACACCAAGAGAGAAATACAAAGAGAGACAGTGAGAACATCGATAGGGAAGGCAAAAACAAAGACAAGAAAGGAAAAGAGAGACATACCATAATAAAGCACCATTCCCTCCAAATGCACATCGATAGCAATCCGCTCATCCACCGTATGAATATTCAAGGACCGTTCAGCCCGTGATGGGCTCCACCGATAGATATTGCGCGACAGGGGCCAGTAGAATCGCGTATCCGTGTTCCCGGTCATGATGTCTCCGCTGACGACGACCTTCTTGCCCTTGAGGCTGGGTACGGACTCGAAGACGGAGCGAGTCACGCCGGCAAAGCGCGCCCAGACGGAGTCAGAGTCAGCGTTTGTCGGGCTGACGGGAGCCGGGGAGAGGGGTTTACTGGGGGTCGAGAGGGTGAGGTGGTTGAGGTAGGGGGCGGTGTTGTTGGCTTGGTCCTGGTCTTCGAAGGCGGACCAGGTAAGGTTATGTCTTTCGACGATGGGGCCGACGATGCGAATGGCGCGGTCGATCACGGTCTGAGGGGTTTCGTGCAAGGCGACACGGTAGTTGACGAGCGCGGAGATCGTCTCGGGCAGGGCGTTGGATTTCACGCCCCCGTTGAAAATGTCGGCCGCTTGGGAGGTTTGGAGCGTGAAGCGGACCTTGTCGCCGCGGGCGGCGGCGACTTTCTCGGCGAGGGTCGTGGAGTCGGAGGATTGGAGGGCGGAGGCGAGCCACGGTTCGACTTGCTCGGGGGAGTGGCGGACTTGACATTCGAGCTTCTTGCGCGTCGGGTGGTTTTCGTCTAGGGCGGGGATGAAGAGGTCTTGTCGTTCGAGCTCGTAGATGATCTCGGAGACGATCCCGATGCCTGTGTGTGCGGGGGGTACCGAGCTATGGCCGCCGGCGATGTGGAGGTCGAGAACGATGTCGAGGGCACCCTTTTCGCCGACGCCGGGGAGGGCGTAGACGACGCTATCGTCGTCGTCTGGATCGCCGATGATCTCGAGACCCATTCCGCCTTCGTCGAGGATGAATTCGAAGCTGTCGTGGCCGTATTTCTCCTCGAGGAATTTCGAGATGGAGCCGGCGCCGAGGAAGCCGTGGGATTCCTCGTCGAAACCGAAGGCGAAGACGACGCTGCGAGTGGGCTTCCAGTCTTGGGCTAGGAGGTCTTCGAGGACGGAGAGGAGGCCGATCAGAACGTTCTTGCAATCGCTGACACCGCGGCCCCAGATCCATTCGCCGTCGAAGTGACCCTCGAATGGAGGGTATGTCCAGTCGGCAGGGTCGTTGATAGGCACGACATCCTGGTGAGCCATGAATAGTAATGGCTTGAGGGAGGTGTCGGTGCCATTGACGGTGAAGACCAGGCCTAATCTGTTGATGTGGTCTACGCGAGCCTGGCGGTGGCTGTTTACTTCGTGTTAGATAGGTGGGTAGCTTGACTAGAGGGACAAGAGAAAGCATACGCCAAGGGGAAAAGCGATTGAAGGAGTTCCTGAAACTCCACAAATGGGGCGAATGCCGGATCATAGGGGTCCTTTGCGTGGTCGGTGACAGTGGTAGGGACCTGAACGGCTCTGGATAGACGATCGGCCTGACGCGATCGGAGACTATCATCCTGAACGTAGCGCAGAGGAGAAGCTAATCCATCATTAGGTGAGTTGATCTTTGAGGGCAGAGGGCAGAGCCCATTGTCTTGTTCTGTCCAAGAGGGGAGGAATTGCTGCAAAGGAATGCTCAGAGAAGAAGCCGAAGGTAGCAGGAATCCTGCAATGATGGGGGCAATTGGACGCATGACGGGTAGTCGATTTGAAAAAGCACACAAGAGAATGCAGATCTCGGAAAACAACCATTGCGAAATGAGCAAACGGTCCCAATTTATGTTGTCTGGTTATCAGCGGTGCGTTACTCCGCACGAGAAGCGGCCTCGCCAAAGGACATGATTTGACAAGTCGGCAAGGAAATGGTGCAATCGGAACCAAGGCGGATTGACCCGCAGACGCCATTGGATCGAACTGCCTGTCCAGGAAGGTGTCAAAGCCGATAACCTCACGAAGCTTATGTTAGTTAAAGCTGCCATTGCTTTTGGTTGGCATGTGGCATGGCATGGCAAAGCTGGGATGAACCATGGAGGATGAAAGACCGGCACTCCAGTCATAGTCGGGGTTCTTTGCGACGACCATGGATCGGCCCAGCGGCCGAAACACACTCCAGCATGAATTGGGGAGACGTTTCTTCCCTCGGAGATATTTCAGAATGGGCTGGCCAGCAATGCCAGCCAAAACTGAGTGTAACCAGCTGGAAGTATTTTCCAGATACCTCTAGGCGTGATTAGCTGGCACAGAACAAGAATTGCCACAGAGCCTCTATTGCTAGATGTTCTTCCTGCCGGGAAACTCGAAACATTGTGATCATCGGATGCTGACGTTTGGGTTTCAGTTCCGACTGAAGAGGTCATTTGATGTCTTGATGGGGTCCTGCAAGGAGGAGAAGCCGATGAAAGGGAGAGAAGCAAAAGGAGAGGATGGTCGCAAGAGGAAGAAAGAGGAGAAGCAGTCAGGTGCCGGTCCCGTGACAGCATCCTCATCTGTATGACTTCATTTGGCGTACCCTGCGAGTCTACAAAAGCTCTGATATATCCCACCATCTAGTTTTACTAAGTACATACGACCACAGGGTGTGGAGAACAGGGCTTCCCGTCCGCTCAGCCGTACTTAAACCACACGCCGGCAGGTTAGTAGTTGGGTGGGTGACCACCAGCGAATCCCTGCTGTTGTATGTTTTTGCTTTCTTTTCTTTTTGACTCGTCGGGTTTAGCGCCCTTGTTGCCCTACCTTCAGCCTTCCTACACCCTGAGTTCTCTGCCTGAAGGCTGTCTAAAACTCACCTACTTCCCCGCTTGCTGACGTGTCCCGTTGCAACGGATTAGCAATAGCCCGTAGCCATAGTTATTCTGCGGAAGGGTCAAGTTACCCTCGTATTGTGCGGTGACGGTGAATTACCTGAAGTGGGTTAGCGTGCCTAATGGGGAAGGTGCTTCACTACACAAATGGTCTATAGTTAACTAACGTAAGCGCGCCACTCACATAGACGTAACAAGCGCCGACGCACTATCCCTGCTTATCTCGTGTGTAGATCAGCAGAACTACTAACCATGGCCTATAGATCAAATCCCGATGCCTGTATTCTCGTTACTCGGCGCGTCGCCATCGATATAGACTGCCTGTTGAAACAATGATGGTATTAATTGTCTCCCAGTAACGCAGCTCGGATACCTGTGATTGGACCGTACGCTTGAGCCTGGGCTCAAGACCTGCTCACAGAACTCGCGTCTGAGGCTATGGATGTGCAATACTGAAGACAGAAAGTACATGGCGATCCTCAAGGAAATGGATATAAATATGGCTTCAAGCACCGGCCTTTGAGCTAGATAATCAAGCAGCTTTGAAACAAGACAGTAGGCAGGTATAGAGGTATTCTGGACGAGATCGTGTGGTTGACGCAGAGTATTAGCCCCAGAATCTCCTTGCAATCAATTGTTTTTCCACCTCTGCTCCTGTTTGACATAGTCTTGAGATCCATTCCAATTGCCTATCACGCCTTGAAGCCCTCAACAACATGCCTTACAATTCCACCAACAAGAAGAACTCTTCGGCGACTCCATTATCTCCCACCATATTGAAGGGCAGAAAGCCCACAGCGCCAGCGCAGCCCAGAAGTGGGACAAGTACCTCGCCAGTGGCAGCCAGAAGTAAGAAAAGACTTATATCTGAACATGAAAATGTTTAAGCAATGTGCCGAATAGCACTAACTTCTCACTATCAGGGACAAGAAAGACAGATACCGCGATATGGCGAAGAGCAGCGAGCACAAGAAGGCCAAGAAAACCTGGAAGGATTTCAGAGGATGATTCGTGGCGCTTTGCCCCAGATATCCCGTAAGGACATGTCGCTCGGAACAAGTTCTATCTTATACGGTCGATATCAAATCATCCTCTTTTGTCCGACGGAGACCTTTGGATTGAACGACAGCGGAGGGTGTTAGTTGGTGGCTGGTCTATCTCACTTGCCCTCGTGTACTTGTCATCTGTATTGTTTTCTTTATCACTGTTCCTGTTTCGTCGTCGTCGTCGCTCTTTTACTGTTATGAATTGTCGCGTTGCTTATTAGTTTGAATTTACTGAATTCCATGCGTTTCGCCGAAAATTGGTCGATTACACTTTCAAGATAATTTACGGACGGTCAGTCTTAGAATTGTCAATTTAGTTGGAGCTAAAGCTAAGATGAGGTCAAACAATGTTGGATTGAAGACGGTTATGCATTTGACATGTTGATTTAAGCAGCCTTTCCTGTTGGGATGCTGAACAGCACCGCAGGCTCGCCATCCTGGTATGCCCTGTCAACCCGGAAGAACCCAATACGGTCAAATTGAATGATATTATCTTGCGCAAGGCTCGTAACGTTGCAATCAGCCAAAGCTTCGGTCAAGAATTCGGTCTTGGGTGTCAGAAACGAAAAGAGATCATCTTCTTTCTCAAGTTTGTCCTTAGTGATCAGGTAGTCAAAATCGAAAAGACGGACAGGGATCATATTTGGTGTTTCTTTTGCCAGCCAAGTCACCTTCTTCTCTGTCTTTTTAAAGTCGCCTTCAAGGTGGAGCTGTAGTTCCAATTCAGAAATCATTCCAGATTCGTTCGCAGAGACCCGAGTGACGATCGCGTTGCCCCAGTTCATAAGGGTTATTTCCTCATTCGGTTTAAAAGATCTGGCATCCTCCTGGCTGAACAGAATCTCCCTAGAATAATATACCTTCTTCGTACCCAAGTCTGCATTCTTGTTGTGTTTTGGCTTATCGGCAGTACTGGTCTTATCGACACCATGAATGATTGCAGTGACGGCATTATCTTTTGGGACGGCGGTATATCGAGGCGCGACTGAATCGATATATTTCTTATTGGTGGCCCAGAACAACGACCAGTCAAAATTAATAATATTTTGACTAGGTCCTTGTCTCAAAATGAACTCTCGCAGTGCGGGCACTGTCATTCCTCTACGCCTTATACCACGAACGGTGGGCATTCGAGGGTCGTCCCAGCCCCAGACGACGTTATTGTCAACTAAGCCCGTAAGTTTTCGCTTCGAAAGTACCGTGCGAACGAAATTGAGACGGGAGAAATCCCAAATCTGAACAGAGCGAATTTCAAGAGCTTCCTGGATCCAGGAATATTGTGGGTTTCGATCACGATACTCATTAGTCCGGAGCGCGTGAGTAACACCCTCCAAAGAGTCAAGGAAAGGAGCACAGAAGTCATATGTTGGGTAGATCTTCCAAACTCCCCCTGTCCGATGATGAGACTGCAGGTTGCAGCGATAGATAACTGGATCACGTAGACATTTCACTGGGTCATCAACAGAGATCTTGGCGCGAATACACCATTCAAGACCGGTACCAGCTTTCATCCTTTCAAAGTAGGCAAGGCTATCCTCAACACTCAGGTCCCGATTCACACTAGGGACTCCGTTCCCCCGCTGATCTTTCATAATGTCCTTCGGCGTATTATCCGCATACGCCTTGCCTGACTGAATGAGTTTGATACAACCTTTATACATCTGTTCAAAGTAGTCGCTGGAATAGGAGATTCGATCAGGCTGAATTCCGAGCAATGACAGATCCTCTAAAATTGAGTCTTGAAACTCCTGAGACTCTTTTGAAGGATTAGTGTCATCAAAGCGACAGATAAGAACGCCTCGCGAATCAGGGCCGAGGTACTCGTGGGCGAAATAGTCGTTTAACAAAGCTGCCTTGGCGTGACCAATGTGAAGATACCCGGATGGTTCAGGGGGGAACCTCGTAACAATTCCATTCTCGGTATTTTTTAGGCCAATATTATAGTTTGCACCTGCGGCACTTGCTGCGGCTTTTTTCTGTCGTGCTGCAATGCTAAGCGCTGTAACAACACCGGTAACCCAAGGATTGGAGGCTTCGATGAAGTTGAACCAGCGATTGATGTTTCTATAGGTTTGACGAAGCTTTACGGTCACCTTGTTTCCACGGAGAGCACCCCAGACCATAATATCAGCTAAGGTCAATGAATAGCTAACAATGTAAGAACGCAGGCTGAGGTGCGATTCCAGTTCCTTGATAGGTCCGTCCAATGATTGGAAATCAGGAACTGCGAGGGCTACTGAGCGTTTCACCCATTCATCAACCTAGTAAATTATTTAAGATATATTGGAAGCTCACTGGAAGAGAATAGCTAACTGACCTCTCTTTGGCCTGATTTTTTCGGAAATTTAATCTGATCCATCAAGTATGGTACCACAGAGCCATCAACAATAAGGTCGCCATTACTAGTAGTAAGAATGACTTTCTCATTATTTTTGCCAAGAGAGTCCACCTCCTTGTACTCGATATTAATCGGGTTTTGAGGACTCTCTTGCACGATGTATGTTGACGCAAGAATGGTAGGAAGGACCAAGCCACTGTCGGCCTTGGAGGCAACTGTAAGGGCAGCCATGTAGATGAGACTTGGGGTGATTCGAATGCAGAGCGTCTAAGCTTGGATAGGTAGGACTCGTGCCTTGGAAACGATATATCACTATGTAGGGTTCGATGGCCGGTAATTTTGCCTTGGATAGAGAGACGCGGGGTAATAAGATAGACTCGAGGAGTCATTCAAGGCTCAATGTGCGGATCGACACCGGCACGGAGGGACATAATATCATGTGATACGACATCGAAATGCGTCATAGAGTGTGGTAGTTCGGAGGGCTTAGCAGGAAATGACTAAAGCGCTGAATTACGTGATCTCCACCGATTCAATGTCCCTCAGATGGGGTGCCGTTACTAAAAAGTTGGTGGTCCTTACCAATTCCCAGTAACTAATTAACTATCCAGGTGCTTTATTAGTTAAGCAATCCAATGCCCCGGCATTCTAATACTCAGATACTTTAATACTTCGATATTTGCACTCTTATCCCACTACAATGCTCCTTAGCGCAAGGCTATGAAGCCAATATTTCACACGGCAAATTATCCAAGTCAAAATTGTTATAATGACTGTATGTGATGCGATTGCCTGCATCTAGTAGACTAAACGAAGTTGCTTCTGTTCATGTATATTTCCTGTGTTTCAAGATTCGGAGTACAAGTAATCTTATCCGTTCCTTCATGACTTCATTCTGTCCCTTTTTTCCCTTCTCGCCATTTGAACTCAACTCCCATTGATTGATGTCTTGATCGCCACGCGATCATCGCTCATTGAGCCTTGCCCAAGGAACCGCCGCCTGTCAAAACCAAGCATTGAATGGTTCCTGGCCCACTACCCCAAATAGCCATCGATAGTCCTCGCGTGGTGGTCTCAGAAAGCAATAGTGCGCCGATCATTGACATCATCGGAGCGATGACCTTCCGGAAGAATTGAAATTGTTTTCGCCAGCCAAAATCGAAAGTTCTCCCGAAAGGGGACGCTGATGATGAAACGCCACCTCGATCCAGCAAGGGATCACCCGAAACACCTTCGACGTGGATCCGTCGATCGTCCAACGAACCATTCGGGAATCTGGAGAATACAAATATGTTTCTGAACCTTGTGTCTCGCTCGCTCTGGTTCGTTTAGCTGCCCCTGCAACAAATTTCCCGATCAACATTCTGTCACCGTTTTAACGCTGCTGATTTTTGCGTCCGGTCCGGTCCCAAGGGGTTGGTTCTTCTAGCTTCTCAACAAGGCTTTGCCAGGTACTGCCTCCATTTCATGGGGGCTAGCTCTTGGGGGCAGAATATACCTACTCGTCTTATTTAACTAGGGCTCACCCTGTCTTGCCCGGGCCCCTCACCTCTACGCTCTAACTTGTGAGACTGCTGCTCAACTTTCGTCGCTCTTTTTTTTTCAAACTTGAAACACTTTCTCGAACATCAATCGTGTCCTTCCACACTCTTTGCATATCAACCTTCCAAAATGTCACGGAAGATCTTCGGCCTAGGCCTGTTCTCGTTTCTGGCCTTGTCGCCTTCCCTCGTTTCGGCGTTACAAAGTGAATGTTACAGCAACATCGGTGATCTGAAAATTCACATGGGCTCGACCTATCAATCATGGGGAATGTGTCAATCGCACTGCGAGAAATACGACTACAGCGTATACGGCGTGAAAGCCAAACAATGTTGGTGCGGCGACAAACTACCCCCTACCAGCGCAAAAGTCCCCAAGAAAGAGTGCAACGAGGCATGTCCTGGATATCCAAGTGACAACTGTAAGCCTTACTTTTGGCCCCATCTCCCCTATCAGCCTTGAGCCACGCGACCAGCGAGGAAAAAAAAAAAAAAAAAAAAAAAAAAAAAAACAAAAACATGACACTTCGCTAACCCAAACCCTAGGTGGAGGTGATGACGTCTGGACTATCCTATACGACTCGTCAAGCAACCCCGAACACTCCAAAGCCCAATCCTCATCATCCGAACCGAAGTCCTCGACTACCGAACCCAAGGCCACTCTGAGCGTGAACCCCAACCTCGTGGCCACCGGCGCAGCCACCCAAACCAGCATCCCCAACAGCATCCTGACCGCGCCCACGACGGCGCCCAAGAACGCTGACGTTGCAGAACCGTCCGCGCTCGCCGCGACGCAGGCATCTTCATCGTCCTCGTCAGCCTCGTCTAGCGCGGACCCCGAGAGTTCGTCTAACGGCGCTGCGGTTCCCGCTAGCCCGGCTTCTGTTGGGTCGGTTGTGGGGGCGATTCTTCTACCATTGGTGCTAGGGTCTGCCTTTTAATTAACTATGGAGATCCGCTGAGGCCCGGTAGTTGGATTTGCTTTTTTTTTTTTTTCTCTCTCTCACTATCGCTCAGCCTGAACTGGACTACTACTTTTGTCTTCTGATAGGATAGGTAACTAGTCTGACAATGGTCTGACGATGTTTGACGAACCGGACGGTCTGCGCAGTAATGTTGACTAGTTGGTGGATTTTTGTTGGTGTGTGCGTGTGCCTGACCGACCAACTCTTCGTTTGATTCTTCTTTTCTTTCCCCTTCTTCGTCACTCATTCACCCAATTTTTTTTTTATCGACAAATTTTTTTATTTTACCCATGTACAATATTTATGTCTGTGGCTTGGAAATACGATCCAAGACCTTCCATGCATTGGCGTGTTCCGGTATTTGGGGTCTGAACTTCTGAAGGTGCACGATGAACACCTAATTGGGCCCTCCCCCTGCTAATGATTCACTTTTTTGTGTTCCTTTCAATCCTTTGCCATGACTTCTGGAGTTGGGTTGGGTTGGATGGGGGCTTGCTTGGAATTGCTGGTTTGATTTCAAGTTTTTGAATGGATGGATGGCTTGGATGAACTTGTTGTGTACTGTACTTCACTTTCGCTTTTTGGTGTTTGGTTTGGAGATACCCACGATATACACTCGCTTTTACTTATAGATTAAACCAATTTCAAAAGGAAATTGAAACCGAAATCATACAATTAACCAAAATTGAGTTCCATCTAGGAGGATATAAGAACCATGGACTTCGTGATCGTTGAAGACACTTCAAGGCAGAAGGCAGAAAAAAAAAGCAAATGGAAAACAAAACAAGTAAAAGAAAAATTTCAACGCTTTCCAACAGAGCAACTCAGGGGTATCAAGGCAACAAGGAATCATGCTATAGTCAATAGTCACGCTGAAATGCTGACGTTAGGACCGATCGATCCGAAGGTTAAATAAATAAAAAGCAAGTAAGTTGGGTAGCATCCGTCGATACTCCGCATGGGGGCGATCGGTTAGTTGTCCGGAACGATAATGCCCATGTTTTCGAGCCTAGCCTTGTCCTTTTGTTTCATAGTTACTTTTTCCAAGTTCTTTGGGAGGGGTTGTCGAGCCCTGGGATATTGTCAGTTATACCACAGATGATAGGACAGAAGAAGAAAGAAAAGAAGAGGAGAGAACTCACCGGAGATATTTGATCTTCAAGTTCCGCGCCCGATCCTTCAGCTGAACCTGGTTTCGGCCCTCGATTATCTTCTCGCCTGGTTTCTCGGGCTGCGCCTCGTTTTCTTGTTCTATCAATGCCCACTTACAGTCGTGGTCCGAGATGAGGCGGAGCAACCGTTCGTCTTCGGCCGGTTGCCAGCGCGAGCGCACATGTGACTGATTGGTAGAGGAGGGCTGTGAAGAGCGATACGGAATGGTTGGCGACCCTCGTCTGGCCTCTTGGTTTTCCCCTGGCATCTCAGACGCGGCTCGCGTATTGTCATCTGTCGTGGTTCTCTGACGCTTGTTCGTGGGCTGTGCTGGCTTTTCTGCGCGTTTGCGAGAGATATCAACCGTGCGTGCGTCCCTCACGAAGTCATTCCCACTTTCTTCATTTCCCTCCAGATCGTCCGACTCTTCGCGTCGTCGCTTGTTGGATGGTTGAGGCGCAGGTTGTGCTCTTTGGGCGCTGCGTGCGCTTACTCCGTGGCTAATTGGCGAGACTCGGTGGGCGTTCTCCTGATGATCGATAAAAGTCGCCCGAGGATGTTTATCCTTTGTTGCCTGGGAACTAGAAGCGACGTGTTTTTGGGTCGCTTGCCATAACTCCTGATCGGAAGGAAGAGTTGAGGATGGATTCACAGGGATGCTTGCTATAGAGTCCGTCCGTTGACGCCCTGGCCCGTGGCTGATCCTATTCCCGACAGGAGGACTGTGGGATCGCTCAATCTGAATTCTCGAGTTATCTCCATCGAGAGTGAAACCAGTATCATTGATTGTCAGCGATTCCCCGTCTTGGGGCACGAAAAGAGGACTGTCCATATGGGGGTCTGGCATATCGGCAGGCTCCACTGGCGGTGCAGGTACTACTGGACCTGCAGTTCTAGATTGGGAGGCGGCGGGCAACGCGTTGCTTTGATCTTCGGATACGAGAGTGTCACCTTCGGCCTGTGGTGAAGGTTGCACGAAGTCAGACCGCCGCCTCTGTCTTTGCATTATGCGGTCGATGGAGGACGCATTCAGAAAAGAGCTTCGAATTGTTAGCAGACACGCTCGGATGGGGGTAAGGTTTAGCACGCACGGTTTTGATTTACGCCGCTCTCGGTTTTCAGGAGCAGTCCTTGGCTCTTTCTCAGTGCTAGGTTCTTTCTCATGGCTAGGCTCTTTCTCATTGCTTGAGGGTTTCGGAGCACCATCATGGATGGGAGCTTCCTCGGTCGGCGATCCTTGATCATTCGATGTTTCCGGGTCATCAGGTCCGGGTTGAACGTCCGATGTTCTCGATGGCATGGGGGGCTTTGTGAAAAGCGGCCCTTGCATGCCCGAACCGCCAGGGGGTGCCAATTCTCGTAGAGTGCTTGATATTCTTAATCTAGTTGGAGTTGCCGCAAAAGGCGAGCCTCGAGCAGCCATTCTTCTTTGATTTTCAGCAGCAACAGAAGAGGGTCTCGCGCTTGCTCTTCCTGCAGGACTCAGCGTTGCTTCGGAGCGAGGAGCTACACTGCCCATCTTGGATCCCGTTTTGGGAGTCGCAAAATACTCATCCTTCAGGTCGTCCGCCTGCCGCTGTCTGTTCAGTTGTTTGTCAATCTCATCGTTGCGTTTGCGAAGCCATTGGGCAGCTTTCAAGGCGAATCTTGACCATCGGAATGCGCTCTTCAACTCATCCAGCCCGTCCGATATCACGACTCGCATTTCGTTGAAACGATCATAAGCAGCGTCTCTATAGCGCGAAGGAAGATATCCGTCTGCACCACCAAGGTTGTCCAAGCTGAAGCCTCGGAGTGGCGCCTCGCTGCTATCGTAAACGTCTTCGTCAATTTCATCCACGAAGAATGCCGATTTAAGAATGGCATCAGGATCAAAACCAGGGTCATTCTGTTGGTCCTCCATTGATGCAATCAGATACTGCGTCCTGATTTCCAAAGCAAGATTGAAAGTGTCTTTCCCAAGGGAGCTTTCACCCACTGTCGTTCGCTGACCGTCATGAACAACGTTGTTCATAAAGACAGACGGAAACACGCCTTCAACATGTTGAATGGCCTGTCTTGGAGCGTCTGTCTCAGCTCGGGCCAGGAGCACCTCGATGGCAAACCGCGCGCAGTTTGCCTTTTGCACACTGAGATCAGGGGTCCAATCATTGGCGAGTCCATCGCGCTTATTTTCCAAGGCCGAATAGATCGCCTCGCTGACCGTTTCGGTGTCTATATATGAGTGGCTACCAAAGTAGCTGGCTTCGGTCTCAAACTTAGACTTTGAGCGCGAAAGACGCCTGCTCTGCGTGTTCTTGGGATCCGCCAGCTTCGCTGCTAGATTGACGATGCTGACCGGGTCCGTAGATGCAGGAACAAGCAGTTTCAAGACGTCTCGCGCGGTACGTTCCAGGTCCGGCAGAGACTCGAGCATCATCTCGGGATCAAGGTTAGTGTCCGGCTCCGAAGGGAGAATGGTGGTGCCGGAGATGTTGGCAGCATCTTCGGGCGAGTCCAGCGCAGCATGACTTTCGCGACGAGTACCACTCTTGCGAGGCGATTTGGCTGGCGATCTGATGGGAGATTCTTCCACAACAGCATCGAGACCTAGGTATTGTGGCTGTTTAGAAGCTGTTTGTTTGTAGATTTGCGGTGTGGATACACCAGGTGGACGGACCGATCAAGAAAGGCACAAGCAAGGTAAAAAGCGGGAAAATACAAGCCAGGAGAAATTCATGAGATGGAAAAGTAAACAATGTTCAAGTGTGCACCCGTAGGAAGCAAAAGCTCTCGGATGCGACCGTAAACAATGAGGGGAACAAGTGGAACCAAGCAACCAAACTTACCCTTTCCGCTTCTGCCCATGTTTTGTTTCCATCTCGGACCATTCAACGAGGGCCGACCGGTGCCCAGGCCATTCTCCAGGTCCGAGTTATCAGGATCACGGCTCTGGCTCCTGGTAACGCGTCTACGAGGTGGACTCAGTGCAGCTGCCTTTGGGTTGGAGACGCCTTTTATTGATTTCAGCGTAGACTCGTAAGGCCTCGTCGAGCCAGAGCGCGACCGAGAGCGAGCCATCACGCAAGGCGGTCAGTGGGGGGCTGGGGGACCGTCAAGTGAAGTGGAAATGTAGTAGAGATGGTCTCCCCGGTGCAGAAATCGATGGAAATGTGATGATTATGATCCGGTTTGATGGGGAAAGGCCGGCGATAGACGACGAAGCCCCTGAACGAAGGGCTGACGGAGGAGCGAAAGAAGTTTCGTGGCGGTTGGACTGACCGCTGCCTTGAGATAGGGTATCTGCTTATGTAAGCTACGTTCATGCCTGAGGCATAAATACCCTATACTAAACCCTACGGAAACCCTGATTAACGGACCACTTGACTTTCGGTACTCTGACAGTCTGACTTGCAATCCTCTGCATCCTGGTACTCTGCATTTTGATGCCACCGACTAGTGAATGCACAATTGGCTGCCATAAATTATTGGTCGATGATTCCACATCTATAATTGATAAGCAATGGGTAATTACTAATTAGTCTGCAACGCCCCATGAGCCAAAAGCATGTTACTTCCTGAGCCAAGGACTTCCTGATACGGACTTGACTTCCCGATACGGACTTCCGATACGAACTTCCTGATATGGAGGACCCTCCGGTAGTGTGACGGTCTACAAAGGAGCTTAGTAAAAGACAAGTTTGTTTATGACTCGTAGTCAAGGAAATTTCCCATGGAGAGGAAAGGCTATCTAGGAGCGAGGATCTAGGGCCTCTATGTACTGCCTGAGGCTCCGCCTCAGGCAGGAATGCATCCAGGAAGGTTTCTCCATACCGGGAAGTTCCCTGATTTCAGGCGGTAACAGGTAGTACATAAAGGATAGATCCTCCCTCATAGATAGCCTTTCTTCTCCATGGGAAAATTCCTTGACTACGAGTCATAAACAAACTTGTCTTTTACTAGGCTCCTTTGTAGACCGTCACAAAGCATTCCAGCACTTAACCCGCCATACACGATGCTATACAAACTCTAGGGGAGGCCACCCGCTGTATCGCTGCACGACCACCATCCAGCTTCCAATAAGTACGATAGATCCCTATACTGACACTAGATTACCGAACAACAAATTTGAGAAATCTACCGCTGTCTATCGCTGGTTATCTTTTTCTTTACAACAACCAAAGAAAAAAAAGATGGAAGAGATAAAAACTTTCACAATCTCATTGGCTCAACATACAACCCGACTAATACCGCAATCAACTACACGATAGACTGATAGTTATAGGAAAATCGACTTCTGATGGCAGGGAGATGGCAGGGAGCCGACTAAGCTTTCTTATTCATCGAACACCCTCACGGACGCTACAGCCTATCTGCCTATGAGTGATCTAGGGGAAAAAAGACACTCTGTACAGTACATCGACGTCGCGATTTACCCTTCGCGGACGTTTAATAGGCTTGGCAGAACGATGCGACACAGCGAGCGAAAGACAGAGACTTTCTCCGAGAGTGTACTGGACAGTTCAGTTGCCCCAGACAACATCACCGATAGGGGTATCCTTGATATAAGACTTGATGTCATCGGCAGAGTTCATCCAAAGGTTGGCACCGTTGAAAAGCTTCATATTCTGGTTGTAGAGGCCAGGAATCTGATAGGTGGTGCTCGGAGAACCAGAGCCGGAACCGGAGACCTTGACTTGAGCGCAGCTGGAGTGAAAGTTGATCAAGTTAGCTTGCGTGTCCGTAGTGCATGGAATCAGGTTAGCGGACTGGAAAATCCACAACTGACCTGTAGAAGAACTCGGCCTCATTTTCCTGAGCACCATGGAGACCCACGTGCTCGGCGCGGACGAGGTACTCGCCGGCCGGGGTGTCCGCAGGGATCTCAAACTCGAACTGCGAGTCGCCGTAGGTGCACCAGGCATCGGTGGTGAGGTCGCCACTCTCCTTGCACAGAGTCTGCTCCCAGACCTTGAACCATTCGCCATCGCCCTCGTACTCCTTGACGTTACCGGAGGGTGCCTTGGACATGTCTAGATGAGGGAGATTAACCTATTAGTATATGGAATTTCATAGAGGCCGTACGTAGCAGGTGGACATACAAACTTGACCAGGACCAGGGTGGGCGATAGAGCCATCGTAGAACAGCTTCATGCCAATGGTGTCGCCAGCAGCGACCTCCGCGACCTCGGTCTTGCCGGCATTGCTGAACGAGCCCAAGTTGCAGCGGAAGTCGTTGTCGTTGGGGGTGAGATTGTCAAAGGTTTTGGAGAACTTGGTCGGCATGTAGTTTTCGGCACGAGTCGTCTGGCGAATGTATTGCCAGTCATCGGACGCCACGCCATCCAAGACCAGCTTGCTGAAAATGTAGTGGGCCGAGGCAGACTGAGCCAGGGTAGCGGCAATCGCAACAAGAGCAGATTGCTTCATCTTGACTTAATGAATGAATCAGGCAAAAAAGAAAAAGTACTCAGAGAAGGAGGGATGATAGAAAGAACGGTGAAGGTCTACACCAGGTAGAGCTCAAATAAGACAGCAAAAGAGTGTAAGTGGAATGATGAATGGAAAAAAAAATCACCACCACTAGAGTAGCTGACACTTTTAGATGTCCATCTTGTACCCAGACTCCCGGGTGTATTCCTGAGGCCCACAAGTCCATCTACCTGAGGCAAGATAGCCGCTGGGCGACAAATGATACTTTGCAACATTGAAGGTTTCATAATACTGACATGCTTTCTATACAGGGAACGGACTTCTGCGTCTTACAGGATCCACTAGAAAGGGAATTAACAGGGTCTGCTAGTGTGCTATACTAGAGTTGTTAGTCTTACTAGCTCTCGGCGCGTAGCATCGTTGCTCCTGAGGGACTTGCTCATATTGGAAAGTGATCAGTGGATCACGCCGCTATAGTGCTACTCTGACAATGCAAGTACAGCCTGACAGATCAGGTGTAAGGTGTATTGAGAGTCGTGTTCAAAATGATGGGCAACTTTCCAAAATGCCTAGATTTAACCTACATAGAGTACAAGAAGTTGGGACGGCCTGGTTGGATAGCTGACCTCTGATCGAGTGAAAGCACCATGGGGCCTGTCACGCCAAGTTACCACAAGCGGAGCCGGGGTATAATGCCTCGTTTCCTGCCACGGCGCTGCCGTTCGTAGAAAAGACTAAGACGTCTTGTAAAGCTAAACCATTTAGAAGACGCGGAAGTCTAAGTTGCGGCCCAGCCCCGTAACATCAGGAGGGTCTTTGCTTAAAATTGTCTGCCAAGAGAGAAGAAATCCATTAAAAGAGACAAATTGGACTGGATGTTACGCTGCACGTTAGAGAATGTCTCAGGGGCTGTTCACCGAGAGTCACAATCGTCAATGCCAGTGGGAAAAAGCTGTGTCGGACGGGTTCTTCAGGATGACCATCTTGGACAATTTGATCGGGGTTTAATAAGAAATCTTGCCACTTTGAATAGATTATAGTAATTTTATTGATTTGAGATCTATTTTTAGTTTCTTGAAGGATAATATGCCTGAGCTATCTGGAACAGTAATGAATCAACATGATGTAGTCTGCGGAGAAAGGAACGAACGAATCGAGACCGTACCAGAACTAGGTAAGTAAATTCCCATGAAACCAGCTCGGCCACTTTAGATTAGCGATCATTTGGGCATGTATTGACAAAACAAAATTTTTTTTGGTGAAGGATTCTTCGGAACCTACCGCCGTGGAAGCTCTCAGTCCACGGAAGAGACAGTCCGCGGAGCAGTCAAATGAACTATGCTCCACTCCTTGGGTCCCTGTCGAGGGTCCAGCATTTCAGCCCTACTGAAGTGTTCCTCTGTAATAAAAACTGACATGCTATTAGCTAATTAGGCCGATAGAGTTGTAGGTTATAATCGAGAATCGGCAAAAAGAGGCCGTCCCATCTGCCGAGAGATCGGCGTCTGACCCAGTCTGTCATATCGCCATCAATGCGAGTCTTCGTTAGGATAATGGAAAATTGACATTGCTCTACAGTACCCAGTCCACTAGGATGCTGTTCCTCCATATCAACTCGTAGCAGCGTTGACCGTTCGAATATGAGAGTGTGTTCTAGCAATATTATACCTGATGGGGAGGTCTTTCCTTCAAAGTCATCGCTATACAAGCTGATAGTTCGCTCAATGCCTAGTTATTTAGCACACACGCAAGTAAGTATCGGATGCTTATTACACGGCAACAATGCGTTGTCTAGAAATGCCAAAATCAACGACTCGGCCACTGCATCACGTTAAGGATGGAACGAAGACTCTCTAAGATCAACCTAGAATTCAATCTGTCTGAAACCTGTCTAGTGCACAGCCACCAGTGTATGGATCCCAATGAAGGCTCTAACTCGCTCCTATGGTGACCATAGACTTGGCGAGTCTGAAAGTCCTGTTTAAATATGGAGTATGGAGTATGGACAAACACGAGCCAAATCTTGCCCCGAGTGGATCACTCTGGATTAGGTCGGTTTAGCTCGGCCAATTGTTTCGCGAACCACGATTTCCTCATTAATAAATTAATAATATATCAACCAAGATTAGGCTGTTACCGTGTTTCACTAGTAGCGTCCCCACTCCGCTGGGCGGAATTCCGTCCGTCCAAAGGATATAGGCCCTCTAATAGGTGGAGAGAGACTACCTACTCAGTATCTTGATGATCGTCGCTGTCCAGAACCCTCAACATACTGTCCGGATTTTAGTAGGAAAGCGACGAAGGAGTCTTTTTTCTTCTCTCTTTCTTCTCTTATTCTTCATATAGTTGATGATCACTATAGAATGCTTAGATAGGTTTGTCCTTTTAACTCGTGGCGACGTAGATTGGGCGAAATGGGGTCATTAAGTATCGTGTTCCGAATAAAACCCTGCGTATCCAGGTTGTCTTGCCTGATTAGCGCAATCAAATCTTCCCTTTGCCAGAAAATAGCCGGGAAAAGTGAGTGATCTACCGGAGGAACCTCCGGTGATGAAGGAACGCCACGCTGCTACTCTGGCTAGGCTGGCATCTCGTCTTCTGGTTCTCGAGGAGGGGTTGGTTGGCGGAATTATCAGTCTTTTGCAAGGTATTAGGTTTGTTTATCGAGTTGAACGAGTATAAATATAGGGTTGATTGCTATTCCAGAGACTTAGGATGTTCTTTCGTGTCCTTGTCAGACGTCTTAAACCCCAACTCATTTTGACAAATAACCCAACATGCGAGGTTTAATTGTCCTTATTGTTTCGCTCTGCCTCCGATCTGTCGGCGCGTTACCAGCCCCTGGCCCTCAGCCAAACGACAACCTCGTTCGAAAGGCCAGCCTCCCGACTAGTTTTCAATGGAGCTCCAGCGGGCCCTTGATTGCGCCTAAGAACGACAATTACAACATTGCGGGAATTAAGGATCCCTCAATCGTTTACCACGGCGGCAAATATCATGTCTTCGCCAGCACTGCCAAGGCATCCGGTTATAATCTTGTCTACCTCAGCTTCTCCGACTTCAGCCAAGCCGCCTCCGCGGAGTTCCAGTACCTCGATCAGACCCCTATCGGCACGGGGTATCGCGCCGCGCCACAAGTATTCTACTTTGCGCCCCAGGAATTGTGGTATTTGGTCTATCAGAACGGTAACGCCGCATACTCGACCAACCCCGACATCAATAATCCGGCGGGATGGAGCGCACCCAAGAACTTCTTCAGTAGTATCCCCAGCATCATCTCACAAAACATGGGCGACGGAAACTGGGTAGACATGTGGGTCGTTTGCGACACATCCACTTGCCACCTCTTCTCGTCCGACGACAACGGCCACCTCTACCGTTCCCAGACATCTGTCACCAACTTCCCCAACGGCATGGGGAGCACCGTTATTGCCTTGCAGGACTCGGACCGCTACGCCCTCTTCGAGGCAGCCAACGTTTACAGCACCGGAGATGGAAAGTACCTTCTCCTCAACGAGGCCATCGGCAGCGACGGGGCGCGCTATTTCCGCTCCTGGACTTCGTCTAGCCTCGACGGCAGTTGGACGGGCCTGGCAGATACCGAGGCCAACCCTTTCGCTCGGTCAAATAACGTGAATTTTGATGGCAACGCCTGGACGAAAAGTATTAGTCACGGGGAGATGGTCCGCTCGCAGGTGGATCAAACCATGACGATTAGCACATGTAACCTCCGTTATTTATACCAAGGAATGGACCGAATGCCAGCGGCGATTATGATGCGCTGCCCTGGAAATTGGGACTCCTGACACAGACTAATGCGGAGTGCTAACTGGATCTGCGGGAAATCGGTCTCGCCAGCATCTGATCAAGCGCGTCGATGGGATTCGAGGTTGAATTGCTATGCCACTAGGTAGTTTTCTTGAACCCTGTGTACTCCGATCTATACCTTCACTTCCTTGGGCTCGGCAGTATCCTAGACGCTTGATCTGGGAAACCCGAGCGATATCGTTTATGTAGTAGTTTTTATTTGAGTGTCTAGGCGGCCGCCAGTCCTGGCTTTTTAAGGAGATGCATTGACCCATGAAGAATTCAGTGGTAGTCTGTTAGAGCTTCTAAGAGAGGCCCATCACGGCCTTTGGCCAAGGCTTTAGGGCTAGTGCGGTTTCCCGTTTCGGGGCGGGCAACTCCGTCTTTCTTCCAGGATGATCTTGAGTTCGCTTGGTGATCAACTGTGGCTCTTACTCTCTTGTAGGAGACACATTTGCCGTCATAAAACCACGAATAGGTGCGGGGTACTAACTACAGCAGGGTTTGAACGCCTGTCTGTGGTTCCTGGACAATCGTGCTGTCTATTTTAATACTAGGCGCTAGTGTTGCAAGTTGATTGACTCCGATTATATCACTGAGGTCTGAGCAATGTCAACATATTTAATGGTTGACCATATAAATGTAATTGTTGCTGATAGTACTAGGACTGGGAAGGAAACGGATTGACTTCGTGGGAATCATATGCCACAGTGGGGCGTGTTCAGATTGGAATGAGTAGTCCAAGATAGCTAAGAAAAGATCACCAGCCGTAAATGATGTATATTCTTTGTCATTATCACATAGCCAGGAAAGAGCCTCCAATAATGTATACATCTGGCTCGATTGGCATCCCAATTCTATATTGTACAGAGAGATCACCCAAGATTATTAAAAGAGAGTATAGAACAGTGCGCGCGAAAATAGAGGCGCTAATACAGGGACTCGAGCAGATAGATGGCTCCAAATACAAGGAAGGCCGTAGCGCCGCCAAGTGTTACTGTTCGAGATGTTAGCAGCTGGGTTTGAAGGCAATGTGGGGAGAAGAAACGTACCAACGCGCATGCTGACCCGGCCAGCGATGGCACTGCCGCCAATGACCGCCGCAGCGGTGCAGATGCCATGTCCAGTGATCGCGCCGACGGTCACCCACCAGTAGTCTTGACCGGCAGCCATGGCGATGGTGGCGATCTGGCTGCGGTCGCCCCATTCTCCAAGGAAAGTCATAGCGAAAGTCTGAACCCAGGCAGGGCTGAGAAGAAGAGAGAAAAGATTGTTCATTCCGACCAGGACGTCGTTAAGCCGGCGACCGGGCGCGGGGGACGACTCGCGGGAGGAAGAAGACGAAAGGCTCTCGGGAGGAGAAGGGAGACGGTTGCCAGACGATCGAGACTTGCGACGTCCTCCGGCACGGCCAGCTTCAAGAGAGTGAGGGGTGACGGAGGAGCGACGGCGGTTCATCCGCATCTGCTCTTGCTCCTTTTCTTCCAGCTCCATTTCGACCTCCTTCATTTCCTCGCCAACACCCTCGTCAGGTGACATCTCGCGACCCTCCTTTAGCATTTTCAAACCGAAAACGAAGAAGAGAACAGCAGCGAGAATCTTGGTGAACGACTTGGGGATAAGTGTCGGCACGGCGTGTCCCAGGACAGCCGAGAGTACGGTCATGCCAATCAATGCGGCAAAGGCAGCGGAGAAGACGAGAAGGCGCGGATGGCGCATCGCCATAAGGGCAGCGACCAGGAATGTCTTATCGCCAATTTCTGAGACGATGATCATGGTGAAGGAGAAGAGAAGAGAGTGCAACGGGTCGCTCTCCGACTCTCCCGATCCGACCGCGCCAGGAGTGGCAGCGGCAGAGCTGCCGGGTGTCTCGAAACCAAGGGGATCTTCGCTCACGGGGGCAGGGGATTTGGGGTGCGGGATGTCGTGCGGCTTATCGGGCAAGTCTGCGGGTTTCTGGAGATGGGAGTTAGTGACTTGTCGACAAGAAAGCCAGGGAGGTTCCTAAGTAGCAAGACGTACCTCCAGCTTCCCCAGGGTGGAATCGCTAGGTCCCTTGGAATACTCATCCGTGCTGTCCTGGGAAGGGGTTTTTGGCTTCTCACTATGAGGCACAGGAGGAGCTTCTTTGGGGGCATCAGGAGTCTTCTCTGAGGTATAAGTATCCTTCAATTTCTCCGACACTCCGCCCTCGGTACCTCGAGTGCCTTCTTTCGGACCCGTCCGGTTCGGATCGTCCATCACTCCGTCATTCGAATAGGGGATCGGATTTCCATCTGGACCCAAATGCTGAGCAACTTGTGGATCGGAGGGGGCATCCGAAGGCACGACCGAGCCTGCCTTCTTGCGATCCCGTTCCGCGCTTGTCTCTACCCACGGGCCAGCGTGAGGTCGACCATCCCTGCCATCAACCGGGGCATCTTGCGTTCCTTTTGGCGCGACCTTGGGGTTCGCGCGGACCGGAGCGTAATCATCGAAGTCTGGGGGCACGGAATCACTGTCATACGCGGCGCGGTGTCCAGGGGCATTGCTATTCGGAGTGAGGTCTGCAAACGCTGCCGATAGCGCGGGGAGGAGGAAAAGAACAAATGGCGAGAGGCGTTGGACTTTCATCGTGAAAGGGCCGTGATGGTCGGGCGATCAGCAGATAACGAAAAGGACCGATTTGGAAAAGAGAGTCTATCACGGGCAATGGCCCATGAAGGAGACGAAATGAAAGTCGATTAAAGGAAGGACAATCGAGAAAAAAACGTTCTAAAGTTCGAGGATCGGCGAGAGAGGCTGGATTATGGAGCCACGCGAGCAATTTGGGGGAGGAACCACTCGGATCAGACAAATAAACAAAGATCAAAATGGCGATGATGAATTCAAGGGAGTCAGGGGAAAAGGAGGGGAAAGTCGATAAGACACAAGAAAAAACAAGGACGAAGGAATCAAGGCAGGAGAGGCCAGCGAAGGACTTGCGCTCGCTCTGGCTGCTTCTCTCGTGTTGGCGGCAAAGGGGCAACGCCGCCTCCACATCACGTGCCGGGGGTCCGCCGTGGCCGCTTGCAGAGATTCAACTCTTCTGCTCTTCTTCTTGCGTCCGTCTGGAGTGCAGTGATGACAGCTGGAGGCATGGAGTCCCATTGGGCTGTCCGTGGAAGCTCAATGCGGGACTTCTGTCGGCTGCCTGACATGTCACATCCATTCCAAGTGGAAGCTGGAGATGGACAATTTTGAGAGAGGAAGACCGCTGACTAATACACCTCCAAACAATGGCTATTTTTATCGGTGCCAAGAAGATAAGCATTGATGGTTCACTAACAGCCCTACGGAGGACAGCTTATAGTTCCAGAGAGAAGAGCATTGTGACAAAATGGTGGTGAAAGCAACACACCCTGATGTGGTCAGTCAGTCCATCATGTGATTGACATGCTGAGTGAATTTGTACTTTCTCTTACTTCCATCTACCCTCTCAATCCCATCTATTCTCGCACTTCCATCTACTCTCTCAACAACCGTGGTGAAATCCATCTCATTCCATCTCTTTTTCTGCATGATTCGAGCCATCTCAAACCTTGATTCCCATCTTCTCTTGGCCACATCTAGCCAACGGTAGGCCAATGGATTCTACTCACTCATCTTCGCTCTCCCCAGACAATCCGTCTAATCTCACGGAAAGTCAGCACAGCTCCGCCACAAGTGTGTCGACTCAACCGAAAATTGAGGTCTCAGTCTGGTTCAGCGTGTTCATTGGTAACCCTGATTCAACAGGTCCTCGGTTCGAACATGCGCGGTTCGATGGAAAAATCCCCAAGAAGTTGTTTGTCTTTCAGCGCAGCTTTGTTGGCACCGATCGGGAGGGGCAAGATTTTCGCGAACAACTATCCATTCTTCATGCGATCGTATCGCTGTCGCTGACCTTTGCCGATGAAATGTTCGACTGCGTCCAAGAGGGATGTATTGTCTGCAAGTCAGGCCCTGTCAGCGCCCTCATCCATCGCCCTTTGTGCGTCACTGAAACTGGCTACCACCAGTTATTCGATTTCCAGGAGACTTACAGGCTCATGTCGACAATTGCCTCTCACACAGAGTCTATAAAGCAGACAGGTCAGATAAGCTGGAGCATCGGCAGCTTCATGAGTGACAGGCCATATGTCTGCTCACTTGCGCTACCTGTGTGCACGACTGACGGCGAGTGCTTTCGAATTGCAACTGAGAGAGCCCAGGACTACATTGAGGGAATAATTGATGGAGATGTACTGCCACAGCCATTCAACTGTGCTAAAATTGACAAGATCACTGAAGCCGAAAAGCGGGGAGCACATGGTCCCAGCACTCATTCCAGCAACAATGCAATTGCCGAACACGACAACGATTTCCAATTGAATTCAGCTGATTTGTCAGTACCCGACAGTCCTCTCAAAGAAGGGCTTTACAATATCGGGACGACGATGTTTGTCGGAACACCAAGTCTCCAGGTAAAGCACGCGCTTCCTCAAGGAGAACTTAGCTGCTTGGTACTGTCTACAACTTTCCCTCGGTCGGTAATGCCGGAGAGATCGAAAAACCAAGCAGATGCCGCGATTGATTACTGCCGCGTTTCCGGATATTACGAGCAAGATATCCTTCATCATCTTGACCTTCGTTGCGCGGTATGTCCCAACCCAGTAGCTGCTAGCACTCTGGTACACTTCCCGATTGCATTCCCTCGGACCCATGGAGGCTGTCTTGAAGATGGCTCGGTGCGAAAACTAATCATGGAACTTTGTCGCTTTGTCAACGGCACATGGAATTACCCGGAAATGAACGCCGCCTTAGGCTTTGGTAATGATGCTCATATCTTCGAACTTGTGGTCCCCATTTGCGAAACAAAAAGTATCTGTGAGAAAGTTGCAAGGATCTCTGCCCGAGAGTTTCTTAGATTACTGACACCATCTGGAACATCTCTCCCGTTTCCCGGTCTAGAACCCGATACCAATCTCGCCGCCGTCCATGCTATGTTTCGAAGCTTCTCCGAAGAAGAGCCAGAGCCTGCGGAGTGCCTAGTAGAGAAGATTGCACCGGAGTGTCTCATATCTGAAGATGAACCCGAACGCAAAGACAGCCCGAAAGATAGCACTTTGAGTGTGAGTAGTTTACGGCTTTGGTTCGAAAATTGCCACATGGATCAGGAAGTCAGCCGTGAATCCTTGAGTGAGAAGGCGCAAAAGGAAGAGGATCAAGACCAGGTCGAAGTTGAGAAACCTGAGACCGATGACTCTGTTGTTTGGGTTTTTGATCTGGTGGATCCCTCGCACCCATTTGACGAGAACGAGGGGAACCCGGAAGCAAAGATCACGGATCCAGTGATCGAGGATTACCAAACCAAGGAGATGTTTCAAACCTTACTGACCTGGGACTTCTGGTTGCTATATGAGGCTATTACCAGTCAGGCTACCTTCGATGGCACCGACTTCTCGGAGAACAAGGAAGCAAAGGATGGATACAAACACGGAGATGGAGACGATAAAGACAATATTACGGGCACTTATGGCGGGTACAAAGGTTACGATGGTACTGACGACGCTGACGATGCGGCTGGTGATACGGCTGATGATGCGGTTAGTGATGCAGTTGGTGATGAGCCTCGTGATAACGCTGCCTTCAGTGCGGCTTTTACTGCTGGGTTTACTGCAGCATATCATGCTTTCTACAACAATGATGGTTTGGACAATGGCCGCGACAGTGACTCTGAGGAAGGTTCCGACGAGGGCTGTAACAACGATTATGACGTTGGTCACGAAGAAGGGGAAGATACTGGATACGACGACGGGTACGAAGATGGATTTAAGGAAGGACGCAAGGAAAAAGACAACATAGAGGATGATGAAAGGGAGGACGAAGGGGCCGACGAAAAGGTCGCCAATGGGGACAGTGCGTATGAGAAAGGATACGATGAGGGTTATGGAAAAGGTTATGATAAGGGATGGGATCAAGGCCATGCGGATGGTGTCTCTGGAGACGGAAGCAAAAGCAAGACGTGATATCGCCGTTGATATCCATCTCTGAGGAGATTTTCATTTCCACGGCTTACGCAATGGCTTTTACGAGTAACGAGTTTTACGAATTGCCCATTGATGTTTCCTCCATCTAGCTGTAGTACGCAAAGAAAAACATCTCCACTTTCAATTGAATTCAATTTTCAAAATTTCTCAATATGATACACCGTAGTACTCATACTCCATAACACAATCTAAGAGCAGCTCGAGCTGCCAGCCACGAATGTTCCGTCGGAGTTCTCACATCCGCAGGTTCCATCATCAGGGCTCTTGATGCAGGTGGTTCCGACGCCCGAGGACGAGCCGTTGTCGCTGCAAAGAAAGAAAAGAAAAATCATTAGTCCATTCGCCCAAAATAACCCATCTCAACTCGACATGTTAACGGGAGGGAAAACTCACTTCCAGAAGAAAGTCCAGCAATCATCGTCCGACTTGGTCAACTCATCATTTGTGGGCGCAGTGCAAGTGTACGCCTTGCAGGTGCCGTAGGGGGCGCCGTGCGAGCTATCATACTGGTGGTCGGTCTCGAAGACGGCGAAAGTCTGGGTTTCTGTTTGATAATGGCTCTTAGTTTCAAGTCCGTGGCTTGGGCGTGTTATTGGACTGGGAAATTACCAGAAGTGCGAGTGTTGTAGGCGCACTCGGCGGCCTGGATAGCGTTGGAGGTCTTAGCGGCTGTGAGTGTGGGAGTTAGTTAGCATTGCATTTTCTTTTCTTCGACACTGAACATTATTGCAGAAGCAGTAGCTGCAACAGAGAAGGAGGAACACGTACGAGAGCAGCTCACAGAGCCGGGGCATTTTCCCTTGGTGTTGGAAGTGGCCGGCTGGAGGGTGGCAGCAGCCAGAGTGGTGCCGAGGAGGACAGAGACGAGAGTCTTAGTAGAGACCATTTTGAATTCGGATCGTGAAGATAATTGAGGGGATTTGATTGTGAAGTGTCAATTGTAGTGTTTAGAGCTGGAGGTTTATTCGGGAGATCACCGTCCTTATATACCCAGTACCTACTCCTAGCTACCCCATAGCTTATACAGTGCTGCGTACACTGCTGCCCACATCCCGCCTGTGTCCTCAGGGGGGGGGGGGGGGGGGAGACGTAGACGTGAAGTTTCGAATGCTTAATCCCAGGATGAAACGGACTAGCGTCGAAACAGGAGACGTGGAGAGTGGAGATTGTAAACTGAAGCCTGAAAGTAAGACAAATTAAAGCGCTCAGAAAACCCGCGCAGAAGAACGATATCGATCAACTTTAATTTAAAATCCACGAAATTCGGTAATTACTTTGCGCCCCTTTAGCAGTCCACTCGACATACGGAATACCTTAGAGACTAAAATGAGCTTGTCAGGACCAAAGACGGTTAAATTTAGTTAGGCCCAAGGCCAAACTAACGAAGGACCTTGTTTTAGAGGGGACTCCACTTGCTGCCGCAGTGGCTGTGAGAGTTGTGTTTTATGATCGACAATTCGTTTCAGATAGACAATTGAAAGTGGTGCCGGGTAGATTAACGTTGGGATCATACGGTAAGGAGAAAAGATCCTCGACGACTTCTGGAAAGTCTAGACTTTGGACTTTGGATTTTGGTAAGAGTTTAGAAGTTACTTGGAGTATTTGATCTGTCACTGCCGGAGCCAAGTTTGTTTTATGCGGAGATTGTGGGGGATTTATCGCCAGGAGAAACATTGCAATCCGGGTCAATTGTTTCTTAAAACTGCTCATTCATTCAGTTTAATCTCTATTTTATATTTTGAGATTTTTATCTTTCTTTAATTTTTTCTAAGGCGAACAATAGGTCTTGTGGTTGGGCTGGTTGTTACTTCAGAAGTTAGGAGCCAGTTTAAGAGCAAAAGCCGAATGCAAAACTCAGAAAATAGCAGAGACCTCTCAAGATTTAATGGTCCATGGAACTCGAACCAAGTCTAAATCAACGTAGTAATACCCCCTACGGCATCGTTGTGTTTACCGGTTCCCCCATATATCAGCTCGACATCCACCCTAGACACTCCACGTCAGTGTGCACTCTATGCATAAACATTCCAGTCATTCGATACAGAACCAAAGAGAACATTATGCAAGAGCAAACACGCGACCAAATCTATGATCTGCAAGAATATCTTCTTCCTGCAGAAACTTGATCCACGATCTCGGCTTCGGAACCAAGTCATTTCTCCGAGCCTCCCAACAGGAAAAACCTTACCAGTAGAAACCACTGCGTGCTGACTCGTTACTAACCATGTGGATAACCTGCATGCCCTTTAGAACCAACATCCAAGGCCAAAAGAGTCGATCATGCCTTGTTCAGGGAGCCATGATGCAGAGTGGCGCGGAGATTCCGACAGTCGGGTCGGCTCCACCACATTTTTGCATGGCAATCGTTGCAGATCGGTGATTTCCTGGGGTAGAGGGCAGTGTCGGGGTTGAGGAGTGATGAGGTATATAAGAGCTCTGGTGTGCTCTTTTTCGAGGATCAGTTTTATTTTGGAGGAGTGTGAGATCTTATCTTTATTCAGGTCGAAATCATGCTGAAATTGGATATGCTGGGTGAGGGCCGTGTGTTTGACGCCGCGAGACTGTATCTTGGTCACTCGGTTTGCGTTCTTATTGCTGGGTATCTACTTTGGACTCTCTATCAGGGTCTGCTTGGTCCAACGAGCGGAATCCCTGGGCCGTGGCTGGCTCGGTTTAGTCGGTTCTGGCTGTTCAAGGAGACACGCATGGGACGGTTCGAACAAGCGAATATCGAGTTACATAAGAAATATGGTACGTTTAAACATTCTTGCTGATCATAACTGCTACGAGTTAGCATATCATCCAAAATAATGAGATATTGACGTCTAATCTAGGTCCTGTCGTCCGCATCGCCCCGGCTACATTCAGCATCAACGACCCGGCAGCCCTAAAGACCATCTACTCGTCTGGCTCCAAGTTCCCCAAATCAGATTTCTACCGTCCATTCGGGGATCCCGCGAAAGACAAGAGGCATCTATTCTCAGAGCAGAATAACCAGCTACACGCACTGAACCGACGCAAAATTTCATCGCTGTATTCCATGTCGACGCTGGTCACGTACGAACATTTCGTCGACCGATGCAACCAGATGCTATGCGACCGCCTAGACAGCTTCGCAAAAGACAAAGAAGCGTTCGATGTGCCGACCTGGATGCAATATTATGCATTTGACGTCATTGGTGATATCACAGTACGTCGTCCTTGTGTTAACCGGGCACTAGGTAGATAAAAAATCTGACACAAAGGTCATCAACAGACAAGTCAACCATTTGGTCTTCTCGAGACCGGCAACGACGCATGGGGTGTGCTCAAAAGCATCGACCAGAGTCTGAAATACGGATCCACAGTTGGAATCTTTCCCGAATTGCACGCCTGGATCGCATTAGCCGGTCGAACCCTTCGACAACAAATCCCACTTGAATCCGTGAACTTGTATATTCAACATCAGATCGACACGCGGTCCGGGGAAAGTGACGAGAAGACGTCCTCCCGGAATGACTTCCTATCAAGGCTCCTCACTCTCAGAAGCGCCGACAAGGTCAATGACTTCCAACTTTTCACTACCGTCGGCGCGAATATCGCCGCTGGATCTGATACAACCGCTATATCTCTTAGCAGTGTGGTCTACTCTTTACTCAAGAACCCAGAGGCCGCGAGAAAACTGAGGGAGGAAATCGACTCACTTGCTCTAGACGGAAAACTCTCGGAACAGGTTACCTTCGAACAGGCTCGACAGATGCCGTATCTGCAGGCGTGTATTAAGGAGGCGCTGCGAGTTCACCCGGCCACAGGGAGACCGTTGGTGCGCGATGTACCGTCCGAGGGGGTTACTTTAGCCGGGAAATATTTCCCAGGAGGGGTGAGTTATACCATCTATATTATACAATATTGTCACGGTCGCTGACGAAGGTCTATAGAGCTCGGTAGGAGTCAATACCTGGGTGATCCATAATAACGAAGACGTGTTCGGTCCCGACGCCTCAGAGTTCCGACCCGAGCGATGGTTGGAAAACGATAAGGCGACGTTGTCTTTTATGGAGCAGAATTTTATCCCCGTACGCTCTCTCCCATTTCCTATTCACGGTATGATGAATGAACTGACAAAAAATAGTTCGGGGCTGGTGCTCGTACCTGCATTGGTAAGAATATCAGTTTGCTGGAGATGTCGAAGGTCATTCCGCAGCTGTACCGGAAGTATGAGTTTGAGTTGGCTCCTGGAGAGGAGATGACTACCTGGGAGGCGTGGTTCGTGAAGCCCAAGTTCCGGTGCTTTGTCAGAGAACGGAAGGATATTTGAAGGAAGATTGGTTCGGAACTGGCTGGTAGATTATGAAATGTTGGATTTTTAAAGCGAATGTCGCATTCTCATACGGACTGGATAGCAATTCACCCAAAACATGTGCATACACAGACTTATTGTTTCCCAAAAAAGAAGCCAAGGTATGAATCATATCGTCATGAACTAGCTTTCCCAATGATGAAATTCTAAACATAATCGCTTATTCCATACCAAGATATAACCAAAGAAAAGAACCACTAAGCCGGCATGGTCAACATCTCCCCCCTCAGCGACTGCATCAAAGAGCGCGCAATCATCTGACTGATCCTCGCCCAAGCCACACTTCCCCTCAGAATCCTCGCCGCCTCCTTGAATGCCCGAGACGAGCTACCCGGTTTCTCCAACACCCCGATACCTGTGACGTGGATACCAGATCCTGCATCTCCAGTCTGGATCCAAGCCTTCTGTTCTTCGGAAGTCAATCGGTCAATGCGAAAAGGGGGTCCCGATACTTCTGACCTTGCTTCCCCGCGCTCCTCAAGTACATGGCGTGTGTATTTACGAATATACTGCGTCGCGATCAGCAGACAGAATGGGTCATAGAACGTCACTATGTTCTGTTCGCGAAGGAGCCGAAATAACTGCGCTGCGTGTACTAGGGACTCCCGTGCTTGTTTCGCGTCCCTCATGAGCTCGGCAACTTGGGAATCTGCGATCTCGGCCTCGGCTTTTGTGGTCATCCAGCCGTAGGACGCGTGCATGGTGTTAGGAGGAATGTGGCGGAGGATGGAAAGGAAGTGGTAGAGTTTCTGTTGTTGAGGAGATAGGGTGAATTTATCTGAGCCGGGGCGTTGAGATGGATCGAGGTCTTTGAATTGGGAGGCCAAGATGTTGGGAATATTGTTGAGTTGGGATGGAGGATCGGCAGATGAGAGGAAGGTAGAGTACGGGAGACATTGAGCTTGTTTGCGGAGTGTTTTCTCTTCAGAGAATAGTGATATCATGATGATGAGACTGGTGGTTTTTCCAAGTGATTGGATCGTGTTGTTGGTGTTGAAGGAGCTGAAGAGATGAACAAGGCTGGGAGGGTCTGGATAGTGTTGGGTTACCACTTTAGATATTATAGATGATCGATGCAGAAAAAAATGGATAATTTCATACCTTCCTGAGATTGAAACTGACGTTCGCATTCACCCGAGTCGGGGCAATTCCATAAATCGTCATCGCAAGGCAGCCCGACTCTCAGTTCCCAGATCGCCAACGAAGGAGGCAAATCAAACAAGATCAACTGGAAGCATTCAAGCACTACAAATTTGAACAATCAACGGTGATTCTTTGCGCACAATTAGCTTCAGGAACAACACATACCCCAGGTGTAATAAATAGTGCGTTTCCAAGACTCTGACAATATCCACTGCGACCAGCTTTCGCCATTTTCTTTCAGGTTTATGGACGACAACCGAGTGAACGGTGATGCGTGTCCCACAAGAAATGGTCGACATGACGTGATGAGAATGTTTCGTTGATATTGCATCGTGCAGACGGTGTTCTTTGAACCGTCGAATAGCGACAGATTATGCAGCAGGACGGCTTGAGCTACATAGACTTCGTCGTTGCGAAGAAGTCGCTGCATGGGCTTATTTTGTTAATACCCTGGTTCTGTGTTTGTGATATGACATGACTTACTAGATTTAGAATGATACTTTGAAGAAGACGCCAGAAGAAGGTGTGCATTTGAGATCGAGTAGGAATGCGAGAGTACTGGCACCCAACGGATGCGATTGCCGCAACGAGAATCCATTTCTCAGACGTAGGTTTGAAGGAAGCGCGATGAATAATGGGCATGACAGGATGGAAATGTTCAAAATATAGTTGAATGAATGTGTTGACGACCTGGATACTTGGAGGCGTCAACTGTGGTGTGTTGGATTTCTGACAGTGTTCACGATAGAAGTTCAAGATGGCGTTGTACGCATCTTCGGAGACGCGTTCGACGTGGCAGAAGTCCTCGGTCGCTAGAATTTCTTGTTCATCAGATGTGGACTCAGGAATGTTGCTAGTGGAACTCTTTTGCTGATTATGCTCTGCTGGTAGAATGGCTGTTTCTTTGGTTGTTGCCATGGATTGAGAATTGGTAGGCAACGAATTCGGATCGGCGAACATTGGAGTACCAGAGAAGTGCTCTCCGTTTGAATACCGAGTTCCATCATCAAATGACGCTATATTTGGGGTACCATATGATAGTGAGTGTAGATGCTCATTTGGAAACCCTGCACTATGTGGATTTGAGTCCAGAAAGAATGGCGCCGGGAAACCGGCAAGACTAAGATCGACATTATCGAGCGCCATGAACGGGAACGGATTAAAGATATAATCCATCAGTTCCGTTGTCTGAGAGACATCAGGAGGAACAAGGGAGCCAGTATGTGCTACAGTTCCTTGTTGGTATGCTTCGGCTTGAGCGAGATCAATCTCAGCCGGAGGTGGAGACTGATGGGATAGGGATTGAGTCTCTTCACCTCGGACCGATCGACCCGAGGATGGCATAGAGTATTCGCAGATCGAACGTTTTTTCCGACATCGATCGCATGGTTGCTGGCCGTTGCATCGTTGCTTTGACTTCGTGCACTTCACACAAGCCCGAGAGACCCGTTTCGCTTCTTGGGATGCAGTAGCTGCGTACGACCTGACCGCGCTGGGTCCATGAGTGATGACATGTCGTTTCAAGGAATCTCTGGCTTATAATGAGTACTCTCGTGCCATGAAAGATGTCATGTACTTACTTTCTGGAAAACGACCTTGAACACCACTGGCACGGAAAAGGACGCAACTCGAGATGACGACGAGTGTGGCGCTCGAGATGCTCGCGGCGCCTAAAGTGGGAGTTACAGTGGTTGCAGACCAGCTCGGAAGAACTTCCTTCTTCACCCATGCTAAGATGGGTCGCTTTGGTGGTGGTAGTGGCTGGTTACAATTGGGAGGCTGTTGGCCAAAAGGAGCCGTCGTTGAGTGTTTCATTAGTTTCATTAGCGATTTGTGCACTGATTATGTCCTGCATTATCTGATACATAAGATGACGTCACATGACTTTCTCTCTGGACATTGCTCAATAAAAACATGACGCGTCGTGTAGATATAGAAGTGATCTAACAGTTATTGATTGAACAATTTGGTTCTATTCCTGCGTTCAGTTCATTAAATTATATATAGTCGAGCAAAAACATCTCAAGCAGATTCCCGATTATCAACATCGATCCCATACCGCCGTTTACCATCATCATCATCTATCCAGCCCAGCCTCAATTGCAATCCATCGAAGATATTCCGCTCTTGGGTTTGTTTAGTATTCAACCACTCCGTTCCTTCCGGTACAACCTTACGCGAAGCCAGCGTACTTCCAGCCACCAAGGCCACGGCACCTGATATCTGGCCGGGATTCTGCATGATAAAGACGGGAGTCCAGGCCAGCGCACAAGCAATCGCACTACAGACAAAGGCAAAAGCCAGTAGAACCTCCAGCACGAGACTAGCCCGGCGGTCAATCTTTAATCGCGCGGAGGGATACACGACCGAAGCCTCGAAGCTGGAATCGTCGTTTTGACCCTGAATCGAGCGTGACGCGGCGCTGCCGAGATCGTCGTCTTTGAAGGTTGTGTTCTGGCGCATGTTGTAGGATATGGCGAGCGCCATGTACTTGCTGTAGAGATCTCTGGTAGCGTTGAGGAGCCGAGAGATATTGTCTTTTCCCACGAGGTCCGATTCAGGGATGCCGTCGATGCCGTTGACAACGACTTGGTAGAATGTGTCCATGTATCCGGATGCATTCGCATTGAAGTAGAGCATGCTCTGTTCCATGTTATATTGTGGGCGGTATTGTCGCATGTCGAACCCGTGGCCGTTGCCGAGGACATGGGCAGTCGACTCATCGGGGACGGGCGGGTTCGACGGGTCGAGCTCGAGGCTAGGGAGAATAAACCGGGCTTCGGTGATAACTTCCTCTATATACTGATCGCAAACTCCACTCGTAACGTATGTCATGTTGGTCGAGAGTGGGATGAATGCACCGAAACTGAACCCGATGCTAGGACACCCCTCTGGGTTCTGTCCCTTTTCCCAATTGTCCTCCGTATAGAAGGGATACTCGCTATACGAGTACCAGTCGGCAAAAAGATCGTCATTTCCCCAATTTTTGAACTTTTCATATCGCGAGCTGACATTCTCGTTATCAAGTATATCCCCGAGATGTAGATCGAAAAGAAAACCACCGTAAACGGGTCTCTGAAGGATGGGTCCGTCCTTAATTTGTCTCTCGGGAAAGTAAATTGTGCTGTTGAAATTGAACAAATTCTCATCTCCGTACGCTCGACCGCGCTTGCATTTCGGGTACATGGTTTCGAGATCGATGGTGGTCTGAAGACTGGCGTACGGTACCTGTTTCTCGGGCTCTAGCGCTGATGAGGTTTTACCCTTATATAAGGTAGCGGTGTTGAGAGGCTTGCAATCAAGCTGCGGGCGGAGAGCGGGTACGCGAAGAGTCATATGTCCGTTGACCTGGCCGGAGCTGTATCCTCTCTGTTCAAAGGACACTGGAGACGAAATGACCGGAAAAACCAAATTGTCATACGTAAACCGAGGAAAGGTAAGATTTGACTGCTCGATGAGATTAAGAACGGTGCCTGCATGACTATCATTGTAAGCGTTGGGCCAAGTCAAGTCGAACACATCACTTCGTTGGACTGACATAGTCCGACTTAAAGTGTTCTAATTCCATAATTAGTTCACGATATCAATATATCAAAACGAGTGACAGATGGACTTGCCTGGTAATCAACGATGTACAGTCCTGATGCGGCAATCGTGAACACACTTGCAGCGAGAGTAGCGAAAAGACTGAAGAACACAGCAAGTTGACGATCGGATAATGATTTCCAAAGTGCAAGTACAGGTATATCGCGAAGATAATTCGCAAAAATAGCGCGCTTACTTGCGGGACTACCTTGACTGAGTAGGCGGTAGGGGGCAAGCAATGCAAGCCCAAAATCGAAGGTACCATACATAAGACCAAGGGAAATCATCACTCCGGAGGTAATGAATTTGCTCCAGAAGAGGACACTCGAGTCCCTCGGAACGTCCATGAATCCGTCATTTTTAGCAGATACCTGCTGCAGAGTCTCGATGACGATTATCACGGCAAGCGGGGATATCAACACAAGCAAACGAAAAGGAAAGCTATACGCCAGGGGCGTCCAGATCTTCTGCGGCGTGTTATCCAACACCTCGGGTGCTTTTTCATCCGGAGTTTGCTGCTTCTCGGACCCATCCTGGGGATCCACATCAATAGTAAACGTTGGTTTCGAAGGTTTCGCATAACGATCAGTGGGCGACGGTTCCAAATGAGTCCGAAATCGATGTCCTTTGAGAGTTTCGCTAAGTCGCGCGAAAGGCCAATTGGCAGTTCCAGCAAGCACTCTCGTCAATTTGCTGTTGGGAAGAAAGGTCGCGATGGCACCAATACTATCTGGACTCCGAGGAACAACATCGAATGGACGAGTCATAATCACGCCCACTGAAATGCAGATCATGAGAGCAACGCAGGTAACCATCACACCAATTGGGATTTTTTGCACAAACAAGCGGTTTTCATTGCGGAAAGCCTCCCCAGAGATCTCTTGATCCGGCGATTTGAGATAAGTATGAAGAATATAGTATATCGACTGGACTGCCAGACCGATGTAGACGTTGGCCGCGCTGGTTGTGAGGCGCTTGATGTCTAGAAACGACTCGTAATCAGGGCTGTCGCTCTCCGCTAGCATGAGACGAAAAAAGGGCCTATAAGCATCCTCCGTCGCCTTATCCATTCCAAGAAGGTTGGGAGCGCCTGCCATAAATCTCCACATCATCTGGAAGTAATTATTAGCTAGTTCATCCATGGACCGCCCTTGCAGCAATGTCTGAGTAGACATGGTAGAGATAGGAGTGACGTCAAGCCCCGGTCCTCTCTGAGTATCTGCATCAGAGGGGTCTAATTCGACTCTCGCTCGCTTGCCGCTCAGATTTTGCTTGCACAGAATGGCCGTGGCACTCTTAACCTCAACAGAGGCCGAATTTGCGACTTTCACGTCGTCGGCTGAACGTAGAAGTGCTTCTGCGTTAGGCTTTAGGTCCTGGGTATTTCGAACGTTTAGGATGGTAAACAGCAGACGCAGTGACGGATGAACATCGGGGTTCGTTTCGTTGCCAGTGCAGTTAGCGTACAGGTTTGCCATCCGAGGATAAATCAATTTTTCTGGCAGTATCTCGCGCAAGTGATCATTCAGGGAGAATACGGCAGTATCCGGGTTCAATTTACCGACAGAGCAACGGCCATCCTCAGCTTCGAAGCGAAATCTAACTCTATCTTTATCATCATGGGCATCGGGATCCGGGCTTAGCATGGTCCAATTCAGACTTCCGGGCTGGCAGTCCAGGCTTGGCCAGTAGCCCGTGACGTTGGCCGCAATACGAGTGGTGCCGTCGGGTAGAGGATATTTTGGGTAGATATTTGGCACGACGAATTTAGAGGACGTTCCTTTGGGATAGGCCAAGCCATGCGCCAGTACTCCATAATAAGCATAGGTTGGGCTGAAAAAATTGATGCCTTCAAAATGTGGAACGCTCGAGTTCATGCCAACCTCGTAAACCGGGATTGAGCCACTGCGCACTTTTGCAGGCTGGAGAACCAAAAGCGCGGAGGCAAATGCCATCTATCAGGATAACCTGGTTCTCAGCAAGAGTTTCTTGATAGGCTGCGTTTTTGGGTTCTTACCATCAATTTCAAAAGCAAAACACCAACGATAGAAGCCGACACAGTCCAGTGTTTGTTCTTCAAGGCGGTCCAGCACCCGAAAATATGAATTTGACCAACGTAGTCCAGAAATAGGGACTTGTCCGCAGACACCCATCCCTGTCGTAATTCTCGCCAGGGACCCAGGCATTTGCACCAGTAGTCAACTTGACGCCAAAGACCAGCAATAAGAACCAGGACTTTTCGTTGATACAATTAGTCCAGGCTTTTATTACCAAAGTCTGACGAATATGAAACTCACCTACAGTTGGACCGTACGCCCAGGAATAGCGATCGTTGAGAAGTAGTACGAACCCATTATCAGTTTCGGCAAAATGGTAGACAAGGCCAAGAGCAATGCCAATGAGAACTAGAGCCACGATAAATCCGCCGAGACAAGTCTTGCTAAGCCATATAGGGTTGAACGTGGGCAGACGAGGTGAGAATTCATGGTTATCCTGTTTTGCAGCCTTCTCATCATCAGGATTCGTTGGAGGATTGACAGAAGCCTGCGAGATATAACCCCCCTTTGGTTCTGGCTGGGGCTTTAGTGACGGCGAATCCTGCCACATGAGCGGGTCCTCGCTGGTGTATGAGTTCACCCGTTGGCCGTCATAGGAAGGCTGGAGAAAGTCCAGCTCTACCGATCTCGGCATCATCCACTGACAGTCCATCTATGAATGGAGATATTAAGCGGAAAGTGATCCGGCGGATTCTGAAAATAACGGGCGCGACCGCACATTTATTGAAACTAATAGCGAATGTTCCGTCCGCAACATGGGATGCCAAGTCGTGGGGGCCGAAGAATGGAGGCAATAGAGGCTCTTTCAACAGGCTGTTTTAGACCTCGACTAAAGGTTTCCATAGCTTCACAGCCTCACCGATGTGGCAAGCAGGGCACCCGAACGGAGAGGCTAAAATCCAAGCGCCATTCCTTTTGTTCCTGATCGCTTTTTTGACTGGAGGATTAACGTCGACTGCCGCAAATCTAAAATGGCTACGGGCGCGCCATTTCCACTTTGATCGCCATGACGCTTCTTCCATCGACGGTGGACGGGCTCTGCTCGAGATTGGTGCACAGAAAAGCAGATCTTTGGCAACGCGGTGTACATCCAGGCAGTGCGAGGCTGGCTATCATTATTGTGTTTTCATCGTGACAATCGAGAAACGCTTTGGATTGCGAGAATCAATCTCATCAAGACTACCCCAGGAGAAGTTAGGAACGCTCTCATCGAGATTAGAGGCTTGTTCTTGCGTCTTTCCCTACACTAAGCAAAATTAGCCAAGTCAGGGGGAAACCAACGCATCGCGATAATGCTAGCTAGCTGCCAGGATCAGGGGATATGGAGAGAAAGGTAATCAGCTCACGCAAGCATCACTGAGAACCTATCATTGAAATTGCAGACCAGGATCCTGATTTCTGGTACTATCATTCTACAATCTCTGGCTCCCACGTTAGATGAAAATTGCTAGTGATGCGCGGCCAGAATTCTAGGGGGTCGGTCGGCCAGGGAGTGGGCGAGTTGCGGGAGGAAGGTGGATTGTGTGTGCCGCTGCCGAGTTTTGTTTGTTTGCACTCCTCGTGATGCGCGTCGGACCAGTATTCATCTGATATAGATACAATTAGTAGGGCTTTTCATTTGTTGTTTGGATTTACTCCGGCTTGACCATTAGGTGCACACTCAGTTAACCTTATGATTGCTTAGTCAGATATCCGAATTTTACATCGCTCATGGCCATGCATAGACAAGGACAAGCGTTTCAAACGAAAACAAAATCAACGTCATGCCTCCAGATAGAGCGAAAAACGCTTGCACCCCTTGCCGAGAGAGAAAGAGAAAGTGCGATGGCCAGGAACCCTGTCATAGTTGCGCAAAGGCCAACTACGAATGCAAATATGATCATCGCCCTCGAACGAGACGGCCTGCACGGAAGAGTCCTACCGAAGGATCGACCCAGCCCTCACAGGTGAAACCTACAGTGGCATCTGATGAAACTATCTCAACGCGTTTGTCGGCCGACGTGAATTCTGCCGCCGTGCTGGCGAAAAAGCTGGGGCTTTCATCGACAGAGCCCGCGATCCCCGGGGGTCTACGCCTGTTTGCATGGAACCTGGGCATTGGAGAGGGATCTACCGAGCACCTTGCTCCGTTACCACTTCGCGAGATTTTGACAGTGGGCGATATGCAAAAACTGGCGTCGGTCTACTTCGCAGAAGTTCACACCGCGTATAACTTCGCGGATCGTGACCTGGTTGACATTGCCATTGAAACCATTCCCGAACAACAACTATTCGACCCGGTGCAATGTGTGTTGCTTGGAATTGCCGCGCTGGCATGTCTGTTCAGCCCACAACCGAAGAATATTGAGGCGCGGATTGTGCATAGCGCTCGTGCTGCCTTGGAACAGTCAACTACTTTGGAACTCCCATCAGTGGACCACGTAACTGGGTGGCTTCTGCGTGTCTTTTATCTACGACTCACTAGCTCGCCACATGCAGCATGGATGGCTAGCTGCGCAATGATGCATATGGTGGAGACGACAAACCTGCACCTCGAGCCATCCGACACAATGACGACCGCTACAAACATAGGTTACACCCCGAATTCCAGACGACGGTTATACTGTGTCTCCCAGCTTTTTCACATGTGGATCTGTTACGACTACGGTCGCTCGCGAGTCAACTTGCGCGGAGCCTCTTGCTCACTCCCAACAGAAGGATGGACCGCGGACCAAATCACAATATGGCAGCTATCCGATGCCCTGGATGTGGACAAATATTTAGATACGGCAGAGCTAGAAGACCTCCTTCGGAGAACAATCGCTTTGAAACTATCTCATCCCTTGCTACAGCTGAAGCGCTGTAGTATTGGCATGTGCATATATCGCAGACTTCGAGCTTCCGGACGGACGGTAACGAGCGATGTGATCGGCCGGGTTCTTCAGCTGGCAGGAGAAGGTGTTGACACGGCAGTGGATCTGGCCTACAAGCGTTCTCCCTGGTGGCATATAGCGCATGTCCCCTTCCAAGTCATCTGCGTTCTGTTATTTATCGATTCTCGGCCTTCCCTCGAGGGTGTGAGGAAATCGTTTCGGGCGTTGCAGGTGATTTCAGACTGTTATGTAACAAATGTTCTGAAAGAGGCCGTGGCTAGCGCAAGCTATATTATCGGCATACAGTTGCAGCGAAAGAAGGAAGAATACGATTTGCTGAACAGTATGGCGAGCGATATTCTCCCGAATGAGATGAATGATGCTGGATCACTCGAGCAGAGCTCGTTGAACCCTGATCTTGGGCTGCAGCCAACTGATACTGGGCACTACAATTATGGAGAATTTTTGGACCTCGACCAGCTGTTCACGGCCAACCTCTTCGCGCCATATGGGTGAGAGAAGCCAAGAGAGGGAGGTGGAATTGCACCTGCGGAGGCTGCGGAATTGCGGAAGTCCGCAAACTCCCGCTGTTCCGCTCCGCCCCGCTGATGCTGACGCAATTGTGCGACACACCTCGAGGAATATAAATTCTCACGGACGCCAAAAAGAACAGAGAAGAATAACACACAAAACCTTCAACTGACAATTCATCACCATGCCGACCGACAATCTCAACTTTTCTTGCGCCCTGGTAACCGGTGGAGGTGGCGGAATCGGGAAAGCGATCGCCTCGTACCTCGTCTCCAAAGGCAAAAAGGTGATCATCGCTGGCCGAACCGAGTCAAACCTGAAAGCAACATCCAAAGAAATCGGCGCGACTGCCTACTATGTCCTCGATACAGGGGTCGTGGGCCAAATTCCGGCCTTCATCTCTCGCATTACGAACGAGCATCCTGAACTAGATTGTGTGATCAATAACGCCGGGGTCCAGAGACCTTTGGATCTAGTGAAAGAACCTCTAGAGGATGTTTTCCAGAAAGCCGATCAGGAAATCGATATCAACATGCGCGGACCGATGCACCTCACTCTGGGTCTGCTCGAGCATTTCAAAACAAAGCCAAACGGAGCCGTGATCGTCAACGTGTCCTCGGTCCTGGCATTCGTCCCTTTCGCTCCCATCAACCCTTCCTACAGCGGGACGAAAGCGTGGTTGCATTTCTGGAGCATGAATCTCCGCACGCAGTTGCAACAGAGCGGGCTCGAGAAAATTCGAATCATTGAGATTGCGCCCCCGACGGTGGGGACGGATTTGCATCGCGACAGGGAAGACCCCGATGACAACAAAAAGCACAACAATCCTAATGCAATGTCGATCGAGGAGTTCATGGACGATGTAAGCGCGAAGTGGGAGCAAGGGGAAGAAATGATCGCATCGGGAATGAGTGGGGACTTGGTGGACCGCTGGTATCGGGAATTTGGCGGGTTTTACGAAGAAAAGACTCGCTAGGCTGGCTGACCAGGACGATAGTTTCTGCAATAATTGCACGCGAAGATCAGGAGGTAGTTGTTCTGATGTTTTGTACGTACTGCGTGTTGTAGGCAATTATATTTCCGAGGGATAAAAGCAGGGGCCTTCTGAGATACTGGCGTACCCCGTATTCATACCAGTTCACTGTGAGACATCCTATGCAATCTGCCAGTATTCAGAATTATTGAATTTGTCATGACCGATCAGATCCGCAACGGATTCCATTCCACGGATTATTAATCCGCCTCGATACGAGCTCTACTAGGAAAGTGAGATGGAGATCGTAATAGCTGAGTGAGCAGACTGCCAGACATTGCAAGCCCTACTCAGTGCCAGTTACCACCCTCCACAAATCGTGTTCCGCCAATGAATATCCGAAGATTCTCCAAAAGTGGGCAATTTCCAAGTGGTATGCCGCGTCCCCCCAATTCAAACCAAAAGATGACAGCCATGGAATATGGCTCCGTCTGACAAAAACTAAAATGAGTAGCGATATGCAAGATGGCGTTGGCTTGAGTGTTCAAATCCACCAAAACTATTGCCGAAAACGAACATTTCTCCACCATTCGACGCAAATGAAGGCAACCGAGACATTGGTCTCATCAACTCGTTTGTCTGCCCCCTCGCAGCCAGATACCGCACGCAGGTTAGGTGCGTCAATAGCGGCATCGGCCTGACATGTCATGCGCCCGGCTACCAATTCCTGCGCTATCAAAGTTCTACACTATCCTTTTAGGTCGAGCTAAGACGGTATAGCGTCTTCTTATGAACAGAGTTCTGCACCGCGCAGGCCGTTTGCAACTGGCAGAGACACAAGCATGTGTCAAATCCAGAGCCACCGGCTCGTGAAGGAAGCCCACGGACCGTCCCAAGGAGCTTGATAGGTGGAATCTGCACCGAATGCACCAGAGAGTGGAGCATCCAAGAGGCCTGGACTTCCTGATGGGGTGATTCTTCACGGATTGGCGCAGGCCTGATTTGCTAATTGCCAACGAACGGCACAGGCAATCGGTGTCCGCAACAGCAAAACCTGTCAAGGAAGGAAGGCGGGAGTTCTTCATCTCCACTGCGACAGTTCGCACGGCCCGTGCCCCACTATAGGGGAGTTCACTTTGATTTGATGCTGAGATGTGCCGGCCCTCCACTTGAAGAGATGGCTTTTGCTATTAGGATTACTCAACCCAAAGGCTCGGGTCGATGGTGCTTGTGTGGAGCGAGATCCCAAGATCCTGGTTCTGCACAACCCAAACCATCGCCATGGGATTCACCCACGATCTGGTAGTTTTGCTACAACCATGCACTGAGTCGTTTCTCAGGGCCACGGGGTCATTTGCCGTTCTTGGTTTGGTCTATTTTCTGATTCTGGGCGCATATCGTCTGACGCTGCACCCGCTCGCCAAGTTCCCAGGCCCTAAACTGGCAGCCTTCACGCAGTGGTATGAAACGTATTATGAGTTCTTCAAGCAACCAGGGGGGCAGTTTCTTTTCCATTATCGCAAACTTCATGAGGAATATGGTGGGTGCCGATATCATTTTACCCTGTTTGATTCTTATAGTTGCATATCCACTCACCCATCATCGGTTCGCATACAGGCCCCATTGTCCGTATTAGCCCCTTCGAAGTTCACATCCAAGACTCGGCTTTCTTCGAGGAAATGTTCTCTCAATCCCATCAGTGGGATAAGCTGAAACACCTCGAACATCGATTCAACAACGCTACTGGCACATTCCCGACTCCCGAGCATGAGGCCCATCGACACAGACGCGCAGCTTTAAACCCCTTTTTCTCGAAGCGAGCAATCACTGGTGCGGCACAGATGATGCAGGAACAACTTGGAAACCTATGCTTGCGTCTTCGTCGGGAGTATCAAGGGACTGGGAAGGTCTTGCGCCTCGATTGGATGTGGGGATGCATTGCGTCAGATATCATTGTTCGATATTGTTTCGATCGCGGATACGGCTTCTTGGAGGCTCCAGACTTCAGCTCGCCCTTCATCCAGGCACTATTTGACTTGCTGGACGGTGTTCACTTGGTGACACAATTTCCATGGGTTGCGACAATATTCAATGCGCTACCGGAAAAAGTGGCGGAAGCGTTGCAACCAGGGCTTAAGTCGGTGAACCACTACAACAAGGTATATCCCAACGATGAACATTTGAACATTATTGAAATAGAAGTACTAAGTCTATGCAGGAGATGAGAAATCAAATTGCCGACATTCTTGACAGTGCAGCAACCTCCAAAACCTCGGACAAGAAAACCGTGTTCAATGCGCTGCTTGAATCTGATCTACCACCGCAGGAGGTCACTCTCGATCGCCTCCAGCACGAAGCAATCACCGTAATTGGGGCTGGCTTTGAGACAACGAAATATGCCCTGACAGTGGCAAGCTTTCATATTATCAACATCCCTTCTGTCTACCAGCGCCTACGTCAGGAACTTGATGTGGCCATCCCAGATCCCAATCACATCCCGTCACTGAGCGAGTTGGAGAAACTCCCTTATCTAACAGCCTGTATTCAAGAATGTGGGCTACAATATCCCACCTTTCCCACCTCATAAGTCTAGTGGAACTAATTCGTATTAAGGTGTCCGCCTCTCCTACGGCGTCTCGCAACGCGCTTCCCGCATCTCCGACCACATCACCCTCACCTATAAATCCTACGTTATCCCCCCGGGCACGATCATTAGCATGGACAACTACTCAGTCTCGCACGATGAAAGTATTTTCCCCGACTCATTTACCTTCAGACCAGAGCGCTGGCTCGGCGACCCTCTGGCCCCAGACGGAAGAAAGCTCACCCGGTATTTGGTCTCGTTTGGCCGTGGAACGCGCTCGTGTCTTGGAATCAATCTCGCGCACGCAGAGATGTATATTGCGATGGCGAATATATATCGGAACTTTGAGTTTGAGTTGTTCGAGACGGATCGCAGTGCGGTTGATATCTACCGTGATATGTTTTTGCCACACGCGAAGCCGGGGACTCAAGGGGTTAGAGTGAGGGTGAGGTGAAAAGGTAGACTGAGTATAGTATTTTTATTAATACGAATTGGGTCGGGTCAGTTGTGATTTTTGCTTGCTATAATGGCTATCCGATTTTCATTTATCTTTAATCATTTAGTAAATCAGATTTCCTGTGATTTTCCTAATATACTAGTAGAGAGGTGGTTGAAGACAGCAACCACTCATCGTGTAAAGCCCCAAAAGAAGCATTGTATTGACTAATGATAGTTCTGAATATTGAAGCGATGCAAATAGAGCTGATCAACCACCTCTCTCGTTCGACAGATGATCCCCAACTAGGGCCAAATTCTGAATCGCCGCCAGTCCATAAAGCGCGGAAATATTCGTCGACACCCATGCGGCCTCGTGCACAGGAACAGGAACCCGACTCCCATACACCAGCTCACTCCTCCACGGCGCATTTGACGCATACCCATCCCCAGTATAAAACTCCTCCCACGCCCGCCTTGCAAGACCTGCCTCATGCAGTGTCCTCGCCGCATAAGCAGTCAACCGTGAATGTCCCTGACGCAGTATCAATGACCCAAAATCAACATCATATTTAGCCCTTTGGTCATCGGCACTTGCGTTGAAAAACCGACAATAATCGACCCATGCAGACCGAAATCTAAGCGGAAGCGTGTCTCCAAAAGAGTCGATAATTTCGGCACAAATTTCAAATAACCCAAACATGGCAGAAAGATGAGACACCTTCACGACTCCGGTATTATTCGCGTCTTGCGAAGGGGGGAGGATACCCCCCGTGTTGATATTATAGAGTACTGTGCCGGTGACAAACCCGTTTCTTAGATTGCTTATCCCCTGTATGGAGAGATGAAGTTTCTGAAACGCATCTTCCCAGTTCGGAATGCGTCTCTCCCACGCAGTGAACCATGCTGCAGCGAATGCGGACCAGTCGGTCCCAAGCGAAATTGTGACGGCCCCTGCAGATGCAATGTTGGATTTATCCGGGCGGACCTTGCGATAGGGATCTAAAGTAAATAGCGTCTTGTCTGCATTCAACGTCTCGTTCAGCAGCTCTCCCGTACGTTCATCGCCGCCTGTTAGATAATAGAATATTCTCTTATAAATCGCACTCGATACTCGAGCCTGCTTGCAACTATCGCTCCAGTGCTGTACACCGTGTCGTGTGCCTAGGCCTTTCCACGGTCCATTGTGATATGCATCGACCTCGGAGGTGTGTCTGGTTAGCGCCTCAGCTAGGCGGTAGACGTCCTCTCTTCCAGTGTGCAGGAAATAGAGCCAGAAAAAGAGATCCGGTGAAAGCTCGGAGTTATCCCACGCGTAACCTCCAACGTCGTATCGCCAGGTGTGTCGGTCTGCGTCGTATGTGTGCATAATGTCGCCGTGGTCCCAGAAGCCGTACCATCGGCGTTCGACGATTTGGGTTTTGTAGTAGGAAAAGAGGAAGTCAAGATTGTGCGTGATGGCTGTCTGAGAAGGGCTTGGATTGAGAGCTGTAGCTTCGGGCGCCCAGTATGTGCCCAGCGCTTTGGTGGATAGGACGTATGCCCTATCAGGAATCAAGACAGGGGGTTCTCGTAGAAGCTTCGCAGTTTTAGAAAGTTGGCTAGAGGAAGGTGTCTGGCTGAAAGCAAAGATGGATAACTCATTCGTCCGCGCAATTCCATATGGCGCCCCCATGTCCTTTTCCCAATCTTCATATGTGACGCGTAGTGCGTCCAGCTGGTCATCGTATGTCTCCTGTCCTAGTCCGTCATGGTAGGGACGTAAATCCATCTTCTCTGCTGACGGGGAATAAAGCCACAGTGTGATCTGGCCTGTTGGACCATTCGCATTTCGAACATCCAAGCCTGTTGGGTACCTCTCCCAGAAATACCGCATTCCAATTCCAAGACCACCATGCGTCGCACTGCCCAGATATGCGAGCCCACCGGCACGGGTTCCTCCAGGGATATTGACCCAACTAAATCCAGAGACAGTTCGTTTTTTCAGTGTGTATCCGTCGGGAGACAGTTGAGTTAGGGTGTAGTCGTTCCAGCAAGGGACCCACTTCATGTACTCTCCAACTTGATTATCCCATGTCTCTTTGGGCGGTAGAGTCTGGCCATGGACTTGAGCAGACCTAATATGTTGACCGGGATCCTTCCAAAGCCCTGTGATTCCTTGAACAGACTCGCTCAATATTCCATCATCTACGCCAGCAAAGCGTACATGTCTATTGAAAGGCAATTCATCGCCAAGAGGGACATCAAATTGGATCGCGATACCCCGGATAAAGGTCTTTTGGGGATCGCCGTCGTAGATGATGGTATGAGCAACACGAATTTCTTCGGAGCTCCGATAGAAGTAGAAGCGCAAGATGAATGGAAGCCATGGGGCTCGTGAAGAAGGATCGTGAGACCCAGTAAATTCATGTGTGCCTCTGATTGCAATGACGGCTCTGATAGAACCCTCCTGCTCGATGGTCACATCTTCAACCGAGCCCTGAAATTCAAATTCGATAGATTGGTCAGATTGAGATAGTAATACCAATCTGCCCCGGGATCCAACAACATTGCCATTGCTGTTTGTGATTTGCTCAATCACAAATCGACCTTTAGTGGGGAAAGTGGCGGACACTTTCCCTGTGTCAACATGGATCACTTTAGTGGTTCTGTCATGTCGAATCTGGATTCCAGTAGGCGGGTCTACATATTCATTTGCTTTGGTCGCCTTGATGAAGTGACCGCTTGGAACGCTCCCCTCCGAGGAAATAGAATGCCCGGTCCATTTCACTGACCCGTCAGGCCAGGACGCATTGACCCAGGATTGTAGCGGCGTCGAATGGCAGCCGTCGTCAAGTACGAAGGGTGTCTGACCAGGATAATATTTCCCTCGTGGCCATGGAACGCCGAATGTCGTTCGAGGCTCGTCCGGGCAATCTCCGAGCCATTTTAGCCTTACCTTGGCCTCATCGGAACTCATGATACAGAGATTTCGACTCACTCGTCGGTCGCACTAAGAGCAGAAAGGACAAGATTTGGACAGGATCAAGTACGGGACGAGTACCTTAGATAGTAGATTGCGTTCATCCGAGACAATTCAAGTTCGGATAAAGAGCACTTCTCGGTTAGAAACAAACAAATAAGGATTCCTGAAAGTCCAGTTCGGCAGTCACCATCGTCTGCAACGATGGCGTATCCAAGCCTTTTAAGCCGGTGCTTAACTCTGATAGATCAAGAGCGTCGGAATATTCCATCAATCATAAGATTAGTGCAATATAAATGATAGCTGTTGGAAGCCTGACTGGTTCATTAATTTATCATGCTGACATTGGGACGTTGGAGCGGGGAGAGCCATCAATTAGGGCTCGGAAGTCAGGCTGATGCCATCCGCCCTTACATGGCAACACTCGTCGCGATGAGCACATCATCTGCGCCATCCCGGCCGCGTCCTTCGTTCGGTTCCTAGACATCTTGGCCATTTAGAATAACAATCAAGAGCAAGTGGTTAATGACTTGACGGTCTTGTTCTAAAGCTTAGCTTCTTGGGCTACTTGCTTGCACCATTGTCGCCCAGCAGCACGAACACAGCCGGTTAGAATTATCGCGAGATAGATGCTGACAGTATATATCTACTGCATGATGCTTGTAAAACATGCAAAGACAGATACTCGGTTTGTCTTCAATTTTCGTGGACCGGTCCGTCCGTCTGGACCTTCCTGACGGTGAAAATGTCTAAGTCGCCCAACCCAGAGTTCACCAAGGACGGCACGGTGGTCGATCTGGCTGAGCCAGATGAGCGGCCACAATACAGGTCTTTTGTTTCTGCTTTCCTATCAAGGAGAAGGAACGTGGGCCCCGACAGTATCGCCACCACACGCAGTGTATTCGACGACCCTGTTCTTGCAAAATACTATCAACCTCATCCTCAGTATGAGAACTTGCACCGGTTCGACCCCAACGAAAGATGGACGCACCGAGAAGAGACTGCTGTGCGACGAAAATGTGACCTCAATATCTTCCTCTGGATTCTTGTCATGTTCTTCGGTCTGAACCTCGACCGAGGCAATCTGGGCAATGCTTCCGCCGACAACCTGCTGGATGATCTACACATCAATACGAACGACTACAACAACGCGCAGAACATGTATCGAATTGGATTTCTGATTGCAGAGATTCCATCCCAAATGATTGGAAAGCGACTTGGTCCTGATCGATGGATCCCTGCACAGATCATCATGTGGAGTCTGGCATCGGGAGGTCAGTTCTTCATTCACAACCGCGCTGGGTTCTTTGCCTGTCGCTTCTTCTTGGGCTTCTTCATGGGTGGCTTTATTCCGGACGCGATCCTGTATCTCTCATATTTCTACACCAAATCTGAGATGCCTCTTCGACTGGCCTTCTTCTGGTTCGTTGACTCCATCTCCGGTGTCATTGCGTCGTTTATCGCCTACGGAGTTTTGCATATGCGGGGTGTTCAGTCTCGCCCAGGATGGCAGTGGTTGTTCCTTATCGAAGCCTTGATCAGCATAGTTATCGGTTTCCTGAGTTTTCTGTTCCTCGTCCCGGGGCCAACACAAACCAAAACCTGGTGGAACCCGAGTGGCTACTTCACTGAGCGCGAGGAGAAAATTATCGTCAACCGTGTCCTCCGTGACGATCCGTCCAAAGGAGACATGCACAATCGTCAAGCCTTGTCCCTGAGTATGCTCTGGAAGAGTCTCAAAGATTACGATTTGTGGCCCATTTATATCATCGGCATTCTCTTCGAGATCCCCACCGGGCCCCCTAAAGGCTATCTGAGTTTATCACTTAAGGCGATCGGATTCAGCACATTCCAGACAACACTCCTCGGAATCCCAGTCACCGTATTCGCCGCTATAAACCTGCTCATTATCACCGAAATCACCGAACGATTCCACCAGATTTCAATCGTTGGCGTTTTTACCCAGCTCTGGTCTCTGCCGCTGCTCATCGTCCTCTACACATCGGCCAGCTCACTCTCCAGCTGGGGTCTGTACGCGGTTACATTCGTGCTTCTGGGCTGGCCTTCTCCCCACGCTGCTCATGTCGGTTGGACTTCTCGAATCAGTAACGCCGTGCGAACCCGGACTGTTAGCGCGGCCGTGTACAATATTACCATTCAGTTGTCCGGAATCGCGTCATCGAACATCTATCGCGAGGATGACAAACCGTATTATCATCGGGGAGACGGTCAATTGATTGCTATTAATATCGCCACGATTGTAGCATACGTTTTGGCGAAGCTTTACTATGAATGGCGGAATAAGTCGAAGAAGGCCAAGTGGGAGGCGATGAGCGAACAGGAGAAAGCGCATTATTTGGATACGACAAGCGATGAGGGGAACAAGCGGCTGGACTTTCTGTTTGATAGTTAGAGATTTCATCTATGGGCTGATAGGGTGGTTAGACTTGTAGGGTGGTTAGACTTGTGAGGTGGTTAGGTGGTAGGATCGCAGGATCGTTGAGTTGGATTTACTAAGTAGGCTAACTAGTTATAGTTGATAATTTATTAATCCCCTCCTTCTAGAGGATAGAGTCAAATCTGGCCGAAATGGCGTTACATCCAAACACGGTCTTATCCGGATATTAAACGAACTGCAACTAAGCTCTTAACCAGGGAAAGTAAGAATCGAGCAAGCAGCGTGGCAGAAGCTTATATACCACGTCCTTGCCCCTGGCCATAAGCCAAACAGTCAAAGACCGATATTAGGTGTACAAAAAATAAGACCGAAGACTTTACCAACATGCCCTCCATCAAAGAAGAGCTGCAGCTCCCCGAGCGTCCGAAAGGCCTTCCTCACCCCGAATACACCACTCCGCGTGGCGTGTCCCCCCTGCAGTCCGTCCCCGCCGCGGGCTTGCAATACCCGAACTACACACCCTTCAAACTACCTAATCTCGTCGAAAACCATTTCACAGACCGGGGCCTGAACTCCGACCCATCTAAATCCCAGCTTCTGAACGCTGCTACCATCATCCATCTGACCCCCGAAATCGGCACCGAAATTGTCGGCCTCCAGCTAACCGATCTGACCGACGAGCAAAAAGATGATCTAGCGCGCCTGGTCGCCGAACGAGGTGTTGTCTTTTTCCGCGACCAGGAGATGGACGCGCATGAGCAGATTGCATTCGGCGCGTATTATGGCGATCTGCACATTCACCAGATGGCGGGAATTATACCTGATCTGCCCTGGGTGCATCCGATCCATAAAGATGAGACGGCTGTGAATGGCCGCTCTCATCAGATTTGGCATTCGGATGTAAGTTATGAGATTCAGCCGCCTGGATTGACACTATTGAAGATGGATACCCTCCCGGAGGCAGGACCGGATGGGACCCTGGCTGGGGGAGATACCATTTGGGCGAGTGGGTATGCGTTGTACGAGTGTAAGACTTCTTTTGGTCAAATTTCGTGATGTAACATTACTGAGAAACCGTGTGATAAGCGCTCTCGCCTAAACTGCGGGCATTCTTGGAAACACTAGAGGCGAAACACAGCGGACTCGAACAAGCAGAGAAAGCGCTGCGCACGAGCGGTTGCCTACGCAGAGATCCTATCGAGACTATCGTAAGTCAATATTCCATCCACATGACTGAATGAACCCTCATTGATTGATTGCAGCACCCTGTCGTCCGTACTCACCCTGTGACAGGATGGAAGACTCTCTACGTGAATGAGAACTTTACCAAAGAGATCGTGGGATTGGAGAAGAGAATCGGAGATGGAATATTGGACTCTCTCTACCGCACTGTGGCCGAAGGATATGAGTTCCAGGTGCGGTGGAAGTGGTCTAAAAATGCGGTCGCGATCTGGGATAATCGGGTCACCTTCCACACTGGGATATTTGACTACTGTAAGGTGTCTCTCCAAATGTTGAACCGACATAATGCTGACTAGAATCCCCAGTCCCGCACCTCCGACATGGACTCCGAGTTGCGCCACAGGCCGAAAGACCATATTTGGATGCCGAGTCGAAGACAAGGAAAGAGGCTCTATCGAAGGATGTGTAAATAGGCTGCTAGTTTTATCATATGACCGTTTTGAGAAATGATGTAATTTGTATGCAATTAATTTAAGCATTGCTGTGACTCGGAGATTATCCTTAGATGGTTAGACCAAAGCTTGACCGTTCCTTCAAAAGGCTGACACCGATATTAAATGCTTACTGAGGGAATTGTATCATTGATGCCAAAATGAGGCAAGGTACCCCTATAGTTACATCATCTTAACTCGGACAAAAGAGGCTCAGTCTCCCTTATCATTTGTATAGCATCGGATCCACATTGAGTGGAGCAAAATGTCGACATTTGATTAAGACATTGGCAAGACACATTCACGATGCTTAAAAGCAACAACTATCTGTAGCATCTCAAGTGTATCAACAGGCTATTAAAATTTCTTTTTGAGTCACAATGAGACTCCTTCCTCTCTTTCTGTTCTTATCCCCTATCTCCGGCCAACTCATAGGCCGTGTCGGCCCAACAACCGATCTTTCGAAGAAGACAACAGAGTGCAACATTCTCGACTACGGCGGAGTTGCAGATAATAGCACAGATATTTCGGATGCATTGGAAAAGACCTTCAATAACTGTGTTCGTCGTCACGAGGGAAGCAGACTGGTTGTTCCGGAAGGAGAATACCTCATTAATCGGGGCGTGGTGTTGAGCAATGCCACAAACTGGGCATTCCAACTCGATGGGCTGGTTACGGCCGCGTATGGAGGGGACTGGAACATTGAACGTGGGTTGATTCTCCAAGGCTTTGCCGGCGTGGATGTATTGAACGATACCATCAACGGGGAGGGTGACCATAAGTTCTTGTTAGATGTCCTTGTTATTGTCAATGGTAAGCTTTCTCAAAGAATAGTGGAATTCCGTCCACTAACTCCGGAGATAGCGGTCGACTTTGAGTTCTATTCCTCTAATGGCCGAGGTGCGTTCCAGGGCCAGGGATACTTGTACAGAAATCTGAATAAGTAAGTCTTCTAGAGGTGATGAGTTGGCTGAGATTGCGCGTGCTGAACATTATGAAAGTACGGATCGCCCTCGTCTCGTCAGATTGATTTCGCCGATAAATGCTTCAGTCCACGACTTGATTCTCGTGGACAGTCCAAAGTTCCACATTATTCTTGACTTTGCGGTCAATGTGGAGGCATACCATTTGACTATCCGCGGAGGCAACCTGGGTAGCTACGATGGTATCGACGCAATTGGAACGAACTACTACATTCACGATAATGAGGTAGGGAGCAAGTTCGAACTCCGCGGGAAAATCAGCTAACGGAAACAGGTGACCAACCGCGACGAGTGTGTATCTGTGAAAAGCCCCTCTCATCACGCCCTTGTAGAGAACCTGGTTTGTAACCAAGCGGGTTCGGGGATTTCTATTGGAAGCTTGAATATATCCGCCGAGATATCGAATATCGTACGTTTTGTATGTCCCTATCTGACGATAGAAGACTAAGATCAATCAAAGCTCGCCCGAAACATCAATATTATTCAAGGCAACAACATCGCTTTCATCAAGACCTATCCTGGCGGATCAGGCTACGTCACGAATATCACTTTCGAGAATTTCCGCTCCAAGGCAAGTCTCTATGGTCTTAGCGTCAACCAATACTGGCAGAACACCTTTGAACCCGACACTGGCGCCGTCGCTCTGAGCAATCTTGTCTTCCGAAACTTCACTGGTATATCAGCTTGCCTTCTCGCATTCTTTTACCCAAGCACTAAATTAAAACCCAGGTTCTGTCGCCGACGGTCTGAAACGTCCACCGCTCTACCTAATTGCCAACGATCTCACCTACGCGACGAACGTAACCGTTGAAGACTTCTCCGTATGGACTGAATCCGGCACTAAAGTGGCCAACAAGATCAGCAATATCTATGGCACAGGAGACGACTCATACAACAAGGACAACGGGATCAAGTCATGGAGTCCAACCACTACTCCCCAGGCTTATACGAGCACGTATACGATTACTGCATCGCCGACCGGGTGGACTGCACCGTCGAGCCCGACCTGGGCGGCACCCAGCACCGGATACGGAAGTAAGTTTTATTTGCTTTTTCGATGTCGTTTGTGCGTTTTCAGGTTCTGATTGTCGTTGCAGCCGACGTGCCCATTCCAGTTTATACCCCAAAGCCGTTGTGGAGGCCTAATGGTGTGGATTATGATTTGCATTATTGGGGAAGTTTTTAGCTCAGGCACGGATTGACGAACCACTTTTGGCCTTCGATGATGGATATTGAAATGACGTTCTGCTGAGGAGATTGTGTACCATTATGCACCCGAGATGAGCTCTAGAGAACAGGGTTGGTAGAAGAAAACAAAGAACGAGACAAAATCGGGATTTCCTTGCTCACTTCCAAAGTGGCAAAGAAGAGAAAATTCATAATGTGTAGACAAGGAAGTAGTTCATCTAAAACCGCGATTGCTCTTATTTTTTTGTACCAATAAACGAAAGAGACCATTATTGCATGAGCAAAATGAAATGAGAGAGAGAAGTCTCCTAGCCAGCTATCAGAGCTCTACCACCATGTAGCACTCATAACAGCTTCGCAGAATGGCACATCCAGTGCAGTATAATTCAGCATCGAGTGGACTTGGGCTAATAGTGAAAATTCCAGAATATTTCTTCCAAGGCAGTTTGAATGTCTATTCTATTTTTAATACCTAGCTTGACCCAAAGAATGTCTGTTCACACAAAGCGTTGATGACCGGCTGTGGTTTAGCTTGAATGATCCCAGTTTGTTGATCCCTTGTCTTTGTTCTTCCATCAAATACTTGCGACAATACTACTTGTGAGCGTTCTTTGTAAAGACTATGTTTGGTCGTTAGATTTCATTGTAAACCACGAATTGGGCATTTGGGCCACCCGTTTGGTCACTGCATCTTTTTCACCCACTGGGTAGCTCGCTTTCATCGGTATTGCATAGACGGAGAAAAATATTTCATGGCATCATTTGTGCCATGAAACGTGCTCTTTGTCATCAATCGCTACAAAGATTTAGGCCTAACATCGAAAATCTAAATAGATGGATACATCCAGAATTTAAGATGATGAGTTCTTTCGTCTTCGCAGCACCTCTCCTACCCTTTTCTCCGATCTTGTGAGATTTGCTTTGGCACGATGTCTCGTCTTTCGCGTCACTTACTGAATTTCACCCTTCTTCTTATTGCCGTCTCCGGGCAATTCAACCTGACTGATTTCATCGAAGCTATTAGACTAGAAAAGGACCCTCAGAAGATCGTCTTCATCGTCTATCGCACGGTGCTCAATATAGTCTTGTATATCCTGATCAACGGTATTCGCAATATCCGAGGCCTTGGATCGCCGGTAAAGGGAGTTTTTATTGCCGTTCTTTGGCTTACATCCGGATATCCTTGCGACTTTCGCGATAACCTCTACGAAGTTTACCATTCGGGGCCGTCGGATGGCATCACCGGTCGCCTTTGGCATCTCATCTCAGCACCAGAGCATGTGATATCTTACATTGTGGTTGGATTCAGCGTCTTCCGCCTCATATCGCAATGGGGTGTGTTTCTTTACTTCTTCAAAACGCACGAGAGTCCTGACGTCATGAAGCCGAAGAAAAGGAACTGTACTACAATAATCGCGACCACTGATACCGACCGACAAAGAGTCGAAGAATGCTTGACATCCTGCTTGTTGAACAAAGTACGAGAGGCCATCGTTGTGACGACCAATAGTGAGTTTGCAGAGACAGAGGATATGGTGAACAGGTTCCGGAAGTGTTTCCCAGAGACCACAATCTACTTGCTGGACACAGAAGAGACTCGCAAATGCGACATGATTAGCGAGGCCATCAAGATGGTTGAAACGGATATCGTTGTGCTCGTTGATCCCAATGTCTTTTGGCCTCGTCGTTTCTTGGATCGCCTGTTGGTCTCTTTCAATAACATCATTGGATTTGCAATGATTTACCAACCCGTTCATCGATTCAGGATGTCCCTTAGAGTAAGCTCTCGTGGTGAAAACACCCAGCAAGAACCGAGAATGGGGCTGTCTTTGGGGCAATATGCCGCTCGGGCTATAGCTTGTCCGAAGTCACTTCTCCAACAACCCGAGTTCAGCGGATCTTTCAAACAAGCACAGCCGACAGATTCTGCGTTCTACGACGAAGAGTGTGCCGCGCGCTTCCTAGAAAGATGGGCATTGGAGAATGGATACCGCACGGCGAAGAGCTATGTTGGTCATGACGCATTCGAACCACCCCTTCGTACAACCCCCGAGTCCGCTGTCTTTGCACACCGTTTATTCTACTACGTCAAGTGCGCACGACAAGCCGCGAGAATGAGGTTCAGAAATATATTGAACATCGCCATTGAATGGGGGAATCTGACCTCTGTAGCCCGCAGTAGCCATGCATTGGCATTCTTGATTCTGGCCTTTTGTCTTGACGCTGCGCTCACAATGATAATTTGGCAGTCCACGCAAAAGAAGCGAGAGGCTCAAAATACTCGGGGGCGTGCCCACTGAATTTTTGTCATACTCCAGCCGAGGAGAACTCCAGTTGTGGTATACAGTTTTTGTCTGGTTCCACGGTCTTCTGAAGAAATGGGCGGTCATTTATCTCTGTTTGAATCTCTTCGGCCACACCGAGATGGTTATGGACAATAAGCCCTCAATGACGGTTATCGGTAATCGCGTTAATATGGGCTTGGGCTCAACCTTGTCTGCCCTTGAATCCAACAATTCGGATATTCGCCCTCACTTTTCACCAGTACAGACTCAGCCTGAGTGGGTGAGTTCAAATGAATTGGTCCCGCGATCACCGGCTCAAAATGAAACCACGGACATTGAGACCTTCGCCAGAACTCCAACCAGAACCAACGACCCTCTTCAACGAGTACGAAGCTCACCCTCGTACAGACCTGCTTCGCTCCCGCTGTCACCCCGCCCACGGATCCACACTGACATCCATCCTTCTATCGAGCAGCCATCCAGGCCCCAAACCCCCAGTCCAATAAGCCAGACACGCCAGGAATCACCGTACTCTCTGCCAAATACCCCCAGTGAAAGAAGCCAGCTGCGCGATGAAATCACCGATGAAATCAAAGCGTTCTCCTCGAGCCAATTGAGCCCGCTGTCGAAACATGAGCAACTACCCTGGTCTCGATCCCCCAGCCCAAAAACTCAAACATGCAACTTCCAAGCTCGGGGCTTAATTCAAGCCCAACGGAGCCCTACCCCCGATCCTCCCAGATCCAACAGACGCCGCAGAACCGCTCGAAGACCGGAGTCATACCAGAACGAGTTCAACCCATCAGGATCTGAATCAAGCTCCGACGGATCTTCCAGTGGTCATGAAAGCCATGCAGACCCTGTCGCAGAAAGCCGGCCCCGGTTCCGGACGCCGAATTTTTCTCCAGGTCAGCCTGTTTCACGGTCAGCGACGCTGGTTCCCGGGTTAGATACTTTTCCTACCTTGCCCATGCCCCGCCAAAGCTCGCCAGCTCAAAAGATACCAGTCAAGTCCGACCCCATTAGGGAGATGCTATCGGCAAGCATAGTACAAGGTACGATAGAACCGGCGCCGCAGCTTAGAGCGACGAAATTTACGAAAAGTAAACAAGCCCCTGCGGCCGCCTCTCCTACAACTCGATGGCCAGCTGGACCGAAAGCTAAGCGAGCAACACCAGAGCCTGCTTTTGTGTCCCCGCGAAAGACAAGGTGCGTGAAGTGTGGGCGGTTGCATGTTGGAGATTGTTTGGAGTGATGGGAGTAAAGCATGGAGGATAAATTATATCATGGGTGGCATTTTGGATTTCAACTTTGCATTAAACTGTATATTTTCTTTCTTTCGGAGGCTGGTGTTGTTTTGACTACAGAGTCAAGGGCTGTGGAGTTAGCAATTTACCAATGTTTATGGAATAATTGAAATCTTGAAGAGTGTTAGTTGAATGGTAATTCCATTAACCTATCCTATAAAAATGGTATATAGTTATTTCTAGTTTCAATAATTTCCATGATATCAAGCATATGAGAAAAGAATTCACTGGAAAGACGATACTTACAGCAAACTGTATAGAGCAAATCTTGAGATAAACAAGCTAAACATCCATGGGGTACCTAGATAACCAAACCGATACCGTAACCGAGGTTTCTTTGCAATGTCCCCCCCCCCCCCCAAAAAAAAATACAGAAAAGAAAATGAGGAGAACAAGATCAACACAGTTCCCTGGATAGTACTAAGGCTGCTGCAGTCACAAGAATGTTTGAACCTTCTGAAGCCCCATACTGATCGCTGGGACTGAGCATCCATGCCACTTACGCGCTCGGTGAGCGGTCAAGCTCTATGCTGATTGGCCTTGCAATTGTAGCTTTGCGGGCCTGCATTAGCACAAACCCAAAACTTTTCCCTGACCATGCAAATGGATGGAAGCTGGTGGCAAGACAAGATATGGCGGCAAGGCAGCGACGGTCAGGCCGCAAGGCAACCTTTTCCGCAAAGCGGTCTATATCGCTTTAGGAAGACGGGGTATAGATGCAACCTTATCTGATGATCTGATTTGCGATGTTCAACACTCCCAGGCTAGCTTACCGAATAGTTCGATTTATTTGGATCAACACAGACTACGTGGTCAATCTATTCTGGGAGGTCTGTCCAAACGCCGAATAGGGCCTTCTGTCACTGCCACAAAGCCCTTGGCCCGGAGACATTTTCAGCTGCATCTTGAGCTTTCTCCGGACTTGCTATATTCTACTACGCCCTTAAGATATCTCACAGCAATCCCTTTTCCCAAACGCAATCAAAAATGCGCCCGGAGCATCAAAATCAGCAACCATCAAAAACACGTCTTTTTCTCGCGTCATTCGAACCGCAGGGGCCTCTAGGCCCCAATAAACTGCCATGGAGGTCCCAGAACCCCATGGTGGTGGTGCATCGCACACGTCAACTCCGCGAGCGGGATACGTGGTCTCTCAATCCCCAGAGACCCTGCGGGGACCAGACATTCCAACACCCAGCTACCGACGCTCTCAGGGCGACATACACCTAATACAACCTTAAACCAGCTAGAACAATCCTTGTCGATCCAATCGAAGAGCCAGGAACCGCCAGAAACCAGGAGCTCAAGCAGGGCATCCAGCCGAACGAGCGAAACGCATAGTACAATCAAATTGCATAGAACTCAGCAAAGAGAACCAGCAAACAAGCACAGATCGATAGAAGAGTCAATTAAGAAAACGCACGCTCTAGCAAGAGCTATCGGACAGGCCCGGAGCCAACAAGAAAGCCAAGAATGCATACGACTACAGCTAGCCGAAGAGCTAAACAACTGGAGCGCCCAACAACGAGTCCGGGAAAACCTTTATCTCGAACGCATCAACATCCTAGAGGTAGAAGTTGGTAAGCTCCGATCGGAGCTTACAACAGTCCAACAAAATATGATACCTCAAAACGAAAGGCAGACTATACCAGCCCAGCAACCAGCCCAGCAGGCAGATCAGAGGCTGCCGAACCAGAAACAATCGGATCAAAAAGTGCCAAACAATCAATCCATCCAAGCTCAAAAGAAAACAACATATGCAGATTTAGCATCCCTGATGGCAACCAAACCAGGAAGCCAAAAGTGGCAAGAAGTTACAAAGAAACAGAAGAAACAACCACAAAAAACAGCCAGAACAGTCAAACTTAGGGAATATCAAGCCATTGAAGAACAGCCCCAAAGAAACTCGCAGACTACTATTCCGCAGAGAAAGCGGAATATCAGCTCCGAAAGCTGTAAGAGAAGACGTGATTCTAGGAATCAACCGTGTACTCGCAAACACAGGCTTCCCAAGCTTTATAAGGGTAGTAGGTACTGGTTGTACCAATACAGGAGCGATCAGTATTCTTCTAGAAAAAGGATCTACCGGATCAATACTATTACCCTACAGAGATCTACTAGTGACAGCGGTACGCCAAGCTGATCCAACAGTGGTCTCACTGGAACTGCCAGAGCAATGGTATCGGATGAAGATTTACAGGGTCCCAGTCAAACGATATCTGAGCTGTGGGCTCGGCCTAGTCCGGGAAGAGATTGAGCTGGGAACTGATTACCAGTTAAAAAGAGATCCTACATGGCTTAGGAGTCCTAAGGAGCTTAAAGATCAAAAAGGATCTACAATAGTGATTACAGTCGGATCCTTAGAAGAAGCTCACAAGCTTCTTACAAATGGGATCCGCTTTGGGGGAGCCCGCTACCGAACAGAGCAATACTAGGAGATAGAACCAGATACAGTCTACCCCCGATACTACGGTCTTAGTCATCGAGGCTTCAGAGCCTGCAAAAATCAAAAACTATGTTGTTTCATATGCCCGGCCCCCCCATGAAGGGGTAGAACATATATGCAAGGTAGTAGACTGCATAGCAAGACCAGAAACCGTCTGCCAGCATATACCAGCGAAATGCGGAAACTGCCAGGGCCCGCATATGGCCACTACAGAAAACTGTCCAGCAAAACGAGCAGCCATAAAACAGGAAAAAGATAGAAGAGATCAAAAAGATAACCCGAAACAATATCACGTCCAAGCTGGCCAACGCCCACAGAGCCCAGCCTTTGCAGTGGACATTGAAAACCGACAGCCCAGGCAAATAAGAAGCAGCTCAGTACCAGCCAGCCCGCGAACCCCGATGGGAAAGACTAGAGAAACTCAGCTGCTGCAAACCCCAACAGCCAGCCGCAGGAACGAAACAGATATGGAAGAGTATAGGACCCCCCGGAGCCATACTACAGAACCGAATAGCTCCTAATCCTGGTAGAACAGCACAACTGCCGCAAGACATACGCCGTCACAATTGCGGCACTAGAAGCAGGGCTAGAGCTAGGGGTAGGCCTAGCATGCCTACAGGAGCCCTATATCGATACAGACTTTCGACAAGGGGCGTATCAAATTTACTGGCTAGAAGCCGGGGAACGCAAGAAACAGAGAGTAGCAATTGCTGTCCGTCGGGATCTTCTTAACAAGCTGGCGATAGAGGCACGCACGGACCTAATAAATCATCCTTATTTACTAACTCTAGATATTTGGGAGTTAGATAGGACGGCTAAGAAGACCCGGAGAACCCGGATAGTCAACTGCTATGATAACTGGATCGGCAAGAACCACTGCTGGCAAGGGATCAGCGAGCGACGAAGAAGAGCGATAGAGGATATTAACTGGAACAAAGTTCTAGAAGCAAGATCCCTATTTCTGGGAGAACTTAACGCGCATAGTCCCTTATGGAACCCCCAGGCAAGAACCCGGGAGGACGCAGGAACTCTGGAAATACTAATTGAAGACTAAGGTCTCTATATCAAGCCGGAAAAAACAATGTGATGATACTTACCAATATGATGAAGTGGCTCAAGAGGCCTACTGGATCCAAGAGAGTCATACAACTGTGCTGAATCAATACGCAAAGAAACTGCGGGTGATAATTCGATCAAAACGATGGTAGGGCCTAGCGATAAAAAAAGCCAGATAAAGCTACGCTCGAACAAAGCGGGCCTGGACGACACAGGGTATCCAGGACAGCGAATACAAGGCAGCCCGGAACATCTACTACAGCGCTATTCGAAAGGCCAAGCGAAAATACTGGGAGGAATTCCTAGTAGGGCCGCAGAATGAGGAGACAGACCCTCGCGAATCGGAAAGATGCTGGCAAGCACTTCGATATACCAATACCAGTGGAGCTAGTATCACACCAGCTCTAAAAGGCCCAGAGGGCCGAGCAGCAGTTACTATTGACGAAAAGGAGGCCTTAGTACGAGAAACAGCGTTCCCACCAGCCCCAGAGGGTGAAGACCCTGAACGACTACCACCATGGACCTGGCACACCCAGATCGATGAAGCGAAGATCAAACACGCACTGTTTTATTAAGCTATTCAAAAAGCCCCTGGTATCGATAAGCTGGATTTTAGAGCTCTACGACTACTGTAAGACCGGGACAGTCCCCGGCTGATAGCTCTGGTAAGACAGTGCTTCAGGCTAGGTGTCCATCCAGAGACATAGAAGATAGCTAAAGGTATTCTTCTGCGGAAGCCGAATATGCCAGACTATACGAAATTCAAGGCTTATCGGGTGATCATCCTGTAAAATCAGTTTTTCTATTTGAGTACTAACGATTATCGTATGAATAGAGCCATGGTTGGATGCATAGCAAGTGATGTTACAGGCAAAGGCTGAGCAATATCCGACGCAGACCCCGAGCAGAATAATTTGTTGGTACAAATGATCTCTATTCCAGACAAAAATCGAATGCTGCATATAGTATCCGAGAGGATAGTTAGTGGGAGTTGCTTACCAAAACCACTTTTCGAGCGGGAGACCATTGCAATTTGATACGAAGGAAAGTAGATGCGAAACCAAAGCCTTCTATTTCTGAGAAAGCAAACAACGAACTAGATACACTTTCCTTCACTGTACACTTTCAATCAACCTCTCCTTCTCTAAAAATCATCCCCCCATTGTCCCTGTGACTAGCTCCGGTGACCAAAAGTCGAAGTGTCGATAAAATATCGGTCGAGCTGTTTAGCACATGGCCCAGCCAGCACCCTCGGTGCAGCACTTGCCGGTACCCTCGGTGATGTCTGCCTATTGAAAATTTTAGTAGAGCTCTTAAGAAGCCGCGAGTTTGCAGCGTATTTTGAATTTGCAGAAACGGATGTACCTTGCAGTAGTAGCCTGCGTCACAGTAGCCGATGCTGCCGTCGGCCTTGCAGGGTTCCTTGTATCCGAGGACAGTGTTCTCATCGCGAGCCTGGTTGACGGGGGAGGCAAGAGCGCCGGAGATGAGGGCAATAGCAGAGAAGATGTACAAGAACTGCATTTTGAATGATTGACTGTTTTGGGATTTTCGTCTGGAACTTCCGATAAAAGAATGTAGATTGAAAGAGTGGATAGAGATGCTAGAGGCTGCTGATAAGAGAGAATGTGAGTGATGATGTTCTGATTTCAGGCGGGAAGAAGGGTCTATTTATCTCTTTTCGTGCCTCTATACTTTCTCTATTCCGCTAACTTTGGAGTGTCCTTTTCCTTTGCCCGTACTTTGAGATGCACGAGTTATATTGCTTTGTCCAATCGAAACAATCTTCCTTTCGCATCGCCTTTGTTGGGCAGGGGGGCGAAACAAAGGTTTATGCTCCAAACCAATCGTAAATTAAATTGAAGTCTTACACCTTACCCGGCTTGGCTTCTAGAACGGACTCAACAGTCAACACCCTAAAATTGAAAGGTGATGTGGGTGCGGTTAGAAACAAGCTCTGGTGTTCAGTTGAACCCGGCCCGCAATGCATGTCAGATAAAGGATGCAAATCAATCATCAATGACCCCTTGAGGCCAAGACTTTGCATGGACTAACAGAGAAGAAGGCTATACAGATCCCTGCATGTTAGCATAGGCCCCATGGTCTGATCGCAGGTTGAGCCGAACGGACCTGTTGTAGTCAAGAATATTGAGTTATGTTCACGCAACAATGGAAAGGATCCATCCCCCTATGTTAAATTCAGTAGCCGTTTCCATAATACTAGGTAAATCCTCATGGTTCTGGTTGTCTGTCCGTTCTAGATGTTGTCGTCTTCTTTTCAAGGAAAGATACTTGACTACGGAATCGGATAGGCAAAAACCAGACTGATTCGCCAAGGCTTCTGGTACAGAACGGTTCAGGCTTCCAACCCAAGCAAACGTGTTCAATCCGCTGAGGTCCTTAACGGGCTCATGCTCTGCTTGGCTGACCTCTTCTGGGGCCATCAGGGCCGATGCGGGTTCTAGGCTTTTAGCGCCCCCCCTTAGAGGGGCAAGGTTTGGGGCCGCGGAGCCCCATTTTTGGCCCCGGCCCCAAACTCGGCCCCTCAGATTGGCGCGCCCTCGGACACAGCCTGCCTCCCTCGACGTGCGACATTGGACGCGGAGTAGGTATCCGCTGTCAGTGGTCGATCCTCTCCAGAATAACTGTCCCTAACCACTGGCTTCACGAACTACTGCAATGATTTGCAATCTCTTTACAAATTCCTTGCACCTACAACTGTCTCCCGGTTCCAATTTCAACACAGTAACAACTCTGGAGAAACTGGAGTCTACATACATTCAGGTCATAGTTCATCCCGATAGCAACTCAACCAGGCAATACCAACAATATCCAACGAACGGAAGATTCGTGGTTGGGTCGCGGGTTGACGGCCCCGTGGCTTTGGACCCCAGGCAGGGATTGTGAACGGGCTGCCCACAGCCACGCTGCAGTCAGCCAGAGCAGACAGAGCAGACAATAGGAGCCATTTCGTCTAGTACTCTTTCCATAAATGGCTTGATCAAGTTACTAAACGCTCTTTTACTAGTACTCATTCCATATCATGGTGTCCTCAGTTTCATTGGTTGATGTGAAGAATTTGAGTCATTTCTTTCTGCCTTGGCTTCTCGTACGTTCTAGCTTCCATGCCTTCCTCTGTACAGGACTTTCAACATGAGGCATAATCTTCTTTTGCTCTTCCTCTCATAGATCACTCAAGAGCTTAGATGTGGTGCTGAGTGTCAGTCCCCTTCTTATGACAATCTCCTATCTTTCCTCCTTAGGACTTCTGATTCTTTCTTCGCTGCAGCATATTTCAGAAAAGAGAGCAAGGTAGAAAACAGACCTGTGATAGTGCTCGATGATAGGCGTCTCCTGATAAGTCGACTGCCATCACCATTATTGCTCACTTTATCTCGCTTTCCTCACATTGCAATAGCCGCCTAACTCCAATTTCGTCGATCGCCAACTCCAGGATGGAGATACGGCTATACCATTCCTCTTGCAACGAGTGGAATAATCAACGTTGCCGCATGATCATGACTCATGAAAGCCATAGCAGCTGTTTGAGTAGAAGTCCCTAACAACAACTTATTCGTTCTCTTTCCTGACAGCGCTGCCTTTTTCTTTTCGCGGTTTTGACTGGAGCTTTTTTGCGTTATGGGAAAAGACTCAACGTTCTGGTTGATTGAATTTCTTCGCACGCAGTTGGGAGATCACACCTCCCAACTTTAGCCAGTCGATGTCTGGGGGTAGGGAGAGGCTTTGAAATCATTCGGCATCCGGCATGAGAGCTCTCAGCAAGACCTCTGGCCCACTGGGTATACGAGACACAACCTATTCTTTCTATGTAGCGTAGATAACACACGGTCACACTCAACAATTCGTCTACCCAGGGTGACTCTAATAGATACCTGTCTATGGCATTGGTCCGAGGCAGCATTCTAAGGCAAGGGCAATTGCGGTAGACAAGTACTAAACGGAATACAATCAACCACAATACGATCTTGGGTGGTATCTTGCATGACCCCTGATATGATTTCCTTGAGGGATTATACAAATAAGCCGCCTAGGGGAGATTGCTAAAGCTCTGAAGGCCGTGAACAACATACATGTTATTTGCTGTTCGATACGGTATCCCTCAAGCCATTATAAACCAGATCAATATTTAAGCGATACATTTTGGAAAACGCGGCCATTGGGATGTAACGAAACCTAATGCATCGAGCAACTTCCAGCTACTTCGTTAATTAGATAATTGTCATCTCGAGTTCTCTCTCTCAGATATGTTCCATTCTTGCAAACTTGTGGCTGTCTTCATATAATAACCATGTCTCAAATAACATGAGTGGGTTGCATTACCGGGGACAAATCATAAATCATGCTCAGTTGATGTCAACAACAGGACGGTCGGCAACTAAAAGACGTACGTATAATTACTATTCCAGTCAGTTGAATGAAGTCCTTGAGGAAGACCATGAACCTCCTCAAGGAAGTCCTGAATTGGGAGTGATGCGACAACATGCGTGGCACCATCCTCAATAAGAAATATATATTCTGCCATGGGAAGGCATGATGCTACCAGTCAAAATTGAGAAATCTCGCGATATGCCCTTATAAAAAAACTCTCCTAGTTACTAGTTTGGTTTCACTTTCTAGCTCCTCTAGCCACGCGGCATTGCTCCACGCTGTCTTGGCTGACTGAACATCTTTGAATCAGAATACATATCCAGTCTTCGTTGTACCGATGCCGGCTACCTGGGCGTCCTTGGTAGGGTCTGTCTTTGATAGGGCAGTTCTGATGTGTTGGTTGGGAGTGTCTATGTATAGGAATCGGGTGAAGCTGCTGTTATCGTTATTGTCTCTGTCATTTCCATCTTTCGGTCGTACGGTGGTGATTCGGACGCAGTTGGCTTCTCTCCGGGGCTGTGGGATTATGTGTGCGGTAGGGTGTTTCCTGCGGCGACTTCGGACTACAGCCTTGGGTGTAGGCTAACTGCCTGGGTTTCGATCTGCTTGCAGAGTGCCTGGATCTCGTCCTGTAGTTGGGTGTTCTGTTCTTTTAGAGCCTGTTCTGTTTTGATCTCTCGGATTTCTGCTTGGGCGGACTGGATGGTACTGGGCTACTGGCTTGTTGGGTGATAACTTTCTTGTGGTTGAGAATGAGGCCTGCAATCATTTGGTTTATGATCCTTTTGCCATCTTCCAGGGAGGGAAGCTCAATCCCTGAAACCTAATGGGCTCCGCTTGGGTATTCCTTCCCCGACCCCTACGTTCTGGTGGGAATGCTGGGATAGCTTCATCCCTTGCAGAGTTTTCAGGGGTCCTTGGGGCTTCCTCCGGGATCGCCATCGGGTCGCTTTAGCTCCCGTTCGGCACACAACGTCAACCACGGAATCGCTATCCAACAATCGGGATCGCTTTCTCCTTCAAATGTACACGGTTATATAATAATGGTCCAGCACTTCGCTGCATACAGTAGTTTCCGTCCTCCCTCCGCCGGCGTAGTCGTAAACGAATTCAGCTTCACGGCACGGTTCCGCGCAGCTTCCCAATGCGTAAGGGTGTGGACGACGAATTTACCAACACTATATCATACCGGAAGGTTTTAGCAATGGCTCCCCTTCCCTTCTTCCGGGAACAGAGCCAAGCGCCCAAAAAAAAAAAAACCTACTCAGCACACTAACTCAGACTATCCCTCCCGTTCCATCCCCCAGCAACACCTCCTTCTTCGCAACAGCATCAAACGACCCGCTGCGAGGCGAATCCTTCAATGGACCCAAGTAGAACAGAAAATCGGCATATGGGGAGTGACCACGTACGCGTACTCCAGCGACTCGCGTATCGTCTTCAATGTCGCACACACCTTGAGTTTCTGCTGATCCGGCTTCTCGTCCTTCGATGCAGGACCATATTCGATGTCTTTGTCGTATTCGGAGGGCAGGAAGCGCTTGATGTGCGGTGCTTCGTTGGCGATCTGGATAAGTGGGATTTGCGCGGCGATGGCGCCACGGCCGAGCGCGGAAATGACGGTGTCAATCGCTGGTTGTCATTGAGGGGGGTGTTAGTGTAGGAAAACTGGGATTAGCTACAGCGATAATTGAATGGAGTAGAGAGAATTGGAAGATTGGTCGCATAGGGTATGTTCAGAGAAAACGAACCGGTGTACGCCTTGCGCACGTCCTTTGGGCTGTTAATATCGTGAACAATGACCTGCACGCCTTCTTGTTTTAACTCGTCGATGGTCTCCCGTTTCGATTCGAGGGTCCAAGCGCTGGTATAGATGGAGATTCGGCCGAAGGATTGCTTGGCTTCCACGATGGGCTTCGTGACGTAGAGGCCGATGTCTCGGTGGCGCCAAAAATGAGGGGGTTGGACTGCGCCATACTAAATAAGACGGCTTTCTTTCTTTGGGGAAGGCATTTTGCCGGCAAGTGTGCTATCTCTGGGTCTGCCGCAGGGTTTTCAACAGCGAGCCATGGTCATTTAGGGGGGCAATCGCATTATCAGCGAGCGGCGGAGAAGGCGAGGACTGATTTACAAACAAAGATGAAGCCACCCCGCACGTGACCCCCTTGTAAGTGGGTTGCGAAGCCTTAAAGGCGACGATGGAGCATTTGTACAGCCGAGAGGCAGTGTCAGGTAGGCTCGTCTATAATAAAACAGTAATATTGCAAAGAAATGAACAAGCTAATAGTAATAATACAAGACCTGTATCCAGAGGCAATGCATTATGTATAGCGAAACAAATACATGTCAGGTAAATCTAGGTCCACACAAGTACCCAACCAGGGCCTCTGGCAGGGTATAGGAAGAGCTAAATAATCAACAAGATCTAGGCCTTCTTGCTGGTGCTGCGCCAGTCGCGAGTGCTCGAGTACTTGCTCTTCGAGGCACTCGCGGGGGCTGCAGCGAGATGAGCGGCGTGGACAGTCGCAAGTCTCAAGTTACCGCCCATGGTGCTGTTGCTCTGTGTGTGTTTCGGAGTCAACAAGCTCTGCGAGTCGAGGTCGAAGCAGGTCTCGGTGTCATGGACCTGGCAGAATGCGTAGAGCGTCTTAGTATCCATGTCGCAGAATAGTTCCTCGCCGGTGTGCGCGAAATCAGGACCCATTGAGGTGTCGGACTGACACAACCGCTTGGCAGAGTGCTGCTTCGCATCGCTGATGACGATCTCGGAGTCAGCCCAGGCAGGACGACGGGGGGGCTGGCGGACACGGAGCTTGTTTCTACGATCTTTCGACGTGCGGTAGGTGATGGAGTTGGGGTCTTCCTCCTCGCGAAGGCCAAAATCAATGCCGTTGCACAGGCGATGGGGGTCGGTGTCGTTTTCGTCGAACGAGTCCTTGGAGAAGGCGGGCCAGCGCACCTGAAAGCCTGTCTGGGGCTGGTCGCCGTTGGCATCGATCCAGAAGCACTTGGGCTGGTACTCCTCGTCGGCATTGGGGTACATGTGGCTCTCGAACCAGACGCCACCGCACGCCTCGCCGTAGTCGCCAGACACGGCATACTGGTTACCGCCGCGGTCGTCGCTCCAGGTAGTGGTCACCCAAGCAACGCAGATCGCGTCATCGTTGGCCGAGAAGAGCGAATAGACTCCCTGATTCTCGTGGTCAACCGAGTACTCCCCCAGGTTGCCATTTTTGACCTTGCCGGGGTCGACGCTCATACCGACGAATTTTCCAACATCGTTCCAGACGCGACTAGAGACATATTAGTAAGGGGTGTCTCTGATGAGAGACAAGGACAAAGCGGGAACATACACATCGGGAAGATCACCGCCAGCATTGGTGGTTCCTCCGGGACCATCGAGAGCAACGGCGAACTTGTAAGTCGATCCGGAAGTCTCACCGGAACCGAAGTTGTCCTGGGCAAAGGAGACGATGCCCAGGAGACCAGAGATAACTCCGATTGCTTCGACGAAAGCAGCCATGATGCAATATGCAGTGGAATCGGATTATAAATGAATGAATAACTAACTGAATGAGCGAATGAATGAATGTGAGGATAGGCTCTCGACTTGAAGAGCGCTGAACGAAAGAGTAAAGAATAAGAGAGTGACTGGACTGCTTTGGTCTGGAAATAGAAAAGAGCTGATGGTGGGGAGAATCAGCTGGTTTTATATGCTTGGAAAGAGCAACATCAATCTCGCTAAATCCCTCTCGTCTGACTTGGTCTTTCCCTACATCTCTCACCTGCTCACTGTCGCGTTTTCCGACACGTTTGCATTGTATCGGTTTACCCATGGGATCGGCCCCCAAATTCCCCACGTCATGCTATCCAAGATAGTAGGCGTCTGGTCCTCGCTCCTGGCCGGGAGACAGTGTCTCTATCAAACGGTATAGTTAGGGGTTTGCGATTCATAGTTCGGCCGGGGCGCTTGGCAGCCTGACGAAGGATGCTATTTTGTGGAACACTCTGCACTTCCTGTCGTGAGAGTGTAGTGCAGAAGGGTGCGAAATCCTTGTCTGGCCCCCAAATTGCGAATATAAATGTGGGAAGTGAAGAGATCAATTCTGTACGCACAGCTGTTGGGACTGGGGTTCATCGTATACGATGTAGCCCGTTTGCGGCGCCTGCAGGCGTGTTGGCAGTGTTGAAATTAATCACCGTCTGACATGATGGCAGGCGCCATATTCCAGAAGCGACTTCCGAGAGACGTTATTGCAGTCCTTAGGCGTCCAGTTGCTCAGCTGGGCAAATGTATTGATCAGCAATGGGGATATGGGGGAATCATCACACTCTCAAACTCCCGGTGATCTAGGCACAGCTCGACAAATGGTAGCACAATCGGACACATCCCGACTCGAGCAAGCCAATCAGAGTTTTAATGTAGCCCATAGCTTCCCGTCCTCGTTTCCATGCCTGGATTCCATGGCAGAGGCCGCAACGGGGTACTGTGGGCAGCGGACCCAATTGTCCGGATACCCAACACTTACGGCGTCTGTGGTTCTGGACAACCTCGGGACACCCATAGTCAGGAGAGAGGAAAGTCAGGCTAAAGAGCTTTCGGAGCCGAGCGCCTTGGCTTGCGCTGACTTGCCTAACTGGAAAAGCAAACTAGCACCATTGCAGGAGGCTGAGTCCGTTCCTGGCAGGCCCTGTCCACAAATAGGCACCCGAGCGCTCAGCAATACAACATATGTGGTCAGCAAAGGGCATCTGGCGTTGATCCATTACCACAGACGTGCAATTTCCACCATGTAGGGGGCGAAGGGGCTTCTGGTGCCGTCTTTCAAGCCACCCGACCCTTCAGCCGCCAAGATCTTCCGCCCCGTCTGTCGCAGTCCCCGTCTCCAATTTGCCCTCACATATCGACTTGTATTGCAGGAGTCAAGCGCTTCACAGGGGCCCGCACTAGTACCTTCTGGGTTTGAGATCGTGGCTGTGCCCAAATTGGGTTGCACTAACTTATATGACACCTGAGGTCCATCATAAGCCTTGCTTCATTAGCACGCACCCGACATGAATCCAACTTCTGTCTAATATCCGGCCCTTATCCCGTTTGTTTGATTTTGCTTTTTGCGACTTGAGTTTTGCTCCTATCTTTTAGTTCTCCCTCATTTCTCTTTACTATTCCCTCGTTATTAGCTCATTTCAACTTTTCTCAAGATGGTACAACTCACTGCAACAACAAGCCTCGTGCTCCTCTCTCTCCTACTGCCTTCTGCTCTAGCAGCAGATGATCTCTCTCAGAGCATCGTCGGCTGCAACGACCTCTCCTGTCCCAAAGAAGGTGCCGACGACCGATGCACCGTTGACGACCACACCTTCCTCGGCGTCGGGCTGGCTCGCATCATAGACGCCCCGTCCTCGCTAGAGGGCATTTCCCTGGTCAAAGGCGTGAACGTGTCTGCTGGCGGCGCGGGAAGCGACAACGACAAGCCCACTCGCCCCTTCACCTCAGTCTACTACCTGGGAACGCCATCGGACGTCAAGACAAGTAACCTGTCTGGCTGCGCCGTGATCTTCAACGATCCGCCCTCGAGCAAATTCGACGGCGCCGACCTAGAAGGTAACACCAGAAACAAGACCGACACTCGCGCCGCATACGGCACCTGTCCGGACGTAGTGGACCAGAGGTGCATCAACGCGCTGACCAAGCGGGCCAGCGAGGTTGCGGATGATGCGGACAGCAACCCGTGCTCTGCGCTGGAACGTGAGCTGAAAAAGGATGATCTTGACGACTGCAAGAACCTGGGTGGCGCAGGCAACGGGCTCGGTAACTTCACTGTTACTTCGTTTGGCGATCTCAAGTCTGTGAGCAACTCGTCGGCCGAATGCTGGCCTATTACGCCCAAGTCGGACGGACTGGCTGAGATTGCGGTTGAGACTTCTCACGTATGTATTTTCCTACAGCTTATGCAGTTCGCCTCTATTTTCTTACGAAGTCTAACGATATCACACAGTCCAATTACACCGCCTCAGCGCTCATCGACGAGGCCTACAAAATCACCCCCGTCCTGACCGTCTTCCTATCGGGCAACGGCAGCGCCGTCGATGAGACCTCGTCGCAGCTGACCTGCCTGAAGGTCGTGACAAAGGAAAACGCCAGCGAGGCCGAGAATGGAGAGTCTAGCTCTGCGTCGGCGCTGGAAATCAGCGGCGGGGTGCGCGCTGCAGGAATGGCCGTTTTGCTGGGGACTGTGCTCGCTACGATATAAATATTGGGCTTGTTAGAATGGGCAGGGCGCATAGAGGGGACCTGTATCAGAGAGCGTCTAGGCTTTTTTTTTTCGTTGGCTTTTTCTTCTCTGTACTTTTGTTGTTTTAGTTCGATTACATTCTTACTCCGTACCTGCCTGGGGTACCCTGGGTAAATTGGGGACGGTGTATTAAGATACATTCATAGACTTGCAAGGCACTTATTATCTATCGAACAACTCCGAACAGGCAAGGTGGGACTGGCAGCCTTCCTACACTACGTAAAGGTGCCAGGATGGGAATCCCCGATGTGCCCCAAGTGCAACAGAGGAAAAGAGGACCCTAGGCATGTCATCACATTCTGTATGGCATATAACGAAGTGAGATACGATCTAGAGATACAAGGACGGATAGACGTGGAGCAGTTGCTCACCACCCCTAAGGGGGTACAAAAAGTAAAGAGGTGGTGGATACGGAAAGGAGTGGTCGACCAATCCCGGCTAGCGAATAGGTTGATCGAGGGTTAACGAGGCTGGTGCTAGCAAACAGGTTCCAGGGGTATATACGAAGAGCGAGAGATGAACCACCGAGGCGGAGGGGTTTTCACCGTGTAGGGTTTCCCCCCCTAGATAGCGAGATAGACCGGATGGCCATGGGCCCAACGGAGTAACAATATTATTATTATTATTATTATCTATCGATTTCTCAATTGGTTGTCCCAGATGCGACCTAACGAGAACGAATGCGAATTCTTTGTCCGCTAAGCGCGCCCAGTCATGTACTCCATCAGAAACCGCTAAATAGCGCAGCCTTATTGGGCCTCGAAGAAGATTAGGATTCCCAGCCTCGCCGCTATGAAACTGCCAAGTCTGTCCAAGATCCAAGCCTCTAACTGGCTTGCCTCCTTGGGCTGCGAATATCTGTGTTGGTAAAGAGATACCGGCCATAAGAAGCAAGTCAGATCCATGGTGACATCGTCGTATTCGAAGCGAAACTTATACATGCTAATATGTATGTCAGAATGGGAATCACGTCAGAAAATTCATTTGAAGATGTGGAAGTGAGGACGCTTTTTGGCCTCTTTCCTTTTGTATTCCTTCCATGGATTAATGGGGTGTAATTCCAAATTATGAAGTCACAGCCTCGCGGACATGCTCCGTCGATGCGACCTTACATGCCACTAGGCTCAATGATTCAATGAAGAAGATCTGATGCATTCTATCTAGATGAAAAAACGCTCATATTTATGTATTCTCTTGAGCTTCATTATTGCTCCATAACAAGCAAAGAATGACGACTATTTCATCATAAGAGATGTGATAAAGTTAATCGGTTGAACGATCGGTTGAGCAAGGTGATGATGATTGCCTGCTTGATTCCCGCGGCCACAGTTGGATACTGAAAAATATAACTAAAAAAACCGCACAAATTATGCAAGTGACGGGCAAGTTGATTTTGCTGACAAACTAGTCCCATGGGAGTCCCACGGGGGTCTAGAGAGGCAGAGGATGTGTTTTAAGCAAAGAACAAGACGAATCTGCGCCTGAGATAATGAAAGCCTGGTGACTAGAGGATGAAGGCCTGATGAAAGTATCCGTATTATAATGGGATCGCTTTGTCTTGGAACAAAATTATTTCTTTGTCTGCCACGGATCCCATCTAGACCAAAAGCCAACAGAAAACAATACGGAGGCTAGGTATCTTTCTCGGGTAACGATCATACCACGGTATTCCGAGGGTCGTCGTCCCGTTGGTCTTATGGGCGGGCGCTAGTGACGGGACCCACCTCTTACAATACATTTCATTGTTCCGGGTCCGGCCCCAACCTTTGTTTTCTCATAGTAAACTGTATGGAATGTCAAAAGTTGAGCTTCAAGAATGAGCAATTCTCACAGGCAGCGGTAATTAAAATCATCAATTAGGGCTTATGGGTCTCGCCTAAGCTAATCTGGAGATCGCACGAATCTGTACTTTAACCAGAAGAAGAGTTTCGACTGTCCAGTAGGACTTCTTTCGCTGCACGTCATATTGCCGTCTGGACTATAATCCTCCCTACCAATCGAGACCTATCAAATAAAGTTCACGTTTAGCTCGAAGCCTCACCCCCGCCATCGTCATGATAGATTTCGCCATGATTGAAAGCTCCGACTCCGCCCTCGTCTCTTCTTCGACACACCCGACCCACGAATTGGACGTCATGTTCGATTTCGACTTCTTGGCCGACCTCCCTGCTGATACCCCCCGCGTGGTGGCATCGACCCTTAATTCCATCAAGTCCGCTATAAGGCGTAACCTCCAGCACCCGTACATTGTCATCGATTATGTCAACCCAGATATTGTCGAGAGGCTTGTCGAATCTCCGCGCCTACGTTTCCTGAAGGCGTCAAGGCTGTTTTACGATGCAGATCTGCGCAAACTGATTTTAAAGATACCCTCTACTTTTCATGATGGCGCCAGCAGAGCTTTTCACAACCTACTTACACGACACATGGAATCTTCTGGCGTCGACGAAGAGGTAGTAGAACCTCAAGGCTCGGGGCGCGTTAAGGACGGCCCCTACTCCAAGGAGCCTGACGAGTCGTATCTCCCGGTGCGACCGATCCCTGGTCGTGATCCCAAGTGGCCCACCCTAGTAGTGGAAGTCGGTTACAGCGCGACTCTGGGTCGGCTGAGAGTTGATTGCCGTTGGTGGCTTGGCCGCTCCCAAGGCCAAGTCAAAATTGCATTACTACTATCTATCGACCGGGACCGGCCGCATATTTTGATAGAAAAGTGGGAAAACGGGCCTGCTACATACGGCTACAATTTCCGAGTCCCAGGACGGCTCTCCCCACAGAAAACAGCAGCTATCAGTGTTACCCTCGAGAATGATGAGTATGTCACCACAGGAGCGCCACTTTGCCTGTCCGTTGATGACATCGTGCTCCCCCTTGTTCCCGGAAGTGTCCCCCCGTGTCAAATCATAGACCATGATTTCGAAAAATTGGCAAGGGCTATATGGAGAAAGCAAGGGTTTGTTGCAAGACCGACTTGACAGATGACGGAAATCTTGCTTCAGAGCGGGAATCAATTTCTCTTCGTTCGACCAAAAAGTGGAGGATGGACAAGTTTGCTGCCATGTGGAGATCAACTTCAGGTTTCGGTTCGACGGGAGCAATGGACGTGGTATGCTTAAGCTCTCGATTCACGGACAATCTCTCGGAACGGTGGAGTGGGAGATCAATTAGTGAAGACCTCTTTCCTATCCTTTGCTGCGCTGTCCTCGGTTTCTTTCTCCCGTTCTCCCTTTGATTTTGAGTCTTCTTGTGCATGTTTTCTCTTCTTCTATCTCTTTTTTTTTTTTTTCCAAGTTGTTTTATGCACAGTCGTTACTGAAGTCGTTCTTTCGTCATGTGTCAAATGCTCTTGGCCAGTTCTATGAAGTCCAACATCTCGGTTTATGATTTATACATGTGGTTTCCGTATGACTCCAATGCGATAAAAGACGTAACTGTTTCCAGCTTTCTCTACCTCCAGCTAAGTTTCTTTCCGCATTTCCGACACTAAATTGCATCTTTTTCCAGAACATAAATACTGTCTGATAGACCAAGTCCATTCCCGAAGGGAAGTGCAAGTATACAAAAACGAAACAACTACGGATGCAAATAGAACCCCGAATAATGTGTCGCTTGTTCCATTGCCAGTCACTTCATCCATGCCACTTTGTTTACGAATACCCCGTTTTGCAAGAACTGGGTGCTGAGGTGCAACCTGCCACGCCAGATAGCCGTTTGACTTGTCCCTCGGAACACGAAACAGAAAATTCCTTTCTTCCTATTCTTCCCCAAAAATTGCTTCTTCCAGCTCTCTCTCCTGTATGAAGCATTTCTAGCTCTTGCTCTGTCACTCTTCGCTATGATATGGTCACAGTCCGGTCCACAACTCCCTCGGCCTCGGCAATCAATCCATCAAATTTTCACTTGCCAGGCACAGGCCACGAGCCAATGTTCCTAAATCTCCATTGAAACTATGCATCTCGCCAAGACTAGACTCCCGGATTGAAGATACGGAGGGGCAGAATCCACATGGCGAAGCACATCATCCGAAGGTTAATTGTGCAATGCGCCCCACATATTCGACGGACTTCCGATTAAACTATGCATCGGCACTTAGAGATAACCCGATTTTGGGTATGGGATTTGGATTTCCTCCCCAGAAACGCAGGTTTAGGGTAACTTAATTTATCTCCCGTCATGATATGCCGTCCATTACGGTAGATCTTCTTCACCTTTCGACCGAGAATTCAGTCGCAATTGGATTGGGCAATGGTGCAATTATTGTTTAAATCCATGGATCGCTGAGCTTCTAACATAAGTTCTTGGTGGATAAATTGGGCGTTGTGGCATGACGGAGTATATCAGTGCCGTCTCGTTTCTTTAACGCACCTATCTCCCATCGTCTATCGATTCTCCCTTGAGGGTTCTTTTCTATAGATAGTATATCTTGCTCTTGACTAGAATATTAGCTTGAAGCACCGAGAATACCATCATGTCGACATCTCCAGTGACCCAGGAGCCCATCAACGGCACCGGCACCAAAGAACCCACGCATCTGATCGATATTGAGCGACAATCCAGAGCGAACACGGTCACGACCGAAGCCCCAAAGTCGCTAGGAGCAGGCGTAAGTTAATCCATTCCCCCATTAAAAGAAACGACACGGTCATCTAACAGCGAAGACGACAGTCTGCGCTCGCACTGGGCGCATTCGGCACCACCCTCACGACTCTATCTCTCAGTCTGATGGAATGGCGAGGCGTCACGACCGCCAACGTCTTCGTCGGCAATTTCTTCTTCATCTCGGCATTCGGTCTAGTAGTTACCGCGCAGTGGGAGCTCTCGGTTGGAAATGGTTTTTCGTACACCGTTTTTAGCGCTTTTGGTGAGACTTCTCTTAATTCCTTCTTTGCTCAAACACTTAAATCCATGATCTAACATATGATGAAAATTCAATGTAGGTCTTTTCTACGCTGGTTATGGCGCAATCCTCACTCCGGCTTTCGGCGTCCTAGATTCCTACAACGGCGACACGACACAGTACAACAATGCGTTGGGATTCTTCATGATCCTATGGACTGTTTTCGTCTTCACGTTCCTGATCGGTTCTCTGCCGAGCAATCTCGCCTACATCGCGGTGTTCTTTCTCGTGGATATGGGATTCTTGACGGTTGCTGCGAGCTATTTCGCAGAGGCAGACGGACATCATGCGTCGTCTGTTGCGTTGAAACAGGCCGGGGGCGGGTTCTGCTTCGTAGCTGGCTTGGTGGGCTGGTATATTGTGTTTCATTTGTTGTTGAAGGATGCGGCGTTGGTGGAGTTGCCGTTGGGGGATACGTCGAGGTTTTTTGGGAAGAGGGGGAAGAAGTCGGAGTAGTGGGGTGATATGGGGAATTTAGTGTAGTTAATTGCTTTGTATGTAGTATGGTTTCCTTTATTTTGCGAGGCTGGGGATGGGGAGTTCTGGGAATGGCGATTGGTATATCTAGACTACGGAGTACTAGATAAAGATAATGACGGGCCACAGACTAGGTAACCAGGAACAGACAACATAAGGCATTGAGTATATTCCCAAACTAATAATCCATTAATCCTTCAGATTCCAACGAAGAATAACACATTTCCTACCTACTCTTTACCAGAACCTCTCCTCGGCAACACGGAACAGAAAGTAAGGCACGACTCCACAGCGTGGGTCCCTCGGGCCCTAAGATCGACGACTTCCCGATGGTGTTATGATAACGACATCTTGCACGTCGTTGACGAATGACGAGTACCGGTCACTTCTGAATTGCCTGTTCTCATGCTCTTCTCGCATTCTCCAACCTGTCCGATAATTGAGTCTCGCACGTCATATTCAAGGTTTATCCCGAATTGCATGCGCGATTGCGATGCCTCTTCCCCTCGTCCAGGGGGAGCGGCGCATAGATATACGTCGCTATGTCCCTCTCTCTTTCTTTCCTTGATCAACACGCATATTAAGATCATTGCAGATTGATTATCTCCTATTATCCCTTCCTCTTTGATATTGGCTTGCTGTAAGGCACACTCAACTACTTTATCAACCATGGCACAGCCTCCCAACCCTTCAACCGACCCCGCCATCTACGTGGAATATGAAACTAAATGGTCCGCGCTGCCCGAGACCGCAGAAGCATGGATCGCGCGAGCGCGCGACGTAGCACAAGTCTTATCGCAAGACGCCGCGCAGCGCGACCAGGAAAATAAGTCCCCGCGGGCGGAGGTCGCACTCCTCAAACACTCGGGTCTGTTGAAGGTCCTAGGACCGAAGAAGTATGGCGGAGGTGAGCAGTCCTGGGAAGTGGGATATAAAGCCATCAGGGAGGTCGCGAAAGGTGATGGGTAAGTCGCTAAGAGTCTTTCTCTGCTATAGTTCAGATCATGTGGTTTTTCTTTTTTACGTGAGGTGGAAATGTTAATAATGGGTGTATATCCGCAGATCCCTCGGCATGCTGTTAGGCTACCACCTCCTCTGGTCCACAACAGCCAATATAGTCGGCACGGCGGAGCAAATCGACCGCACGCACGAGCTCATCATCTCGAACAACTACTTCGTCGGCGGGGCCGTCAACCCGCGCGACAACGATCTGAAGATCACCTCAGACGGCGACGAGATTGTCTTTACCGGCCAAAAGCACTTCAATACCGGCGGCGTGGTGTCGGACCTCACAGTGCTCGAGGGCGTGCTGGAAGGCACACAAGATCATATCTTTGCGATCGTGAAGACCAGTGATCCTGGGATTCAATTCGCGTATAATTGGCATAATATCGGGCTGCGGCTGACGGAGTCCGGGGGTGTCAAGATTGATAATGTGAGGGCAAAGTGGACCGATGCGCTGGGTTGGGATGCGCAGAGTAAGAGGCCGAGGGAGGATGTTTTGGGGGTTCCGTTTGCTGGGTTGCTTTTGCCTTCGTATGTTGCCTATCTTCCCAATCCCTTTGTTCACCTTTTGTGGGTGGACGTGAGTTATGAATACGATTCTGATCTAACTGACTGCAGGATCCAACTCGTCTTCGGCAACTTCTACCTCGGCATCGCCATCGGCGCACTGGACTTCGCATCCAAGTACACTCGCACCACGACCCGCGCGTGGCCCTTCGGCGGCGACAACAAGGACTCCGCGACGGAGGAATTCTACATTCTAGAGCGATACGGATCCTTTTTCGCGCACCTACGCGCCGCAGAAGCGCTGGCCGACCGGGCGGGCGAGCAAATAGCGTCGCTGTTTGCGCGCCACGGAGGTGATCGGGCGGGTTTGACGCCCAAGGAGCGCGGAGAGGTCGCGGAGTGGATTGCCAGCGTCAAGGTTGTGACGACGGATGTCGGGCTGCAGGTCTCGTCGGGGGTGTTTGAAGTCACTGGAGCTAGGGCGACGGCGTCGAAGGTGGGATTGGATCGGTTCTGGAGGGATATTCGGACGCATACGTTGCATGATCCGGTGGCGTATAAGAGGAGGGAGTTGGGTCGGTATGCTCTGTTGGGGGAGTTGCCTGAGGTTACTTGGTATACTTAGTTTTGTCAGTCTGGGTACTGGGTTAATGAATTCCACTGTTTGAAAGAAGTACTTTTACAGTAAAGGAGTGTAGAAAGGTAAGTCATGTCATTAATCATAACACATAAGCCATATCATAGGCGTACAGTAAGCGAGAGACAGGCATAAATCATAAGAGTACAAAGAAAATACATAGTGTGTCATCATCACACATTCCATCCATCATCATTAATCAATAACTTTTCCTCCCACCTCATGCAGATCCATAGATCTGAGCAGGGGCAGGGAGCTCACCCAGCGACTTCACCAGAGCCTTCAAGGTCGGGTTGGCCTCTTCGGCAGCAGTCTCCAGCTCGCCGACACTCTTAACGATGTCGCGTCCAAGCTGCTGGACCAGGTTGTAGGTGGCTTCGACGGCCCCAGCCTTCTGGAGGAGCTCGAGGATCTGCAACTTGCTTTCCGTCGAGAGGGTCGCGCCCTGGGGCTTCTGTCTGAAGATGCCGAGGATGACCGTCTTCGCGGTGGTATCGACATTGCAGCAGCGGACAATCGGATAGGTGATCTTGCCCTGGTCCAAATCCTCGCCGAAGCTGGATTGGTTGCGACCGGAGAGTAGACCCAGGTATTCCTGGCGGATCTGGTGCCAGCGACCGAACAGCTGCGCGAGACCCTCAAAGTCAAGAGCCACACCACCCATGCTAGCGGACTGCATGAGACGAACCAACATGCGGAAGGGCGAGCCGCTCTTCTTGTCGACCATGGCGAGGTATTCCTGCTCGGTCGGGCAGTCCAGGGTAGCGCGCCAGTTCAGGTCCCAGGATTGGCCGACGAAATGCGACTCGAGCTCTTCGAGAAGCCCGCCCAGCATGCCGGGGACGTTCAGGCTGCTGACGGCCTTGGCGATGCGGACGAACAGGTACGTCGCGCTGTTCATGCACTGCGCGGGGCTGAAGACGTGGTGGGCGGCGATTCTTTGGTGGTGCGAAACAGCCTGGTCCTGGATGTCGGAGAGGATCTGGGTCGAGTGGTGGAGGTCGTCGACGACCTGCTTGATGAAGCTGAAGGGCCGGTTGGGGACTTGCAGCCAGACGTTCAGCGCGGTGAGAAGTTCCGACTGGACCTCGTTGGAAGTGATGGAGCCAAGGTAGCCGGTAGGCGCAAGAAGGGCCGAAGAATCGAGGTTCACGGCCGGAGCCTCCTCATCGGGGACCAGCGGAGCCCACAGGGGCAATTCCTGCTCGGGCTCAGCAGGTAGCTCTGCCGGGGCCTGCTCCTCCTGTGCCTCCTCATCCTCGTCGTCCGCCTCGTCATTCTCGTCGCCGGACTCCTCCTCATCGCTAGATCCTTCCTCCTCATCGTCCTCGGACTCGTCGTCGCTCTCCTCGAACGGCTCGTCGGGAACGTCGTATCGCGGCGCGTTCTTGCACCAGTAGTGAATGCCACCAAGCGCGGCGCCCAGGACCTCCATCCACTTCTTCAGGTGGGCAGGGAGTTCCGGGTTGTTGTGATACAGCGTCTCGCGTCTGCGAAGGAACTCCTTCTCGTTCTCCAGAATGAGTTCCTTGGTCTTGGCGCGGGCGTCGTCCTCAGACAGGCCCTCGTGCTTCATCAGGAAGAGGTTCACGTTGGCAACGCGTCTCGTCTTGTAGTCGCGCTTCTCCTTGGGCCAGCTGTAGAAGTCGTTCGTGAAGAACATGGTGCGCTCGGCTGCGTCCAAAGCGTCTCGCACGATCGCCTGGTCTTCTTTTCCGAGGCGCGTGCCGTGAGCAAAGCCCATCAGGGTCCAGTAGACGCTGTCGCGAAATTAGCATTTAGAAATTAAAAAGGGCAGTACAATTAGGGTAGACTCACTCAATGGCGGCATTCAGACGGCGACGAGCGACGTAATCGTCAAGGTTGGCGCAGTTGTCCGCCGTCGGGACCTCGGGAGTCACAAGCCAGGTACTCCGGTAGCAGTCGATGATGTCTTGTCCGTCCTTGTCGGTCAAACCGCCCATGACCTTCTGGAGAAGCTTCTTCCGCACTTCAGTGCGAGGCGACTCGGTTACTTCGTCGGTCTTCTCTCCTGCAGGTTGTTCCTCCTTACTTTCGGCTTGGTCTAGAAACATGTCAGAGTTAATCTCCGGGCATTTGTTCGCGTCCAGTCGTAACATACCATCATGAAAGTTTGCTAATTCGGTCAAGTAAGCGACCAGTTCGAGCTTGTCGGGCGAGCACTCGGGGTACAGGAAGCTGGCGTAGTTTCCTACGGCGGAGGTCAGGTAGCTCTCCTTGCGTTTTTCGCTGTCGCTACCGAGCGCGGCGTTCAGGTCTTCGATGAACCGGTCGCTTCCTCGCTGGGCGACATGGTCGTATTTGTGGATACGAGGCGTCAGAGTAGTGAAACACTCGGTCTGCGGCTGTCCATCCAGATCTAACGGCTGGGAGTGAACCCACGTCTCGACGGGTTCATTGGCCGTGGGTGTCTCGGAGGCAGGCTCCGACTGAGCAGCAGAAAGCACCTGGATCGCGCTTCCCTTGCTCTTCCTCCTCTTGTGAGACAGGATCTGGGAGTACTGCTTGAACATGGGGACGGGACAATAGGAATAGGTATAGGAGATCGAAGCAGAGACGATGAGAGACAGAAAACCGAAGAAGACAGCTCCGGGCCGTTGAGAGAGTCGAGTGAAGAACAAAACCATCCAGTCGAGATTGCGCGCGTCTAGCTGGGACTTTATAGAGCCCGTGTCCCCCTCATCGGACCAAAATGGCGTAAGATGTTCGACTTGCGGTCATGCAACTGCAGATTTTTCACTTATCAACGCGGGCAGGGACCTCGGACTGGCCCAAGTGCGAGCTAAACAATCTACTCGCGGCCATGAACACTTTGAACAGAAGTATACTATGCGGACTAATATGCCAGCCGAGTGCTGATTGGGGGGCGACGCCGCTGGTTGCTGCTGCCAGGTAGCTTATGTGGAGTTGCCTCGATCCACCCTGTTCACCGCTTCGTGGGTTCGTCCGGCTCTGCGCCTTTGACGAGGAGACCAGGAGGGGCGCGCGATCAAAAAATCTTCCTATCAGCTTTGCTCCCAATGCATGTTGGCGCGACGGACGGATCAGCCCCGAAAATCGGTTTGTTTTTCTTTTGCTGGATGTGGTAGCCTGGGCTTGATGCTACTCCCAGCGTATCAGTCTAGTCTAGTGTATCTGTACATGGTGTAGATACCTACGGAGTAAGGAGGACCTTCGCTTCCCTCTGTTTGTTTTTTTGGCCCGATCAATGTCTGTGCTCGCTGGTGGATGCCACATATTCACCGAGAGAATACGCGGCCATATCCGATTGCAAGTGACTGGCCTGGCGTCATAACCACCATACTGAAATGAGTGTGTCCAGCGCATACAGTCAAAACGTCTGAAATGCTGATTTGCATCCAGGATGCACAGTGGTAGAGGATGCTGATCAGCATATCTCCAGGTGGCAGGCAGACAGACAATCCATGTTCGCCGGGAAAGAAAGAAAAAAAAAAAAAAAAAACAAAGCGGAAAAGACTATCGGGCGCAAAAGCAAAACAAACCCGAGTGGGTCCCGTGATCACCTTGCGGGCGGGCGGTCTTTTTGGCGTCTTTTCCCTCTCCCGTCTTTTTTCTCTCTGTTTTCTCCAATCATCAATTCGATCACTCAATCAAAACCACTCTAGATGGGACAAAAGACAGGAAATGTCTCCCGTTATACTTTTCCAATCCCTTGCCTCACTGAGGCGCGTGAAAGTTAAGGCGTAGACCCCGCTATGATGTAATTTTTATAGAAAGCATGTCCATACTATCAAAGCATGTTCTCGGTGCGGGCAAGCAGACAGAGATTTCTGCGGCATAAAGTGAGACACGTGCGGGAGGATAGGAGCATCATGCTGATCAATCCAATGCGGCATATGGCATTTGGTTATCAGGATGATCCGAAGTATTAGATCATGTCGGTAGACGCTTGTGGAAAAGTCTACTGTAGCTGGATGTTTTGCATATTGGAGGGATGGCTGGACAGACATGTGACGTGTCAAATTGGATTTTCCTAATAATGTAGCAATGTTGAATTCCTATTCTTGATATCTATGATAGTTTTACTATGAGCGGGGTTCGAGTTTGATATTGTCAGCTGAATGCAGGGTGTGTTTACTTCATCCATACTCTCTATAGCTACAAAATGATCAACAGCCGATTTGGCGTTCTCCGCGGGGAAGGGGGAAAAAAAACAAAGGAGTTTTTTTTTGGAAAAAAGATTTTCTGGGTACAGGGTAGACCCGAGGCTTATCTATTCCCAGCCATCTAGACGATCCTCTACTCCGTAGTTCAGCGTTCACAGAACAGAGAACCGAGTACGGTGTGAGCGCAACCCATCAGTGCCCCAGGCATCCATCTGCAGAGCCGTTGAGAAGTGGGGTCCAGATTGCATTATGATTGGTCAGCAATGGTGGGGTGCATCGGCTCGTTCTCAAAGGCGATTGGTGCTCGACACGGCACAAGATGAGCCAATCAACAGCAAGCAATCCATCCAAGCACATGACGTCACACAATCGAGGGGTCTTCCTGTTGTTTCCGTGCCGATACCAGGAATCTAGACGAGCCAACTAAGACATCAACAACAAAAGACCCTCAAACTATACCACAATGCCGTCCCCATCAGAGCTCACAACGTGGTGCTCAGAAGGTAACCTCGATGGCATTCGTGACTTTCTGGAAAATGACTTCCCACTCCTGCCACCAGAAGGACGGACGGCGTACTGCGCCCACACGTCGCAGCAAAATCACCAGCAGCCGCAACAGCCCAAGATTGCCGGTCCTGCAGCATACCAGGCACAATTAATGCGTGCTCAGCTTGCTCAGATGCAGATGGCCCAGCAGCAGCGACAGCAGCAGCAGCAGCAGCAGCAGCAACGGTCACGGGGACAACACGGCCAGATGCACCAGGGTGCTCCTCAAATAAATTCTCAACAGCACCAGATGCTGCTGGCAGCTGCTCAAACCAACGGTGGGCAAATTCCACGGAATATGCAGGGGGTCAACATGGCGCAGGGAGCCACCGCCCAACAGGGACCATGCACCGTCGTGCCCTGTCACGAGAAGCTCACGCAGCTGGCCATCGCCGCCGCAGAGGCCGATCAAGTCGAAGTGTTCGCCTACTTATGGGACACGTATCTTGCGGGTGACGACGCGGAGATCCCATGGGCGGCATTGAAAGCAGCAGCACGCCACGGTTCGATCCCGTTAGCAGAGGCCTTTTACTGTCGCGATCCGACCTGTTTTACGAGGGCGGTTCTGAAGGCATCGCATGGTCGGGTGCTGGGGGGTAGTCAGGTTAAGGTTGCTTTGCTGCATGGTCATCTGAACTATATTGATTTTTTGTTGGCGCATGGTGCGGATATCAATGCGGAGTTTCCGGATCAGAGCCCTGTGCGGGCGGCTGTGAGGTCTGATGGTGATGAGGGTGAGTGCATTCCTTCCCGGACAAAAAGCATAGTATGAATGAGGGTTTTAATGGAGTACTAGAAACTGCCATGACGCGCATTCGCTTCCTCGTTGACCGCGGCGCGTGGGTGAACGGTTCCGGCGCTCTAACATCGGCAGCTGGCCTAGGCAGACTCGACGCGGTGGCTTTCTTGATTGAAAAAGGCGCAGACGTGGAGGACCTCGGAGACGAATCGACTGAGATCCACCGACCGAAGACTTCAGCTTTGCTGGCAGCAGCGGAGTCTGGTCATGAAGCCATTGTTCGCCTCCTTGTCAAGTACGGTGCTAATGTGACACGTCGGGATGATTTAGGTCGGTCTGCTGTGGACTTGGCCGAGAGTAATGGTCATACGCGACTTGCAGAGCTTTTGCGGCCGGCATAAGGTAGTCAGCGAGGAGTATTGAGGATTAAGTGGAGTTTTTACAGATGTTACGTTGGAATGACTCGGGGTTTCGGTTAACGATTTATGATGTTCATATGGATGCACAGTCAGCAAGCAGTCAGAAATTGCAGTACTGTTTCTTTCTAGAAGCTCTGTTGAGTTGAAATGTGGAACGTATATTTGTACTCTCCCACGGTTATGGTCATTTGGGGCTTGCATCAGGTATACCAAAAAGAGTATTGGAACCTCGGAGACTACACTCTATGAAAGTTTGATAACTAGCCATGGTTTATTCATCTTGATAGAATTACCAAAAGACTACATAGTACAATAAAGGGTTAAAAGTTTAATACCTATAAGTTTAAATGAAAAGTAGAATATTGTTATATCACGCCGTAAAGAGGAGCTTTGTAGCTCCTTATGTATTTCAATATGAAAAGTCAACCTTGATCAAATGTCAGAATCACCTCTCTGACTTGTCTAAGTAATGGCAATTTGAGCACATCTTTTCTTTCTCTTCTTTTTCTATTTTCCAAATACCTTGATATTGAAGGCATGAGAACCTCCGAGAATGACGCAGATGGTTTACCACCCTGAAAAAGAAATGAAACCGTTCATAGTCAACCCATCAAGCACTCACTCAATCAATCACCCCACGAGGCCTCGGACAGCGCCGAATCAATTTCGAAGAGTCCACTTCCGGGTCCCGGTAGATGGACTCCAAGAAAGACTGGATAGTCTCAATGACATCTTCGATCTTCCGGCTCTTGTGCGTCACATAAATGTACAAACCTCGTCTGTCATCAATGATGTGACTGTGTTTAGTCTTGTACACCTCCACGCGTCCTTCCTTGACCTTCTCAAGGAAGTAAACTAGCCTCTGCCGATCTGTGAGGTTCGGGTCTGGGGTATGTACGAAGACGTCGTACTCGTGGCACGGGGTTTTGTTACTCTGGGCGCCCGTGCTTTTGCGCTTGTTGCGGGACCAGAATCCCATCTTTTTGAAGACTTAAGCAATGAAGTGTGTTGTGGTTTAGGTGTTAGGATCTCGGAAGGTTGCGTTTGGGAATGTGAGTGACAGACCTGTATATGTGTGATACAAGTCTGTCGGTTTGTCGATACGCAAGCTTCGAAGAGATGGTTTTTAGTAGGGCAGTGTAGGGAGTTTAATGGTCTTTTTATAGCAACTTCGCGAAACAGGGGTGGGATACTTCGCGGATATAATATGACCATTTAAGCGAGACATTCCTGTTAAAATGAATCCTTTCCCATAAGTGGTATACAGAACCATGAACCTATAGGAGTAATGTTATAGGATGTTCTAGGGTAGATGTCGTTAATCCTTACGATGTATGAGGATACGATTGCACAAAACGGCGGTGAGACTTTTATTTTAAGCCGAGAATATAATCTTTGGGTGCTTTTTATGAGAATACGGGTTAGGAATAACGAGGCAGGCTTTCTATTTTTTATATGATAGTGATATGGCTGGAAGTAATTAGATCTTATGAAAAAGCACTCCGAAATTAGCGTGTCAAAGTGCCTCAATAGACAGGGAACGTATTTGTCGGTTGACTTGGTCATTGCCCTAAGCAGATATCCTATCGATTCAACTGAATATAGGTATATGCTCGGTGGGTAAAAGTGAAGTGTCATTCTAAACTACAATCTGCCTAGCTATTTATAGTTCCACTTGTTTACACCTATGCATTCCTGATTTCTTGGTATGCCATTTGGAATGGTAAGCCAGGTCTAGATCAAGCAAGGTGCTGTGCGGTATGTGGATTAGGTCAAGATACTCTACCTCTCTGGTCTGGTTGATAACATCGTTCCAACAGTATTGCAAGCTGACTACTGTTTGATTGGTGTGTTTAAAATACGTAAATTTAGGTTTAAAGTTTGAGATCCACTGTAGTTAAGTAACCAACCACGATATTAATGAAGTTGGAGGTGACTAGAGGATGCAAAAATGCGGCATTTTGGCCTTTTAGAAAGAGGGCTGCGGTTAGTTTACAAGACTCTTTTGGCACTGCGAGTTCTATGGAGGTGTATATTCTTGGTTCAGCTGGATGAAGTGCTTGCATAGCTAGACACTCAAGAAGGTAAGTTTGAATATGTTAATAGAATATTGATTGGCTGCTTTATATCCCGTCCAAGGGAGGCTAATTATAGGTCTACAGTTGTAATTATATGAGTAAAAAGTTATGGAGAGTAAAATTAATAAATGAATTGGGAGCTAGGTGTTGTAACACACTGATTTCCTAGGCAAATCGCCGGGTTTTATTCTGACCACCTAGAGTCAGGCTAACGTCTCCAGAACTCCGTAGTCTCGCGGTTCCGAGGCCAGCGACTGATCCCATTTCGACCTCCCCGCCTCCCCATCATGCCATCTCGGAGTTTCTGCAGGGCAAAGTTTTTGACATTCCTGGTACTCGCCTGATCAGCGATATAGGTTTCAATGAGCACTCCTATACCGCGGGGTACAGCCCCTGACGAGGTGTAGATCGTGACATTTTTCATCGTAAGAGAGCGCGCTGTATGCTGCCTGAATCTCATCTCTCTCTTCAATGCCCCTCACGTCGTGTCCAACATGAATGTAGAACTTTTCAGGCCTGCTCTACTGAGCCCTCTGATAATCGTCTGAATATCCATGACCTTGGCGTCCTGAACGGCCTGATGATCCATTACGGGATCCACTATAGCCGTAGTATGCCATAGTGACACTTCTTTGGAGAGGGTAAGTGGGTTTGGTTTGATATGACTTTTTTTTGGTAGGATTGTAGTGCTGGTATAGCGATCGAGCGGTGCTAGGTAGTAGGAGAAGGAGAAGAAGATCATTGGTGTAGAATTCATTGATGGGCTATATAGCTGCAAGAGACCTTACTCGGTGGAAGTTCCCATTAGGTCTTGAATGGAGTTCTTGTACGTCGTTAAGCGTCGTTCGGGGGGTGAGCCGGATTCTCATGTTTGGGGTACGTTATCAACTCATTGTTCCATTGAGTTCCTGGTAGCACCCGTTACATGTCGCGGACTCCATCCTAGTAATATATTGTGGCTTATCAATCGTGCGCATCTTGTATGTAGAATTATCACCGGAGATATTACTGACAGTCAATTCTGTTCACACAGATTAAGAACATCTGAATGGAAAACTGTAATGTGTTAGTCAGAGCCACATTGCCAGTGGTCTAAACGAATGAAATAAGATGATTTCTATGAACTGCAAACATCTCCAGAGAATATATACGAACATGTAAAGTTTTTATCCATCTGCACATTACCACCCACAAGCACTCAGACATGACTCTTTTCAACTACCCATAAAAGCCCTCCATAACAAAAAACCATAGAAACCTCATCAACTCCCATGTTCATACGCGCTCCTGGCCCTATACCCCGGCCCCGCGCGATAAAGCAACCACGGGATCGGCGCCATCGCCAACGCAAGAAAACCCAACAAGCTTGTCGCCCATCCCACCCCCAACGCCTCATACATCTGCGTCACGAAGAGCGGAAAAGCAGCAGAAAAAGTATACCGGATCAGTGATGAGGCACCACTAGCCGACGCGCCGAATTTGGATCCATACACGTCGATCATGTAGAAGTTGCAAGGGACGTAGATGAGTATACTGCCAAGGAGGGTCAAACCCTGGGCACATATTGGACTGATCCAGTGGATGGATGGTTTGGTGGTCCAGGCGAACCAGAAGAGGCCGGCAGGGAGGACGAGGCTGCCGTATAGGGCTGCGTAGAGACGGTCTTCGGGGGTGGAGGGTATTTGGGAATTGCTAACTCGCTGTCTTTTAATCAACAAGTCAACAGTTATGAGGATTGGGGGCGCCATGAGACAACCCGTGACCATGCCGAGAAACGATAGCCCTTGGGCCTGTGGGGAGAAAGCGTAAACGGTACGGAAAACCCAAGGACTTGCGACAACGAAAGTGTATAGTAGCGCGAACTGGAATCCAGTGTACAGACAGATAGAAGTTACCAGGGGCTCGGTGATGAGCATGTGTAAAGGTCTGATAACAGTCGTCGTTATGAAATACTTTGCTGAATTCCATATCTTTCCCTCCGATGTGCCTCTGCTAAGAGCTGTTTGAGACTCTCGGAGGAATAATATCGGTGTATGAAGCACTGCCGCCATCATAAGAACGACCCATGCTGTCCATCGCCAGCCCTTCGCATCCACCACGAAACCGCCGATCAAAGGACCAACTGCGCTACCAGTGGATGGTATTGAGTAGTATGTGCAGAGCGGTATAGCTCGTTCCGAAGGCGCTGTATAGTCCCCAATCGTGGCTGCCGCAACCGACACCCCTGGAGCGGCAAACAAGCCCGCGAAAAATCGACAGATGATGAGCGAGGCAATGTTTCGTGACAACCCGACTCCGACCATGAAAGCATCGAACAGAGGAAGCGTGATCAGATACACGAATCGGCGACCGAAGGCTTCTGACAGCGGCGAGGAGATCATCGGACCAAATGCAAGGCCCAAAGAGTATGCGGATAATGGTAGTAAGGATACGGTGGTGGATACATTGAACTCTCTTTGCACTTGCTCATGACCTGGAGAATAGATCGAGGCGCCGACAGTCGTGGTGAAACTAATTCCACAAACGATGATGGTTGTTATTTTTTTTCGCGTGGTCGACCAATCTCGTGAATTTTTTTCATCGGTCATGACGTCGCTTCTCATTCTTAGGCATTTGTCCGTTGTTCGGTGAGCACAGGTCTAGACAGATGGATGATTATGCCACCTCAAGAGAGAATTAAGAACCTAATTACTGTTTCATTGACAAAATTTGTACATTCCGAGAGTGAAAATCTGCAAACTAAGGGCGTTGTGGCCTTGGTCGTTAATACGGACATATAGTTCCGAGCAAGTCTATCTCGGAAACTGAAGGACTACCGAAAACAGCTGCCAGCGCACGCTAACTTTGCCTTCCTTGGGAAGAATAAACACAATATCCAAGAACGAAAAGAAAAGACAGAATTATCTAACGAGCTATTCTGGCCGCCATATGTTAATGCAGATAATTCCTGTGTCAATTTTCTTCTCCGAACAGAAACTGAACACTGGACATACAGACAAACAATAACTTCAGTCAAGAGAGCCAAGCTTCAAAGTCCATACTCGCAATGTAACAGACTCTAGAGCACAGTTCAAAGCATTTCATTGAAGACATCCTACTAATGTGAAGATCCCCCTGATAACGAGACTGCGGGAATTCCCTCAAGATCTAAGGGCAACTTCCAATCCCTACGGTTCCATCTAGTTATATAGTGGGTGTTTAAACTCTACCAATTAGATCTTCTGTTCCTACTCACTAAGCCTACTAGACAACTCTCATCGGTCTATTAGCATATCTCACTTACTTCCAGAATCGCTGCATCATGTGTGCCAACAGTAGAGAGAATTGGCTGTCGAGCTCTGAGTCCTACCGGCTTCGAACCCCGCCTCCTTCACCGCGACAAAGACCTCGAATCCCCTACTAAGGAAGATTCTACGTCCTTGTTCGACTTGAAGCTAGGTGGGGTCTGGAAGAGAAATACAAGATCCTAGCGTCGTACAGATCACTCTATTACGGCGGGAAAGTCAGCATTTACTATGAAGACGAATATCGTCCCGATGCGACCGGAGTAATGATAGAGTTTATGACTGATAGCAAGAGTAGGGGAAGTAATTTATATTCTGAGCTGCGGAAAATTAGGGACGCTATGTCAGAGTCGCGTAGAGGCACCCCTGGGGTCTATCGCTGGCCTTGGGGTGCTCAGAGTCATGAGTTCTGGGGACTATACCGGTGCTATACCGGTGAATAGTGTCTACTATCCCTTCTTCCAAGTGATAAAAGAGACATGCATATGAAGAAATATAAGGAATTATGATGAAACTATAGTTCTACTGGAATTTCGTCCATTGTTAAGGGCATCGCGGTGATAGGCCTAGAGCTCGGATATTGTCGGTCGGATATACATGTCCGCATGCCCAAGACAGACAAAGACGTCGGGGCGCGACCCGAATTCACCCCATAAAAAGTTTTTATTTCAAAATCTTTCCGTTGGTAATTACTCCGTCATGAAGAGACCAAAAATCGTCTCATTCGCCAAGCAACCCTCTTCGGGGGCAGTGTTCAGCCAAGAATTAACCCAGGCATCTGCTTCGGCTCTAGCGAGAGGCTCTAGCATTGACTGAAAGTCAGGTCCCGTATCTGTAGGATCGATAATAAGTAACTGTCTTTCCACATAGAGAGAGTAATAGAACATACAATTCACATCGAGAGCAGCTGTAATACCCGCATCACTTTGATCCGACCCTCCGGAGCTCATCCCATTGAGACGGTGTATTAGAGACCGTAGAATCTTCAACGGCTTCTTCAAGCCGAAGCTACAGCCGCGTTGGTACTCAAGCAGGGCGGACCAGAAAAAGCGAATACAATCCGCGAATTCACCAGAGCTCTGGTCGGTGTGGTGTAGAAGGACGAGAACCGCGCAATATGTGGCGTAGGAAATGCCGTATTGGGCCCGTCGAAGAGTAAAAGCATTCTTATAGGCCTGTACAAGGCCCCATATCTTGATAGCAGCTTCAATACACATTTGCTTTGACTCAAGCTCGGAGGCTGGGTCAAGTTTGAAGTGGAAGTGGTCTGGTTTCAGGAACGCTTGTTCGACAAGGATTACTAGAGCCCAGTATGTCGTGCTAGATAAACGATGAGAGAGTAAACAGGTATGACTTGCGAAATACTTACTGTGGCGTGATTTGATGCGGCGGGGGTGTCGAGTCAATGGATGGTTCGAATCGAAGATGCTGAGGAAGACTATTCTTCCAGTAACAGAGCTGGTTCCTTACTTCGTTTCTTGTTTGTAGGAGAGTTTCTCGGGACATCCCGGGGCTGTTGATAGAATATAACCCATCAATGATCTGGCATGCTATTTCACACAATTTCCGTAAAACTTCAAAGGTGCTCAATGCATATGCCGGGCGAGGCATGTATCCCGGCGCGCTGGTGTCAGGGGTCTGAACAAGCGGATCTCTGTACGGACTCCAGAGTTCCAATTCTTCATACGTGTCTATATATTCGTGCGAAATCCGAGAGGAAGAAGAGTGTAGCGTGGGCGGCCGGCCTTGAAAAAGTGACTGGAATTTGTCGGTGACAAAAGCTCCCCAATATAGCCTCCTTCGGAGTTCAATCTCGATCGCTGCTAACCTGACCCCGGATTCGGATTCGGGCCATGGATATTCTATATGATAACCAAGATCCATAACCATTCTATACCCGATACCACAGAACACCCAGGCAGCGCTTTGCCTACCATGTGGCACTAGGCTAGATCCACATGTTAGGAAGGCTACAGCCGTTGCAATACTTGGTTTATCGATATAATCAACAATCAGACTTTTGAACCGATTGTAGAATTTCATGCCCATGGACTGTGGATGTTCAGGGTCTGCACGTAACGATTCTCTGTCGCTGTATGGAAAGATCGAAAAATAGATGGCGTTCAAGAGTAGCTTGTTGACATACGGCCCGCCATTAATAAGACTGTCCATGATAGCGGGTCGGTAGGTTTGAAGGTAAGACAAGTGTTGTCTGTTCCAATGTAAATCTAGAAGATGCATTGCCGTCTCAGGCGAGATCCCGTCGAAATCAATGTTCCTTAAGATGCTGGGAGAATTGTAGAGCACGATCTCCTCCTGTCTTTTTTTGGACGCGTACGCCATGAGTCGATCACGGGAGATGTCCGTCAGGAATTGCTTTTCTTCTTCTGAAAAAGCTCTGAGACGTAAAGGCTTCTCTTTCAAAGGGTCATGATGAAGACTGGTGGCTCCGTAAAATGCGGCTTTCTCTTCCTCGGTCGGCGCAGTAAGGAGACTGGGCTGTCCATCTGGGTGATTTGAATGATCATGTTCAATCGGTTCAGCATTACCGGCATCTTGCAATGTACGTACAGGCTGTTGTAATTGCTCCTGGTGGAAGATCGTAGTGTGATCCGGGTCTTTTACTGATGTCGTTAAGTTTGGGACTCCATTCGAGATGGATACGTCATTCGGTTGATTACCGGCCAAAGCAGTTTGGACGGGGTGTCCTGACACTTTCTCTTGCAATTCACGAAGCTGTCTTTGTAGATCTTCCACATCCGATGGCCTTTTTGACCGCACGATTTTGGTTCTTGCATCTTGCGGGTAGTCACAATCGAATTGCTTCGCGTTGCATGTCCCACACTTAGGGAAGCGACCGTCACATTTCACCTATTTAATCCGTTTGTTTCCGTTTCGTAATTGTTAGAGGGGGTGGACTCTCACTTTTCTAGCGCGACATTTTCTACAGGTACGACATCTGGCGTTTGAGGAGCTCTTGGGAGACGAGCTGTCTCGTAGGATTCCAGGACTTAGCAGCATCAGAATCAATCAGTCGTTCAAATTTAATTCAAACATTCATCTTGAAAGCACGACAGATCTGGCATTGGCTGCAAGGGAGAGAAAAAGAAATGAGCGGAAATGCCAAGGAGAAGGATGAGGATGACAAAGCATCACCAGCATTCCACCTGACTTTGGATGAAATCTAGCGTCCCAATTCGTTGTACATATTGCGCTATTATAGCTTCATATTAATTCTCTCGGGGGGGGGATTCAAAAAATAATAGCTTATAAATCAATTTGCTTTAATATAGCACCTAATGCCCTCGACCTTGTTTGTGGTGTGAAAATGTACTTCACATAGCATATAGTCTAGTTATTTAACGGAGGGTTATTGATATTGCTAAACAGTGAACGACAAAAATGGCTAAAACAAAAAGAAAGAGGATAAAAAGCTAGAACCAGGCCTATATGACATTATATTCACTAGAAAGGCCCCCGAGGGCAAGGTTTAGGTCAAGGTACGTCACGTTGTCCACGCCTGCATGCAAACCCCGCATTGAGTGACCTCACCCAAATCAATCAAAACAACAACCCAAGCTGTCCCTGATCCAAGAAGCAACTACCCCATAACACGCTCAAAATGCCTCTTAAATGCGATACTATATTCCTTTCCTACTCGCTTCTCTTACTGGTAAGTCGACTCGACCTAGAATTCTAAGAGTCCCATGTATAACTCGTCCAGGGCTCCATCGTCGCCTTGATCTGCGGCGCGTATGTTCATCCAACCCCCAAAATACTCCAAATCCAATTTTAACATCTCATGAACCCAGTCTCTCATGGTCACGCACCCAATCCTTCTCTTTACCTCTTCCAACATGGCTCCCCGCCTTAACAACCCTTCTCCCTCCATTGACCGTTACCGTCCTAGCCGCCATCAGCATCCTGATCCCCAGAACAAGGGCAAATACAACAGCAGCAACTAGCGCCGCCCAACGCGCTCTTTTCTTCATTGACCAAGCCCACTCTATCCTCTCCACTATCATCGCCACTCTAGCACTCGCCTACCTATATCCCGAGAACATCCTATCGTGCCGTCTCGAGCAACAATGGCAGACATACTTCAGCGCTCGGAACGTAGGCGCGATCCGCTCGATCCAAGATACTTTCCAATGCTGTGGTCTGCGGAGTACACATGATCGGGCTTGGCCGTTCAAGGACAAAACTCACGGCGATGATGCTTGTGAGCGACAGTTGGGGTTTCGACAGAGTTGCTTTGTGCCGTGGAGGGAGCAGCAGCAGAGTGTCTCGTGGATGGTCTTCATGGCGGCCGTACTAGTGTGGATGGTTAAGGTATATCACCTGTCTGTTTGTTTAGGTTTTGATTATGTGGCTGACTGCTTTTGCTGTTGATTAGATTGGTTATATTCAGGTGGTGCGTCGGCGAAACGCTGGCTGGATGGAAACGCGCGCGTCGCGAGGGAATACCGAATACCAGAGGATTACAAATGCAGAGAGACGGGAAGACGAGAATGATGGGGATCTCGAGGATGGTCCTGAGGATGACAATAGGCGGGCTATCTTGCCGCAGGCGAATCCTGAATACGGTACTGAATGGGAGGAACGCTAAGGTTCTTTATGAGGAAATGTTTGTCGATTTGAGTTGAGAGAGAAAGCTTGAGTTCTGTGGTTGACCATTTGTCATTGGGACCCTAATTTGACATTCATAACCAAGATTGAGTTGGATTGCAAGTGATACGAAGGACTGAACTCCAGTTTGGAAGCAGGTGCCGAGGAGAGGAAGGTGCAATAGCAAAAGACGAAATTCAATTCACAACGCAACGCATCAAGGATATCTTCGAGTACATGAGAAATAGATAACATAGAAAGAAAACAATTATGAGGCAATCATAAGACCGGGAAATAAATCCAATTAAGGGGCCGCTAATAATTGAAGCTCAGTTGATCCCTTGAATGTAAGGACTTCTCCCGCTACACTCAAGGATATCTCCCACGATAACGTATTATTCCGTCGAATATTATACGTCACGAAGTCCGGCTGGATCCCAGAGACAGGAGCGAGACGCGCCCCTTGAGCATATAATCCGTCGGGCCGAAGGACAAGCTGAAGCATATCGCCGATATTGATTGGCTCATTGCCCTTCCCAGTGGTGAATACAATAGGGTTTTCCAGTTTAGCAAACAGCCTTTCCAACCCGAGGTGATAGTCACAAGACTGGTCATCAGAATGAGGGTATGAACTGAAATTCCCCGGCGCAGTGACGATAGTAGTGCTTTTGATTTTCAATCGGAGCCAGTTCAACTGGATAGTTTGCCTGACGTCTTGGATACTGTCGCTTGTGCGCTCAAGGTCTGGCCTAATGCCTATGATGAGCGGGATAGGCGCCGCATTCTCGAACTGAATTCGCCGCGGGAATGCGAAATCCACCATGAAGTGGAATTCGGGTACTTTCGATGACCCGAAGAGCTTTTGTGTCTTTTGTTTGAATGATAAATCGGCATCTTCCATCCCAGGTAGGAGTCTCTGACTCCTCACCGATTTTGGCAGCTGCCGTTGCAAAATGTCATAGTCGAGTAAGATAGGTGCAGCTGGCTGGCGCAAAGCGATAGGTGATGTGGCATTAAGAGTATCATACGATCCTCCACGACTAAACCGCAGTTCAGCTTGAAGATAATACTCGACGAATCCCTCGGAGGTGTGATTCCAGCCGACTCGACTCGAGAAAAAGCTCCCCGGTAGCGGCTGATACGCAAGGCTCTCCTTGTTCAGCGGTAGGAAGCTTTCTTGCTGATCATGTCCCAGCAGAACGGACGACGCAGGACCCGACGGAATAGGAACCTCGAACGGCCAGGTGAGGCTTTCATCGGTCCCTTCTGGCAGATGAAGCGGACCGCGAAAGAGGGTTTGCGAAGTCACGCCGAGAAGGTCCCATCGGCTGCGATACACGCTGCGGTTGTTGTTGCCGCGCTTGACGGTGATTTTGGTCTTGACGCGCCCCACCAGCTCCAGTCTCACAGTGGCTTCGGGGGCCACGATGGGCTGTCGACGGACCACATTTCCGATGATGGTGTCACCTGCGCCGAAAGTCCATCCGGGAGGTGCTGTAATCTCGAGGTTGATACCCACGTCGTTTTGATTTAACGTGATCGGCATTTTGAATGGGTGGCGGTTGTTATTTTCAGAAAACAAAAACACAAGATCGACCCTGGGATATATGTGCCCCTGTGCGCGTGGGGGCCAATTCCCGGGCATTCGGGCGCAGAGAGGCTGTGTGGGTCCAAGGCGAACTTGATCTTCTTGGCGTGGCTTATCTACTCTTTAGCCCACTGCACTGGATACTGAATGAAATTATGATAAACTGCATAATGCACCTTTTTGCTGGCAGTTATAGTGTGCAATAATCATAGTGACTAAAACCCATATTTGTGCTCTGCTTTTATACAATACACATATAGGTAGATATTCAACATCACTTTATGTACATTTCCTGTACAAGAGCATGAATATCCCATTTAAGGTCACACTGCTTTACCAAGAATACTTAGGGGCCTTTTTCCAGTGCGTATCTTATTTATAAGTGATCATTTACCGAGAAGTTACTGAGTATTTAATAAGGAACTATAATATACCGGCTAGGGTGTGGCTACAGCGTGGCCCAAAATTTCATATTATAGCCGGGTTGGGAAATATCCGTAAAATGAGTCACTTAAGTGACTAGCTGGGAATCTCGATTCTAGAAACACTTGTTTCTAGAAAACCATAAAAAGAATTTCGCAATCATCACTTTGTTCCATTCCAAGATTAACTTGATGGCTGTTAACGCAAATTACAGTATTTATGCTCTAGACTGCGAGGACAGGATCCCATGAAAAGAACAATATCAAATTGACTATCACATCCATATACGTCGTGGCAGTCGAGATATTCTCGTCTACATCTCTTTCAGATAGCGCTGTGACTCAACATCCTGATGACTATTTCTCTCCCTCCCGATGTCGCACAGGCCCCGGCTGCGGCGGCGCATCAATAAGCGCCGAAGCCTGCGTGAGCCAAACATCGGCGGCGGTGTTCCTGCTGTTGAACTCACGGAAGATGAAGCTCATTGGGAATCCGACCTCAAATTCCGTCGCGCCATCAATCTCATCCATATCCGCGTCCGATAGCGAGATGCTCAATGCCTCAATGTTCGCCTTTAGGTGTTCGACCTTACGCTGTCCGATAATTGGGAACACGTTAGGGGTCTTGTGCATGACATACGCAAGGGCCTATTTCCGTCAGCAAACAGAGTGCTTTTAGGTCAGAAAAAGAGGGTTGAAGGGAACATACAATAGCATGCAACGTGGTGCCCTTGCGCTCAGCAACCTTCTCCAACGCTTCTGAAATCTTAGCATCACTTTCGCTGATCTCGGCACCCCGGCCACTCCCATCACTGTTCTTCTCTTGCCTAGCGGCTCGAGTCTTGAACTTGCCACCTCCAAGCGGCGCCCACGGAGCAATCCCCATCCCCTGATCACGACACATGGGAACAATCTCTCTCTCCATGTCACGGTAGCTTGCATTCCACTTGCCCTGATACACGCTAAACGGCTTAAGGCCATGTGCGCGCGCATAATCGTTCGCCTTGACAACTACCCAGGCGGGTGTATCAGAAACACCTAAGTACAAGACTTTGCCGGATGTGACTAGGCTGTTCAGCCCGTGCATGACCTCTTCAACACTAGTTGTGAAGTCCCACCAATGCAGGTAGAGGACGTCGATGTAGTCTGTTTGGAGTTTGCGGAGAGAGTTATTAACGGAGATGATCATGGATTTGTAACTGTTGCCGACGAAGTTTGACTGCAGCGGTTCAGTGGAGCGATGAGAGGTGCGGTATCCGGTTGTGTATTTGGTCGCAATCCTTTATTAACATATCAGCATGGCGGGCCTTTGGGGGAGCAGGCGTGGAGTAGTGAAATTGGGACAAGGGAGAACGTACACCATCTGGTCGCGGCACCCACGCTTCTGCAACCACTCGCCTATCCATTTCTCACTTTCTTCATGTTGGTAGTTGTTGGCCCTATCCGTGGATTTTATTAACTCTGCCGCTTCAACAAGTGGTAGAGGATGCATACGTGTCGATGAAATTACCGCCTGCTTCGTAGAAAGCGTCGAGGAGAGCAAAAGATGCCTCCTTGTTACATTCACCCATGAACTCCTTCCTATAGTCCGGAACAGGTTAAATTCAGAATCTTTCTCAATGCCATCAAACACAGAATGAAGGGATAATACCAGGCATCGCCGAAGTTCATAGCTCCTATACATAGCGGGGACACCTTGACACCAGCCGAGGGGGAAAGGACTCGGTGGTAGCCAAGGAGGGTTGGCGGCTTAGGGGCAGGAGCGAAGATAGACATTTTAGAAATAAGTTTGGTAAGTTCAGGCTATTCACAGTTGAAAGAGTGTGTTCAGTATGATTATGACCTGCGCGAGTTGGCCTTTTATAGCACGACAGAGCGGAACGATGGCCACCAAGGTACATTCGTAATCCACTGCTGTTATGTCATCGAGAACCCTGAAAGTCTACCTTATGATCTGCCAGTCATGACGAAAAGCTATGGGGACCTGCTGTAACTCTGTAACTCCATTGGATAACTAGAGTACTCCGTATGCAGCTTACTGTGGATCCGGAGTTTATTTCCCGGGGATAAGGGTGGGTCATCAACCGGTCTCCAAAGTCATCATGGCTTCTTAAGTCCACCAGTCTGTACACAATTTGTATAGTCAAGCGCCCATTTGACAGACTACCACCGGCTATAAAGAGTTACAAAGCCGTCCAGAATTAGGTCTGCCAAAATTCCATATTTGGTGCGTAAGCAGCACGCATCTGCCGGATTCCGAGCTTATCTCCGCCGGCTGCAGCAAACAACGTCATAGACCACTAGTATATGTATATGCCCTCAGGAGCAAAAAGAACCACCGGTCCCTTCCAAACTATTACCAAATTTACCTCCCGAGCCAAAAGAAGCATGTCTTTCACCCTTCACCCACCCCCCGACTCCCTCCTGGCGCGCCACCGTCAACTCTCCCCTTCCGCCGCGATCCGGGTCTCTCCCCTCTGTCTCGGGGCCATGACCTTTGGCACCGCACACAACGAGCGCTACGGGGAGTGCACAAAAGAGGATGCATTCGGCGTACTGGATGCCTTCTACAGCAAAGGCGGCAACTTCATCGACACGGCCAACGCCTACCGCGAAGGCCAATCCGAAGAATGGCTGGGCGAGTGGATGGAAACACGCCAAAATCGAGACGACATCGTGCTTGCCACAAAGTACACGACACCGTGGCAGACGCACAACTCCAAGAAACTGCAGTCTAACTACGGTGGGAACAATGTAAAATCGATGAAATTAGGCCTGGATGCATCGCTTGCCAGATTAAAGACTTCTTATATCGACCTGTACTATGTCCATTGGTGGGATTACACTACAAGTATCCCTGAGCTCATGCATGCGCTTGATGATTTGGTCAGCTTGGGGAAGGTCTTGTATCTGGGCATTTCGGATACCCCCGCCTGGGTGGTTTCGAAAGCAAATGAATATGCCAGGCAGAAAGGGCTGCGGCAGTTTGTGGTATACCAGGGAATGTGGAACGCGACAATGCGCGACTTTGAACGCGATATTATCCCCATGTGCCGCGATGAGGGCATGGGTCTCTGTCCTTATGGGGTTTTGAACCAAGGTCGGTTCCAGACAGAGGAGGGCTTCCGGGAACGGGAGAAACACAATGATGGACGAAACTTCATTGCTACCTCGCAGCGTGACAAGGATATGTCCCGTGTTCTAGAGAAGATCGCGAATAAGAAGAATGTCGATCTGCTTCATGTCGCACTCAGCTATGTCATGGAAAAGGCGCCGTATGTATTTCCGATTGTTGGCGCCAGGAAGGTCTCGCATATCGAAGGCAGTATTGGGGGAATTGGTGTCACGTTGAGCGAAGAAGAGATTCTCGAGATTGAGTTGGTCTACGAGTTTGACTTTGGGTTCCCCCATACCTTCCTCAGCGGTACGCTGTTTGACGAGTCTAAGTCGAGAGGTGCAGATCAGCCCGGCGATTGCTGGATGATCAAGAATCTGGGAAACTTTGATTGGGTTGAGAAGCCAAAGGCGATACGGCCAAAGAATTGAGGAGTTTAAAAATGTGAATATAATCTGAGCCACAGGAACAATGCTCATCATGGGTTGGGATCGTCTTACGAGTTAACTAATTCTTTGATTTTCTACCCAAGCTAAAGAGCCAAAGAGAAAAACTGGAAGTAAGAAATATGACATTGTCGGCGACCTCCCGATTATCTTCGATACCACATTCTAGTGACCTTGGTCCTCCTCATCTTCTTCTGCAACTGAAAAATGCCATATAGGAACGCTTCCGGCGTCGGAGGGCATCCAGGAACATAAACATCCACCGGTACGATCCGATCAACACCCCTAACCACACTATAACTATAGTGATAATACCCTCCACCATTGGCACAACTACCCATACTGATGACCCACCTCGGATCCGGCATCTGGTCATAGCATTGACGAAGCGCCGGTGCCATCTTATTCGTCACCGTACCGGCAACAACCATCACATCGGACTGACGGGGAGAAGCTCGGAAGATAATGCCGAGTCGGTCCTGATCGTAGCGAGGCATGGATACGTGCATCATCTCGATGGCGCAGCAAGCGAGTCCGAAACTTAGGGGCCATAGGGATCCTTGTCGGGCCCAGTTGACAATTTGGTCGAAGGTCGTGCTATGTAGAGTTTCTGGTTAGCTGTTCTGCGATGTGATTGCTATTTCGTCTGGGATGGATTTCGTACAGAACATATTCTGCAGCATTGGACTTCTTCGGTTCTAAGGAAATGGCTGTTGAAGAGGATGGAAATTGTTTGGCTAAGGACTCGCGAGCTACGAGAGCGTTTGTAGCTGAATGCTTTTGTCGGTGGGTCTGCAAGTGTGGAATAACACGAGTGGAAGCTGAAGCCCCAGATGTAATCAAGGATGTGAAAGGCCCTTAGCAAGATAATGTTAGCAACGTAGTTTGCGAGAATTGAGTCAAGGAACCCACTTTGGATAAGGCTTAGGCACGGTCGAGACATTCTGTGATTCGTTCGTAGGCCCGGGCTTGTATATCGTCTAATGAACAGTGTAGGAGAGTAAGGCAGAAGTTTGAGCGCAGTTATTGCAAAGTTTTACAGGTGGGAGGAAGAGATCGCATTGCGGCCCTTAGTATACAAGACTAGGCCGCTGCCACCATGTGGGATTTGTCCGGTCAAGTGGGATTTCTCCGACTTGTGTCTGACCCACTATTAGAAGACCTTTACTCTGTAGCCATCAAGGGAAAAAAAAAAAAAAAAAAAAGGAAAAGAAAAGAAAGCAGCCAAAAAGGTCTTTGATTTTCACAATTAATAGATAGGGGCTATTCTTATATAGGGGGATCAGGTAATTATGGGATCGCGCAAGTGTGAAGTAAATAGCGTTGGGAAGATAAGACCCACTAGATCCATCTCGTTGGCTTGGGAGTTGCGGGAAAATCTCACCTTCCTGCAACGTTGGCATTGTCACTCACAATTATGTCCCCTGGTGCTTGCGGCAAAGACTACAGATGTGTAGAATGTGGCCGGGGATACTCAACATCTAGTCACCTTCGGCGCCATCAAGCGACTCGTGAGATCTCTCAGGCCCAGAACTCATGAGTCCCAAGGCTGATTAGTTGCCACTCAGATTCCGCAGCCCAGCGGAAGACGTGTCCATTCTGCCATCGCCAGTATCTCAGAAGGTAAAACCATGGCTTATTGTCCACGATGCGCCTTCCTGATGACAATGAACAACGTAGTGATGTTTTCCTCCGCCATTCACGAGCTTGCAAGCTCAGGGACACGCGAACATTGCCGCAGGGGCAAAAACAGGGCAGGAAACGGACGTCTTGCGACCAATGTTCCCAGGCTCACAGTTTTTGTGACGGGGATCGCCCATGCGAAGCTTGTATTGCTGCATCCTTCGATTGCTCTTACAACGTTCTAAGAAAACCGAGCCCCGCGCCTGCTGTACCCATGCAGCAGCGCTCCACGGAACCCGGAGTGTCCGCTTGGCAAACAGGACAAGGATCCACGACCCCTTCTGACAAGATATCTATTCCCTTTATCTTGAACTATACTGACCAATCATCGAGATCTTTTTTCGATTTGCATTTCATGCTGGGAGGAGAATCGGCGAGTGCTGCTGGAACCGCGGACACATTCCCGGAGTTCTGGCCATCATTATTCAACGCGTTCATAAATCCATTGGCAATGGAGCCTCAATGCCATGATATATCCTATGGATTGGACGACTCTGCTACGGTCTCTGAAACGGTTGCGCGGCTGATAACACATCTCAAACATTGCAATACAAAAACTCCCAAACATCAGCAAATTGACATTTCAGCGGCAAAATCATTCTTTTGTGCTACTCGGCTTCGTGAATACGTGCACAGCTTTTTCGACCATTCCTCGCATACAAACTGTCTCATTCATAGAGCTTCGTTTAATATAAAAACGGCATCAACGCACTTGCTGCTGGTGATCGCTTTACAGGGTGCAGTTTGCAGATCCCCTGAAGAAGCTATGGAGGCACAATATCTCTCTGATTTAGTGCATCATTCTCTTTTCGGAGGTCCTGAGTTTCGGCGGATTCTTTATAGCAAGGACCCACCATTGTCGGAGGACAACATTCAACTAGTCCAAGCGGCAATGCTCATGATGGTGCTACAAGCAGCGAGAGAGGTGTTTGACATCAACAGACGTATTCGCACCCAATGCTTCCCAGCACTAGTGTCCGTTATACGTTCATTGGGGTTGACCCGAGTACTCAACGGCACGGAGCATTATGGACAGCCAGCTATCCTCGACGACTATGTGCATCAAGAGACCCTTGTGCGGTGAGTTACAAGATAAAAGACCTTCTTTTGATAAGAACCTAACTTCTACTCAACAGAATTATTTCCTGGGCATATCTTTTTGACAGTTACATTGTTATTTATCATCGGTCGCCACCACATTTCAAAATAGTCGAAGCGAATTTCGGCCTCCCGCGACACGATGCGCTTTTTGACACGATAGACCATGCTGAATGGGAGAGTGTCATACCGAATACCGATAGATACTATTCGCCAGTCTCTCTTAAGGTAGTGGTCCAACAACTGATGGATGATCAGCCTATTCACCCGAATGAGATGCTACGTCACATTAACACTTTATTTGCGCTTTCACTAGTGCTCAGTGGTATGTAGCCCAAACTACAATTACATTCAGGGGATATGCTAATATACTGGTAGCTCTACACTCTATTCTATTCGACATCCAAGCACTGGGCAGTTTCATCTATGCTACTAACGCGTTGATTCCCATTGAACGTGCATTAGACAGATGGAAGGAACTATACGATATGTTTTATCCTGATTTCCGGACGTCAAAGGCATCGAGATCCGGGTTCATGATCCACAGTCTCGAGTTTTGGTGGTTAGCGAAACGGTTCGTTCAACGGCCTGATGTAGCTTTGAATGGCGAAAATTTTGCTGCGGATTTCATCAAAAGCTTCCATGGCATTGTTCAAGAACTGAAGGCCTCGAATGAAGATGGATGAGCCCCGGTATATATCGTCAGGCACGGTGGTGTTGTTAAATTCGACCTGAGAAATATAATTGATAATCACTGTGGATTTTATCGTGAAGATTGGAATAAAATTAGTGGACTGGGTGGGACTCATGAAATACAACATGATAAATTACGCTGGAAATATAACAGTTTCAATTAACCACAACATGAGTAAAAAAGAGTATTAGTTATAATCTTGAAGGACTAAGCTTGAAAACAACTCAAATATAAGATACAATTAAGGCTCATTACCGAAACATCAAACGTTGCTTCGTATCCGAGAATCCAAGTTGAACCTTCGTTGACTTAGCTGTTGTTTCCATCCCACTGACCGTGACATGTTCATCTTCCGAAAAAAGATGAGAATCAAGTCCATTGTACAGAAGCGCCAAGCTTGATGACTTCCAGAGCTTCAGCTTAGCACCCTTGTTGGTAAGCATAGTCGAAACCCAAAAGAATATAGTAGTCCCATAACTACTACAGGAAGAGACAAAAAAGCCCAGTCAACCGCAACATAGACCTCAGAGACAAAAAAGTAGTGCCTTTCACAGTGGAGTTGCTCCCTTCGATGTTGTATTTTGTCAAGGAAGTGGCGACCTTAGGTAGTATCATCTCCAGACCGGTATCCAAAATTCGGGACAACGTGTATGTGCCGTTTTGTTCATTCTTGGGTCCCCAGCCCTGCCATGAATCGGTTGTCATGTTACCGCCGTAGAACGTATAATTTGTTCTTCCTTCGAGAGCTTCAACAAAGACGATCGGGTTTTATCTAGTGGGCAGAAGGCAAATTGATCGGAATCTTTCAATGCTAGGCCAAAAGCCCAAGTATTGCCCACGGTGTTGTTGAAAGTAATTTCTTCAAGGTCTAGGGTGTCATTTATTGTTCCTCTCCAGCAAGTCATGTCGCTCGTTATATTATCCAGACCTTCGTATTTTCCATAGTCCACTTTATGAAGAAAACTCTCACCGTAAGAGATTGCCGAGACATTGAGTGAAGGAGCACCCTCTGACACTGACACATTGTATGTCCGAGAGCACATAGATATGACACATTCCGTAGCTTTTTTGACATAAAGGTATTCTTCGGGGTTTGGCAGCGCAGTATCCTCCGCCATGATAACATTGAAATCTAGTTCTGCATGCTCAAGAACTATCAATGGATTTCTTACGCCCAAGAATTCATGATGATCGTTTTCGATACTTTCTTTCAACACCTCCTCGCCCCGGGCTGCCCATATGACATCCTTCGGGACATGCATCTTGTATTGGTACAGGTAGCTGATCTCATGGTTGGGTCGGACTTCAATGGGACTCTTCGATCTCGATCCATGTGGCAGCTTCACATGGCAGGAAGTAAGTTGAGATTTCGAGCTGCTAATATCAACATCCACCTCGGTGCAGCCAACGAGCTCCGCATCGGCGGTAACATCAGCACATTTACTGCACCACCCAGCCGATTGAAAACTAGACCACGTGCAGTTTCCTGAAGGGCACGTGGGAGAATAGTCGAGGCGGCTCGAAGCCAGAAGTGTTATAAGAGCGCCCAGTGAGATTAACAAGCGTCCTTTGGGGTTCTTCAAGACGGCAATGCATTCCATAGGTCCCCGACTAGCGTTATCGATGGGTTGGAGATCATGCAAGGGCCTGGGACCTTCTTGAAACCAGATCCATTTCAATTGACTGATTGACGCTCCGATCGCACACAACAATGAAGGCTTAGCCGCGGTAGCCAGCACTGAAACTATTGTGTTGAGACTCAATCCGTGAGGTAGATCAGGTGATGCACGTTGATCATAAACTCCAAGAAGACAAAGAATTGTTATGAAGCACAGCACACTGAAGACAACTGCCAAACCTTCCCAGAACCATGAATCCAGATCTAACGAGTCCCATATTGAGGTTTTGGGTCGATTGGTTGTTTCCGATGGTTGAGGACTCTCGTTGCGAGCGAGTAATCCAATATCGGCGCTCTTGTTTGATTTGCTAAACGTGTCGTAACATAAGAAGTACAAAAATGTTTTGGAGTAGGATTCTTAGGAAAATTCCAAATTGAAGTCTTAATGTCGCCGCGGATATAGACTAGAAATAAGCCCTTACTACTAGGGGTTGACCCTTTTTAGTGTAGCGGTAATTTTTCTGCAACACTTAAGATAGACTAAATCAGAAAAGAGTGATTAGAAAAAGAAAAGAAAGCAAGAAAAAAGAGAAAAAAACGCTCAAAAAAGCAACGAAGCAACACTTCCACTGATAAATTACAAAATATTAATGGGGCGATTCACTCTTCTTATGACAGCCTCGTGACCTCGGTGGGGAGGGAGACAATCCTCCAAGCTCTACACTGTAGGCGAGCCTGTTTTTGGCCCCCAAGGAGGCTACAACTTAGCGTCTAGTTAATATCTTCCCGAATCCATCGCGCATCCTAAGCCCCTTTGAATTTGTCTTTAACTTCTAACGATGTTGATTCATAAAGTTTGATTATTAGTCTTTCTGTCCCAATTCCCAATAACTAAGGTCACGGGTAATATTAGAGACATCGCTGTGTCTGTCCTTCAAACGGGAACTAATAACATTCGTTCTAACCTATCGAGTAACCAAGAACTATAGCCCGTGAATTATCATCTACATTGCGGAGCAGCTAAGCATCTAAATCCAATCCTGCCCGAAACACTTCTCGAGGCTCAATTCATTCTATTGGCTCCACAGACTAATAAGCCGAAGTCGGAAACAGATTCCGATCAGTTTCCCTTTTATCAACCAGCAGAGTAGCTTGGATGGGATCTTAGAGCGAGCCATTGTCGTTTCACTTCAGTAAACCATGGTCCAGGGTCTCGTACATTGGCCTGTGGGTCTCAGGCTTGAGATAACTCTGCGCTGCTGAGCGTCGTTGTTGGAACAATCTGTCAACCAATGGAACTGGAGCCTGTGCTTTCGGGCCATCCATCAAGAGTTATCAGGAAGCTCAGATGAATTGGCGAGTTCACGCTTCGGGTTTCACACTCTTGATGATACATTCGTAGCTGTTTAGTCTCTTCAATGACCAGAGAAGAGGTTGAGATGTGGAGCGACGAATATCATTTTGATTTTCTTTTCTTGGTCTCTTGACTGTATACCTCCAAAATTCTATCTCGGATGATTGTCTAGTGTGAAGGCCCATTTATGTGCAATAAAGATCACGAAGGATCGCCCATACAAGCCGTGATTGGCGGTGATTTGGGCTGATCCGCGCCCTTTCGGATGCATCTCAAACCGATGGCCGAATAAGCACCGTGCCCTTCCATCGCTTTCCTTGCGATCGAAAACAGATCTCACTCACAGAACCTTCTGATGTGGTGATAGTTTCCTTTTTCCAGCCCGACCGGGTAATTATACTTTAGTAAGGCGGTCGACCGATCGTCGATCGATCTATTTAACCTGGGGCTTGCGACCCGCCTGTTTTTCATGATAAATTAGTTTCATTCAAGAACGCATTACAAAATGACAACAACATCTAGTAAGTTACTTGCTTGCGCGATTGAAAAATCACCTTGAAGTATTCCTCACCTAACCACAAATTCAAGACACGGATCATCTCTCCTCGCCTCTTTGCATTGGCATTCTTCTGTTCCCCGGCTTCCAAGCGCTCGATGCATTCGGTCCTCTAGATTGTATCAACGTGCTCTCATGGACGCACGATGTGAAGCTAGCCGTGATTGCACCGAGTTTAAACCCTGTTTCAACAAAATCGCCCATGTCCCCAAACGCTCTCGGACAAAACATCGTACCGACTCACACGTTTGAAACGGCTCCACCCCTAGACGTCCTCCTCGTGCCTGGCGGCCTTGGCACCCGCGGCTCAAGCGCCCCAGTTCAAGGAGCCATCGAGTTCATCAAATCTGTATATCCGTCGCTGAAGTACTTGATAACTGTATGTACCGGGTCAGGACTGGCTGCACGGTCTGGAGTGCTGGATGGACGGAAGGCCACTACGAATAAAAAGGCCTGGGAAGAGATAACACGTTTAGCACCGAATGTCAACTGGGTGTCCCGGGCGCGGTGGGTAAGGGATGGAAATATCTGGACTTCGTCCGGGGTCAGTGCAGGTATTGATGTCACTCTTGCCTGGATCGAAGAGGTCTATGGGAGAGATGTGGCGGGTAGGATAGCGGACGGGATGGAGTACACTCGGCATATGGATGCTAGTTTTGATCCATTCGCTGATAAGTATGGGCTGTAATGATTTCTGCGGTCAGGGGAACTCTTTCGTGTTGTAATAGTGGGTACAGGGATCTCTATGTTATCTTAAACTCGATCGTTGAATTAGTGCTATGAAGTGGTGACGAATTGTGACGATAACAACAAGAAAATAAGGCACGAAGTACGATCGTTCTGCTGTGATCGACAATAGCCTATCGGAGCTAGGTGTCGTTGGTTATGTCGAATTAAGATTTAATTGTAATAGCCTGAGTGTGGCAATTGTTGATCTTTACTGGCCTAGAATCCGACAAAGTAGGTAGCTTTTGATTTTTTTTTTTTTTCTAAAGCTTGCCATCGCTCACTAATGCACACGTAGACAGAGGTAAGTTGACTGTGCCTAGGAGCCCATCGAGACATCATGCACGAGTCAATCATATCATACATTCAGTAGAACTATCCGCCTCTTACACTTTGATAGTTTTGTAGAACCTACACTTTATCCAAACCTAACCAACTCCAACCCACAATAGACGCAAATAAGCTTTTCGGGGGCGTGTGAGAGTAAACTAATCCCTAAATCGAGCCATCGCCCAGGCAACAAATATAGGGAAGACTCATCGGTCTCAGCTTGCCATTTAATTGGAAATGCGACCAAGAGCGAGAAACAGTCAGGGTCCTTTCTTACGTGGACTCAAGGCGGAAACATTCTCATTGATAATTATAGCAAAGTAGGCAGGTAAGCTTCATCCTGAAGACAAGCGATGAAATCCGAATGGTTAAAGTGGTAATTGATCTACCACCACGGATATCATCACTGTTTGAGTTTAAGAAGGATGACGTACGATCAACCGGGGAAATGGCCTGGATGGAATAGGCTATCACATTCCTATTATTAGAGTGTGTCAATCGCTTGGCAGTCATGACCTACTGCTTTTAATAAGAAGCAGTCCAATAGGGGTGCGTGAACAGGGATCTGAGTGTTACCCATCTGTATGATGATATCGCCTGCATAAGAACGATGGAACTCGTCTAAATCGTATAACTGTTGTGCCAAGCTATGAATCCTTCTGACAAGACTGATTCGTGTGACGGAGGTGGAGCTCTGGCGGTAAGGATAATCCACCCACTCATCCATAAGCACTTTAATTCCCTTTCCCTTCTCTTTTTAAATTTTGTGGTCCTGTCAACTGTAACATTGCGGTCTAGAGAAATTGAACGGTGGCGCCGTGGAGGCAATGGGATGGCTAGAACAGAGTTTTCCAAGAGTTATGAGTTATGCCCCAGAAGATGGAACCACCCGATCAACTGACAACAGGGCAGTCCAGAAACACAAAGACCGATGCACGGAGAGGGGTTGGGTATCCACACATGACTTCAATTTTACTGAGTCCAGAGCGGTGTTAATGTCGATCACCGATTTGGTCCACGAATCCCACGGAGGCACCAACATAACGCAGTTGCAGCATGGCTTGGCGCCCCGATCTGTCTCCTTGTCAACGTCAACAGGGAATGGAAATTACGGCTGCACCTGTCCGATTTCTGTCCAACGCTAAGATCGACCGCTCTTCCGTGGTTCGCTGCTTGCCGAGGTCTAAGAGCGCCGCAACGAGCCACCACATGACCGTTGTTTGTTGAAAAGGGGATCGATCCCCTTTTCCCCGTCGAGGGACACAAAACGGATGTTTTCTCCTTTTCTCTATTTTCTTTCTGTTCTTCTCGCATTGGAATTTCGCCTCTGGTGAGCTAAATCTTTGGATCAACGCATTATGACACTCCTTGCTCAGCCAGTCATGGCTACGATGCTGCCGGTGGAAATTATTCAATCGATTCTTCTCTACATGGACATTGAAACATACCTCGCTGCGCGTTTGACGTGTAAATCCTGGAGATACGCGGCGTCCACTTCGCTCATGACATACAAAACCGTGCAGCAAATCCCCGTCGCGCTACCACCAACAATCCGCGAACTGAGTGAGAATGAATGGGGCACCTATCTCGACCAGATCGGGCGGATCAATCTATTGGGGTTCCGGAATCACGTGGAGAGGACAGTGACATCTCGAAGCCGGACAAATACCTGGACGGCGCCTGCAACAGCAAGACTGGGATACCGAGGTCGGGGAGCCGTTAGATCGAAGGGATCGCCGGGAGTCGTGGACGAGAATGAAATCAAACAACGGCTACTCCAATTTCCACTGGCTTCGTCACTCTATCCCCTTTGGACGTCAGTCTGTCGCGCATTGTCCGACGGGTGCAACGATAGGTGGATGATGAAACAACAGCAGAGTGCGCAGCCGCATCTTGCTCTCTCTACTGATGGCCGCATTCTGGCTATAGGATTCGGTAAAAGGATCCAGGTGTTTAGCGCTTTGGACGACAATTGTGCAAAGAATGAATCCTCCGTCGAGTATCTGATCAAGGATGATGTCCACGGAATCATTGAATCACTAGAATTCGAAGAAAATGACAAGCTGCTCCGACTCGTTATTGGGCAACAACCGAGCCGAGTCCGTTATCTAGGTCTACCATCACAAGCCTCAGAGAAGGCTGATATGAGCTACTGGCGCAAATGCATTGATCGTATTTATCTGGATTCGATCGAACTAGCAAGGCATCTCAGTCGATCAAGCACGACAAGATTAGTGCTGACCGGCTTACGACTTCTTCCAATCTCCGAGGAAACTGGCAATATGTCAGGCTCAGGAAGCGAAGTACACCGGCAGTTCACGGCATGTCTTCAAACCGGACATATAGATTCCTACTGTATGGGATCGATATCATTCTTCCATACCGTAGACGTCAGCGGCATGCTTTCCGCAAGCATCGACCGCCTTCTCCCATCGAAGCAGTTCCAGCCATACACCGCGAAATCTCGTAAACACTCTAAAGCGGAACAGTCGACTGTCCCAGCTCATTCTCTTCCATGCGCCACTGTCAACCCAGAATACACCTACAGCTACGGTGACGATGCTCCTCGAAAAGACTACCAACTTACAAACATACCGCGCTGGGACCACATCAACCTACCATCAGCCACCTGCGATGCCCCGCAACTAGCCATTTCAGACGACAGCCGCATACTAGTAGTCTACGAACCGTGCGCCTCACCCAAGGGCCAAGGCGGCTCGGTGTATGTCTATAACATCGAACCATGCATACCCATCTACCAGCCGTTTCCCCGCACAAAACCCCAGAATCAAGTTGATTGGTCGATTTTCGGACAAGACTTTGGCGGGTTGGGCCTGTGCTTCGTGTTCAGTGCGGCCTTTGACATGATCAAGTCCAAAATGACTGACGTCATTCCTTCGTGGCCTTTCCTTTTGGACAGGATTGATGCGGATATTAATAACTTGAAAGTTACGCGTGACACAGGCGAGGGCCTGAATGACTGCTACATTATTACCGCTAAATCTGCAGAGGGGGATATCGAGTGGAAATCGAATCGCAGTTAGAGATTACGAGACAAATAACGAACATAACGGCCACGGACGAAGATATGGGATCTGAAGGTTTTCTGTTTAGCCAATATTGCATGTATACTTCGCGAGGGATTGTAGTACAGCATAGCCTATTTCTTTACACAACTTTTTCTCAATTTTCCAGCCAGTAAGCCAGGCGTCACTGTCACTGCGATCGGACAACCGCCGGAAGCCCCGGGTACATCGCACTTCCCCTCATTCTTAATAATGCAGACAGGGATGTTGCTATTAATGGGCTGACTAAGGAGCTCAATAGGTCACTCGATTTCTGACCTACTCCGGTGTAAAACCGTCTGCTGATCATGACATTTGCAGTTTCTTGTCGCGTTCTGGTTTAACAGCGGGTTTCCTCGAACATTTCAAATTGCTCGGAAGAAATCGGACATTCATCCACTAGATCCGATTTGGCATTTATTGCCTCAGGCAGAGCTTGCCTGATACATTGAATAGCTATGCACGTGTTAATAGATGATAGAACAAAATGCTGTATAGAATGAACCTTTCTTTTTATCGCCTAGCTGCTCGCTCAACCTAATTCATAGCTCTAGGTGACTTGTAAAAGGTTTGATAAACGCTATGTTCAGTAAGGGGTATAGAATCTCCCGAGCTACACGCGAAAACATACCAGAATACATTCCTTATGCCAATGCGACATTTTTCTCAAGTCAGATATATCTCTCTAAAATATGAACGTTGCAAGATTTGGGGGTGAAACATGATGATTGCACTTTCCACTTTCTGTCATATCAATAATGAAATGTCTAGGTTCAGCGAAATCACTCTCCGTAAGCTCGAGCGTACTGAGCTTTCCGTGGAAGATCATACCTACCTTCTTCTCGCCCTCTAGTTTGAGAAACCTTACAGAGAGATAAGGATGAGGCAAGCTGTTTTCATCTCTGAGATAAAACAAGATAGCATTCCAGCAGTGATAAGCTCCGCATCCAGTACGAAAAATTCTTTACCTTCTTGTTGAACAATATGACGATCTCTTACACTTATGATTAAGAATGGATCCACAAAACATCGTGAACCCCAATCATCGGAGACAGTTCATAATTTCGCTGCTCGGGTTTTCCAAGACGAAGTTCAGGACTTGTTGAATACATCGAATCTTCGGAGCACCCCCACCCTCTTTGGCCGGGATACCCAGAAGCAGGGCGATAACCTCGAGAATCCTGGAGGATATTTGAATATCATCGCCATGTCCAAAATACCCGGAGAGCCTGTCACTGAGCATACTGATCTAAGCGATGCGGGAGGTATGTTTATCAAGAGGTCACTTATGGGAATATTGGAGTAAGGCTGCTTTCCGCAAGCGATAGAAGAACAATTAACCTAGGATTTACAGAGATATACATTCTTGTGGCTGGTACATGCTAGAGGTATACCCGGATAAAGTGATCTATGACCGTTCTACCCGCACTGTGTATGATTGCTCTGTCTCAACTACCTTTTCAATTCCTAAGCTTACATTGTTCCAGTTCCATGACTTGCCTTGCACACTCCCAAAAGCGCGATCCAAACCGTCTAACTCATGGCTTTACCGAAGACAATCCTATTTTACACGCATTTGGAGAAAACGTATGGTGGTTTTGATACTCTCGCGAGGCTTCGGTGCAAAGGGTCTATTTCTTTCTCGGCTAGCTCTGCTCTGCCGTTGCGAGGTCCGGGGAACAGCTACGGTTTTATCTCTTGTGGGGCGTCATTCCATATTCACGTTCAATCGAATTTTGTATTCATGTCATCAGAACAAAGGCAACGGTCTCTGACGTGAATCTCCTGGCATCTAGCCGCAGAAGTCTATCTCTATTTGCTGTGATGGACATGGTTTTCATTTAGCATTTTAAGTTGCTTTTCGCAGTTAATCTCTAATTAATGGCAATCATGCAATTTGATGCAACCCGAATTTGATAAAACCCACCCATGATATAAGGAAGCTAAACTGCAGGATATAGTCGTTTAAACATTCTCATGCCGAATCATACCGGTCAAGGAATGTCTGAAGACTCGTTGAAATGTAGTACGAAATCAACATATTAGGATCTCTCGGGGGCTTTTAAGCCACTAGGACCCAAATCCGCCTTAAACGCCCCCTATTTTTACGAGGCACTTTGGCGGCCACGCTGTGCCTTCACTATCCAAAGCACCGGGTTCAAGAACCGCCCCCAACTCCCCTTCGATTATGGATTATAACTATGACGTGTCTTATTTCTTTTAAAAAAATGCGACTGGGAGTAACACTATACGCTCGTTTGCCCCATTTTCCGCTTCATTTTAATATTGGCGCAGTTCTTGAGACGAAACGATGCGAGCGCGAGGGTCCTCGATATGCATTCGACGAGAAAAACTCTGTCGTTCAATCAGAACCATCTTCTCTGTATACCCGAAACGGGATCAAATCTTATTACGACAACACTTTGGGTCCAGTAGCGTACTAATCGGTCCAGATAAGCATCCTGCATACCCAGGAAGGGAATCTCTTCTTGTCACGATCCCTTGTGATCAGCGGCCCGGCTTCTACTGATCAGATCCCTAAATGTACTTGGGTGGGTCATGATATGCTGTAAAGGCTAGCATAAGTCCAACGATTGTCATATGCGCATCGCTCTGTAGACCAAGATTCTCAGGTCTGATCGGCTCGTTATCATCCCCTTTTTCGAACTATTGCAAGGAGTGGCACTTTTCTTTTTTCTGCGTTCATTTTCGGAAAGTTTTCCCGGGACGAAATAAAGGAGAACAAGGGAGGATGAATAGTCGAGAAGTTCTAAGGCACAGCACATGCACCATGTCGCATAGTAAATTAAATAAAATGCTTTACCTCACGAGCTCTTCTATTTTCCCAAGTCAGACAACAATATGGGAATTCTTTCATTGACTTTATCTATCATTTTCACGCCCATGTCATAAGTTAGCCGATTGTGGCCGCGGAAGATGACTAAACCGCTTATATCATCGCCTTTCTTGGCCGATTGATTCATTGAATAAATAGACAGTATTATCGTGATATGTCGCTTGTTTTGGCGATCAGGAAGCCTCTCAAATTGCATAAATATCGGCTTCTTTATCGTGTAGTAGTTGAAACAAGACTTTCATTCAGTTGAAAACTGTTGGCCGTTTCTCTAGGCGTAATTGCTAGTAATGTTACCCATAGGAATATCGAATGATGAAGGTCTGATTCTTTCAATCTAGCTGCACACGGTGGTTTAAATACATGAAAAATTAATAAGCAATCTAGCCTGAAAAAGGCAACTAGAAGAGATATAACTTTTGAACCATGGAAATAACAGAAAAATCTGCATAATCCTCGGGGATCGGTGTTACCAATACCGATATCTGGAATAGGAAGGTTTCCTATATGACTAACGGTCACATACGGTTGACAAAAACGATCACATTCCTCGGCTGAACAATCGCTTCTCGGAAGACCCACAGTAATCTGCCACACCGATTGTCCCATAGTCACGCTCCCCCCTTGCCGACGTAAGGCAATTAAAGTCTATCAGTACTACTGCCTTGAAATAGCTATATTGAATGCAGGGTTCGGGTTCTATGTTTCCAGGAACACCAATTCATGTATGGAATTGTGATCCATGCTAGGGCATTTGGGCATGTGTCAGACCTTACAGTGTGCGCGATCATAATAAGCTCTCACACTATTGATGGCAAGTATACCTTAGTCTATAAGGGATAATAACATCTTGATAGTAACGAACCTATAAATTCCCGGAATGGTACACCACGTAATGGTTGTTTGTAGGTCTACAATAATCCGAAAAATCTGCAGATTCATGCCATCATGCACTTCTTGAAATTCTTGATAATATCAACTTCTTTCATCTGTTCAGCCATTGCGCACCGGGGACCCCATCCCAGAGCAAGCAAAGCCGACCTCATCCGCCGAGGAAAGCTATCTCATCATTGCTCTAGTCACGTTGCGCGCTCCAACAAGAAGCGATGGGAACAGAGCCTCACCAAGCGGTCGGATTCCGCCACCACGTACCAAATTAAGACCGAGGCTCCCTACTACGACGCCATCCATAACGACACATGTGTTCTCACCCCGGATGTGACAACGGGTCCTTATTTATGGCCACGTTCACAGACCTTGCGACAGGATATTAGTGAGGACCAGCCAGGTATCCCGTTGTGGCTGGACATTGGGGTTATGGACATGGCAACTTGTGCGCCACTAGATGGCGTACTAGTTGATATTTGGCACGCCAATGCGACCGGCAGCTACTCGAGCTTTACTGGCATATCAGCGGATAAAACGTTCGTCGAAACTGTGCAGGAGAAGAACATAACCCGCGAGAACTCCCACGATACTGATTTGCATACTGACAATGCCACCTTTGGCCGTGGAATGTGGCCAACTAATAACAATGGTATTACGGAATTGAAGACGATTTTCCCCGGTATATCCAAAGATCAGTTTCTCTCCTGCATTCAAAATCAGTGCGCTCACGTGTGTTTCTAGGATTCTATGCTGGAAGGGCCGTTCATATCCACGTCCAAGTCCACACTGATTGGTCAATTCGGGAGAATGGCACCATGGCGGACGGAAACACTGTGAGTACGGGACAGCTTTACTTTGACGAGTCTTTGGTGGAGAGGATCATGGCCGAGGAGCCATATTCATCCCATAAGGCAGTTCAGCGTGTCACCAATGCCGAAGACCATATCGTTCCTAAGAGTTTCCAAGGAGGCTTTAGCCCCATAATGTCTGTAGTTCCTGTTGATGGGGAAGACGTGACAAAAGGAATGGTCGGATATATCACTCTCGGGGTCGATACGGAGGCGGTGCAATCTAAGAAGTGATATGTCACAGGCGCTATTGCGACTATGACATGCCAGGATGGATCAAGTTCCGAATGAAGCGCGACATATCATTTCCACGTCCCAAATTCATGTGGCTCGAGCGTTCAAGCAAATTGTAAATCAATTTTTTGGATTCAATTTTTCTTTTTTCAAGTTTTAGCCTAGTTCGCGAGATATCATCGAATAGTCAAACTGCTAGTGTACTTTATAGTACTCCGTATACTGCTTTCTATTCCTCATGTCTCCTTCGATGCTCCTTGTCTTCCACCAGACTCGCGTCCCAACGAGAACCTATAATCTTTCACCTAAAAAGTCTCTTTCCTGATCGAGGCAATGAACTCATATCGAGACATCAGCTTATAAGAAGCCAAGAAAAGGGGGCCGAAATTTCAAGTCTAGCCTGCATTACCTAGCGCCCTGAAACGGCCCCCCAAACAATACACACCATACCTTAAGCCTATCACCACCCTGGCACTATCGCCAAATACTTCCACTCAATTGATCCGGCGATACGATGTCTCTGGCCCCCATTTTGTAGCACGTTTTCTCTTATCCGAATATATACGCCACTCCTTCCCGTAAGACCTTCCGCTGACGATCACCCGTTCGTCATCCCCCTCTTGTGCTCCCGCTCGCAGAATGCGCGGCATCTTATTTTCTCTTCTGGTCCAGACAGCAATTCTGTCGACGACAGTAGCCACAAAATGCTACTACAGCGATGCCAGCGAAACTAATGGTGAAATGGTACCATGCTTCCCATCCAAATCTGTCAGCCCCTGCTGCTCCTCAAATAAAAAGGGCATGGCGAACGACTTATGTCTTGACAACGGGCTCTGCCTTGCCCAAATAGCCCAGTTCTCGGGGATGTTTTTTCAGAACGCGTGCACGGATAAATCGTGGAATAGCCCTGATTGTCCGAGTGTATGTGGGACGTGTACGTTTACGAATTGATCGCTCTTTTCTTTTCTAGCAAACGTTTTTGCTTTCCTCTAACGGTCAATCGTCAGCCTTCGCCCAGAATTCAGGAACATACGTTCTCCCCTGTCCGGAAAGGGGAGACGGGCATTGGTGTTGCAGCAAAAACGGGACAGATTGCTGCAACGACGCGTTTCGAATGAATATGGGGTCTTTGGTGATTAGCGCAGATTCGTCTTCGACATCGTCCGCGACGGGAATCGAGACAGTAACAGCGAAACCGACGGCCACCACGACGACGACGACGACGATGACGGCAACAGCGACAGTGACTGCCACATCAGAACCTACATCGTGTGCCTCCGGAGGAAAGGAATGTCCTAAATCGAACACCACGGCTGTTGGCGCGGGTTTGGGGATCTCGCTCGGTGCTTGCTTGGTTGGGGCGGTGGGAGCCTTGTTCTTCCAGAGACGCACGCATCAGAAGAAATTACGAGAATTTAATGCCTTGCATGCGACTCAGATGGGACATTTCGTTCATGGTGGATTGCCGGCACATCCGACTGCTCGGGCGATGGCGGAATTGCCGCTGGGTCAGGATAAGGTGTATGAAATAGGGGAGGGGCGGCGAGAATGACATGATGCTTTTATGCCGGGCTCAGCTTTTGGGAAGTGCGACAATCACGCGACATTGATGTATGAATAGATGGATTTTTATGTGAAATTTTATATACAATGTACCCGCGTGCGAAGGATCTTTGCCTCCTGCGATGTTTCAGGTCTGATATCCCCTGAGTTTTTCATCTTCGTTTCCAGAAGGCTCATCGAGCAATCCCTCTCCCTTTTTCTTGTCATCTGTCCTCTGAGCCTTCACGTCAATCTCGACCACCTTATTTGCAACCGCACAAATAAGTACCCATACAAGAAGGCCCTGTAAGACATACGTCGAGCCAGCGTCTTGCACGATCCGCAATCTTGACGGATTCCACATGGTAGCGTTTAACTCCGGGCGCTTTCCCTCAGGCAAACTGATTCTGGAATGGTAATTCATATATTGCGTCTGACGAATGCCGAAACCCTCTTGTACTTTCGTCAGCAATCTATGCATATTCTCTTCACCGACGTATTCCACCGGCGGGGTTTCAGAGACCATCGCCTGAAATAACTCATCGGCATAATAGTCCGGACTGACACGGCGTCCAGACTTCATTCCATTTATCGCGTCTTGGATGTATCCTTCGGAATTGGTCTCTGAATGGTCCAGAAAGAATGTCGTATGGGTGGATGTATCCTCGTGGACAATGGGCGGGTTGAAACGGTTAATTTGAAGCGATGGAGCATGGAACGTGACCTCTGCTTGAACATTCTCGGCAGAAGGGTTGCAAAGAAGGACAGTCGCTGTTGATTTGGATGTATCTTCAGCGTCCATGTACCCTGTCGAAACAAGCCATCTCCCACATTCTGGCTGCGTTGTGTTGCTCAGATTATCTTCAAGCACTTGCGAAGATCCAAAATGGCCGTATGGGACTTCTATTGAGTACGGATTTGAGGCGCAGCCCGGCGGAGCCGTGATATTGAGATAAGCGCCGTCATTGTTGGGCAAATGCGAGAATTCGACGTTTTCGGGACTTAGCGGTTTGCAGTTGGATTTTGCGCGGGATGCAGGTAAGGTCACGGTGACAAGGGAGTTCTCTTCAGTGCTGATGTCTCTGGGTAGAGTAAATGACGGGAGGGTCATATCCCCATTTGTCCATTGTACATTTGATGAGTTCAGGCTCACGACCCCAGCATCCAGGTTGGTATCTGAGAGGTGCGCCCCGGAGAAATCAAATGTATCGTTTTGAATGACAGATACCGGTGTGCCGCTGTCAGTATTCTGGATGACGAACAGTCCACTCGCCACAACCAAGAGCAAGTTCACTGTGATGGTAGATATAGTATTTGCAGCATTTGAGATATAGCCGCTATGTGGGAGTGAAGCCCAGGAATCCTTTGGATGCACAGTTAATGTTTCTGATGTCAACTCTAACTGGCTATGTTGTTGAATGGCTTTAACTCGGAAAGACCAAAGATCGTAAAAGGTGGAAATTCCCAAGACGAGAAAGGGCGGGGTGAAACGCCAGATGATCGCTGCAAAGCTATTTCTGGTATCGATGTCTTTAAAGCCGTTGTGATGTCGAGAGCATTGATAGAAATGTTCCAGCAATATAATCAACACCACAGGGATGGCAAACAACATTAGTTGAGGCCAAAGACGTGGCTTAGAAGCTTCCCAGTAATGCTTTCCTTTGGTGAAATTCGTTATCGGCAACTGAGAGCCATCAGACTTTTCGTGAAAATTTGACTTTTCAACCGAGGCATTATTCGAGTGATATTCATCAGACAATTCGAGGTCTAGGTAGGACTGATCCAGCATTGCGCCCAAAGTCGAGTGTTCCTCAGAGCTGCTAGATCGCAGCCACCCTATCATCCATACCAACAGCCCTATTATGAGCCACATGATTAGTATCGGAGCGCCTTTTACCATCAGACGATCTTCTGTCATTGGTTCTACTGTCACTGTTCCAGTTGAGATAATGACGAATAGCTTGACAAGTACAGAACAGCCCATTGCCAATGCAATGGGACGGTGACGGGAGCCAGATATGGAGGCACCATCGAGTCCGCGAGCAGAGCATCTTATTTCAGATTCAACATCACCCCAGAAGCATGCCACAAGAAAAAACACTAACAGTGTGTCAGTCTTAGTCTCTGTCGTTTTGAAACTTAAAACTCACCAGCAGTAGGCCCATGGACCAACACCAACTGCAAACATCCGCTTGCCACGGTAAATCCGTCGTTCAGTTTCGACAATGCATAAAACAGTGCACTCGAAACTACAATCACCGCGAAAGTAACTTGATAACGAGCAAGGGTTGAATTAATCGGCAACCCCGATCTCGCACCCCACTTGGCCTCAAAGGATCTAAGATCTCGCATGGTGGCGTTCGTGTCCGGTCGAGAATCCCGCTCGACAGATAATCTCAACTCAATAGCATCGGATGTTGACATGCTATTCCGCACTTGTAAGCAACATAATCTGAGAACTGATCAGGCGCGGGACTCGAGTTCTTATATTGCAACAGGCTGAAGCGAGGCAGATTCATTTTCGTTCGTTTCTTGGCATTGGGGGCAGGGGCCAAATTGGCCCACAATTTTGGTAAATCGGGCGGTTTTTGTCCCTTTTTCACTTTCGACTCATCGGCTGTGTCTCTGTCCAGGACCCGAGGCTGTATCAAGGCTTAGTTGTGGAGGCCCAGGGGTAACCATGCGAATCGGTTGGAAGCATGTCAGGTAAACTTCCAATTGCTAGAATACTTGTTGACTTGGAACCACATCCACATCCGTCTATGCGAAAATCAAAAATAAACCAATCAGTGATACATCCGATGACACCACGAGTCATGAAAGCTGATCTTGAAGTTCTGGCTTCGGAATCTCTTTCTAGGGGTCCAGAAGAAGGACATAGCCTTAGCCGATCAGGTCGACTTTGGAGCAGTTCCACATAAGAGGTTCAATCAACCTGAATAGATCGGCATTCTATAATGTTTTTAATCAAACTAATGGGTCCCAGCTACGAATAGTTGGGATCCAATTGATAATTGTAATACGGATAATGATCCTCAATCCAACTTTGGCAGCTTGGCTCCAACATATTTGTTTCCTGAAACGTCCCGGTGAACCAGCAACAACAGCTACCGAGTTCATAAGAAAAATAAACTCCATTCGTCATTGACCGTCAATATACCAGAAGAACTCGTAGTAAGACTCTAATCTTCGTCGTTCTTTCTGTTAAAACCAAACCTCCAGTATATCTGAGCTAGCACGGACCACCTTTAGTGACACGCTTTATTCATCATCTTTAACATGAACCATTAACCATAAACACGTTCATCTCTTAAACCCATCTCAAAAAACCCCATCAGTGAAGTCAATAACTTGAACCTTCTCAGCAATCCCGCCTACACTCTTAACGAAGGCCAAATGGGCAGGATCCTCATTAACATAGTAATCTCGATCCTCGGCACTGGCGAACTCAGCTACAAAAACATGTGTAATGCCATGCTTGTCCAAGTCAGTATTCCTTGAGCAACTCATAATAGTACATCCGCAACCAACGCACCTGGATGCCTTCTTTTGAATTGTCCAAGCCGCCTGATAACGACCTAATATAGGGGTTTTGCGACTGCGGATGAATACAGTTGTCCTTTAAAGCAGTCATATGGTTGATCGTCTAGAAGAGTCATCGTTAGCTGCTAACATTAATGTAGGATGCGTTTGGTGTGTCCAATGTTGCCCATACATCGCTGATGGCGTCATTGCTGACATCCGCTTTGAACTGGAAAAGAACAATGTGAGTGATAGACATTTTGGGGATATGATGAGATTGAACAAAGACTCTGATCTCCGAAGAAGATACCAAGTTATAAGGCATATCAACGGGGTGATTAAAAGAGCAGGCAGCAAATGGCCGGAGACATTACTCGGACATCGAAGCGAATCTTGACAAACAGATCAAACATCCATTTGTCAGGCGGGGCGAAGGCCGAGCCAGGTAACCCGGCACGGGCGCGGGCCGGTTCCGCCTTCAATCCTTGGCCCCTGGTCAAGCTTTCAGGCTGATCTCAGATCCATCTACTGCACGGGGTCAAAAAATATCTGTTCAACTTGATCTGGGGGGTTTGAAAAGCTGGAACAAGGTTGATAAAGATATTAGATCAGTAGCCACTGTCCGTGACGTTGCCTTTCATTGAACCCGTCGCATGCGATCATAGGTATTGACTTCTGTATCACGAAAGAACGGCCTTACATATCTCTAACGCGATATGCTGCCTTCAGTAATCGCTGATGCGAAAGCCAATCTGGCGGTTCCTTCATACAATTAGACAAGGCAAGTGAAAGAGAAGGGCAAGTAAAACAAGGGGTCCAAATCAAGGGGCAGCTCAAATTCCAGTTGCATATCTGGTGAGTTTTTGTTTTGATTGTAGCACTCGCTTTGCAATGAGAAGTTTGGCTGAAAGCACGCTGTCGGGCATGTTTTAAAACAGAGGCGACGCATGATAGCTGGTCGCAGCATCGAATGTTGAGTTCACCACTATGTGGTTTATTCCTGACCATCTCAGGTCTATGTAAAAACCCATACACCCCGAAGGAAACAAGAATATTCTTCATAATGATAAGGCGCTGGCAAAGCTATTTCGCTGCATACATTCCCAATAAAAATATGGTACATAGGTCTGTCTCCAGGACAGTTAGAGAATTGAAATACCTCCCATCCAAAACAATGAGTACCCAACGCCTAAGATCCGAACTAAACCAAGATGCGTAACAGAGGTCATAGTGCCTTCGCTTTTGCTTTGAAGCCATCTATTTCATGACGTAATTCCTCAATTTGTCGTTTCAGATCACCCATCTTCTCATCTGATTCATCCATATCCTCCAGTTCTCCTTCTAGCTTGTGAGACTCCTTCCGGTTCTTGAGGTAGAGATCGTACTCGGTAGGGTCAAAGCACAGCCCATAGCCTTCACAGTAGCAGGTTGTTTCCGCCGGACAGAACTCCCCGTGGCCCGTAAACAGCCACTGCCAGATATATTCCCAGACCCGACCGGACAAGCGATCTTCCAACTCGGTGTGAAGCAGCCACTCGCGATAGTCGATATACCGTTTTCGCGGGATCCGTCGAATCCGTTCCGAGCTGACTGCGAACTGCGCGCAGCATGGCTGCGACAGCACATTGGGTACGGGGTCGTTGGGGAACAACTCGCGCCAGGAATTCCCCAGCACAGCGGCCTCGGGGATGTTGATGTCGTCGGTCTGGTCGTCCACGGTGGGGTGGATGTGGTCGGGACACCCCGGTTCGTGATGACAGCGCATGTTCATGTATCCGTTGCGAATGACATGATTGCTCTTCAATCGCTGGACCATCTTGGCGGATTCGGAGTCGAGAAAGTCGTTGTTGTGCCAAGTTATCTGGTGGGCGTGCATAAACATGGTGACGTCATTCAGGGCGTGGTAATGATCGATGATGTACGTCAGGTACACCATCACCTCGTGGCCTTTGTTCATGGGGACCGTCAGCGCCGCGGTGTGGTTGTTGACGGTGTAGACGGCGCCGGTGAGTTCGGAATCTTCCTGTACGACCCTGTCGACCCAGGAGGTGTCGTCTTCTTGTAGTTTGGCGACCACTAGTGTCTTGGAGGCATTCTTGCCCTCCCAAAGGGGTGAAACGGATGGGGTGGGAGAGGGACGAGGAGTGGGAATCGAACTGGATAGAGCATCGAGTTTATCTGGCCAAGTAGGCGAGGCATCTGCCCATGTTCGCCACGGGTGGTCTCGACGTGCGGATAAGTGAATAGAATACCAAGTGATAAGCAGGAAGATGACAGGGACGAGCAGCGAAACAGCCATGCGATGCTTCATGACTGCGTTCCTCATGATTCTACCTGGCTATTGCAGGAGAGAAGAAAGATTGGAAGGCAGGTCCATGAACGAATTCATGTAATCTGACCCGGTGGTTGGGGGAATGTAGAGGAAAACATGGCGAGGGAGATACCGCTAAGGCAGCGGGATATTTTTGGGGGGAAATGGGCCAGAAGCGCAAGGGCGCTTCTGGCATTTCTTTGTCTCGATTCAGTGGTCCGGCCAATGGCGGACATCGGACCCCGGCTTAAAGCCGTGGAATGTGGACGAGTCTGGTCCATCCCCAAACGAACCATCCACGAGCCTTGGCGGCGCTTAGTCTATACAGCTACACAGTTAAGAGCCTCGTCCAAAGCAAGTACCAAGCCATTTTCCTTGCCAGAATCGGGGACTGCTGTCCTGGTCATGCCTCGCTCTGCTCTGCTACTTAATTAGATCAACAAGCGTGCTGCCGGGGGTTAGTATCTTTTGTTTTCCTACTTGGTTTCTCTCCCCTGACCCCGTCATTCAAGATCTACTAACCACCATGAAGGCGTTACACTACCCCCGTTCCCGCATGTTTGCTGCCTTGCTACTCCTCTTTTCAACAATCTACTTCTCAGTGAATACGACCGCGAAATGTTACAAACCCAACGGAGATCTCGCCCTCAATGACCAACCCTGTTTCCCCCAGAACCCCGTCTCCTCGTGCTGTGGTGGTAGCACCTACGTATGCTCGACCAACAACATGTGCGCGCGCTACTCGGGCGAACACTTCGTGATAGGCAGCTGCACCGACAAAACCTGGAACTCTCCCGCCTGTCCAGGCTACTACTTTTTCCGTATGCCTTGTGTCACTATTCCCTCGTTCCCGAACGCCTTGAGTAACCTCCCCATCCAAAAGATCATGTCCACAATAGCGTCTTCCGGTGCTCCGCGGATACGGACTACTGTGCGGATAGGCCCTCCTACAACTATACGACGGGGCATCAACACCCAGGACATCGGCGACTTTCTTCCCAGTACTCGGATCTCGTCGGTTCGGCCGTCACACTCAACACGGCTGTCGCTACGAGCTCTCTCTTCACGCCTATCGGGGCTTCTTTGAAAAAGATCACCACTGTCCCGGTTTCGACAGCTGAGCTCATCCACGACCCCCTTTGTAACTACGTCGTCGTCCTCGGGCTTGGAAATCCCTGCGCGAACTTCCTCCGCTGCAGCAGATGCTCCGACGCCTTCCGAATCAACGTCAGACCGCAACCACGCCATTACCAAATCGGTCTAGGAGTGGGCTTATCCCTAGGTGGTGTAGCCGTCATCCTCCTTGTGTTACCCTGGTTCATGTGGAGACGGTCGAAGCGAAACAAGCATCCAATAGAGGTGAGTTTTCGAGCCTGAGTACTCAACACGCCTCTGACCATTCCACTCATCGTGCGCCGCCAGGTCTCACAAACCCAGTATCCGTACCAAACGCGACTTCCAGCTCCACCTCTACCTCCGCCCCAGGCTCCCGTTGAGGCCCCGGTCTATCATAAGCACTATTCACGTTATCCTTGCGTCAACTCGGCCGAGCCGCCGGTATACGAGGCTCCTGGGCATGGTATATGATTTCCGCTAGGGAGGGGCTTGTGAATTTATGAAGAGACTGGGCGATGTTATAGTTTATTATATCTAGGGTCTTGTCTCTTACTCCTATCTCGTGTATATATTATAACGACTTTTACGGACATTTAATATCCTTTATGACATTATTTTATGATACTTTATCTGTTAATCCTGGTTCTTATCAAATCATTTATGAATGCGGGGCTGATCCTAACTTACGTCCAAGCCCCATTACAACTGGGAAAGACAGGGGAATGTTACACAAGCCTAGAATTCCTCACTTACATTATACAATGTAAGAAAGAGAAGCCTAGCTAGAATGCAAATGGGAAAGTAAGCATGGCATAATCGTATGTAATCGAACCAACATTCGAAATTCTCCCTATTGGCTCATTTAAAGAAAATCACCGTGCGCTGCTGGGCTAAACACTAGATAACTCAATCAACTTATCAGACGTGAACATGTTTAATCATAGAGACGAGGCCATGGATTAAGCGCCCTCCGGGTATTCTTTGTTTTGTTAGGTGTCTTAGACGCCATGATCAGGTACCTGTGCTTTAGATTATAACTTTAATTCCAGGAATCTGGGCTTGTTCTTTGATTGAATTGAGGCTAACTGAGTCATGTTTATAGTAGCTGGGCTTCTATGTCCAAGTCAGTATTGGTCGTCACAAAGTCACATCAATTACAATTCATGTAATTAGGGACATTAATGAATAGTCGTAAAATATTCACACACATTCATATCAAACGGGCCTTGCAATGTCCTTCTCCTCGTTCATGCGCTCGTATTGCTTGATACTCCTTCGATATATACCTGCCTCTCTTTCCCCTCTCCCTTATGATATAAAGCCATAACCACTTCCTTCCTTCATACAAGATTTCATCTCCCCAAATCTTAACCTCTCTCACTCAACATCCCCCAATATCACCTCCGCCGCCTTCTCCGCAACCATATACGTCGACAACGCCGTAAACGTCCCCGGTATCCTCGGGTAAACCGACGCATCAACAACCCTGAGCCCCTTCACCCCTCTCACCCGAAACTTCGAATCCAGGACCGCCATCGGGTCATCATCCGCCCCGATCGGACACGTACACGACGCATGATGCCCCCACGCCGTGTCCCTAGCATACTGACGGATCTGGTCCTTGGTCGTGATGTTCTCGCCCGGCAACACTTCCTCCATGGACATAAGTTGTCGACGGAAGGCGTCGCGCGCCAAATCGACCCCCTCAGCGATAGCGTCTAGATCGGCCTCGGCGCCCGTTTCGAAGTAGTTGAATGTGATAGAGGGGACGTCCAGCGGGTCGGAGGATACGAGTTTCACGCTGCCTGCTGTGTTGCGCGGATGCGCTTTCAAGACCGTCCAGGTGAACCAGTCATGTCGGGCGGTGGCCTCCACTGCGTAACCCGGGAAGTAGCCGTGGAAGTTGGCCGGCGCGCCGAACACGAACAGGTCGAAGTCCGAGGTATCGGCGGCGCGGCTTTTGTGGTAGATCGTGGCACCGAAGCCCGCGGTGGCGTATGTGCCGTGGTTTCCGAGAATGGGGTGGACCCAGCGCTCGAGGCAGGGGTCGTCGGATGGGTCGTCAGCGAAGGTGCACCCCTTCAGCACGCTGTAGTCTTTGGGCGTGTGGCCTTGGACGGCGACTTCGTAGTGGTCTTGTAGGTTGGTGCCGACGCCTGGGAGGTCGACTAGGACGGGGATTTTGTGGGATTCGAGCTCGTCTTTCGGTCCGATGCCGCTGAGTTTGAGCAGTTGGGGGGAGTTGTAGACGCCCCCGGCGACGATCACTTCGCGGGATGCGGTGGCCGAGCCGGGTGTGCCGGTGTTGGACGGCGATGAGCGAGGGCTGGCGCGGTAGAGGTATCGACCGTCGAGGAATTCGACGCCGGTGGCGCGCGGGGTGGAAGATGAGTTGGAGTCGGAGTCGAAGGTGACTTTGGTGACGAAGCAGTTGGTGCGAATATCCAAGGGGTACTTTTGGGCGCCGGTCAGTGTGGTGGCATCGTGTACGGCACGCAAGAAATCGCGCGGACCGTTGCGATGCGCGTCTTTGGTGGCGATGGGGACCTGGTAGTACCCCGGTTTGGTGTCACGGGCGACGGAGTCCTTGTTGGCGTCGCCGGCGATGAGCGTGCCGAGATTGAAGATCGTGTTGGTGAGGTTTCCGATGGCAAAGGCACCGCCCAGGACTAGGCTGAGGAGCTGCGGGTCTTGCAGCACGAGACTGATCGGCGCGATGTCGGTGTGCAGCCATCCGTCGTGGCCATGGCCTACGGGAATAGGGAGCAAGTATCCGGTATTCTCGAGGCGTTTGAAGTATTTGCGCATGTTGTCCGCGGACCACGAGGAGTCGCCGGTTAGAGAGGCGATGGAATCAAAGTCAGACTGAAACGGGTATATGGTGACGAGGGCATTATGCGCAGTGCAGCCGCCGAGAGTACCAGTGCGAGGGTACAGCACACCTTTGATAGTCGAGCCCTCGGGGGGATTCCGACCGGTATACTCGCCACCGTCGGGGGTGGTGTAGGTGGTTTTGGGATCGCGAGCCTGCTGCTCGTCGTCGGCATAATGGCGCACGAAGAAGTTCCACGCCAGAGCTTCATCTTCGGACGACTTGGCCGAGAAGGCGGGCACGGTGTAATTATAGTTGTCGCCCTGGTCGTCCCCGGCCTCGATTAGCAGCGTTTTATGACCTGCAAGGGCAAGTCGCGCGGCCAAGGGACCACCTCCAGCGCCAGACCCGACCACAATATACTCATAACCGGTGAGGTTGACAGCAGACGCCAGCGAAAGCAGCCCTAACAGGGCAAACAAGGGTAGAAACATGGCTGTGGTGTCAATGGGTGATAGGAATGACAGCTCGAAACGGCCGTTCTATTATCCCTTTTATGTCCGTGGGGGATCGACTACTGCAAGGGATCGGCCAGTGCTGAAAGGAGACAAGAACCCCTCTCACATGGCCCTACAGCCGGGTGAGTTCAAGACGATCCCCTTAATCCATTCGTGCATCTCGTATTCATGTCTTCAGGAAGCAGGACAGGGTTGAATGCCAATCAGGGGTCGTCCCGACACTTAGCTAGCAGGGTTCCACCCTCACAGCTGAAGGGGAGAATATAGAGCAGGGATCTGCATGCCTTGTCTTCTTCCGTTTTGGAGGCGCCGATCTCCTTGTAAGTGGAGGGAAATCTGAACTAGTTATTTATTAGCGTGGGTCTCGGCAAAGAGGGGTGCATTAGCTTTTCTGAATCACGTCTTCAGAAGGACCAGCGTTCGGGCGCAGTACCGAGGTTCTGGTTTGTTGCCTTGACTCTTTTCAGTTCGAGTCTCATGTTGTCTGAGGACATCATCCAGTTAAAAGGCCATTCAGGCAAATCCTGGTATGTTTGGAATTCTACTTCGTGAAATCTCCGACTACATTACAGCTCTTGCGGATCTCTTCTCAACCAGAAGGTTAGCATGATCGATCACTGTGTACATCAATTCCAGTGTACGATCCGCCTATGACTGTCGCGCATCACTCTCGGTATTGATTGGCGCATAGCTTGGAGTTGATGCAAGGTCAAAATATTGACCCTGTGACTCTTAGGTTTTAAAGAAGTTTTTCGTGGAGGGGACCAAAGATCGGCTGAATCACATCGGCTAAATAACTATGTATGGCTTCAAAATCTCTCCCTTTCAGACTAAAATGGTCCATTTCCATTATCCAAGATCGCTTGCTATGTCTGTACGAACCCTTTGAATAGAGTTGCAGCCCTAGCTTAAATAAACAGCACGTAGATAAATTACTGGAAGAGTTTCGCCCTGCAGTTATATTTGCTGCAAAGATCAAGATTTCAATGATAAGCTCATATTGCGCTTCATACTGTGAAGGTCGAGATATTCCTCTGTCAAGCCTTAAAGATACTGTATGACCTTCCGAGCGAAGTTCTTTTATCCTTTCTAGAGGTATGAATGGATTTATCACAATCCCCGCCCCAGGCTACTGCTATCGCCTTATTTCTAATAGATGAGAATGTTCCAAGACTTTAGTCGTTGTAATCAATATCACCAGCTAGCTACTTTTCCTATGTCATACTACTTCATAGGGCACTTCTGTCAGATCCACTTTTTGGACTCCCCATGGTTGGACACTATCCCCATCCCCCTCCCACCAACCCCACTCACCATACGCCTTCCACAAACATATACGGAGTAGCAATCAGACAGAGGGAAGCGAGACTCCGTGAGACTATAAAAAGGCAAATACGGATATAAGCTAACCATGCCACCAACTCAAACATTTCTACTGTTTGCTATACCAATACGCCCTAAGCCGTGCTATTTAGAGTCAGGTCTGCTACCAACTACTGTAGGCCCTCTCAAGCCAATTAAACCACCGCCTCAAATAGTACGCCATGGCACTCTCAACGCGCGCCCTTGAGCTTTCCAAGCCCGATCCTGGCTTCATGCTCTGGGAAATTGTGCAAACCTTTTGGGATCCAGCCACCAACCCCGCTGGGTTCGTCAATCTTGGTCTTGCAGAAAACACCATAATGCACGACACTCTCAGAGAGCACATCCAGGCCAATTTCTCCGCACGGAACCAGGACTTCACCTATGGTGATAGCAAGAAGATATTACGGAAAGTTCTCTCCCGGTTTTGGAACGAGTATTTTCAACCATTTGTTCCCGTGGAACCTTGCCACTTCACCATTACAGATGGCTGTAGCTCTGCTCTGGGGCATCTCGCATGGAGTCTCGGGAACCCGGGAGATTACTTCTTACTCGGTCGTCCTTATTACTACACATTCATCGCGGATATCACGTACCGTATGTCTACGGTACTCCAGGTGGTGGATTTCGAGAACAGGGGTCCATTCAGCACCGATGAACGTCAAATCATTGAATCCATGGCCCAGAATTGCCGGTATTATCTTAACAAACCCTCACAATCCCTTGGGACGATGCTATTCTCACCAGTTCAAGATTGAATTGATGAAACACTGTCAAAAATATCAAATACATCTCATCAGCGATGAGATTTACGCGTTATCTACCTTCACAGAGTATATCCAGGACACATCTGAGAGCGAGATTTTTGAATTTGCCCTTTCCATTGACATGTAGGATATCGTCGATCCGGCACTTGTACACGTCATATGGGGCACCTCGAAGGACTTCGGTGCGAATGAACTCCGCCTCGGAATGATCGTCTCCCAGTCCGATCCTAGCTTACATGCCGCGTTGGTTCCCGTCTCCCTGTACAGCTCTTCCTCGTCTCTCACGGAACAAGCTGTAGCCAATTTCTTAGGCGATGATGTGTGGGTCGAAAAGTTCATTAAAGCAAACCGACAATTTGTTGCCCAGAATCACGAACACGTTGTACATTGGGCTCGAGAAAACAGCATTCCATACGCCACAGGCACAAATTCCACTTTCTTTCTGTGGGTGACTCTTGGTTTCGCACTTCAAAAAGACCATGTGGTTTGCCCGGAGTTAGAGCAAGAGATTATGGACGCTTTGCTGCTGAAGAAGGTATTTCTGATGGCAGGCAAACAGTTCGTCTCCAAACAACCGGGGTGGTTTAGGATAGTCTTTTCTCATCCCCAGCGGGTGTTGGACGAGGGCTTAAATTGGATCACTTCTGCTTTGAATAATATCCACTAGGCCGGGGGCCATGGAGTGTTTTGGCCTGTGGTTTATGATGATGCGTAAATTTTGTTTTTCAGTAGGTCCTCCGGGGATCGTAATTGCATCAAAGCATATGAAGATGCTTACTGAATAAGTAGAATTCTTATTGAGCCTGGGGGTTATTGCTTTGCAGAATTCGACCCTCGATGCTAAGGAGTATCTCTTTAGGGCTCGTTCGATCACAGGCATCCCTCGCCTCTCCCATCTCTATGTAGGACAATGGTAGCGTCTTCTCTCATCGTACAACCCCTGGCAGGCTGATTCGCAATCTTGGCGGGAATGAGGAGATCGCAAAGATAAGAGGGGCTGTGATATCATCCATCATCTCTCCTCCATCTACCCATCACAAACAACACCACCATCATGACCCCTCCCATCCAAATCCCAACTCCCAATTTCACCCTCGAATCTTTCCCTCTCCCCTCCACAAACCAACGCATCCTCGGTCCCCCACATCCTCCCAACACCACAATTCCACTCCCTCTCCGCCCAAACCCCACCGCAAACCCCCTCCCCCTGGACACTATCATCCAAGACATTCAAACCCTCCAACGCTCCGACCACCTCTTCACCAAATACCTCTCTCGCCACGGCGCCCTCCTCTTCCGCGGTCTCCCCATTCACAACGCCTCCGACTTCAGCAAATTCGCCCACGCCTTCGGCTACCGACCCCACGAGATCATCGGCATCGTAGTCAACCGCCCCCTCCTCGCCCCAAACGTCGCGCCCGCCAACGAATCCCCCAAGGAAATCCTCATCTATAACCACAATGAATCCCCGCAGGTGCCGCACGCCCCGGAATATATCTTCTTTTACGGCCATCGCGCACTGGACAGGGGCAGGGGCGGGGAAACGCCTATCTCGTCGTCGCTGGAACTCTTCCAGCGCGTGCAACGCGATCTCCCAGCTTTCGTTGCCGATCTTGCTGAAAAAGGGATCCTGAGTACGGTGACTTACACGATCGACGCGCCGTATAAGGGCGGCGCGACGCTGAGGCAGGCATTCGGGAAACATATCCTCGATAGTGACGATGCAGAGACTCGGCGGGCAAAGATCGAGGCGCAGATCGCGCGGTATGGACGCGGGAAGTATACGACTTTTGAATGGACAGGACAGGAGCAGGAGCAGGAGCAGGATACTCTGGTCCTGACGCATCGATTACCGGCCATCCGGACACAGGTAGGGACGAACTTGCCGTCGCTATTCACCGGGTTAGCGGCGTATTACCGGAATAAGAAGGTCAATGGACGGGGCAATGCGGCGCAGCAGAGGTATGGTGATGGGACGGCTATTCCGGAGGAGTATCTGGAGCGGTTGGCGGAGATTACGGATGATATTCGCGTGTTGCATACGTGGGAGGAAGGCGATGTGTTGGTGTTTGATAATGTGATTGCGCAGCATGGGAGGGAGCCGTGGAAGGGGGAGCAGAAGGATCGAGTGGTTATGGCGAGTTTGTTTGATGGGGAGGTGCCGGGGGCGTATGGATTCGGGGAGTGGGCGAAAGTGGTCCAGGCTTTGGATGATGTTGAGTACGAAGAATAGAGGATAGCGAGTACAGAGGCATGGTGTAGGATGGAGACCTTGTTGGTACCATTATATATTCAGGATTAATCGACATGTTATACGGGATTAAGTGTTCAAAAACATGTGAAAACCTGTTAATAGTATCTTCTGGTGATATAGTGAGCTCATATTATAGCAACTTCTAGAGAGTATGTTGCCTTGTCTGCATTTTATGATATTTGTCTTATTCTGGTGATCTGTATCCAGACTGATGATATTGAATATTAAAAAGAGCAGTTACGTAGGACTATAGATCATTAATTCAGGGCTATGATATCAACTAGCATCATTGGTCTAGTGGTAGAATTCGTCGTTGCCATCGACGAGGCCCGTGTTCGATTCACGGATGATGCATTCTTTTTTGTTTTCGCATTTTTCGCTCATTCTTTTTTTTCTTCTTAGATTTGTCTCCGCTTCCTGCTCGTCTTGCCATAGGATGATAGCAACACCTTAAACAATCCATACAGCTTTAGTAGTACATAATCCATCCAAAGAAATTCATCAATCATGATTCCACATCTATCAAATCAAGCCACGAAAAAGTCCGCCCCCAAACTCCTCGTCATCTCAATCCACCCTCTCCCCTGACTCCCCTTCCCCAGTCCATCCTTACCATCACTGTGAGTAGCACCGTCCTCCCCCCTCCAAATCAAAACTAGCACGTCCATCGCAAGCGTCGACGTCTTATACGGCAACGCCTTCGACACCGTAGCGAGGTGCCGTAACGCCCAACTCCGATGCTCCGGCCTGGTGGCTTCGGCGCCGGCGATGAAACTCGGCCAAATGCTGGATTTGAAGAGACCGCTGTCGACGTCGAGTTGGGAGAGTTGGGTGACGATGGTGTTGACGAGATGTTCTCTTTCGCGTTCGTCGTATCCTTGGATTTGCGTTTGGATCTGGATCTCGGTTTGCTCGTCGGGCGAGGACTCATCGTCTTGTAGACGATGACGGTTTGGCGAGGAAATCACCAACCTTGGTGCATACAACGCAATCGCCGCTTGATAGGCGCTCGCGATCCACGTCCTCTGGTGGAGGTCCGCGCAAGGTGAAAGGCTCTGCATGGAGAGGGCCCATTCGAAGGGGTTGAATGACCGCACGGTGTCGAGGACCCCTGCGACTGTGGCTTCCTGGGTGTCTGAGAGAGGCGAGGTCTCGGATAGCTGCACCAGGGTTAGGATGCATTGCAGGAGTTGGGCGGGGCAGGAGCAGAAGTTGTTGGTTTGGGCGGTGGCGAGCATGGCGGTGAGGTCAAAGCCGTCTTCGATACCGTATATCGAAGGTGTCAGGGGGATAGATTTAGAGATGGTGCTGCCGATGATGTCGAATCTGGTTTGTTCGGGTTAGTTATGCCTATACTAGAATGATGGATAATGGGAAGGTTAAGTGGGAGGGAGGAAGAAGTACACTAATAGTTCTGAGACAAGCCATCGACGAAGGATTCGTGCGGGGGATGAGATAGCTGGTGACCCCGTCTGCCGTCGGAGACAGTTAATCAGACGCTTTGCCCCCTCGAGATGGATGCGCCAGACGTCGGTCCCAGAGTCGATCCATTCAAGATACATGAGGACGAGGATGGCCGCAACGATCAGGTCAATATCAGCAGAGGCGAGGTCCGACAGGGCCTGATTGAGCAGATGCAAGGCCTTCTGCTTGGCGACTAGTGCATCGCGATAGACGGTTTCCGAGCGCGCATGCGCCGGCGACAAATAGTATAAATGGCAAGCGGAGGTGGCGACGAACACCTCCCGCAGCATCGGATACTCGCTCAGATAAGCCAGCAACTGACGGACGGGATTCAGGTTGGGGGTATCATAGATGACAATCTCCTTGCAGAAGATTTGATCGAAATGGTAGATATATCGCGCATTTCGCGATCCGAGGTCCTGCAGAAGAGGATCGACTAGGGACGAACAGATACTGAACTGGGATGTGCTACTGAATTGAGACGGTGGCTTAGTCTTGCTGTGCGGCGATAAGGACATATCAAACGTCTTGCCCATCATCTTCCCCCGGCTGGCGATCCCTTTGTTCCAGAGGATCAGACGACCATAGCCGAGGCATTCGATGCCGGCTAGGGTACACTTGCGACACTCAGGCAATGTCCGGTCACATTTGACCCGCCGTCGACGACACGAGTGGCAGCTGGTATCGGCCATCTCATACAGGGGATGGGATGCATCTCTTGGCTGATTTCATGGTCTGCGAACGAGGGGTGGAATTAGCGAAGAGATGTGTTCCTGAGGGGCGAGTCTGGCCCCAGATGTCATCATGGGACGCTAGTGTCTTGGCTGCCTTTTCGGATTTACCGACGGTGGAGATCGTTCATCCCTCTCGTTCGGGCAGGTCGATGGAAAAATAAGGTGTAGGTGGAGCCACTTGTTGGAGCAGGGCTTGATGGAATTTGGGAAATCCTTGCACTGGATGATCGCGCACAAGCAGTCAGGCTTTGCTGCCAAGATTGAAAATTGCATACACCGTAGGACGATGCTCTCGCCCTGGCTTGAATAAACCAACTTTTTCTTCATAATTCGTAGTATTAGATTCATAAAACATTACTATTTACTAAAATATTTTGACGTAGATATGTCATGTCTTACACCGGTCCAACCACCTCCCTATACTCTGGCGGTGCTATCGCCACCTTCTCGTATCCAGGCAAGATCCCGAAATCCGCTCCCTCCAGCATCTTCATCACGTCCGTTGTGTCCGCATACGAATGTAGCGGCAGCGGAATCGTAGCTCCAAAGCCTCGGACGGATTTTCGTCGCGCCACGAGGGATCCGTTGTCGCGACTGGTGGTCTCTGTGCCCGTGACCATCTCGACCATCAACTGGTGGCGGACGGTAAGAGACGGAGCGTTGTAATCGGATGTGCTGGCGTCAATGTCGAGGTCATTCGTCGCCTTGACGTCTTTCCCAATACTTATTTCCAACGGAATGGCAATACTCATGTCTTTGATTGACTGTTCAGACAACGGAGCTCGTGGCTCTCGGAGGACTGCCCAGCGGCCCTTCTTGGTCCCGCGCGCTAGAGTCTGGTGGTGCGTGGTGGTGGATTCGGCATTTTTGGCGCCCCAGGTGATAATCTCGTCAAGATGCCATGAGAGACTTTCCACGACGAGAACTGTCAGCTCTGATCGTCTGGTACCCGGCGCGGCAATATTTCGCAGTTGGATATCGGTTGAGTAGCGGGTGCATTGACCCTGTCCGGCTAATTGTGGCGAGACGGTAAACTCGGCCTTCGTTGCAGAGCCTGGGAAGCCGCGTGAATGCGTCGCAATGTCCCATGGATCGGGAAATCGGCGACAGATGAGCTGCATGGGTCGAGCATTGCTGAGCATGCGCCCATTCTGCACAGTCGCCGAAGCGAGCAATTCGTAGGAGACTTCGAGCGCGCCAGACGAGATGGTCTCCGGGGTGTGTACGGGGGATGTGAGAGCGAAGTCGAAGTCGTGGGTGGCAGTGCCGTTAGGATGGATAGTGGACCAGCCTGGCGTGGTTGACAGGTTGCATCGGATGATGTCTTGTGCAAATGAAGATGACGTGGTTAGCGTTTCGGGGAGGGGTGTAGATTTCCGCAAGGACAGAAGGGCTTTAAGTGAGCTCCTTTTAGCTGCTATGGATGCATTTGTGCAGAGTCGAACAGTCCGGACGAGAGCTATTTGGAGTGACTGCAGGGAGGAGATCTCGCCGGAGATGTGGACTGTCCCGGCTAGAGGATCGCCGTACAATTCCCCATCTGAGTCGACGTAGACCGTGTGGGAGGTCGGTCCAGACAACCAGACGGCGGTGTCAGTCATGGCTGAAGCAGTGGAAGGGAGATGCAGAGAGGAAGGCAGTTGGGAGAGACGAGGAACAAGAACACACAATTTATGCACATCCCATACAAATCCCGTGGAGGTATACGGTGTTTTAGTCATGCTCCATTCTATGCTATTCCAGCCTGCACCAATCAAAAGCAACGGGGGCGTCGATGCAAGCGGTGAACGCTAAACCCCAACGGGCAGCCAAGCCACACGGGACGTCCCTGTGGACGAATCAGCGGACGCAGATTGGACGATGGTTGCATGATGGCAAATGACAGCATTGCCTTCTCATCTCTGCTAACCGCCTTCTCTCTAGTTCGGCCAAATCCTGATGACACGCGGCCGACGCTTTTCCCTCCTTTCCCCTTCTTCCCTCACTTTTTCTTTTTCCTTTCCTTTTTCGTTTGCTCCCACGTTTTTCTGAAAAATTTTCCCATTTTTCCCTGATTTTCTCCCCTTCCACACGCCATGGTCCGTCGATATTAGACGATCCTAGAACGATACTGACCCCTCACCGCCCCCCCGCTCTGACTCTGCAGTAGTCGTAATAGCAAACCGCCCGAAGCGAACTCGAAAGTCCAGACTCCAGCAGACTCCAGACCAAGAGCGCCTATTTTCCCCTTGCGACCATCAGCATGTCCGCCTCGCGCCAGGACGATCCCCTAGGGAACACCATCCTGATTGGTGCCAACATCGAGGAAGGACGCAAATTCGACAAGTCCACCGCCGATGAGAACCTCGAAGGACTGGGATATGTGCCTGAACTGTCGCGCAACCGGTCCACCTGGCACGTGGTGTTTATGTGCTTTATTCTGTCCTCCGTGCCCTACGGTCTCTCTACCACCCTAACGTATCCCCTGGCTGGGGGCGGTCCCGTCGACATCATCTGGGGCTGGGTCCTCGTCTCCCTGATCATCCTATGCGTCGCTGTCTCCCTTGCAGAAATCACCTCGGTCTATCCCACCGCTGGGGGTGTGTACTATCAGACCTTCGTCCTGTCCCCAATCTGGTGCCGCCGCATTACCTCGTGGATCTGCGGCTGGGCCTATGTGGCCGGCAATGTCATGATCACCCTGGCCGTCAACTTCGGCACCACCTTGTTCTTCGTGGCTAGCTTGAACGTCTTTGAAAAGTCCCCCGGCGTGGGTATCACCGACGACTTCGAGGCCTGGCACACCTACCTCATCTTCCTGGCCATCACCCTACTCTGCCACGCGATCCCGGCTTTTGGAAATAGATGGCTTCCCTTGTTAGAGGTATACCCATTGATCCTATCCTATCTTATCCTGTCCCATGCGAAAAGAAAACAAGAACAGAAACAGACCCCCCCCCCCCCAAGCGACATCTCCCGTTTCCTGCTCTGTTTGTATTCCCCATTGCGCCTCCTACTAATCACTCCCATCGCGTCTATAGCAATTTGCCATCTTCTGGACCCTGGCTGGTTTGATTGTCATCGTCGTGTGCATCCTGGTCCTGGCTCGCGAAGGCCGTCGCTCGGCCAACTGGGTCTTTACTCACTTTGAACCGCAATCTGGGTGGCCTGCAGGATGGTCGTTCTGCATCGGTCTGTTGCACGCTGCGTACGCCACCTCGGCCACCGGCATGATTATCTCGTAAATCTTTCTTTTCTTTCTCTTTCTTTTTCTCTTTTGTTCCAGGCAATCTCTCTATCTCCTCCAACGCGACATTTTTCTCTAGAATCTCTACTAAACCAACCCCATAGGATGTGTGAGGAGGTTCGCGAACCTGCGATCCAAGTCCCCAAGGCCATGGTAGGAACCATCGTCATCAACCTCTTCGCCGGCCTGGTGCTACTGATCCCTCTCTGCTTCGTGCTGCCGGATCTGACCTACCTGGCGAACCTGGCCTCGGGCCAACCCGTGCCTCCGACCCTCAAGGCTGCGACGGGCAGCTCCGTGGGCGCCTTCTGTCTGTTGATCCCGCTGCTCGTGCTGGGCATCATCTGCGGCGTCGGCTGTGTGACGGCCACGTCCCGCTGCACGTGGGCGTTCTCCCGCGACGGCGCCATTCCCGGCTCCAAATGGTGGAAGACGGTCAACCAGCGTCTCGACATCCCGTTGAACGCGATGATGCTAGGCATGGTGGTCGAGATCCTTCTCGGTCTGATCTACTTCGGATCCAGCGCCGCGTTCAGCGCCTTTTCGGGTGTCGGCGTCATTCTGCTCACGTTGAGCTATGCGTGTCCCATCGCGGTATCGTTGATTCTCCGTCGAAGAGCCGATATTAAAAACGGGAACTTCAACATGGGTGCTCTCGGCGCTTTCTGTAACGTCGTTGCGATTTGTAGGTTTTCTCTTCATTCCCCTGCCCCATCTTTCCCCACTTCGTCTTGTCTCTATTTTCACGTCCGAGATCTGACCCATAATACCTAATATCTTAGCGTGGACCCTCCTGGCCATTCCGCTCTTCTCCATGCCCACGTTCATGGAAGTCACCGTCGACACGATGAACTACGCGTCTGTGGTGTTTGTGGGCTACGTGGCCATCGCGGCCGTGTGGTACTGGGTCTGGGGCCACAAGAACTACGTCGGGCCGCCGACGGAAGGCGTGGAGCCGGAAGCTGTCCGTGCCCCGTCGGTGCAGACCCACAGCAACGTTGCGAAGACGAAATAGTGGAGCGTATGGAGTCGTCACTCGTCAGATCGTGTCTAGCCTGTGGCTACTCTGGTAGGGTCTGACGAGTTGAGAATGAAATGGGCGGTTTACTTTGTACATCGGAGTTGTTGTTCTGTGTCTTGTGTGTGTGCACAAGAGCGTGATGTGGAGGATATACCCATACTAAACATACGTACTTGATTTTCTAGCCAGGGCGGCAGCCTTCCCTTTCCGTTTTAGTGCTCACCCCTCGCCGCTTTTTGCTCACTGAGTAGACCTGAGCACGCCCTAAACAGCCTGAGGCAATCACTAAACACGGAATGAGCGGAAGACTGAGTGCCCTGAGTGAGTAACCTCAATAAACTGTACTCCCATTAGCGATCTCCCTTTTGCCCGTTTCTCTACTTTTACTTCACTTCTGCCCGTTACATTCCTCAAAAAACGCAGCACTGCCATCACGAAAATAACGAATCAGGGAAGCTATTTTTTCTTGTAATACCTATGATCTTTTCCCCAGGAGGAATTGTTTACTACCGTCCTGCACCAATATAGCAAAAAATTTTCTGGACTTTTTCCGTCGAAGGACAGCACAAGCCTAACTGTTCATGAGAGCGGCCCTGGATATCCCAAAAGTTAAGAAATTTTCGGAATACCAACTAGCGCTAGTCTATTATAGATATTTTCTAAATTTTGATCCTGTATACCTATGTGGTAGAATGACATGCTAATGTTTCCTTATCAAAATGCATAATACTGAAGATTCATAATACTGATTAAAAGAATAAATTCGAAAAATAGGACGTAGTGTTGATTATCTGTAGGTATCCTGGCCTAGAAGATTTGATATCTACAGTATAAAGTTATAACAGATTCATTTTAATCGAGTTAAATTCCTTACATGAGGCCCTATTCTTTCTTGTCCAAGCAATCTGTAGACATTGCTGGCATAATAATCGATACGTAGTACATGTGTCAGTAGACGTCATACCAAAAATTCGCACGGAAAGCACTGAATGATATCATAGCTTACGCCTGGTAGTATAGAGAAATCGTAGATCTTTCGCGAAAAAGGAAGAGCACTCGCCAAGCTGGACTCGAAAGCGATCCTGCTAAACAAAGATGGGATTGTGCGGGTTGGTACGTCTTCGTGCCCCCAAACCGGGTCACGATCCGAGCATCTAATCCAGTCTACCAGCGGGTGCGGAACACAGCTACCAGATACAGATACAGCCATCGAAGATGAACTCCGACACATTGAAACTGACTGCACTGGCTGCTATCATGGCCGATCTGATGGATCAGAAGGGGAGTGGGCCTATCTGGAGCTCGCTGGCGAAAGAGTTCCTTCGAGATCTGACGACCAAGCGCCTGAACGAGTTGATGGAGGTACGTTGGCACGTTGATTCACCTTGCTGCGTCTTGCTTACAATTCTACAGCACTCCTTCTTAAAGGAGGCGGGAGGAGCAGGCGACTTAATGCTGTGTGTCTCTATAACGAACAAGATTGCCAGCCACAATATTAAAGAGGTAAACAATGCCTAGTTACCCTTCCGGATCGCACCGGGGAGTCTTGCCCGCTGCGATATGACCAGTGGCCAAGCATAATTTAGGACTTGAACTCCATGAATATTACATCAATACTATACTGCATAGGTCCCAGGTTCTCACCCCTTGCCCGCCCTTTCTAGTACCTTGGCAGCTTCACGGATGCTATCTCTCGTTCTGGCTCTCTCTTCTTCAAGCTCGCCCGTATACTCTTTTTGGCGCTTGATCTCCCTCTGCAAATGCCAGCTTTTCATTTCAAAGGCTCGCGACCGGTGTAGGCATGCTTGCATACGATCACGAAGACGCTCATTCTCGTTATCGAGTTGCTGATTCTCCTGCTCCAAACGTTGAATAGTCGCGGTAAAGGAATCATCTTCAGGCGTCGGGGCCGGTTCATTTTCGGTCTGCCCAATCATGTCCATCGGCCCTGAATTCTGTGCTTGGCATAAGCCATGGGAAGCGACGGCCAATAGCCAGTCAACGGAGCCCTTACACTATCATCTATCTCCAGACCAATATGGTCCCTTTGGAGGACTGCCGGACGAACGGCTTCGAGCGAATTCCCAAACTCACGGCATATCTCCTCATAGAGACCAACGGTTCCATTGCTCAGGGGCGTCTTCAAAAGATGCGCCTTGGAGTCGGTAACAGACCAGGCATACCCGTCCTGTGGAGCTGGCTGCAAGTGGACTTCGTTCGGGTTAATCCGCAAGCCGAGCCGGTTATCTAGGTCTATCAGTGTACGGCAGGATCTGGGGGCTCCAGGGGTGGTACAGATATGCTTGGACAACACTTCGCGGCACCCCTGTCGCCTGAGAGCACGCTTTTTATTACTCGATTGAGCCATGTGGGATGTACACAAACCCTTCTTGTGCAAACCAAGGACGGATAAAAACCATCTATCTGCACACGGTAGAGGATAAATGGTAGATGATGTGGTAGCAACCATGGAACCGGGGGTTCATAAATACGAAATGGCGGCCTGTATACGCAACAGAGAGGAGGCCACAATTGCTGGGATTTCTGAACGCGTTCTTGGCCATGTGCATTTGGGGTTCCGCTTGACCACTCATAACTTTGAACCGGTAAAAAACTCGAATCGACTCTCGGTGGATCATAAATGACATTGGAATAAAATAAAGATATGTATTTATTTATGATATATAATTAATAAACCGTGTGAGGTATACGTTACTGAAATGAACTTGTTTGCCATGCTTAAACAAGACCTAACAACTTAGATTGATGAGCACACAAACGCAGATCAGATAATCAGGCTCGATGATGCGGATTCTGCGCCCAACCAAAAGCCATTTTCACCGCCGCGGCTGACTATTGTGACAGGAGGAGAGCCATTCACACAAATGATGGCCGTGGCGCCGTCTTGGCCTAAGGAGTGCACTCCGGAGTACACGAGAGCATTTGGCGGCTTGGGTGACCACCAGCGAATCCCGGCTGTTGAATGTTTTATTGTATGTTTTTGCTCACCTTGTTTGTCGTATAAGTATGTACTGTTGATATTCGGGATGATTCGTCGAAATGATTTTTTTGGAAGCTTGGCCGGTTGTTGTTGGTTGCGAGCTGGCTGACTTGTGGTTCCTAGAGGATGTTCAAACCATGATAGAAGAAAGCCCCCTTTAAAACATTTGAAGTTGTATCCAACGCAGACAGAATGACTTCTCACTTGTGTGCAAGTCTTTTATCGGAAAAATCAGTAACAGATGCAGAACTTAAACGAGCCTTCAAGCTATTCCAAGATAAACTGAAGCAATTCCTACACTGCTGAATGAAGACGACTTGCTGAATTTTGCTAGAGGGGAATGTATGCACAGAATATCGAACATAGGCATAGAGAGAGAAGAGCTTCACCAAGTCGTCCACCCTCTACGCGTCGCCTCATAATAAATAGCAAGAGTATCTTGCCATTTGTCTCGAGCAAGATCCGAGATCAGCTCGCCCAGACGCCCATGCCCATCGGGAATCATATCATGCCAGTCCTCGTAAAAGCCCTGCCCAAGCTCAGAGTCTGCTCCATACCTAATATAGCGCATGCCCTGCGCGCCGTTTCTCCAGCTGCGATCGGGATGGACGAACAATACCCCAGTGAGTCTGGAATGATCGTAGGTCTCGAGCATGCCTGGGAGTCGTGGGGTAGTCGGTAGTGGGAAATCTGTATCTAGCCTGATCTCTGCCTCAAGACACATGCCCCTGGAGCCTTCGCGGGTCGCTTTCTCGGCTTCATAATGCGCAATACAATCCTCGCTGCTGGCGTTTGGCAGAAAGTAGACGTCAAGTCGATAGCTGTCGTCATCGCATCCGCCAGTCCTAATCCGGGCGAGCATATCTCGGAGGTCATCTTCCATGTCATTGGTTTGAGCTAGTGGGCCCTCGGGATGAGTGAAGTAGATGTTAAAATTGAACAGAGGAGGGAGTAAAATGTGCTCTTTGCTCTCAAAGACCATGAAGGATGGGTTTCTGCCGTGATCCTGAAAGGGGAGGACGTGTGTTTTGATTGTCCAAACACGGATTTCAGGTGGTCCTGGCGACGGAGATTCTCGAAGTCCTGCTGCTTTGCGGGTAGCTCGTTCGCGCATTAGATCATACTGGAAACCGGCATCTATTCGCATATTGTATGTTTCCTTCCATCGACTCAGGCACCGCATACCCGAAGGAAAAGGGCAGTATTGAAATGGGACAGTAGGCCTGCACGGGTCTTCCATACTGAACCGGATACCGTTGCGACAGCACGCTTCTTTGAGCGGTTGGTATTTGGCCGGGGTTGCTCCTCGGGCAGAGGAGACACTTATGGCGTAGGTATCCGTGAGCTTAAGGGTTGTCAGATGAGGAAATTGTGAGACCACCTCCTTTAGCTGGAGTGAAAGGTCATGAATGTTCTCTCCGGCATCTTTTGCTGCAAGAACCAAGGTTTTCAGGCTGGCTGGCAGTGCTTCCTTTAATCGATTTGGAGCTACCGAGCCCTGAACGTAGCCACCGACTATCATCTCCGCCTGGATAGAAAGATAGCGCAATTCCACAAATTCGGAGAGGGGGCCAAAGTAATCCGTTAGTCGACGCTTGCGTGGCTCTAGTGGAAAGTCGTGGAAGACGTCCAGATGTTCTAATGTCCCCTTATATTTCAGGATGGCGGTCCAGACTTCATTGTTGGATATCTGCCAGACGTTGTGCCTCTTGCCGTTAATCTTTTCCTTGGCTTTGGCCTTGTCGTCATCCCAGGAAAAAGAAAGGCTTCTTAATGCTACCGGTAGAGTAAGCAGCTCTGTCACGTCCTCCGCTCTGCAGATGGACTTTCTTTTTGTGGCAATATGCAGGTGCTCGATATGGCACTCATGCTCGGAGTCACTGCTATGCATCTTGTGGTGGAACAGCTGACTGAACCCGTCCGGATCGAAGTCAGAGATGGACTCTATGTAGACCTTGAAGATAGAAGATAGGCCATATATCCCCCAAGTTCAGCGACGGATCATAGATATCGTCATCCAGCAACTTCGGGCTTCCCTCAAAATACCCAGGAACTTCACAGAGGACGTAAAATTCCTTTAGGCTGGGCAGCCACGTCAACTGTCTACCTGAACCGGCCTGTTGCTGACCTATTGCTGTCTGCAAAACAGCTCCTAGGAATGGATCCGACGCAGGTATGTGCGCATATACCTTCCACACACAAGGGAAACAGGTTAGAAGAAGCGCCATTAGAGGCCGCCGATCACGACTCTGATATTCACTTCGGCCCGCAAAGATAGCATCAGAAATCTGGGAGGCAAGATCTCCTAACAATCCTGATCGCTGAAACGCAATCTTTACGGTCTCCTCGTCAGCAACTGTAAATTGTAACCTTTCGTCCTGATCCTGTAGCTCGCGGTTCTTATCAAGGTAAATTGGAGCGCAAAGGCCCCAGTTACCGATATTAAGTACCTTAACAGTAGATATCAGTTCGGGGTTTCTAACTGCAGTACGAAAAAATTTCCAGAGCGTACTATAATTGTGTCGGGCCCCATTATAGGTCCACTGGGAGTAAACCAGCGGTAGGAACTCCAGGTAGTGTTTCTGATTGACGAGAAGAAGACGGCTTAAAGATTTAATGTCAAGAGGTCTTTTATCATTGTAGCCCTCTTCATATCGTGGAGCGACGCCAAAGGCAAGAAAAAGAATTTCACTGAGGAGTTCAGCAGGCAAATCTGTGAGATCTGGCATATTGGAAGAGGATGAATGAAGTAAAGAAGATCTAAGAAACCGGGCGGCAACAGCGGCCTTTTAAGTCCATGTGTTACATATTTTACCGCTAGTAAGGGGGTCTGCAGGGATCATTGTGCAATACGTGGTGCGAATGTGGAGCGGTTGAGGACATCTAGGTATATTCCAATTCTTAGAATGGTTACTCTACAATGAGTCTCCTTTTATCTAACATGCTAATTCACTTGGCTACGCTAACACAATATGCTTCATCCTTCCAGAAACAGTCCACACAGTCATGTGAAACAGCGGGGTTCCTGTACTAATGTTAGACGTCTTGTCCACCCTTTTCAAGGAAGTGACATACCAATCGTAAAACTGCTCGAAACTTATGTTGTATTTTGCGGCAACGGTAGCACAATTCTCGTCTGAACCTTTGAGATCGTTAGCTTTATTCAAAGTCTACAATATTCGAGCGTACGTACTTGTAACTAGGTGCCATTCGTTACAATTATCGGATATACCGGATTGGGTTGGGCCAGGGGGGCCTCCGGTCGTAGGCGCGGTCTTGGTCGCCGTAGTCGTGGTACTCACGGAAGATATAGTAGTATGAGATACTGTCGATATACTAGAGGAAGGCACAGAAGGCTTTGTTGCAACAAGACCGCTATCTGTAGGTCTGTTCGGGGTTCATACAGTATCGGTAGCTGGGGCTGAATGTCCACGTCCCGTTGGCGCTGATAGAGGGATTCCTGCACATGCGATAGTTAGAAAAACCGGATATTTGGCGGGATATAAGATGCTACCATTGCTTTAACTCCTCTACGGTCTTTCCGGCTGCCTCAGCGATGGCTTCGCAGGAAGACGCGTAAAAGGTACTAAAAATGTCGATCTGGAGTTCTGGGCTAGTTACGTAAATATAACAATCCTTCCGACTACCCGGGGAAATGGGCAAAAGTTTTGTTACGTTAGCATCAATAGGAGGTGTATAGGTTGCCGTTGGGTAACTTAAATAGGGAATATCTGAGTAGCTGGCATTCGGGTCAATATACCCGGGTATACCGGGATAGTTATCGATAGAACCAAGAGGTGAGACACAGTAAGACTCGTTAGCAAAAAGATCTGTGCAGTTTTTGTTTATACCCTTGTTGAGAAACAAGAAATCATTTAGCGAAATGCTATATTTGAGAATGACCTTGTTGCAATAATTCCCGGGTTCCACGAGATAGTATTGTAAATAACGCTTTACAGTACCATTTGCTAGATTCGTTGGGACAGGAGCCGGTATTGCGGTTACTATTGTTATTGGAGCGACTGACGATAGAATTGTAATGGGCGTCCAGGAATTATCGTCTCCTGGCGGCGAGACACATATGTTGTTCCCAACGGAGCGCTCAATGTGACGGCAGTTCTGACCAAGGATGGGGTTCCAAGTGGTAAGCTGGACTTGGGTGATAACGTATTTGCGTCCAATATCTGCGCATGTCTCATTGGCGGCCACAGTGTGTGTGGTACAGGTGCGGTCGATACATAGTTTACCTTGGCTTGGAAAGTCCTTGCAATAAGCTTCGAGACCATTATCGACTAGTAGCTGTGCAGTGCCGACACCCTGAGACTTGGAAATTGACTGGCATGTGTATCCGGATCTGATAGTGTATGTCTTACCGCGATCTATGCGAGTTCCCAGGCCACGATGCTTTGATGGCGTTGAATCGGCGGAAGCTAGCTCGCTTCACGCCTCAGATGCTGTACATGTCGCGGCCGACAACGCTGTTGCACTCGCTAGAGGCGTTTACTAGCCGGATTGACTTTGATCGACTGGCGCATCACCTGTCAGGAGGGGCTATGTTGAACTCGCCGTCTTCAACTGCCGCGTACTTGATCTATCGAAGCGATTGGGATGACGAGGCGGAGGCGTACTTGCGGTTCGTTGTAGAGAATAATGGGAAGGGATTGGTTCCCAGTGCGTTTCCAGTTACAATTTTCGAAATCTCTTGGGTAGTTACACCTTCTATCCCTCGCGGACAATTCCTGGCCTTTCCGTTTTAGTTGTTTTGAGACTCGAGCTAATGCGGATCGTTACTTGTTAGATTCTGTCAACCCTGCTCGAATCGGGCTTCAGCACCGATCAACTGGGCCAGACCTCTATCGAAAAGCTCACCGGCTTTATGGAAGAAATCCTCGACGAGCGTGACGGCGTCTGCGGATTTGGTATGTACATTGACATCGTGCACATCCATCTCCCCGGTACTTTTGGATTAACTAGATTCAAGCACCTGGCATATTGCCCGATGCCGACGATACGGCAAAGAGCATATTCTCGCTCAATTCCGCCGGGAGAGCAGTCGGTTGCGACAAATTAATCGAGACGTTTAACGCCCAGAAACACTTCAAAACTTATGACCTAGAGGTCACGCATTCGTTCAGCGTCAATTGCAACGTTCTCAAGGCCATGCTAGTGGCTGGGGACGTGATCGGCCATCTAGATCACATCTTCACAGTACTTCGATATTTGTGTCAGAACTGGCATAACGGGCAGGTAAATGACAAATGTCAAGCAAACGCCGTTCGCCCGATTAGAACCGAGGATTGGAAAACATAGCACAGAGAGAAAATACTTACCGGTTACCTAGAACCTGCGTCCCCAGTACTCGATGATGCTCCTCGGTGAAGCTTTCGCTCTCTTTCTCCGGCGTTGGGATCAGGCAGGATACATCGACGTCCCTGCCGACCTGATGTCCGAGCACGGCATCGTGAGCGTGGTCACCCAAATTGTGACAAGGACCTTGAGCTCCCAGTCCGCGACCGACAGCTCCTGGGATTTCTCCACAGAAGTCACTGCGTACGCGCTCCTCACACTGAAGAAGTTGAGCTCGCTCCCATGGCCCGAAGGTCTTGGAACTCGAATTAACGCTGCTATCAACGCTGGCACCCAATTCCTCCGCGAGCACGAAAGCGACTGGGACCGCCCCAGCCACATTTGGATCGAAAAGGTGAGCTACGGCTCGGGTGCCCTCTCGTTGACATACTGTCTGGCAGCGTTAGCAGCCAAGGACGTATAGCTGGGGGCAAAGAGTTCGGGGGCTTTTCAAGGCCCCTGCGATGGATATTGACGGTCGCAAGGGCTTGAGGGCTATAGATAAGGCCGAAGTGTCCGTCTCGCAAGTTGTGTCAGCTTGGAGAAACTGCATGTATGTACCTGTAGAGCGGTAGATGTCAATCCGGTGTCAGATAGAACTAGTAAAAGGGGGCCAAACGGCAAGGAACATTACGGTTGGGGTTACATCCTACTAAGTTACCAACAGCCCCTTCGAGGGCAATTTTGATGGCGACAGGGCCAATGGCGACTTATCAGCACTAATGCACTTAGCGGCCTGGATCGTGTTCATTCCTATCTATAATAACGCAGTGGGTCTATTTTCTTTTCTCCGCTAGGCCATTCGTTGCTCCCTATATATATCCCTTCTTTCTTTGTCTCCCAACGGCACTGCCTTGTTCACCCAATTCGCACTTCTCCGTATATAGAACACGTCCTCCTACATCTCTCACCTGGACTCTTGAAAATCATCATCCACCACCATTTTCTACCAACACAAAAACAAACATTCCCAAAAAAAAATGGGTCAACACGCATCCAAGCCGCAACCTGGTGAAAAGATCCAAGTCATCGGTGCCGGTCTCTCGCGCACAGCAACGGCCTCATTTAGCGCCGCGCTAGGAATTCTGCTCGACGGTCCCGTTTATCACGGCGGCACGCAGACCACCATGGGTCCGCCCGTCGAGATTGAATCCTGGATGAGCATTCTCCGGACCTGGGCCGCGGGGGACCAGGACCAGAAACAACAGGTCCTACCGCGCATCGCCGAACGTCTTGACGGGTACGTTGCAGTCACCGACGCCCCCGGGTCGCAGTTCGTCCCGGAGCTCCTGCAGCTCTACCCGGACGCCAAGGTCGTCTGCACGGTGCGAGACCCCGCCGCCTGGGTCAAGAGCCATAGTCAGGTGGCCAGTTTGTCGACGCTTTGGTTCCTGCGCGCCGTCCTGCTCCCCTTGCCTGGCATGCGCCACTTCGTGGACTACATTAACGCGCTGCAGACGCAGTGGTATAAAGTGTACGGAAAGGATCGATCTAGTGACTATATCTACCATCGACATATCGAGTGGTTAAAGGAGGTGGTTCCGGCCGATCGGCTGCTGTTTTTCGACGTCAAGGAGGGCTGGGGACCACTTTGTAAGGCGCTGGGGAAGGAAGTGCCCGATGTTCCTTTTCCGCGCATTAACGACTCCGAGGCCATTGATCGGACGGCGCAATATCATATGAAGCGGGGAATGGTTCGTTGGGCAGGAGTTATTGCCCTGTTGGCAATCGCGGCCGTTTGGTTTAAGCGGTAAATGGGAGCCGGGAAGATCTTTCGGTTCTCTTGCGTTGGTCTTTTAGAGTGGTTGAATAGGAAGGATAAATGGAAAGGAGAGTCTGGTAGAGGTGATTGTATTTGATCTGATCTCTTTTGATGTTTTAATATGCGATCATCTAAGATTCGTTACATTTGAGCTAAAAGTATTGCTATTATCACTTGAAGATTGATCATCCCAGCTTGTGTATCCACCAGCTAACCTTTGTTTTCCGCTTGAACATATGCCTATATCTATAACTTATACTTATACCCGAAAATCACGGGTCTCGGATGGAGTCCGGTTATGATTTTGATGCATGTATATACCATATGGATCGATTGAATATAATCCAGAGATATGATTACCGCAAAATACTGAGGCCATCACATGTGGAAGCCGAGGATAGACTTCGTGATAGACTTCGTGCGGGTCTATCCATGGTATACTGCGCCATATCCAGAACATGCCCTGCGCGGCCGTTTTACAACATCCTTCTGGTCAGGATTGGAGCACTGTATCCAGACTTGAGCATGATAATATCATCATAGACTCAACACTTATTTAACCCTTCTCGATCGGAGAGCCCTTCCCCTTGACCGGAGTACTGTTTCCCTTTATCCACCCCTACAGTACAATTCCACCCGTATCCCAACCATCCCAACCCAGCCAACTACCAGACATAATCCACAATATGAAAGATCTTCCAGAATCCTACCCCTCCCTCCCCCTTAAAGCCATCAGAATCAATCATGTCCCACCAACCTCTCCCAGCCCCACCCCAGTCCTCCTAGTCACCTTCAACACCCCCGTCGCGACCTTCGAGATGATCAACGAGCTCCTCTCCGCCTACGATCTCTTCGACGCCGATGACCGCGTCAAAGTCATCATCCTCACGGGCAGCGGATCGGTCTTTTGTGCCGGCGGTGACCTCTCTGTTGGGTTTACGGGCCTGGTAAGGGAGTTTCGAAATGATCGAAGAAAGATGGATGAGTATCGGGAGTGTTTGTCCCCTGTCCCCCTTTCTGCGGCCTTTTCTCTACCTTTGATTTCTGGTATATAGCATATGCCTTGATTTATTTCCTCCATATTCCCGCTCCAATGATCCTTCACATACCTACCATATCTACCTCTCCTTCCTCCCCAGAAGCCTCCCTCCTAACCCCTCCCAACCAAAACCAACTTAGATTAACTAACCCAACTAAATAAACCCCCAGAGGCGGCCTCATAACATACCGTATTCACCGCTCCCCCAAACCCACCATCTCGGCAATCAACGGCTCCGCTTCCGGCTTCGGTATAACACTCACATTAGCCAGCACGTTGCGCATCGCCTCCGCGTCCGCAAAGATCTGTTTCCCGTTCACGCGCATCGGGCTCGCGCCTGAGGGTTGTAGCTCGTTCTTCTTGCCGAGGATTGTCGGGCTTAGTAGGGCGTTGCATCTCTTGACGGTTGGGGGGACGTATCGTGCTGATGTGGGGGCGGTGGAGGGGTTGTTTGCGGAGGTTGTCACTAATGGTCATACTGAGGGTGGTAGTGGACAAGGGGCTATGAGAAGAGCGTTGGAGATTGCGCAGGAGATGGTGGAGAGTAATTCGATGGTTAGTGTGGGTGTTGTGAGGGATTTGGTGGATTGTGGGATGGGGATAGCGGATGAGTTTGGTGGTGGATTTCGTGGTGGGAATGCTGATGGGGAAGAGGGATTGTCATTGTTAGAGAAGGTACATCGGGCTGAGACAAGGGTTTTTGCAGGATTGTCGATGAGTGAGGATAGCTCGGAGGGAATGAGGGCGTTTAAAGAGAAAAGGAAGCCTGTGTTTAAGGGGAGGATCGGCGATGAGAGAGGAGGGTTGGCGGCTGTGGGGTGGAGGGGGAGGGGTGTAAGATTTAGTAGACTTTCATGGTTGTTTTTTGTTGGATGCTTATGTCAGGATAAAAAAATTTTCGTTGATTGGATGCTTTATAATGAGTACTGTACATGATCTATATGCTTAGACTCTGGGTGATAACGCTGAATGAAACGCCGAAACAACATCATTGCGACGAAATCCAGGTGCTCGACCGAGAATTACAAGACCTTGAAGGAGTTCTGCACTTGTTAGAGCCACCAAAAAAATTGAAAAGGGATAGAAAGGTATTGCTTACTTGAAAAGAATAAATCGATGTCCAGGATTCGCTGACATCCTCTCCCGGATGATGGTTCTAACCTCGCCGGTCAGCCTCAATCAGAAGAGCATGTATCCAAAGAGCAGAATACATACCGTCCACATTCCTCTCATTCTCCGTCTGAACCGAATGCAAAAGCGACGCCTGCAACTGCTCGGCTGCATCGCTATCATTCCCCTCCCTTCCTGTCTGTACAGAACCCACCTCCGGAAACAACCCTCCGTCAAACCGAACCCCGTTCTCCTTCAAATACCCCTCCACATCTCGGCAATCAAACCACACTCCCCCAAGCCCATATGCCTGGAGTCGTCTCTGTTCCTCTTTACCCCCGTATCCTCCCCTCTTACCACCATGACTCCTTCCCCTCACGGCACCCAGCCCATCATCAACCGACAAACCCCCCAACACCCGTCTCGGCAGTCTCCGATTCACCGGATAAACAGGCCTCCCCGACCCATCAAACAGGGGATAATGTGTCCCTGCTCCGCCGACACAGTAGAAAGGTAAGGTGTGTAGCTCGAGCGGCTCGTCAATGCTTGCGCTGATCAGACGACGAAAGTACGGGTCCATTTTACTTTTGTCGCGGATGCAGGGGACGAGGCGAAATACTTGGTAGATTTTGAGAGGGGGCGAGCGCGCATCGCTGAAGAGGTGGAAGGCGTGTTCGAGGCTGAGACGGTGGAGGTGGTGAGTGAATGTGCGCTCGTGGTGTGAGGAGCTGGAGGAGATGGGGGTTTGTAGGAGGGTGGGAGGGATGGTGTTGACGGAATTAGGATGGGCATCGGCATGAGAGGATGTCGGGATAGAGGCGAGGTGGACTAGAGTATCTGCACGGTGACTCCGACTCTGGCTCTGGTCGTGTCTCTGAGTAACCGAGCAAGCATTGTCAATACTCCTGCTGCTGCATCCCGATCTTCCTCTCGAGACTGACGCTGATGTCTCGTCCAAACCATCAGCTAACAGTGCATATATAGCATCCAGCCTTCGCACGAGCGCGGGACTTGTCTCCTTGACGCCAGGGTCTAGTTTCTGCATCATGTCTGCGAAGGACGAGGATATGCGGTCGAGCTTCTTTTCGAGATCGACGACGCGCTGCTTGATTTGCTGCAGCGTAGCTTCTTTCTTTAGACGGTAGGTTCGTTGAGCGCGACGGACTTGGTTGCGGCGATCCTGATTGATGTTAGACCCCATTGTTCAGGCTTAATTATACTTGCTTCTCTTGTCTCAGAAGAGCATGGGGAATGTGTTGAATGTTGAGCTTGATCTCGAGTCCGCATAGCCGGGACGAACATGATGTATAGGCAAACAGACTCGAGTGTGGGTAGACGTAAATAGTCAAAAAAGTTCAAAGAGACGTAGAACGTATATATGTAGCAAGTAAATGCATACCTCCGATAGAACCGCTCCCCCGGCTTTGTCCAGACGTGGCCGTCCAGCTTTTCGAACCCCTCGTGACCCGTTCATGTCCTGTTCTCGCGGTTCAGACCCAGGAGCATAATTATCCTCTGTTGTTAATGGCCGTGGAGTCACCGTGGGAGTCACAGTGACGGTTGGAACGTCGATATCGACATCGTGATCGGCGAGGGTGGTTAAGTGGCGAGCGGACAGAATGTCGTGGAGACTCTGCGTATCCGACGGGTCCATGACTAGGCAATACCGATTGATTTATTGGCTTGGTACGAAGAGCTCGGTTATTGCGATGCAATAGCGTGCACATTAGCCGACTTAGGATTATGGATGCTTGAACAATAGAGTGAAGAGAAGAATATGCAAGATGATAATTCTATCCGGATGATATTGTAATCGGCCTCGGCACGACTGGAGACTTCAATTCGTTGGGGCCAACCAAGTGGGTCGACCTATCTTTTATTCGGTGGGTTTGTGTCTCTCAACATCATCTCATCTCTTCTTTCCCAGTAGTTAATTCAGATCTGATCATGTAAGATAGACGCTAGTCTAATCTAAATCTCACGAAGTAAAACACTAGACGGAATTATCACCGCCACAGCAAATCCGTATACCTCCCTAGAACGCGACTCACGTCCGGATCGAACGAATTATGCACCGCATCCCAGCCCATCTTCAACTGCGCCGCCTCTAAATCGCGCTTCCGACGCTGCTCAATTCCCTTCAACATTTCTTCCATACCGTCGCCCCCTTCTTTCTCTGTATCTTTTGGTAAAAGTCCACACTTGACCAGCATCTCCCGCGGCGAAAACGTCCTCCCCGCCTGCTTAAACACGTACCTCGAGACAGCAGACGCGAAGACCTTTTTTTGTGTATCTTCCTTTCCATTAGTCCCGTTTCTTTCACTTTGCTTCACAGATCCAGATAAAGAAGTAGACGTATTCATATAAGAAGAAGAAGAAGAAGAAGAAGAAGAAGTCCCCTGCAAAACCCTCCCCCCAACCTCAAACACCCCCCGTTCCACAAAATGCGAAACAATATACACCCACTTCTCATCCCAGCTCATCACCCTCGACCAAACCTCATACCCCTGGTATGGCTTAATCTCACGACGAAACACGCACTGCACGCCGCTTAGGATCATGACTGCGTAGTGGCGAGAGGGACGAAAGGATAGTCCCTGGCTGAAGAGCAGCAGGCTGAGATTTCCGCGCGAGATGTCCAGGTCGGTGAAGTAGGTTGAGTTGGACTTGTGGATGTTGTAGTCGCATTCGAAAACCGGGGAGCGGGTGCGGTGGATGGCGGGGAGGAAGAGGTGTGTTGGGTGGAGGTGGTTGTGGTTGATGGGGGATATGATAAGCCGGGTGATGAGGGTGCGGAGGAAGCGGATCTAAGGTTGATTTATTGTTAGCTTGATGGGAGTTTGGAAGGGAAGGAAGTATGAAGAGGGGTGGATGGATTTACAAGCCAGACGAAAGGGAGGTTCTTGTATGCGAGGATCAGGAGGAGGATCGGGATCCAATTGTCTAGGACGAAGGGGGGTGACATTTTCCCGCGATTTGTGAGAGAAGGTAATCAGATCCTATGTGGTTCTTCTGTCATGGTCTTGATAGATTGAGGACTCGGAGTATTTATCTACTTTGTATCCTGCCGGTCATCTTTTGTTGGGATTGCGCATCTAGTGAATGCAAGATCCTGGCGGACCAGGTCTTGGTGGGAAGATCTAGATATATGAGAGCTGTGGAGAAGCCAAGTTTGGTATTTTCTGGCATCTAGAAACTTTCGATATTGGAGCTGGTTGTAGCAAAATTGTGTTCAGCCTCGGTATCGAGGACATGATGGTCTATGTCACTTACGTCAAGTCTATATTTCCATCTTGCATGCATATCCAAATATTATGATGAATTGGTATAAGGAATGCCATCTAAATTTTCAGCAGATCCAGTTTTATTGCTGTCACTTGCGACTGTGTGGATCCGATGCTAGCTCTGATATTATAATCATTCACTCTGATTATTTGATCTAGTTGAGTCCCAACTTTATTCGAACTTTCTCGAAATTCAGATCAAAGAGAACCATGAAAATTCTCGATGCCCAGGAATACTAATTCCGTCTAATTTCGCTAATTTGCCAGACCAAGTCACGATTTCGTACAGAAGTGAAGGAATGAGAAAAGGAATCAGACGAATTGCTAGAGAAACTAAAAGATCTGGGCCTATAAAGAGCTACTCTATCTTCCACCTCTTAACTTTCCCATTCTTTATCATTATTTCGACTTGATTTTTTGTTTATTTTTTTATTTTTTAAAAAAAAGAATCAGGAATAAGAGAGAAATCAGCAGCCAGCCTCATGCTTTGATTTATTCATTCAATTATCTGGCGGGGAACACTACATCTAAAAATGCAATCAAGAAACTAACCCCAGATACGAAGAAACCTGGTCATTGCCCTACAATTCAAGCTGAAATGCCACAGTTATTGAAACGAGTATTTTCACCTTTTGTTCCATCCTCATCATGAAACACAACGGGAATGGTCGAGACTCTCAGCAGCCCTGTCCACATTCCACACCAGTCAGCAGGCATGCACGACAAGAGAAAGGTATATTATATGTGTTCTTACTCCCTTGACTAGGACGTGACGCCTAATTGTCGATATTGACTATCTATCCTGCGACGTCGCAGTCTCATAGGTACGTCTTAAACCAACTATTTTCTAAACGTCCTGCTAATACAAATCACATACAGAAGCATTATGCATATCCTATTCGTTCCGCTTCTACTCTCTCTAGCCACAGCGTTACCATTGAAGGAACAAGGTCAATGCTCCACCGAGGGCCAGACGTGCTTTGCCAGCAGTGACATCTACCCCTGCTGTCCCGGGTTAACGTGCCGAGAAGGCAGAGAAGCCGGAGATAGTATTCGCGTGCCCGGTATTTGCGTTCCTTTGGCTGGATAATTCGGGGAGGAACAATAGGCGCAGACAAGTCGATGTCCGATGGGTGGTCTGATATCGGATCAGGCTGGGAACAATAGAAAAGGCGGGATGGGAGACGGAATAATCCAGTATTATGTATGAGAATGAGCTGCGTCAAATGACGTGGGGGCTTCGATTTTCTTGATATCGCGATCCAGAAGACATGGGCCAACATCCTCAAGGATGATCGATAAGATTATGGCAATCGGAAACCGCCCGAACTCAACCTCGGAAATTACATTGCAGTGATTGTGTATGCAGCGCTTTTCGGATTCGTCATAGTGAGCGTTTGTCCATGCAGATTATGGCTTGTTTGCTGCGTTCAATCCAATCGGACAAACGTGTTCCGGTCTCTGTACCTACCTAACCAACCAACAAGACCAGTTGCAAGCTCGGCTCGGATGCCATCCTTCAAGGTCCAAGGCATCGCTGCCTAGTTAACATCTCTGTATTAGCTGCATTATAGAAGTCTCGCCTCCTCATTTACTTCCAAGGAATTGGCATTGTGGATCATTCCCGACTTGTTGGTGAGAGCTCGGGGAAAAGCCAAAAGAAGCCGATGTGCCTCGTGACGAGGCACACGTAGATCTGGGGCGCGATGCCGACGGCCATGAGGTCACCCAACGCGGAACATATGCGGGGAAGCGACATCTCGTTTGCGGGGAAATGAGTCTAGTCGGCTCTATCAGGTTGCGATCTATCGTAAGATGCTTGCTCGCCATTCTGCACATTCCGCGCGGCGGCAGGGTATAGATATGGGCTTTCGGCCGCCGGGGAGGGATCTGGATGGGCTCAGTTTCACGATTGATTTCCCTTTTCACTCTGTTTTCATTTTCTCCGGGTTTTGGTTCTTGATTCATTATGACAGCTAGCTGGGACAGCGATATCAAAGTGGACATCTCGTCGGCACAGGTCGAGAATGCCGAAGATGCTCCACCCTCGTTCTCGCCCGAGGAGGAAAAGGCGCTCGTGAGAAAGATCGATCTGTACTTGCTGCCTATGATCTGGATCATGTATCTCCTTTCGTATATGGATCGCACCAAGTATGTCGCTCTGTCACTCATCCCGGGTAGGGGATCAGTATTGACCACCACAGTATCGGGAATGCGAAGATCTCGGGCATGGAAGAAGATCTGAACCTCTCGTCGAATGAATATTCCGTTGCATTGGTTGTTTTCTTCGTGGGATATGTAGTTTTCGAGGTTCCCAGCAAGTAAGTCTTAACCTACATCTGAAGGTCCTTCGATACTGACTTCTTCAGTCTTCTCCTTAGTCGCTCGCGCCCATCCCTTTTCCTCCCCGGTATCATGGTCGTCTGGGGTGCTCTGACCTGCGTGACGGCCGCAATAAAAGACTACAAACACCTCGTCGTCCTACGAGCCTTGCTTGGATGCATCGAGGCTGGGTTCGCTCCTGGCGTGCTGCTCGTGCTATCGAACTGGTACAAACGAACGGAGCAATCCCGACGCTTCGGCGTGTATATCTCCGCTGCGATTCTCTCCGGCGCGTTCGGCGGTCTTCTAGCGGCTGGCATCACCCAAGGATTGGAAGGCGCACATGGGATCCGTGGATGGCGATGGCTCTTCATCGTCGAAGGCGCAGCGACCATTGGCGTCGGCCTCATCTCTATGTTCATCTTACTAGACTTTCCTGCTACATCGCGCAGTCTGTCCGAGCGAGAACGATACATCGCGGTGGCGCGACTCGCCAGCGAGAACGTCACCGCCATGACGGACGACAGCGAGCGATTGACTCATTGGGAAGCGATCGTGATCTCCGTCAAGGATTGGCGGACGTGGGCATTCGTCGTTGGATATATGGTAAGTCGCATCCCAATCAGCCTTCCCCCGATCCTCAACAAAACATCATCATCATTCTTATCCAAAATTTCAATAAAGGCCATCGTCGGCTCCAGCACCCTCTCCTACTTCTATCCCACCCTGGTTCAAGGCCTCTTCAACACCTCCTCCACCCAACGAGTCAACTTCCTCACCGTCCCCATCTACGCCGTCGCATTCATCTGCACCGCCATCACAGCCTACTACAGCGACCGGATCCCCCTCTGGCGCGGCCTCGTCATCGCCGCCTGGCTCGCTTTCTCCCTCGCCTGCTCCGTCGCCGTCTGCCTCGTCTACAACTACACGGCTCGGTACGTCCTCCTGGTCCTCATGGCCGCCGGCCTGTGGGCCACGAACGGCGGATGTCTAGCCTACGCGTCGTCCGCGTTCGCGGGTCTCAGGCCCGAAGCGAGGGGCGTCAGTTTGGCGCTGGTGAATGCGCTGGGCAATCTGGCGCAGATATATGGCTCGTATTTGTTTCCTGAGAAGGACGAACCGAAGTATATTATGGGGTTTGCGGTCATTTCGGCGATGTTGGGCGTCGGGGTGGTTGTGTTTGTGGCGTTGCATGTTTGGTTGAGGAGGATCAAGGTGGGGGGTGTAGTGTCGTAGGTTGGGCTTTTCTTTTCTTGAATTTGATTTTGATTTTGTAGGTGTACTCCGTACTTTGTAGATGGGGTTGGTCTTTGTTTTGTGTGTATGGTTTGTTGCCGACTAGATGTAGTCATTGTTGATCATTTGGCATGGGCGTTTACCTTATTTACAGACATTTAACTGCTCAACATTATTAATATTTCATTTTTTCTTTTCAGATGAAAGGACATTCAGATACTGAGCGAAGATTGCTAGAACAGGTAGATGTGATGCTCTGAGAGAGCCCGGTTTTAGCGTGGGGGTCCATTTGAGTTGGATGAAAAAAAGAGAGAGACAATATCGAGTCCAGAGTCGAGACCTCTCTTGTTCGATTCTCCTTAGGGATTCTGCTTTTCGTGCAATTTTCCCTCGGTTTTTCTCAGCGTCTCAACCCCGCCTCCTTCAGTGATTGCCTCGCTCATTCGGAGTTGACGTATGCTCAAGTGCCTAAACATGGGTAATATATTATCTCTAGATGAAAGCCAAAGTCGGACGGCTCTACGACTCGAGAACTGGCATACCGAAGGTGCACAAAGATGCGCACCATAAATCACTCTGGGCCATTATTATTAGTAGCGGCTACGGCACACTAAACCGAAGGCCGCAACCAAGTGGATACCTTACTGTCCGCTGTTGCTGGACCAACATACGGCTTGTGACAATTGATATTCGAACCAGGTGAAGCATCGCAGTTACAAGACAACGTGCTCAGTGAATATCGGATCTCTTTCATCATCCCCTCGTATAATAGTAATCCCAAGTGCGATTAAGCCTTCCCTCGCGGTAGTCTTCCGGCTATGGAGCAGTCAGCGAAGATCATCGTTGTTCCAGCGAGGAAACAGACCAAAGACCTAACGAAATAATCCACCAGTTCGTTCTCATCCTGCAGCCATATTTACTGCCGATCCGAAAGGCCATTTTCCGGCAGGAGCTCGGCAGAGTCGAAATCAATCCAGAGCACCCTATCCGGTTTACCGTCACGGCCGGGACAGATCATCATAATTCTAGGGTTGGTGTCACCATGAAGGACCCCTGCTTCGTGTATATCGTGGAGGATACGTTCGAGTTGAGACAGTTGCAATTCCGAGAACGTAGATAGATCCATTTGGTGCATGTTGTCAATATACTCCAGAAGAACTGCATTGAGAGGCCACCCATCGTCGAAAAGCGGTGAGATCTTTGTCACTGTGCCATAAAAATAAGGAATGGCTCCTGTCTCGCAGAATCCCTTCTCTTTTAGCCGCCGATAAGCCGAAGATTTTGCGAACGAAGGGGTTCATTTCGCGCTCCGGAGGACGATGCTTGATCGGGGGTAAATTGCGAAACTGTATAGAGTTTAGTACATTTTGGGCCATGGGCTGGTATACTTACTACTTTCATAATCCTGGTTTCACCGCAGACGGTCACCTTTAAGACGATGGAGTATTTAGCCCTCCGGAGGTTTTCGAGGACCTCCACACTTGAGGGGCTAACTTCAATCGTATCAGACATGTCTGAGGGGGGCGAGTTAAACTAATCTCTTGCAGCACAGTCTCAGTATGGAGTTGCGCACAATATCTGCTTTAATAAAGGGTGCTCTCTCTGACTCAGAGCTGCTCTCGGAAGAAAGGCAGAACCCCCTTGCTCAGCTCACGGAGTCTAGGCAGCAGTCAAGAATGCTTCTCCGGGTCTTGTGCTTGATCATCAGTACTGAAGAGGTGAGTACAGTTTATAGAGGGCAGCAAACAGTCGGTTCTAAAGTGTAAGTGGTACAGATCTTCGTGCTACAGCTGGTGTTAGTGGAGATACAGTTGAGGCCGGGCAATCAGGATAAGTGTCCATCTCCACTTCTGGTTCATACTAGAGCAAGTAGGGCAGGTGGTCTTGGCATCCATGGTTTTTTACTGGGGATTGAGAGGTGTTGTGCTGCACGAAAGACCCACCAGCATCTCTCCTAAATTTTTTGTTAGTACCGTTGCATCCATGTTATTGCGCGTTGTTCTAGCCTTCTGGGTAATCCTTGTAGCTTTAGCTTAGGAAAAAGTGGCAGGGCAACGTTGACCATGAAAATTTCTCCGTAGCTCTTCCTAGACTGTTTCTTGCAGCCATCGTACTCTCTATCCCCATTGCGAGATTTTACGTCCGTGCCATCTTCCAATATCCAACTCAATCGATCCAGATCCGCACGGACATATCGATCTATCCGCAATGGCATCCTTCGACCCCTTCCTCCTCACCCCGCTAGACCACTGTCTCGTGGTCGGTGGCATCAGCGCATACGGATGCAACTACTTCACCTTCCAGACGCCCAACGCAGACGACGCCCTGGAGGCTCTCCATGCCGGCGTCGCGCGTCTGGTCCGTGAGCTGCCCTTCCTCAGCGGCGAGGTGGCGCCCCGCGACGGCGATCCCCGCCATCAGCTAGAGATCCGGCCCTCGGCGCCCGAGCGATTCGAGTCCCATCCCATGGTCTTCGTTCGGCACGTGCATAAGCCTCTCCCTGCGCTGTCGGAAATCGGTCGCGCCATTGACGCGGACGGCGATAGTGCGTTTCGACCTCTCCCGACCAAGGGTCCCGAGGGATTCAAGCCTGTACTGCGGTTCCAGGCGAACCTGTTCCACGGGGGTATCGTGCTCTGCTTCTGCTGGAATCATCTCTTGATCGACGGGCCGGCGGTCAGCAGCATCATCAAGGCGTTCGCGAAATGCTGTCGCGACGGCGACGATGTGTCCTTGGCCGAAGAAAGACGGCAGAATGATCTCGCCAGGGAGATCATTTTCGATATCATCAATCGTCCTGCCCCCGAGGGTAACCCAGCCGACGAGATCGAACTGCGTGAGCTCGCGCCCTTCTCGACTGAGGATATTCTCCGAGAGACGCTCCCCCTGTCGCCGCCGCTCATCGAGGAGCTGAAATCCGCCTGTAACAAACATCTGTCCGAGTCCGGCCGGACGGACCAATACTGCGCCACCAACGACATCATCATGTCGCTGTTCTGGATCGCCACTGCCCGCGCATCCATCCCGCAGGAGAAGCGCTGCTACTCGATGCACTTTTGCGTGACGATGGGGAAGCGATCTCAGCCGCGCATCCCGGATTCGTTCATGGGGTCGACGCTTTTCCTGGAAGGGGCGCAAGTCGGACCGGAAGAGATCGCTGACGCGTTGGCCTCCATTGACTCCTCTTCATCGTCTGCTCTTCCCACCGCGTTTATCCCCCTCCTCGCGACCCTGGCGTCGCGTATCCGCGCTAAGATCCTAACCACCGACGATGCGCATCTCACAAGGAGCGTGCACGAATTGTACAAGAGCGCCGAGTGGGACGCGCAGCCGGCCAAATTGGGCGATATCCTGTTCAGCAATTTGTCGTTTAACACGTGCTATCTGCAGGACTTTGGGTCACGGTTGGGCCACGTTCAGGCGTTTGAGCCGCGCACGGTGTATCCTAGTATCGGGTATTTGAAGCCTCGGAAGCCGGTGGAGGGTGGGCTGGGTCCGTGGGAGATGACGGTGATGTTTGAGAAGGAGAGGTTAGATGTGGTGAAGAAGGATGTGTTGTTGGGATGGGTGAGGGGGGGCTTGTAACTGTAAATCGGAGGTGTTACTAGTTTGGGGACTTGTTGATACTTAGAAGTGAGGGGCGGAAGTATATATAGATTGGGTGTTTGTTAGATGACAGAATAGAATGTCAGTGTTTTGGGATAGAGATGGCATTTTTCTAGGACATTTTCACAGGTGCATAATTGAAACTAGTAGCATATTGCAGATTTACAACCTTGATCATGGATAATTAACACTATTCCTCGCAATGACATTTATTATCTACTGTCAACAAGCCATACTTCAACAACCAACCTGGAGATGATGTCACGGTAGGGCATGTGAGCGGGTGCTTAGCTCAGCCGGCTACAGCGCCAATCACAGGTAGCCAATATGCCCGAGTCCCGTGACGCAGCCCTGGCAGAGAAGTGCAGAGACAGGAGACAGAGAAGATACCACAAGGAATAGAAAGAGGAAAAGAAGATCAATAACTATAATAGACATCTAATGTAACTCTCACTATAAGCATAACATCTTACATCCACTCCCAAAGGCAGAAAAAATGAATGTGCGTCGCTCTGTGGGATCAGCCCGAAAAGAACAAGAATAGGGCTTCTTACCCGCCCGCCCCCATTGGCCGGTCGAGGCTCACCGCCCGACGGCCGGGTTAAGCGAGCTTGGCACCCAAAACCAAAGACACACCAAAATTGAAGCCCCAAACCTCCCTCCCCCTAACCCCAACATTCGCAGCATCTCGACAACTATACCGCCAACATGGGTCGCGTTCGCACCAAGACCGTCAAGAGGTCCGCTAAGGTCGTCATCGAGCGCTACTACCCCAAGCTCACCCTTGACTTCGAGGTCAACAAGAAGATCTGCGATGAGGTGGCCATCATCGCCAGCAAGAGGCTGAGGAACAAGGTATGGAGGACCCGACACCGATGAAGCGATTATTCCGAGCGGATGGAATGCGAGGACGAAAGCGATTTGAAAAACACCGGGAAAAAAGATGAATGGCTAACATTTTTGGTGCTCTGACAGATTGCCGGATATGCCACGCACTTGTATGATTTTCCACCCGATTCTCGATAATTCGACTCGTCCAGACCTAAGACAAGAAAAAAAAGAACGCACGACTCTAACTGAATTCTCTTCACAGGATGCGCCGTATCCAGCGCGGTCCCGTCCGCGGTATCTCGTTCAAGCTTCAGGAGGAGGAGCGTGAGCGCAAGGATCAATACGTCCCCGAAGTCTCCGCCCTTGACTTCTCCCAGAACTCCGAGACTGGCAAGCTTGATGTTGACCAGGATACCAAGGATCTGCTTAAGAGCATCGGCGTATGTGTTTGATCGATTCGACAACGCAGGAGGTTCAGCCAGGCTAACCAGACCCTTCCTAACAGTTCGACTCCGTCCCCGTCAACGTCGTCGCCGTCTCCCAGCAGAACATTGCCGAGCGCCCCCGCCGCTTCGGTAACCGCCAGTAAACATCTCTTTTTTATCGCACATGGGAATGAAAAAAAAGAAAAGGATGATCCGGACGAAAGCTTGAGCGGATGGAAAGAAGACGTGCTAGCGTTGACTTCGACCATGGAGGTGGTATACAATTCAAAAAGATGCTGCTTCTATTGATGGGTGATAAATGGCGTCAAGACTATTTTTTTTTTTCAAAGGACATGGTTGTTTGCAAGAATAGGTTCGGGCATCTTTTTCTTTAGGATGAAAATAAAGGAAAAAATGGACACGCCAGGCCTTTTTTGAAAGAAAAAAAAAAACCCTCCGCAGTCTCCCATCGATCGCGTTTAGCACTCGGGTGGAATGTTCTGTACTTCGCTGAATTTGAAGCCTAGATGAACCTATTCATGATCAAATTGCTACGATTCCACACTTTGTTTTGAACTGTCGCTCGATCCGCCAAGGTATATGACCATGCTTCAATCCTCATCGATCGGACCGGAGATGAGACACGGTCACGACATTCGGACTCTGGAGAAGCCCTTGACCCAGCCCAAGGCCTTGCGACAGCAACCCGACTCAAGAACGGCGGATGCACATGTAGACTTCCCCGTAAGCAAGCGTTGAATTATATCTTCCAGAACCCACATAATCCAAGCAAGAGACCTCTGTCTTATCATCATTCAATCCCTATTTTTGTAAAATTCTTATACCCCACGAATTCGATGAGGAGCCCACTTGCATGACCAAGTTTCAGCAGTTGATTGGTCAGGGCTGTGCCTGATCCACAAGAATTCGCTTCTGTTCTAGAAGAGTGAGATGGTAGTCAACAGGTAGAAATGGGAGCTTCTCTGGACCAAATCCAGCAAACATGAACCATGCAAGGAGTCTATTCTGCCGGATACCCAAGGAACTCTTGTCATCGTCCCCCCACGGCCGATTATCCGGTAGACTCTGATCCCGTTTCCCAAATAGGAAAAAACGAAGCAATCTAGCCATCTACTTAGTCAACTCACCACTCTTTTGGATTTTCATTCGGCTCCAAAGTTTTGATTTATACAGTATGGCTGCAGTTTCTTCGATAAAAAAAAAATTGCGGACTATTAGACAGGATGATATGTTTCTCACCTTCTCTGGTCTTATCATACTACATCATACAACATTTGCGTGCTGACCAGGCAGGCATAAAACCAATTCAATTAGTCAAAAACTTTGGATCTTCTGCAAGTATACTGAAAGCTGACTATGTGAGACATGTAAACCCATATCTATCTTCCAGTTAAGCAAGAAACCAGAGCAAACATTTAATGCGAGTGTGAAGCATAACTAACTAGTTGACTAGTCGTAATGATTAGGGTTTTAAAGATAAATATGAGGAGAGTTGGTTAGCGAGGGGTGTCGTTATCGCTTGATAAAGAAATCTAAGCAATAATTAATACATTTCTGATGTTGATATCACAATAATGAGCAGTATAGTATTCATTTTTGGTATATCCATAAACATGTCTTATCAAGTAAGTGAGACTCATTATACACGCCCTATATCACCTTCTCGCTATCTAGTGCCTACCATATATAAGACTAAAACCTAAACAAACGAAAAAGAAATCAGACTCGATCCTGCCCCACGACATCATATCCCTTAGACCCGTAAACCCAACCCCTTGCATCATCCCACAGACACCTCAACTTTTCCCATCCAAGGGAGTAATACACCAGAGCTGACAAGGCAATCGCGTACCCGAGGATCTGCAACGCACCGATGTGCGTGTGCCAGATCACAACGGAGGCGAAGATTAGAAGGATGTTTTTCGGGATACTGACTAGCGTCATGGTCAAGCCGGAGGTTTTGCCGATCTGGAAATTAGGTTAGTCTCTGTCTTTCTTTTCCCCTTCATCTCCGTCTTTTCATCAAGTCAGGAAATGGCATATCTCACCAAGACAAAAATCGACACATTCAACATAAACCCAACAGCCGCATTCAGAACCAACGCGGCGCACGTATTCTGCGAGATCTCACCGAACTGAAAGCCCGCCCACTCAGTCCGCCAAGCGACTAGAAAATTCATGACCGCGCAGACCGGCGCCGAATAATACAGACTCACGAGGGAATCCATGCGCTGGCCCTCATCCGACAGCAAGATCTGGATCATGATGAGGCGGTTGGCGTCGAAGACGAGACTGGCTAGTTGGAAGAGGAACCCGATCCAGGAGAACTGGATCTCACCGGCGACGGCGAGCCCGACGCTGGCGGCGATGATGAGGATGTTGATCAAGACGGAGAGAGAGGGTTGGGCAACGCCCCAGGTCCAGCTGGTGAGGAGGGTGATGACCGGTCCGGCGGCCTTGGGTGGGTGTTAGCGGTTGTGGGAGGGGGATAGGTTGGGATTGAGGGGGGGAGGTAAGTACATACCTTGATCATCTGGACAAAAGAGACGTTTAAGTAGAGGTAGACGACGTTGCTGCAGACCAGGCTGCCGCTGTAGAGTAGCCCGATGGGAACGATGGCGCGCAGGTAGACTCGTGGTGTCATTTCGACGGTCTTGCGCGCGTCTAGCAGCGTGGTCGTATGTGCCATGATCTGGGTGACTAGCGTAGCGAAGACGAGGTGCCATGTCGTGAGGATGACAGCTTGCGTTTCCATTCCTTTAGCTTAGGATATTAAGTGTCAAGATTTGGTAGACTCACGGTAATCTGGTCTTGTTAGCAAATGTGATCTTCAGACAATCATAAGAGGGGAAAGGCAACGAAAGGCAAACATACGAAACTCAGTCGAGCTGATCACCCACTTATTAAACAAAATCGTGAGATTCGACCAGAATACCCATGATCTGACACGCACATCCAAATTAGCCAACGGCTCGGTCGAGTCTGCAAGAACAGTCAGACAGACTACCTACAGCATGCCCAATACGATACTCCAGCCATCATTCCCCTTCGCCTGAAGTCTAGGGTAGATCATTCTGAAATTGTGCCCGTACCTAGTGACGCCGGACAGCCAAAAGAACAGAAGAACACAGAAAGAAAACACAACGGATCAACGCAAGAGAAAGAATCTACAGCCTATATGCGCCCGTCATGGTCAAAAAACGGTGACCAGACCGGCAGGGCCTTGTTTTCTGAATCAGCCAGCCCAGTTTGCTGTTTGGATGGTTCCGTAGTGTAACGTGAGAGCGCCACATTCCGAAGACAACCAGCGATCAGAGAGAAATGCAGAAATTTGAGGCACGGATGTGGGTCAGGCTCGTGGATTTTGGTTTGGACGGGCGTTATTTGCTTGCTGCCCACTTTATCTCGCTCAGAGAATGTTTGTTTATCTACTGTTAGGGGCTGGAGGACCGGAGGTTGTCGGATTTGAGATATTGCCCAAGGGAGGCTGGATTGAGGAATAATACCTGCAGTGTTGATAAAAGGGCAATAAAGAGAAAATATTTCAGAACCGTTTGCATTGACTGGAGACCTGATACAAGGTCATCTGTCAGGGGAACCAATGCAACATCTACGGATTAGGGCTCCACTGATATCCGAATGCGGGCACGAAGATCGACATGAAGACTACTATCCTGACAGAACCTGATTGTTCGAGGCCGTGATCTACTTACTCGTACACATAGACACCAGAAACTCTAGATAATTCATACAGCCCTAGCTAAGCCCATCTATACACATTAAAACCGCAGGATTATAGTATCTTCATACACCCCCAACGTCAACCCAGCCCCAATAAAACAAATACTAGATAGACCACATCACCATGAATGCGTACAATAAGTAATAAAATAGCTCGGCCACTCCTCGATATTAATCTCCCGTTTACACACCTCCGGATCAAACTCCGGATTGCCGAACGCAGCCAAACAAGCCTTCACATCATCATCGACCCAACTAAATGGATAGATCTGCCGCTGCGGCAACAACACCAACGAGTCGTTGATTTCGACATCGCAGAACAGCGACCAGCTCGGTTGTCTCTGCTGGATCTTGGCGCATACTTGTCGTCGCACTGCCCCGGCTCCATGCTTCGAGTCCGCGAAGTATTTCTGGACCATGCGCTGCAGGGCTCCCGGGCCTGTGAGATCCTCGACGGACCCGTCGCCGCCGCTGTCGGCTCGCTCGAGCACGTGGAGCGCAGGGAGCAGCCAGAAGGGATGCCCCGGGGAGGAGGCCATCCAGCCGTTCGGCACGGCCGCGTTACTGTTGAGGTCTGGGTTGCGGGACATGCGGCCGAGGAAGGCGCGTTGGGTTTGGGGGTGATTCTGGAGCGGTAGAGGAGGTGCTTTATTAAGGGAGATCTGGTGGGAGAGAAGGGGTGTGTCGTGCGATAGGAAGAGCGGTTCAACGGGCCGGAGGGCTTCAGTGTCTACATCCGCGTACATTCTATCGAGCATTGTTCATTAGCATACCGACACTTTGTATGGTTTATACCAGATAAATGGGGGGGAAAGAACATACCCTCCCACCAGATACATGTAGAAGTTCCTTGCAACATCAGCCCTCAGAATCTCTTGCGGCAGCTTATCGTACGTCTCCAGGAACCAAGGAAAATGCTGCTCCACGATCATGCGATCTGTCTCGTCGTCCCAGAGCACGTACTCCCAGTCCGGGTTCTGCGCGCGCATTGTTTCCACCCAGACTTGGGCGCGCTCAGACATGTTGCTGCCGGCCGGGAACCATGTCTGGTGGATGAGTTTCGGAAGGGTCTTGAAGTCGTGAGGGATGGGACGGGCGAGGAGATCACGCGCCGAAAGATCTCGGGCTAGTTTCTGGCCCTGGCTGCTCTCGTAGAGTGGATATACGACAGGAGGGAGAAGTAGCGTGCGGAACTCATAGACGGCGACTATAATGACGAAGATAACGAAGATATAGGAGCATCGTCGGCGTGAGGCTGGTAGGGCGAGCCATTTGGGGAGGGTGTCGGCCGTCATGGCTGCTGGAGCTTGGCTGAGGCGAAGATAGGGAATGAGAAGAAAGGATTGCAGCCTAGAGGCGCTTGGGGGAGTGGAATCATTTTGAGATTGCCCCCCAGCCTCCAATGGGTCGGGAGGGTCAAAATCGGACTGATAGATGCCACTTCATTAGGCTAGGTGGTTCCATGGAAGGCCGTTTCCAGGATGGATCCGAACCAAAATCACAGATGGCACGACGGAAGGGCTTCACCTTATGCTACAAATAGAACGTGGCTAAATCAAGAGGGGATGTGGGACATTGGAATGCTGCTCGTCGAGGGCATTCCCGATGCGGAAGTGAAGAATGTCCCACGCGCCGGAAGGGGAAACGGATCGGGACCTGACTTGCATTCGTGGGGTCGCATAGCGGTGACTAATAAGAATGTATTGATCATGAGTGCGAACGTGGTAACCTTAGCATTTGACATTGATTTAACTCTTGTCCAGGGATTGGGAAAGTTGGATGTCTTGGAGGACTCGGGGGAGCCGGATTTGTGGGGTTTCGGTATTTGGTTTTGGGGGACTGCGTCAGATATGCCAGCAATTGTTTGTATGTTCGATCCTGCTAACTGTTGGGAGTTCATTTGTTTTTCTGAATCTAGTAGGCTGATATTCTCATCAGAGCTGATGGCTGTCTTATGGATCCAACCCTAAGCAGATGCCCTAATTAGCGGCCGTGGGTATTGTAATCGGCGCTTCACTTGAACTCTGATGATTAGAACAGAATAGCAAGTTCGCTTCAAATTTAACATTTAAATAAATATTACAACGAGACCGAGCTCCCTGAAAGTATGCTAATCGGAAATGACTCCTTCCTCAAGTGCAACAAGCACCTGTAGATACCGATCACCCTCGGCTCTCGATTACAATATCTCGGCCAACGCTCAACGCTCAACGCCCCAACACATGCAGACACGATGGTTTTGATATTTAAACAATCCAAATAAATCAGAAATGTCTTGATGTGTACTTTGAAGTCCATCATACCACGACAATGACATCAAGTCAACTCACCCTCCTCACAGCAGGCGTTGCGATCTACCTAGCCCTAGCCCGCTACCTGCGCTACCAACGTCGCGATGCCATCAATGCGCGCTTCACCCACCGTCCTCTCTCAAGCATGACGATCCCCGAAGCACACGAAATCATTCGCGAGCTGCGCGAGCTCGAATTCCCATATACAATGCACACGGCGATGAAGATCTCCTTACTCAAAGTCCGTCTTCCCCCTTTACACCCTTCAAAACGGCTAGAACTGTACAGCACCATATTAACGTAGCAAGTACCGTCAAGACCGGCTCCATCCCAACAATGACCAAGCTATTCATCGCAACAGGCCAACTTAACGAACGCAACGCCTCCAAACGCGCCGCCGACACCGAAGTCGTTCTATCAGAAGTCCACGACCGTCTCCCCGGTTCGGATCCACACTTACTCGGCATCGCGCGCATGAACTACCTACACGCTCGATTCCGCAAGGCCGGCAAGATCCTGGATCAGGATATGTTGCATACGCTGGGCTCTGCAGTCGTGGATATCATGCGGTGCGTGGATCGCCACGAGTGGCGGGGTTTGACGGAGGTTGAAAAATGCGCTGTCGGCGTGTTTCATAAGGCGTTGGGGGATGCGATGGAGATTCCCTTCACGGGGTTCTTGCCGAGCGCTGCGCAGAAGGATGGGTGGCGTGATGGAGCGCATTTCATGGAAGAGATCTGTGAATGGACGTTGGAGTATGAGAGACAGGTGGCTAAGACGACGGAATCGACGAGGATGATTGGACGACGGTTGTTGGATCTGGCGACGTTTAATGTCCCGGTTTGTTTGAGGGGCATCGTGGAGGGAGTCGTGGTCACAAAGCTGGATGAGCATATTCGGTCGAGTATGGGGTATGTTTTTTATCCTATTGGTTTCTCCGTTTGAGGCGTTTATGGGAAGGGGGCAGGTTTGCTGATTGACCTGCTAGATTCGAGAAACCAAGTCTTTTCATATCTAGCTTCGCGCAAAGCATCATGGCCCTCCGCAAGCGGGTCCTTCGCTATCTGAGTCTTCCTCGACCTAGATCTATGCGCGTGCGAGTCCTAAGCGACGAGCCCGACATGGCTACAGGCTTGTACACGACGAGTTTGTGGATCGCGCATCCGTGGTACGTGCAGCCTACATTCATGCATCGATGGGGACCGAAGGCGTGGTTTATCTGGCTGTTTGGTAGCGGAGCAGTGCCGACAAGAGAGGGAAAGTATCGCGAGAATGGATATGATCTATGGACGATTGGACCGGCGGCGCAGGAGAAAAGAGGCAAGGAAGAAATGCAGGCACTTTTCGAGGGTTTGAAGCAGAGCGGGTATGCCGAGGGATGTCCGTTTCATCGGTAGATGTAGAGAGAGCTATTCTGTCCTAGATATTGGGGAGATTGGGGGTTCAAGGTTGGAAAACCTCACTTCATGCATTGTGAAGAAAGTGAAGAAATTGATAATTGAAGAGCCCGAACTGATTGAGAGAGGTATGATTCAAAAGTTTTGCATAGATTCTTTCTTGCTCTTTCTCAAAAGCTATACATATATGTGTACTCTATGCCCCAGTGTCCTTAAAAATCAACAATATCTGCCACAATCTATCCAATAATATCACTCCCCCCTTTTTATATCTCAAATATACCAATCAAGTCTTAGAAAACCATCCCTTCACCTCCCTACTCACCCCATTCGCGGCGATCCAAATATCCCGCCACCCATCATAAACCGGATATACGACGACCGCCAAAAACGCCAGGAACTGCCACGCGATGGCAACGGTCGTCCAGCCTGCAAAGAACGGCTTCGTGAACACATAGTCACGATACAGCGGCATCGGCCAGACCACGAACGTGAGCAGCACGAGCACAACCCATGTGATCCAAGAGATACGGTACCATTTGTGGAGCTGGATGAGGGTGGGTTGGTCGAAGGGGTGATGGAGGTTGTCAAGAGATTGAGATTGGGATTCGGATTGGGGCTGAGAAGGAGAGGATGTTGAAACGACGGGGAATTTTTCGGGGGTATCTGTAGGGGTGGTAGTGCCTGTGGTGTCAGATTCAGGCGTGTCGACGAGTTCGATGCGCAGGAACTGTCGCCAGTCGAACTTGTATGGCTTATAGAAGGAGATGAGGATGGAGTAGACGGCCGGCGAGAAACAAGCGGCGATGGAACCGTACAGACACGGGGCTTCCTCCATGGTGGTGGTGAGATTGACCGCGCCGTACAGCGATTTCGCCGTGCCCAGCCAGATCGCCAGACCGGTGCCAAAGCCTAGGATCGGGGCCCAGATGGCAGCGAGACGCGTCTGGCCGGACCAGCAGAGCGTGAAGATGAGCGGGACGATGCCCGACGAGGTCAGGATGGGTCGGAAGTAGCCGATCCAGGTCATGTTGGCGCCGCCGTAGTTGAGGACGATGGAGAAGGCGGTGATGAAGATGGCGTGGAAGACGACGGACAGATGACTGACGCGGATGAGTCGCTTGTCGGATGCCCGGGGGTTGATGTAGGTTTTGTAGAGGTCGAAGGAGAGAATGCTGCTGACGGCGATCATGGAGGAGGAGACGGTGCTGGTGAGGGCCATGAAGAGCATGACCACGAAGGCGATCACGCCCTTCTCGCCGATGCAGGCTTGAATGGTGTACGGCATCACGAAACCCGTCAGGACCTCCGACTCGGTGAATTCGCCGGGATACGTGGGGAAGAGAGGGGTGTCGTGGAGGACTCGTGCAGCGAGACCGATCACAGTGCCCAGGCCCCATGGAACGCCGAAGATGGCGACAGCGGCGATGTTGTATCCTGGAACGGTGGCTTTGACCTCGGTGGCGAACGACTTTTGCCAGAACGCGGTGTCCTAGATGGAATCAGCTGGGAAGATCATAGAAGAGGTGATAGACATACCATCACGACGAGAGCAAGGTTGCCAAACTTCAGAATCAATCCCCACATAATAGCATCGTGCGACTTCATGGTTAAAAGAGAGCCGTTGAAATTGCCCGGGATGAAGTTGTCATCGGAAAGAGCCTGAACCTTGTCGTAAAGCCCGTAAAGCCCCCCAATTGCATCATGCGTGAGAATGGAGATCGTGAAGTAAATGATCAGAATTAGAGCAATGGCCGTGTGCAGATAATCGGTCAAGAACGTAGCCTTGAGCCCACCGACAGCAGTATACATTACGACTAAATTCGTCAGCACCAGGTCAAAGGCAAATGATTATTGATAGACCTACCTCCGAGGGGAATAAGAATCGTGGCCGCCACGAAATGAATTCCGGCGATTCCATGGATCAGCTGCGAGCCTGTCAAGATCATTGAAGCGCAGCCAAAGATATTGCAGAACAGGTTCAGCACAAGGAACACCACATGGGCGATCTTGCCGTATCTCTGGCGAATAATCTCCAGCGACGTATGAGCATACGGGACCCGCAACTTGGCCAAAACGCCCAGGATTGCCATCAGGGCAATCTGAAAGCATAGACCCGAACCATACCACTACCCTCGTCAGCGTCGTTTCCGTTATAAACCATACAGCAGAGCATACCATCGGTGCCGCAAGGCCAAAGCGATAACAATTGACCGCCGAGAATACCGTCTCGTTGATCCACATCCACGACGAAAACACCGCCGACGCTGTCAACCCCGTCCCGACTGTTCGATTGGCGACCATGAACATCTCCGACTTGCCCGAGTCTTCGTCCAGATAGGTCTTTTGGATCTTGACGGCGATCAGAATCACGCCGCAGAAGAGAATCCCGAGGCCGATGAGAAGTCCATACCCGGCCCCTTGCGAGACCAGGGTGACTCCTGCGGAGGTAATCTGAGCCATGGCAGATTATGACGCCTAGGAGGATATATTGGCTGGAGGGCTTCGCAGGCGAGTATTGGAAGTGGCGATGACCCCTCTGTATAAATATGCGCCCGCCATCGTTCATCTCGGACATCTAGACGAGGCAAGTCATTGCGACCTGGAGGAGACGAATTGCGTTATACATTAGTTTCGACCGGTCTTGATATCCCGCACGGCAGTATCCCGGCAGGAAGACTATCGGCAGAGAAAGGGCCAGTTGAGGGGAAGAGAAAAGTGGAGGATGGAATTGTGGTGGGAGGTGCGCGCTAGGTAATTGCGTGCTGGAGGCGCCGGATTGCTAAGATGCACAACAAAACTTCCCTGTCGGGGTCATTAGGTCCCAGACCAATGAAGATTAAATCGCTACGATCTGACATGATCTGTTTGACTATTTTGAAAAGGTCCTCGCCACTCAGGTAGAAGGGATATGAATGGAAATTGTAAGACTGAAGATGGTATGCCGTCTCTTTTAGTCCTGCCCAGACCCTTTACCTATATAACCTCCACCAAACAAGGTACAGATGTCTAGTTGGAGCTGTTGGAGAAATAGTGGATTTGTTTCGGATTATCTCCAGTCAGCAAGGCCACGCTTTTCACAAGCCGTGGACTTATGCAGCCAAGCTGATAACAATAACTTGGCAGGATTGCTCGTGCTCGCTTATGAAGAAAGCAGAAGCTAATCAACAGATTCTAATGGAGTGTCCCACTGGCCTCTTTATAATGCGATAGTGTCTTATTCATGTGTGTATTGGTCATTTACTCGGTCTCGATTTGTCTTCTCGTTGCAGTTTAGCCATTTGGATTATGGATTTCGAAACCAAGCTAATTGGGATAGAAGACAATAGCATGAAACCGGATTTAGGGTTCAAAGGACTATTTTCCCCAGATCCAAAACATGAGAAGAAGGGAAAATAAAGGTTTGTCACATAAGACGGCGCTGTGTAGAACTCAAGACACAATACTAAAACTATTACCATCCTAGGAACCAGCTCCAATTGAAATGGAATGGACATACCACAGCCCATCAGTTGCATCAGTCTAATCTTCTGACGACGCTAACCGAACCAAGGATCTCAGGATTTAAGCATAATGCCGCAGGATTCGTGAACGTGTTAAATGTGAGACAGCGGTTATATTTCGGGTCCAGGTCATGGTGGAGGACGGTCAGGCTCGACAGGCCCCATGCCATGGCCGCGCGAAAGGTGTGGAGATCCGCGTTCGTGTGCACAATGGCGACAAACCGGTTGTATTTGAGGAATATCCCGCCGATTCGGTCCCGCGTGCCCCGAGAGGCCCCGAGCAGCGCGAGCGGAAGCGGACGGTGGCTCTTCGGTCGTTCCACGCTGGTCCGCCAACAGCCGAGTAACTCTCTCGTGGATGTATGCCAGTCGTGGGTCTGGTTGGCGTCTATACGGTCTCTCTCCTCACAGATATTCACCGCACAGTATCGGAGCAGTCTCGCATATTCCAGAATTCGAATAAGCACATTCTCCGGGAGGTCGAGCAGCGTCAGTCTGAGGGGGGGTAGCTCCATCTTCTCGTCGTGGTCGTCACGCGATCGAATCGACGATGGAATGTGCTTGCCGGTGTAACGATTTTGGGATTAAGTTCGTAAGCAGCTGCGTAAGTGGGTAGCCAGCGTCCTAGAGTCCGGAATTCGCGCTAAGAGTGCTTCTAACGAGAAAATCGAGTCTTTATCGAATAACTGCCTTTTGTATTGAAAGACTTTCTTAATCGCTTCTGCAGCCGCTTTCTTCGCGCTTGCCCGATATGATTTACTTCTGTATTCCGCAAAATAGTATACCTCTCCTTGGCTGGCTATGTGAGCATTGCACAGTTGAGTTCCAGGATCGACATCGGTCAACACAGAGCTTCAGACCACGGGGGTCCTAAGAAGTGATGGGTGTCACCACTCGGAGAGCGACATTCATGTCGATGAAGTATGGATCCAGCGGAACAAGCGCGATACATTTGTCCATATCATTGCGACGCCATGGCATAGCGGATAACTGACCATGGTCTCCCCTCACGCCATGATTCCACTTGTTGAACCAGTGTGATTGGGGTTTCCCATTGTTTTCGGGATCCCGGCGGGACCTACATGGTTACATATTCATATTCATCCTCTCAGGCTCCAGCGGGTGAATCGGCACTCGTTGAAGCCAGTGAATAGATAATACACACTGATCCTGGCACATATATTAGATAGAAGGGGGAAATTTCTGAGGTATATTCCCATACAAGTCACAACAACATGACATCATTCACAATTAATCTGCCGAGCATTCACACACGCATGGTCAACCTTGACCAATGCGTCCTGACAAGGCGACCATGAAGCAGTTAATAACCTAACCGTTGTAGTACTGCAGAACTGGGGAATTGGGGAACTGGGGAAAAGGCATGGCTAGAGTAAATAACTACCCATACCATCTCGACTAAGCGGAGCTACTGACTCAGTAACAGGTAGCTTGTGGCTCCAACTACTCTATTCAACTCGAACGACGTCATCCCACTCCCCTTTAATATAGCCCAAATCCCATAACGACATGGTCCCCGAGCCAGCTACACGCCATCAAGTCCGGGGGCGGGTCTCGGCAGTTGCAGCAGGCAAGTTGACCCGGGAGGACAGTGGTTCCAATTACCCGATTGAGAGCGAACGAGCGATCTTTTGCAGAAAGCGGGCGCCTTTCTTGATTCTTCACCACCCCCACACGGGGTCTCCGCATTTCCCCGCAAATTGTGGCTGCAGGGATTTTTAATCTACCCCGGGACGAGTGATTTCTTGATTCTTCATGCTTCAAAGGGGGGAGGAATATCCACTGCTTTTGCTGCTGGCTGGTTGTAGTTGTTCACGGACTTGGGTTCGCATGGGATGATCTCAATTTAATCAGGTGTTTGTTTTTGCCGACTTGATTAGATCTACTTAGTAAAGTAGTTATGAGGAGGGTAATATGGCGTAGGGTTAGGTAGGTATGAGGTATAAAAACCCTCAATCTTCCTGTCGTTCTCCATGTCTTAAACTTTGTTTCTCAACCACTTCTCTCCTCGGTGCGAAGTCACCAGCCAATATGAGTCCTCTCACCTCCCTCCTGGTATACCTCTGCATAGGGCTGCAATTTGTCGCTGCCCTAAACCGTGACTTTCTCTCCTTCCCCACCAAACCCCGAGTCTTCGTGCTCTCCGATATCGCCAACGAGCCGGACGATGCGGAGTCTCTTGTCCGATATCTTGTTCACAGCAATCAGTTCAAAACCGAAGGTATAGTCGCTACCACGTCGGTATGGCTCAGGAATGAGACCCATGCCGAGGACATGATCGAGATCGTCAACGCGTACGGCAAGGTCGTGGATAACCTCAACCACCATGCGCCGAAGGGTTCGCCATTTCCCTCGGCGGAGTATTTTCATGGGATTGTGAAGAATGGGTCCTCGGTATGTTTTCTTTTCTCTCAGAATTGTTCTTGTTGGGTTGAGTTGGGGTAAGGTAGTCGCGGGTGAGCTAATGTGGTTTAGGAATATGGTATGGCTGCGGTTGGCGACGGTATTCCGCTCAGTGACGGCGCGGAGCTGCTTCTCGAGCGTCTGGAAGAAGACTCGGACCAGCCGCTCTGGGTCCTTGCCTGGGGCGGTACCAATGTCCTAGCCCAGGTGCTGTATAAGATCCACAAGGACTCTTCATCCGAGAAGGCAGCCGAGCTGCGGTCGCGGCTTCGAGTATACACGGTCTCCGATCAAGACGACACGGGCGCTTGGATCCGACACAGCTGGCCGGACATCTTCTACATTGCCTCCGTGCACGCCTGGAACCAATACCCCCTGTCGACCTGGGTCGGCATGTCCGGCGACATCCTAGATGATTTCGACAAAGGCGGGCCCGATCTCTCGAAATTCTCCCGCCAATGGCTCCGACAGAACATCCAGATCGGGCCGCTGGGCGCTGTGTACCCGGATTACCAGTACACCGTCGAAGGCGACACGCCGACGTTCTTGTATCTGATCCAGAACGGCCTGGGCGACTCCGAGCACCCCGAGTACGGGACCTGGGGCGGCCGATATGGCCTGGTGAACCCTAGCACGCATGGGCTGAATTTCAACCACTACGCAGACACCCAGGATACCGTGGTGGGCAAGAACAATGAGACGTTCACGTCCAACCAGGCCACGATCTGGCGCTGGCGTGACGCCGTCCAGAACGACTTTGCGGCCCGCATGCAGTGGACCCTCACGGCGAATGCTAGCCAGGTGAACCACCACCCCGTGCTCTCAGTCAACGGGTCGACCGGGCTGGCCCCTGTCTTGGTAAACGCCACGGCCGGCTCGACGCTGACCTTCGACGCCAGTGCCAGCTACGACCCGGACGGAGATCGCTTGACGTTCCGCTGGTTCCAGTATAAGGAGGCCTCGGTGAGCGAGTCGGTCCGTGAGACGGACGTGGGACCTCTGGACATCAAGCCATTCGGCAAGGGGGGTCAAAGTGTGGAGGTTCAAGTTCCGTCGGCGAAATTGTCCTGTCGCAATATCCCGAACTCGGATCCGGGTCAGTGCCAGACCCTGCACTTGGTTCTGGAGGTGACGGATTCTGGGAGCCCGGCGCTGACGACGTACCAGCGCGTGTTGCTTCAAGTGGTCTAGTGATTCATGGGGGTGACTGTGAGGGTTGATTTGTAAATAGCGAATTGTATGTAGATGACTTGCCGATAAGAGACGTATTCAATGAAGATTTCGAAGACATGGTGAACAAAAAGACGCCTTCTTGATAGCGTTTGTTTGATTAGAGCCTAGACATGTTAGTTCAGTTGTTCAGCCGTCTCTCCAGGTGTATCACGCAAATATTCGCGTGCACCAAGCGACAGAATCAAAGGGGAAATAAATCAGAGTTCATGCTGTACAACCCCAGAGCCAGCATTCGTCTTTATGCTTTCGGATCAGCGATCTCCCCCATGTACAGCTGACTCCTCGCAGCAGTCCTCGGGGCCGATGCACGGCGAGATCGGGCCCCTTGCGTATTTCCCTCGACACGACCCCGAAACAGGAAACTTGAATCCGACCGAAGTTTATGGCAAGAAGATGCCGTGAAAAGAAGGCCACACGTGGCTAATCACGAGGGAGTCTAAGGATCAACGTATTGTCGGCCACTGCCAGGTAAACTAGTATATAGTATGATGACCGTGTCGGATGCGGTCAAGGGTCTGGAATGAAATCCCAAACACACCGCTGATTGCTTAAATTTGGGCGTGTTAACATTTGCTAGCCCGATACCTAGCCTGCATACTCCGGAGTCTAAAAAGCGCAGTAGCTCCATATTCCGGGGTGAGACTGCAGTGCTACCCTGCACGCCGTAAATTTCCGTCTGTAAGTCTGCATAGAAGAGGTTGATAGGACTCAGTCGGGCCATTTCTCTTTCAGTTTCCGGTAACAAGTACATCGATGACGCCAGTCGGTCATCCATACGAGTCTCGGGATACCGCTGAGGCGTTCTTAGCGTCCGAGGCTATTGGGTCCGGTGGGATCGCGTGATTCGAGAGTTGGGAATACGAGGCGCGATTCGTGCCCGACCTTAGGAAGCATTCCCTCCACGGATGATATCAGGGAGTTCTAGGTCGACAGTAACGGGGAGATCAGCTGCAAGGAATCCGATGACTGGAAGGGCCAAGTCGAACATGACGAATCTGCGGACACCGTGGACGTGTAAAAAGCAGCGCATGTGCATCACGCATGCATCTCTGGCGTGTCGATCATCCTATTCCGTATAATCCAGAGTGACTTCGCAGGTACTTGCGCCCGTCGGCTTTCGTGCCAGGCCCACAAGGTACCCTGGAAGTACTTTAGTCTCAACCGTCCCGCCGTCCACCGCCTTCTCGAACCTCCACCCCATTTTCATCCTTCTGTTCCACTCAACACATTTAGTTGGATTTTTCCGTGCCATCTAGAATATATTACTGGCCTCTTTTCCCTGTCCTTGTCTTTCCCTCTTATTCTTCCTCTTTCTGCTCCTTCTTCTCATTCATCACCATGCCCCCTGGCCAGATGCCGAGTCAGTTCGCCGCGATCTCGGGATAGAGGGGTTATTGCTATGCTTTGCGGCTTAGATTCGCCATTTCTTTTTGGTTTCGCTTTCTGGGCTGCCCTTCTGAAGAAGACCGTTATCAATATACCGAAAAATCTTCGATGTGAGTGCCCCTTGCCCGAGACCTGCCCTATTGTTAGGTTGAGTAAGTCACAGGACTGTCGCTAACCGCCAATTCTCCGACAGAAACCTGCTGCAACACCGAGGATACCCCTGCATCGTTGGCCGGTATAATGGCTGGATCGCCAGACAACGAGCATAAACCGCCAGTTGGCGGGTGGAGGAGATGGTTCGGAGCTTCATCTAATCAAGACTCGAGCGACGCCGATGCGGAAAACGAAAGCTATCGGGCCAAGTCGACGCTGGGTATCTTGAGCGATAAGCAGACCGACGAAGTACCTGGTATGGTGTCTTCTTCCTCTTGCTGATAGATGATCAAGTGGATGTGGTTGCTAATTTTGATCTCATCGGCCAGGAACGGTCCTTCTGTTGTCCTCCAACCGCAACGAACCCTTAGGCTTAAGACATCAGCCGCGACGCGCGTCCGCCTCGTCTTTACCCTCTCCGTATCCACCGTCGCGATCCTCGTCGGTCCAATCCAGACTTGCGCACAAGAAGACGGCCGATGGACAGATCGTGTTGAATCCTCAGCCAGACGACTCCGTCAACGATCCATTGAACTGGCCGATGTGGCGACGAGATGCGGCGCTAGTTTCCTTGGGTTTCTATTCTCTCATGGGTGGCGGTATGACGCCCGTGCTGGCCGCCGGGTTCAACGAAGTGGCTGCGACCTACAATGTGGATACGCAGAAGGTGGCCTTCACCACCGGTCTCTACATGCTGGGTCTGGGGGTGGGATCGGTGATCATGTCGCCCACCGCGATCCTCTACGGAAAGCGCCCCGTCTATCTACTCGGCGCCACGCTGTTCATCATCTCCGCGGTCTGGTGTGCCTTGTCGCCGAACTATCCCAGTCTGGTCGTGGCGCGTGTCTTCCAGGGCATTGCCGTCAGTCCCGTGGAGTGTCTGCCGTCGGCGACCATCGCCGAGATATACTTTCTGCATGAGCGTGCGTATCGCATCGGCATCTATACGCTGCTTCTTCTGGGCGGTAAAAACCTCGTGCCGCTAGTTAGTGCCGCCATTATCGGAAGTATGGGCTGGCGCTGGGTGTTCTGGATCGTGGCCATCATCGTCGGCGGCTGTCTCGTGTGCATCTTCTTTTTCCTGCCCGAAACGTTCTGGGATCGGACACCGCGGCCACGACGTTCCGGCAAACATAGTAACTTGTATAACACCATGTCACAGCTCGTCTCGCACGGTCTTCGGGGCCGTTCGGCGCACGAGCACCTGCATGGCGAGGAATCTGCGCCCGAGAAAAGCGCCGACACGGTAGTCCCGAAGAAGTCGAAAAAGGGCCATGTCGGTTTCGCAGAAGACCCCGAACAGGACCGTGACATCGAGGTTGATAACGAAAAGGACGAGGTGCCGGATAATCACGAGCATTCCGCAACGCCCAGCTCGGCCGTCACCGCGCGCCCTACGCCCGAGAACCTGTCCAGCCCGGCGCTGGAAAAACCCGACCACGGACATGACCTGGAAACCGGCAGACGACCTGGCGCCTCCCCGGCGCGCAGCGAATCGCTCGACCACAGTACACCCGCCAACCCGTCTATGCGCTACACGAACCACCTGCGAGAGAAGCCCCTGATGCCATTCCTCCACTACCTGCGACCCTGGCACGGGCGCATTTCGCAAGACAGCTGGATCCGCGTCGCCGTGCGGCCCTTCATCCTCTTCGCGTACCCGGCTGTGCTCTGGTCCGCCGTCGTCTACGCCCTTTCGGTGGGCTGGCTCATCGTCGTCTCCGAAAGTGTCGCACACATGTACCAAGGGCGGGCGAATTACAACTTCACCGCCCTTCAGACGGGACTGGTTTATATCTCGCCGTTCGTGGGCGGTCTGCTGGGCACGGTCGTCGCCGGGCGCGTGTCGGACATAATCGTAAAATTCATGACGCGGCGGAATGGCGGTGTGTACGAGCCGGAGTTCCGACTCGTCATGGCAATTCCGATCGCGTTGTCGACCACCATCGGGCTGATGGCGTTTGGATGGAGTGCGGAGGTGAAGGACGCATGGATTGTACCAACCTTGTTTTTCGGATTGATCTCGTTCGGGTGCTGTTTGGGCAGCACGACGGCGATTACGTTCTGCGTGGACAGTTATCGTCAGTATGCGGGGGAGGCGCTGGTGACGTTGAACTGGAGCAAGAGTAAGTCCCCTTGTCCTGGAGAACCGGACTCGATTGATCGGACAAATCGCTAACGACGACGGCAGACGTGTTTCACGGGTTGGTCTTCTCGCTATTCATCGTCGACTGGCTGGAAGGGGAGGGCTCACGGACAGTCTTCCTTGCCCTGGGCGGCATTCAGCTCGGATGTCTTCTGTTCTCCATTCCCATGTATATATATGGCAAGCGGGCACGAATGTGGACGGTACGCGTGAGATTGATGGAGCGATTTTGATCGAATGCCAGACACGATACCTAGAGGTCGACGTATATAATGCTATCTTGGCGACAACTCGCGATATGATGACTGATGAAATGCAACGTCGTATAGAAGCAAGCAATGACCTAGCGGCTAAGCACTGTAGAGAAACCATCTAACTACGTAGCAGGACGAGAAGTGAAGGCCAGCGAACGGAGTCAACAGTCAACGGGACCCTCGCACATGCTTTCCGAAAGCACTCGGGACCAACCTAGATCGCTTAGTCAGCCCGCCGAGTTTTGGATGGGGATGATTGCCACATGATTTTCATGCACGGGAAATCGGCCCCTCCCACCAGGACCCGCGAACCCCATCGATGATGAAATGCGAGAAGGGACGATATAAGATGACTGCCCTACCAGGCACGGGGTAGAGTTATGAATCATCGGAAGGGGAAGGACAGGCAGGCAGAATTAAAGAAATTCCATCGTCATTGAAAAAGAAAAAAACACCAAAAACAAGAAACCCCATGCTAGGCCGGCCGTCGCCCGATTTGAGCGGGAGAAAAGCGGCTCCTACAGGCGGCAAGGCCCAGGAAGCAGTGTGATTGGTGGCTTGGGCGACCGAAACTGGGAAGGGGCGCAGGAGAGCCTGCCGCTCACTAAGCCGGGACTAGCGGGACCGAGAAAACCGGTCCTGCCTTGAATTCTCGACCCTTTCGAGCAGCTACGATGCTCCCTCCCTGCACCTTGACGTACTGCGTTCATCAGCGACGCGATCGATCCGGAAATCTGGAGGAAGTCAGGATGTCGGTCCTCACTGGGGATCGAGGGGTCTTTAAACTGTTTGTGACATGATAGCATCTTGACCCGGTTCCTGTCCGATCCCTACTGTCTGGATCGGGTGCACTGGCATCCCACCAATGGCAGACACACCCATCCGGATGGCATTTCCGGGCAGTCGAATCGGACGCGAGGAGTGCCATGCGTCCGTTTCCCCATCTTTTCCCCGTTTGGGACAAGCCAGACATCCGAGTCAGTCAGAACAATGAAAAATTAATTAATTCCATTCCAACCCATTAATTGTTGGAAGCTGAAAAATTAAAGGAAAAATAACACATTCCATTAAATGAGATGCACCTCCTCCATTCCATGTCTCGGCCTTGATTCGATCTTCCCCCTCCTTATTTCCTCGTCTCGTCTTGTCTCGTCTCCTTCCCCGTCGCCCTTCTCCCTTTCGGTCTGTTATCGGCAATTTCGCCCCCCCCCCACTCTTCTCGTCTACCGTCAACCTCGTCTAGACCCTTCCTACTACTTCTTCTTCATCTCTCGTGTGTGGCTGACTGTATTGTGCATCGCTTCCCGGTCTGCCCACTTCCGCCACACTTTGTTCCAACATCCCACCGCAAGGGTAAAAAAAAAAAACCAATGGCGCAGTGTTGAAATTACCACCACTCCTTTTTTGTGCCCCCGCATTGAATATTCCTCCTCTCCCTCTTGACTTCGTCCTCCTATTTCGTTCCTCCATCTCGTTTCCTCGAGGGATCACATTAGGAGGACCATGGCATCGCAAAACCGAGAAGACGAGCATATTGACGGTCGCCGTACTCGTGAAGTTTACCGATTCTTCCGTCCGGAGCGTCCGGCTTTGAGGAGCCTCAAGAAATCTTTTTCTAGCGAAATCTACTCGCCGCCCGTGAGCAACGCAGATGGAACTCTCTCGGCCCCCGTGTCACCAGCATTGCTGCCTCAACCCTCATTACCGGCCAATTTCGGCCCCGTCTCCTCGTTGCTCCCGGAGGGGTTGACCTTGGGCGAGCCAAACACGACGTTAACCTCTTTTGCGCACCTTGCTGCTCTGCGACTGAACGTAGAGCGTGTACTAATTAGGTAGGTTCTCTCTTCAACTCCCCGCTCCTGTTCGAACTGGAACTCACGCGCTGTCCTTTGAGTGTTTCCAACCGCACCTCGCAATTCATCATAGCACAGTCAACCCAGTTTTTCCGCAAACCCAGCGATTTCGATTCGTTGGGGGATGGTGTCTGGGATGGCTGTTTCACACTGTCCTCGAGATCCTGGAGGATGTGCAAGGTATGGCTTTCCCCCTTTCCTGGGAATTTTATGGAACTAACGCAACACCTTCGACTGCCAGGACACAATTGAACTTCCGCCATCTGACCGAGAAGCTGGGGAGTACAAATTCGTCGTGGTGAATGATCTAGGCGAAGATGAACGATACCGAGAACTCCCCTTCGTCAAGGGTGACCCAAAGTTTCGATTCTATGCGGGAACTCCCCTGACAACAGACACCAAGATCAATATCGGCTCTTTCTTCGTTCTCGACAAGAAACCTCGCCCCAACGGTCTGGATGACACGGAGAGAGAAGTTTTAGGCTCGTTAGGGATGCTGATCATGGACTACCTTCGGGTAAGCCGGCAAGCGTCTGAAGGGCGCCGTGCCGCTAGATTGTCCCGCGGGCTGAGCTGCTTTGTCGAAGGGAGCTCTAGCTTTGTCGAGTCGCCTCAGCAGTCATACGCAGGAAGCGCTGTGCCCGGTACGCCGTCCTCTTCCAACCTGAGGGCTCATCACCTGTCGGTCGGATCGTTGAATAGTTTTGAACTTCCGTCCCAGCGGTCGCAAAGCAATGATGCCCGCTCCTTCAGCTCCGCCTCCGATTACAGAGCCGACCAGTGCGTTTCCTCCGCGCCGGATACGCAGTTACCGGACTGGTGGGCGGGCAGTCGCCACAAGGTGCAGGAGGAGTCCCATGGCAATACCTGGGCCTTTCGGCGAGCGGCCAATCTGCTGCGCGAAAGTCTAGAGCTCGAAGACGATGGCGGCGTGATGTTCTTGGAGGCCGTCAACAGTCCCGTCATGAGTGATATCGACACCGGCAGCGACTGCTCGGGATTCGGCGAAGCCAGCAACCCGGCCCCCGTCCTAGCAATTTCGACGACCGATGAGCCCTTTGCTCCGTGTCCAGGCTCAACGGTGCTGTATCCAGCGACTAACCTCGAGGGCGGCTTCTTGCAACAACTGCTCCGGCGGTATGCCAAGGGAAAGCTGTGGTCTTTCCACCGTGATGGGCTGCTAACCAGTTCGGACGATGAAAAGCCACCCCGGGCGCGCTCTTCTCGTGCGACGAAATCCCCGGACTTCTCCCGGGGAAGTAGCAAAAAATGGCGAGCCTTTGAAAACTCAATGTTGAACCTCTACTTCCCCAATGCCACCCAGGTGATGTTTGTGCCTCTCTGGAATGCTGCCAACTCGCAGTGGTTTGGCGGTTGCTTCTGCTGGAATACGGTGGAAACGCGCGTTTTCAACCCGTCAGTCGAGCTCAGCTCGATTCTCGGGTTCGGGTCCTCGATCATGGCGGAGTGCAATCGAGTGGAATCTCTCATTTCCGATCGCCAGAAGGGCGATTTCATCGGCAGTATCTCGTAAGGCCCCCTATCTGACGGGTCCACTAAAACCAATACTAATGGTTCACAGGCACGAACTGCGAAGTCCTCTCCACGGCATTCTTGCAGCCGCCGAATTTCTCAGCGCTACGCAGCTGGACGAATTCCAGGGATCACTTTTGGAGACTATCAATGCATGCGGCCGAACCCTGCTGGACACGATGAACCAAGTCCTCGACTTTAGCAAGATTGTCTCGTTGGAAAAGTCGTGGCGCCACATGAGACGGGGTCGCGCGTCCTCGGACTCCAAGCCTCTGGAGAAAATATCCGCCCATCTGGATACATACATGGCGACCGATATTGCGCTACTCGCCGAGGAAGTGGTGGAAGGGGTGTGTCTAGGACATTCGTACGGCCAGAGATCCACCGCTACGTATGGCCAATCTGTGCTGCTCTCAAACGCCGCGACGTTGCCGGCCAATCTTGCTCAGGACGCGACCCAGCCTCGCTCGGGTGTGGAGGTGATCGTGGACGTCGCTCCGAACGACTGGACGTATCTGTCTCAGCCGGGGGCCTTACGACGTATCATTATGAACCTGTTTGGTAACGCCATGAAGTACACGGAAGCCGGTCGCGTTTCGTTGCATCTGGAGGTGGCCGAAATGTTGGACGGTCGCTCGCGTCGACAGGATGGGGATGATTTGGTGACTTTGACGGTGTCCGACACCGGCAAGGGAATTTCCGAAGAGTTCTTGCGCGGACGCTTGTATACGCCTTTTGCCCAAGAAGATACCCTGGCAGTCGGGACAGGATTGGGTCTGTCGATTGTGCGAAGTTTGGTTCGGTCCTTGAGCGGCAGCATCAACATCCACAGTCGGCCCGGAGAAGGAACCACCGTGAAAGTTTCTATACCATTAGCCCGTATTGAGGCGGGGGATCCATTCGATACGACCTTGGATACGCGGACTCCATCCCCTCGTGAGAGGCAAGGAATCTGTGAAAGTCTCGCCTTAGGCGACGCCCACGCCGGCCGTCGGGCAGCGATTTTCGGTCTCAGCCCCGAGGCTGCCGCAGAACACCCTCTCTGGTCCACCGTCTCCCGCTATCTGACCGACTGGTACGGCCTCGAGCTGGTCTCTTGGCCGTCTGACACGCCAACCGATATTGTCCTTATCGACGATGCGTCCTTGTCGGAAAAGACCTGTCAAACCCTCTACACCCTCCGCCACTTGGTCCCGGCACTTCTCATTCTCTGCAATCAGTCGATCGATCACAACCAGATTCAAAGCCAATATGCGTCGCTCGCCCAGGTCGTGAAAATCATCCACCGCCCCTGCGGGCCACAGAAGCTCGCTCAAAGTATCCGTCGGTGTCTTGAATCGCAGTTAGGCTCTGCCACAACGACACCGGAACAAATTGCTCTCCCAAAGCGGCCGCACCCTCGCACATTTATGCCCCCTCCCGAGCCCGAAAAGACCACATCTGAGGCCAAGGCCTCGAATTCTTCCTACAGCGTTACTGACCTGACTACGGACTCGGGTAGCTCGGTTGCATCGTCTTCAATGGGAGCGCAGTCGCCGGGCCAAGAGATCGAGCAGCCGTTACCCACCATCATCTCACCGCTGTCTTTTTTCCAAGGATCACCGCCCCAGCCTGAATTAGTGTCCGAGTCACCTAAACTTGAGGAAAAACAGTCCACACCTGCAGTGACAGCCGCAGAACCACCCGAGCCTCGGAAGGCGCGAGTCCTCGTGGTCGACGACAATTCCATCAACTTGAACTTGATGCTCACGTTCATGAAGAAACGGAATCTGGACACCTTGGAGGCGGCGGAGAATGGAAAATTAGCGGTGGAGGCGGTGGAACGGCTTTCCGAGGGATATGATTTGATTTTCATGGGTAGGTCTTCTACAATCCCTGCCATTTTGTATTTCGGAATCTGGGCTAATTTTACTTCAGACATGTCTATGCCTGTCATGGATGGGTTCGAAGCTACGCGAGCCATCCGCTCTCTGGAGAAAGAGCGAGATGGTGAGTCAGCTATAATCATCGCTTTGACGGGACTTAGCAGTTCCCGCGATGAATCCGACGCGCTTGCCTCAGGGGTGGATCTATTCCTGACGAAACCGGTGTCGTTTAAGGAAGTGTCGAGGCTATTAGAGGAGTGGGAGGGGAACAGGCTACGCGAACGATGCACGTAGTCCTCTCCTCCTTATTCTTGTCTCCCTCTATAATCTTCCCCATTCCTCCCCACTACCTATCATTCTTTTATCGCGACAGACAGGAGCATTTCTTCGGATAAGCCCGTCTGCTATTGATTTTTTGTTTTCCATCTCTCTTACTCGGTTTTTGCTGGTCTCTTTTTTGCCGTTGGCAGGTCACCAGGTTGCTGGGCACTTGCTTGGTTACGATAAGATGATATCCCGTCTGGTTTGGTCTGGTTTGCTTTTTTTTTTTTTTTTTTTTTCATCACGTTTACATCGACATTGACATGACCCAAAATTTACGACATTTTTTTCGCCTGGCTTACAGCAATGGATTTGGTTGGGTATGGCAGGCAAGCCACGGAGCATGGGGTTTTTTGGCGTTTCGGGACATACATAAACTTTCTTTTTGGGATTTCATCTGCCGTGCTAGTCATGGTATGGTATGGCATGGCATGGTATATATAGTTTTGGGATTGCTCCGTACACGGATCGCATGAGTGATACCCTTTGGCGTTTTGGGTTATATTTATATTATATTACATTCTATTAGATATTACCTATTTATCATGAAGAAATCATTGACTTCATTTGCATTTTTTTTGGTTTTGGGGAATTATGAGGAGAGTCTCTAAGAAATCTGTAGTTCAGCGATCTATCTAAATGTTTATAAGTATGTAGTTGATAGATGTCTGAATGGAATCTAGGATGTAGATTGTAGGATCAATAAGATTAAATCGAACGTTCATAACTCATGACACGAACAGACCATAAACCCATTAATTATAGTACCTAGATCCAGTTAGATAGTAGGCAGTAAGCAGGTGCTCTATCTATTCCTCCGCGAGCTCACATTATGGGTAGATATGTTCCGTTTCTCCATATCTATACCCATCCATTCACCAACCCACCAAACGCCCCTAGCCTCCCTTTCTCTTTTCGTTCCTCTCTCCCCCTTTATGTAACCCCGCTAAACCCCAAAATAAAAGAATCTAATTAATACCTCTCAACCAACCACCTCCTCTGCTCCTCCTCGCTACCTAGACTCTCCAACTTCTGTCCTTCCAACTTCTTCACGATCAGATAGATCGCGACAAGTTCCTTGCCCAAGATATCATGCATCTCGTAGTCGGTGCCTAACGCCACCAGACTCTCTAAGAGGGATTTGGGCAGTTGCGTCGTGATGCCGAGGTCGGCGCGCGCGGTGGGAGTGAGTGTTGCTGGGTCGTCTGGAGATTTTCGTTAGCTTCGTCTTCAGAGGAGGCGTTGTTTGGAAATTGAGATATTGTGCTTGATGCGGGGAAGTAGGGAAGTAAAGAGTAGAGGAAAAGGAAAGGAAAAAAAAAACTTACACAAACAATCCTTCATCCCCAACGCCATACCCCCCCTAAGACCCGCCAACCCGGCCCCCAGCAGCGCCGCCACGGCAAGATACATATTCGCCAGACCATCCAGACTCTTCACCTCCCAGTGCCCGGAGCTGATCTTCCGGATGGGTGTTTCTCGATTCTGCGTTCCCCACGCGACCCACTCGCTCCCGGCCCACAGACCCGACTGGACGCGCTCATAGCTGGCGGCTTGCGAGAGCGTGAATGCCGCTATCGCGGGGTAATGCGTAAGAATCCCCGCGAGGAAGGAATCTTCCTGCGTGGGCGGCGAGATGGAGACGTGTGCGTGTGCGGCGGTGCCCGCGGCGTCGGGGATCGGGCGGGGATGCAGCGTTGCGCGGAGACCGTGTTGTTCGGCGATGTGTGTGATGATCTGGCGGGCTTGGAGGAGGGTGTCGATGGCTTGGAGGGGCGAGCCGGGAGGCAGGATGAATTCAAATTGTCCCGGGGCGGACTCCGCGTGGAATTGTTCCAGGTGGATGTCCACGGAGTCGAGGGTTTCGACGATCTCTTCGAGGATGGGGAGTAGGGAGCGGGTGTCGGGGGTCATTTGGGACCAGGAGTGGTTGGAGACGCTGGGGACGAAGGAGGAGCCCGGGCCGGTGGGGGTGGAGTTGGGCTTGAGGAAGATGACTTCGATTTCGAAGCCGCAGGTGACGGTGACGTTGTGGGATTGTTTTAGGGTGGTGGTGAGGTCGTGGAGGAGGGAGCGGGGACAGCCCGGGATGTGCTCGTCGTGGTTGGTTTCAGATTGCCAGAAGGTCATGACGGAGGCGGAGGGGGAGGAGAGGCCTGCGTTGCGTCGGAGGGTGTTGAGATCGGGCTGCATGTAGAATTGCCCTGTCACGGACCCTTCGGGGGCTACGCAGTCGGTCTGGATCATGAATTGCGTGGCTAGGCAGATGCCGATGCGGCGCTGGCGGGCGACGATCTTGCGGAATTCGCGCACGGGGAACATGCGCACGCGCGTGGTGGCCGTGTAGTCGAGGAATTGCATCCAGATGTATTTGATATCGGGGTGGTCACGCAGGAAGAGGTCCAGCTGCGCGGTGGAGGAAGAGGAAGAGGGTCTGAGTGGGAGAGAGAGACTGTCCGACGACAGGATCTCGTTCAAAGCATAGGCCCGGTTCGAGTTGTGGAAGAGAATATCAGCCGCGGCCGAGCGCGCCTGCTGCAGCGAGAAATCGCCATGCTGCACATAGTCCACCAGCACTGTCTCCAGCGCATCGCGGAACTGCACGTTGGCCAGCCAGAAGGTCTCGGGGAAGAAGTGCCCGTCGGTACTCCACAGCAGGCGATTCGTCGGCACGATCTCCAGCGCCTGTCGCACGATCGCCTCCTGGGCGTCGCGACTCACCATGGGGAACACCTCACCTAGATCCAGATACACATTGTCGTAGACGCAGGCCAGATAGCCCGCCTCGCGCGTATACGGATACGCCGAATGCAGCAGCACGAAGTCGGCACCGGGGAACCGCGCCACCAACGGCTGCAGGTACGCCGGGTTGGAGAGCACCAAGTCGATATCGTTATCACCCAGTCCCGTATGCAGCTGCAGAGGTTTGCGCACGCCCACGGCCTGCACGAGCGTCAACAGCAGGCGCACCAGCCAGTCGTTCAGCGGCTTATCCTCGACGCGCGGAGGTCCCTCGCGACGCAGACAGCGCGACAAGGCCGCGGTGACGACAGTGTCGTCAGCATCATTGTGAGCCTGTACATTCAGGCCCGTCCGGTAGCACACGACAGACTTGAAGCCCACGACGGCGTCGTCGGCAATGGCCTCAGAGATCTGGCGCTCGACGTCCTGTCGGAATTTCAGCCACACATCACGCATGGCCGTCTCGTCGTCGAAATCCGTCACGCCATCCCGTAGCGAGCCGAGCGTCTGCGCCGCCAGCGCTTCGATGCGTACGATGCGGCGGGTGCGCGCGGCGGCGAACTGGTCATGCCATCCGTAGGGCTCGATATCTTGATCGGTGAGCAGATCATCCAGCAGCAGAGCGTGCGTGCCCTGCAGACATCGCCGCACGAGACCGTCATAGTCACGCTGGACGTATTCGTCTCGGGCCCGTTTCACGGCGTCCCAGTCGGCTGAGGCACAGCCGTACAGGCGCTGCAACTGGGCGGCCGCACGCCATAAAGGCAAACTAGCGGGGGCATTGTGTAGAGCCGTCCCCTGGGCCTCGGAGGTGATCTGTTCGAAGGGGTATTTGGCGTAATTACAGGCGGCGGACTGCGTCAATAGATTATGGGCGTGGTTGTCAATGAGGGGGTGTGACTGGATGAGGTGGCGGAGAGAGGAGAGATCCATGATGAGGAGATTTGGAGAGGGAGAGATAAGATCGGGAAGGTAGGGAGAGGAGGAGGGGGAGGGGGAGGGGGAGGAGAGAGGCGAGGAATGTGAGGATGAAAATTCTCACATCGAGCAGCACAGCCAAAGGCAGACGGCCAACACGTCGCAAATGTTGGACAGCCCGAATAGGCAGCTCGTTACTAGATCGGCTGCAGCGTTCAAGTAAAGGAAGCGTCCACGAGATGCTGCAGCAAGGAGCAATTGCCCCATTGATGCCCGCTAGCCCAGATCCAGTAATTTCTACGAGCTGGTTCAGCTGATTCAGCTGCTGACTCATTCCCGATCGGATCGGATTATCCTTAGAAGGGTTTAGCGGATGTGCGGGTCCACCCGCCCTAACTATATTTAGATGTGCCTTGCCGGATTCCGGTTGTACCACCATAACGGAGTATAGTATAGCCGTATCTTATATTCATATCCTAAGTCTGATATCTCATACTCTATACCTCCGGACTCACTGTCAACGTCCCCGTCTTCGTTACTAAATACTCCTCCACTGCCACCCCCCGTCCGCTCTCCTTGCCGTATCCCGATTCCTTCATTCCGCCAAACGGCGACTCCGCCGCCGACGAGTTGCCGGTATTCATCCCGATCATGCCCGCCTCCAGATTCTCCAACAGCCGCCACATGCGGTCGACGTTCTTGGTGAACGCATAGCTCGCCAGCCCCATGCTAGTGCTGTTAGCCAGCTGCACCGCCTCGGCCTCTGTCTCGAACCGATACAGCGCCGCCACTGGCGCAAACGTCTCCTCGCGCGACACCAGCATCTCGGGCTTCATGCCCGTCAGGATGGTCGGCGCGAAGAAGTATCCGCGGGCACCATCCACGCGATTGCCGCCCAGGATCACATCCGCGCCAAGCCTGCGCGCATCCTCCACTTGATCCAGCGCCTTATCGACACCGCGGGGCGTCGTCAAGGGCCCCATCGTCGTTCCCTCCGTCGCGCCATGCCCCACCACTAACTTCTGCGTGCGCTCCTTCAACAACCGCGCAAACTCATCATACACACCCGCCTGCACGTACACGCGGTTCGCCGTGATACACGCCTGACCAGCATGACGCCATTTCAAGGCCATCAACTGCTCCAAAGCCTGATTCAGATCGGCATCATCGAACACAAGGAACGGACAATTCCCACCTAACTCCAGGGTCACTTTCTTCAAGCCATCCGCGCAATGCCTAGCAATCAATTTGCCGACCCGCGTCGACCCCGTAAATGTAACTTTCTTGACCAGTTCATGCCGACAAAGCGCCTCGCTCAGCGCCGGCGTATTCTCCAAATCCGTCGTCAGCACATTCAACGTCCCCGCCGGGAACCCCGCCCTTCTCGCCAACTCCGCCAACACAAGCGTCGACACCGGCGTCTCAGGACTCGGCTTCACCACCATCGTGCACCCCGCAGCCAGCGCCGCCCCAGCCTTCCGGAGCACCATCGCAATGGGGAAGTTCCAGGGCACCAAAGCAGCCGCAACACCGATGGGCTGCTTGACGGTGAAAATCCGCCTCCCAGGCACAGACGACATGCTAACGCTCCCGTGCACGCGCTCGGCTTCGCCCGCGAACCACCACGTGAAGCTAGTCGCGTAGTCGATCTCGCCGTTCGCTTCGGCGAGGGGTTTCCCGGTCTCGTGGGTGATGATTTTGGCGAGGTCGGGCTTTGCGGCGCGGATGAGGGAGTCCCATTCTAGGAGCCATTTTGCGCGTTGGCGGGGCGTCGTGTGCCGGTAGCTTTGGAATGCCGTGTGGGCGGATTGTACGGCGGCGTCGACGTCTGAGGCGGTGTTGTTGGGACAGCTGGCCCAGGGGGTGTCGGTTCCGGGGTCTGGATTTTGTTAGTCTAGGTTGTATAGATTGGAAGGGGTTGGTGTGGATGGGCTGTAGAGGGAGCGGATACTAACCTAGGACTTCGAAGCGTTGACCGGACTGGGCCTGCACCCAGTTGTGATTGACGAAGGAGTCGAAGTGCAGGAGGTCGGGGTTTTCAAGCTGTATGGATAAATCGTAGACAGTTAGTCTGGATCTAGTTCCCGGTAGAGAAAAAGTGAGTATAGTATACCTTGAAGGGAAGCTGGTATTGAGCCATAGCGATGTCGTTCACTTGCAATGATAACGATACTACCGATTAAGAAGATGAATATAAACACTAGTTAATAGAACCAGATAAAGAGAGAATTGAAGGGAAGAGAAAAGAGCCGAAGGGGCAGAGATAAACTGAGCGATGCTGATCAACCCCGCATTTCCCCCTCGGCTGTCGGTTGCGCCTCCGCATCATCGTGCATCGCTTGTCCTACACTGCTTACCTCCTTGAGAGGTTCATACAGGTTGATTCACTCACCATGACAATACATTAGTATCTACATTATTTCCTCAACATCCTCATCCACCATACTTTCTCCTGACTGTCCCTCCTCTCCCTCTCCTCCTCTTCCTCTTCAAACTGCCTCCGATCACTGACCAGATCCATCTCCATTCCTTTCACCCTTCGCGTTCGACGAACAATCTTCCATGCAGCGATATTCCCCAAATAAACCACAATCCCCAGATAGCACGTCAGAAAAGATGACAGCGTAAATTCGGGTATGAACGCATTATAACCTAGAATATCCGGGTTAGCACCAGTACTCAAACACACCAAGCCAGTCAACCAGAACATACCATTAAATAACGTAATCAAGATTGTCATGAAAAGAGCAAACCACGCTCCATACGGCTGCAGCCAGTTCCGATACGGCATTTCCGAGCGATCGATCCCCTGCGCTTTCATTCCGTAGTAGAAGCACAGATACGAAACGAGGATGTTAATCCAGTTGAGCGTCCCCAGCACCGTGACTAGGTTGACGAGGTATCCAAAGACCGTAGATGCGCCCTCAGTCATGTTCATGTACGCCAGGAGGCAAAAGAGAGACATCGCTCCGACACCGTAGATGGGGACGCCGCGTTTCGTGGTGCGCATGAAAATACGAGGGGCTTGGCCGTCTCGCGCGAGGGAGTAGAGGGTGCGTGCACCGACGTAGATGCCTTGTGGTCGTTAAATATTAGCTATCAATTGATTCTCGGGTAATGAATCGAGGAGGAAAAGTACCGGTATTCGCAGCACTGATCACAAAAATCAACAACACCGCGTTGATGATATCCGGTAAGACTCCGATCCCGGCAAGTTGCATCGCGATCACGTATGGCGAGGCTGCGGCGCTCGTCTTCGCGTTCGTCGCCCCGACGAGTTGGTCATTGTTATACGGAACTGTCATCCCTAATAGAAGAACTCCTAGGATGTAGAAGACACAGATCCGCCACAAGGTGTGACTGACCGCGCGGGGAATGTTGCGACGGGGATTTGGGGTCTCGGCGAAAGCGCCCCCGACAACTTCAGTACCGGTGTAGCCAAGCATGCCTGCACTATACAGGCCCAAAAGCCGAGGAATCGACCCAGAGAGCCGGTGTATATGTACTCGGCAAACGCACCGGACTCGTTCCAGTAGCGGAATCCGATTCGGTCGTGCTTGGGTCCACCTCCGAGCGTGATGATAAGGCAACTCAACATGGCTATCACAAGACCGATGATCTTGAGGGAAGATAGAATGAATTCGGACTCGCCGAAACTGCCGACATGAAGGACCTAGTCTCCAGTTACAACTCCATTCCAACATGAGGGGAAGAGACACGAACATACGTTGATTGAAATGACAAGGACCGCAAAAACGGTCACCCAGATGCCAACATTCAAGTCCGGTCGCCAATACTGGATAATCAACCCAGCAGCGGTGAGATTATTTGCCAGGACTATGGCATATTTGAAGAAGTAATTCCAACCTGTAGCAAATCTGCCATATTCATGAGTCTTATTCTCAATCATCACCCAAGTGCAGGATCCACAAAACGCGACGCATAGCCGTTGAACACTCGGTCCATGGGTAAGAACGCCGCCATTTCTCCCAATGCCGTCATGACGAAAAATATGATCGAGCCGGTGACGATATACGCGATGAGTAGGCTGGCAGGGCCCCCTCGCGAAAGACCGGTACCGGAACCGATGATGAGGCCAGTCCCGAGTGCTCCGGCAATCGCCAGCATATTTACTTGTCGTGACTTGAAATCACGTCGGTGTCGAGACGACGTCTCTTCCATTATTCCCGCCTCCGCATCGCAAGTAGGCTCAGTATCTTTGTCTTTTGGTGGATTGCTGTCCGCCATGGTTGATAAATGATAGAGCAAAAACAATGAAGTGACTTGAGGATGTTGTTAGAAATTTCTGAATGGAATAAACGATTATCGGAATTTATAGGCTTGAATCGTACCATCATGAATGCCCAATGCCAGAGTCATTATATAGATATCAAACGTCGTCACTAGTCCTTGGCACCATTCCTGCCAGTGGAGGCCTAGATAAGATGAAGCCGATACGAATCCCGCTTCGGAGGACGAAGTCCGCGCTTATCACCATAATAAATTGACGACGGAAAGCGCTGATTGGATTAGCAGTGGGGACGCCAACCGAACGGTCGTGTCTATCAATGCACGAAAGTTTGCTGATTGGCGGATTGCGGAATCCGGGGCAATGCTCTCGACGGAGTGGCAACTGCGCTGTATGCCCGAGCGCACTGCCAGACGGTAGACAAGCTTCTGAACAAATGACTCGTACCAGGCTAATCGAGTCTCCAAGGCTTCCAGATACCGATGGGGTACCGGGGGTCGGCGCGTGTCATTGTTGCGATATTCACATTGATGGCCAGAGTGCAAGCAATTTCCGCATGGCTGTCTTCGATTACATTTGATCTGGATTGTCAATCAAGGATAACAATCGTACTCTTGTTCAGGATTTACCTTGCGTGCTTGGCATCGTTTACACCTGACAGTTCGTTAGTCAATTGTCAACAAGGAAAGAGAATGCACTCACGAAAGTCGCTTGAGAGTTTCCATCAAGTCCTTGGGAATCCCAGAATCACTTGGCGAAAGAACTGGCTCGCATTGGCTTGGGTTATATTGAGAATCGAGTGTTGATGGATTTCAGGAGGAAGGAGGAAAGGAAAGATGGAGTAGATGGGAAGTCGTATGGAGAAGCGGGGATCGACTAACCTAATCAAGTAACTACATGTTCACCTTGCCTAACCTGATCTAGATGTTATTCAAGCGATCTTAAATTTATTAATTGTTTTTTATGATAGTAACTAACTATTCTCACTATCATGATTTCTAAATAAGATATAAACAAAAAAATAAGAAAATGTGTTAGATACTTAAAGAAGCTCTCGAACCTCTACACCCGAGTGACCCGACTAGTTATATCAACCCCCAACAATCAACCAAAATACACTCACGAACGGCCAGCAGGAACAGAGAATTCAGGTATGTGTGGATGTAATCTTTTGCTAGGCAACAGTCACAGAACAATGGACAGATATGCGTTTAATGTTGCCAGGGCTGAGAGGTGCAGGCACTCATCCAACCAGTCAGAACCCAATTATCACTCCAGAACATCCCTCTTGGAAGTTCAAAACAAAGAGGGTATAATATTTAGAATCTTACATACTTCAAGCCAAGTGGCGAGAATATCTGTTGGAATCCAGGTAAGTTGCTCAGTTCATATAGAACTAGACCCCCCACCGTGCTCTGGCAACGCTTAATCATTCTATGTAAAACCTCACGTTATCCTGTCCAAGTTGGTGAAATCCACCCAACTGCGGTACACATTCACCCTACTAGCAGTCTGGTAGGGAATTCCATACTTACAAAGAAGCTGGTGAAAGAAGAAACTGCGCCAAAAGTGAGTCAACCTTTAGGTTTTTTACTTCCACGGAAACTGATTATGAGTCAGAGCCTACGAGTATCGATCATCGAGACAGTTCGTACCACCCTCCACCAACCCCACAACAGAAACAGCACACACTGCTATCGCGTCAGCCACGATTACCTCCCTCTCCTCCGAGGTGACATTCGCCGATAACATGGGGCATCGAACCTTACAGCAGCTGGCAAACCTCGAGAAGGAAGTCGCCGAGCTCAGAAGGAATCATGACACAGGACGTTCCTAAATTCGCGGAAAAGCAAGGCGACGTAACCCTAGAAGAGAAGGCACTAATAAATAGAGTCAACGAGATCGTTTACGGCAGGGATCTGGCAGCCGATTTTTTGATGTTCAAATGCGAAAAGCTGGAGGAGTTCGATAATTTCAAGATACTGTATTCTTGCGCCTTCGATGTTGCGGATCTTGTCGGTAAGCCTGGCCCCTCTTCTATTCTAGCAGCTGCCATTTCATTAACTCATATTAGTGAAACAAGATATAGAACCTGTGATAGATGTCCTCAACGAGGTAACTGATAACCTTTTACTGCGAAAATATAAAACACGAAGGATGTCGGGTGGAAAGAAACTGGTTTTTGACTAACTCAAAACCTGCCTGAACAAAATTGACACAAAAATCCCTATTCCCTCCGAAGTTGTTGAAGAAATGATAGTTTTGTGCCAAAGATTCGGCAAAGAGAAATGGGCAAGCTGATTCGTGGAGTATGTCTCGGTGGGGTTTTTTTTTTTTTTTTTGTTTTGATTTCTTTTTTTTTACTACCATTAATTATGATGGCCAGATCGACCAGGGCGGGCTAGAATTTCCTTTCTGTACCTTAGGGTAGTTTGCTTTTGCAATATTATATTACTCTGCCTTGTCTTTACAAATATGTTTCAGGTCAGCATCGCAGGCACTGTCCAAGACAGGATAGAAGAGCACAGTGGCTGTCAAAGTGTCCGTTCCATCCGCACTTTCCGGCCAGTAGTTCATCACATCGGGTGCTAAGCTTTTCACTACTATGTCAGCCCGCTGGGGGAGGACAAAGGCATTTTTAAGTGTTCCTTGTTCCAGTCTCGAGGTGTACCCTGTACTCGATATGTCCATGGTCGGGGACGCGAGAGCTCGGCTGTCATACTGGAAGACAGCAACAGTTGAATGATAGGTTGGGTTGAGAGTTGGTTACAACAAGATACACGCCACGCAGATCTGGGAATGTTTTACCGGGGACACTTGGGAACTAGATTTTTGTGATACGCGAGACACCAAAGACGGCGCAAATTACGACGCTGTCCTAATTACTAGAGGAATGCCCGAATAATAAGTGTTTGCTTCGGTTGTTTTCAATCAGATACATCCTTTCCAGCCCTAGAGGCGGAACATACTCCCCGCTCGGTCCATCCATTGATCGACAAGCTAGAGAAGCTCTAAGTCCTGACGTGTACAGTGCCACAGATAACTAGCCAGTGGAAATTCTCATGGGATTCGTGGACATGCGTCTCATTCAGCTGGGCGGCCTCACAAGCAGCCCGCCTGACCACAAATCCAATTGCGCAGTAGTCTCTGTGGGAATCTAAAAAGCAACATCCAGGACAAAGTCCCGAAAATCGAAACCACAATAAAACCATTTAGCACATTCTAGAGGATATACTCATTCGACAGATACAGAAAATCTAGCCCCATCAGCATCAATAAAATATACACCACCACTGGCGGAGAAACTTGTCGGCAATATCTAATGAGCAACTCGGAGGAAAACCACGGCTGGCTAAGATTGAGGGCTCTTCATCCGATGCCGTATCAGCAATCCATTAGATCCAACACAGAAAATGACAAGTCATATCATGATTGACATGCATACAGTACCAACTAGCTTTATGCACAAATCACAAATCCGTGTCCCTCCCTATAAAAAGGAAAGCATTGTTTATAGGCTAGATAAAATCGCCCATCCAGCGAGCCATATGATTTACGCTCTCATCCCAAAATAAAGTTGCGTCATAATTCTGGTATTCCACTTAGAATTAACTATGGACTAAATTGCTGTTGGTCGTAGAGCCAAATGTCATAATCTCTCACTCGTGAGAAAAACGGTATACAACCTCCCCAAACCCGTCAATACCGAAGCCCCAAAGGAACACCAACTCCTCCTCGCTACTTGTGTTCCAGAAGCCATGCTCAGCATCGCCTGGGATGAACAATGCGTGTCCATTAGTCACCTCATGGTCCACGCCCTCGATCTTCACGATTGCATGACCAGAAAGAATGTAATAGAACTCGGCTTGCTTGTGTCTATGCAGAGCTTCAAAAGACTCTTCCTCCGCGCTACGTGGTGGAAACGTAGCAAGGCCTAGCGTAAGACTGTCGGTAGGAGATTGTGGACTGGAGAAGATGTTTCGCCATCCGCCCGTGGCCTTCTTTCGGTCTCCTGCGAAATTCTCGAAGGGAAGCGCGTCAACTTGCTGCTTGCTAAGGACGAAGGGTCGCACACTAGGCTTCTGCGAGGGTGTAGGGGCCGACATAGTTGTTCTGAAACTAACACTTCTTCTTCAGTTTCTTGAATGGCGTTAGTGTGAATCTAAAAGATGGTAAAGGAGCTTAACACCTTGGATTTGGATCTCTTGATACAGCTAAGAGCTATTCTTTGACAAAAGCGTGAATGAATATACTATGAGATCCAGACACTGGCATATGCTCCTTTTATATTGCGTTCTGTACCGTAGAATCTCAAGGTTTATAGTTGCTTCCCAAACTCCGGTTCGCCATGCTCTCATTTTAGTAACTAAATCCGGTAGTGTCTTCCCTGCCCGATTAGAAATCCGTGCGACGGGATTGCTTGGCTCAGGGTAACTTATCCTTTCATCATACCGTTTAACTTCACTCGGTGACGTAGAACCAATCTCCAGGTTCGGGAAAACGACTGGTCGAGAAAGAATGACGAGTCATAGGTAGCCTGATTGTCATGCATGCAGTACTACCCAGCCATGGATCAGTGCGTTAGCTATGACAGCGGTCATCCGATCACGATTTGCAGGGTCTACGGAGTATGAACAGGAAATTAAAATTATATAATTACAAACATTAGGCGTCTGTACGGTTTGTCATCCTACGTCCCTCCGTGTTTTCCCAAACCCGAGCGCCCGCATGAAATTCATAAGGTAGATCACAACAAAGAAACCAAAGGCTAACCCCGCCACCACGGCCGGGAATCTGTAGAGTCAACTCTGACGGACACCCTTCACACCAAACTCTCTTTCCATCTGCAATAGATGATGATTAATGATCAATTTTTTCGTCCAGAATTTCTACTCCTCCATGGATAACAGCCAGACGGAGGCCTCTGAGGAGTGATTTTGCTACCTTGGAGTTATTTTGGTCTTCTGCGTATTTCAACTATGACTATTATAGAACCCGGAGCTCCTTTGCTCTGTTCAAAGCCAGGCTCTTTCTTATTTATTCCGTTCATGAAACATCGAGTCTATTTTAGCTCCTATCATACACCAGTTTCATTATTCTGTCTTTCTAGAACCATGTGGGACTTCTACAACGGAAAGTCAATTCTCCTCACCGGTGGCACGGGTTTTTTAGGGTCTACCCTGCTGTACCGACTAGTGAGCAAAGGCAATTGTGGAAAGATCTATATCATATTCCGCGGTGGGAGAGAGTGTGTTTGAGAACTGCCCAGTTTTCTTCAGATTGAATAGTGACGAGCGTAATCTCCAGGCGCGCAGAGAAGAAATGGAAACAGAATCTGCCCCTCGAGACAGCACAGAGATTGCTTAGCTGCGAGAGCATCGTGTTCTTGGATGGCGACCTGACCAAAGAATTCATGGGCTTGCGTGACGAGGAGCTGAATAACATCTGTCAAGAAACCCAGATCATCATACATTGCGCCTCCTCCATCGATCTGACCAGCCCCTTGACGAGAATGGCAAACGAGATCATAGGCCCATCCTTGAGCCAGGCCGAGTTTGAAACGTCGTGCCCTAAGCTAGATAAATTCGTCTACGTATCCTCAGCCTTTGCTAACGCTCACCTCTGGAAATCGTTCGGTGGGCAAGAAGTCCAACTCGACGAGACGAAGTATCCCCTAGCCAAAGGGACAGGAACGCCCCCTCGACGTTGCAAACATGGTAAGATATCCAACGAACCAGAGCCTGCGACGAGGTCCGCAGGACTAAATTCCCGTTCGCCTACGCCTACGCAAAGCACCTCACCGAGCGTCTTCTCCTCGAGCGGTTCCATACCCGCCAGGCCGAGCAAATGCTCCTGATAATCCGTCCCGCGATCATAGGCCCTGCGCAGGAATAATTCTGCTTCCCCTTCTCGACTCCCGTGGCGTCTTTCTGCGCGGGTTTACTTGTGGAAGGCAACCCTGATGTCGTCATGACCGGGACCTGCGACAGGCCCACGTTCGATCAGGTCCCTGTCGATGTTGTCACCGATAGGCTTCTCGCGCATCTTGGCATGGGGACGGCTGGAATTTTCCACGTCAGCAGCCCTTTGCGTCTGAGGATCTCCATCGACGACTTCCGGGTTTCCATCAATCGCGCTCGCCGGCTTCCCGGGACATTGGCTATTCACTGGGAACGAGAGGATCCGAGTTCGCCCAATATACACCCTCATAGTCGCGTGTTTGTCCTAACGGGGACATCGTTCAACTTTCGTGAGACGAATACCGAGAGGATCGCGCACTTGGATGGAAAGGCCGGTCTGCAATCGTTCACCAGGACGTGGGTGTGGTCCCGAGCGTCGGAAGTTCAGCAGATTGCGAGGAAGCTTGCCGATACTAAAGGGTTGCCTGCGGAAGCTGCGGCTTGGGTGTTCGCGGAACAGTTAACAATTGATGGACTGCAATTGTACATAATCGGTTGCAGTGTTTGATTTTCACCTCAATTAATGGGTTGGCTACTTCTATCATTGGATCACATAATTCCTGATCAAGTTATCTTTCTTTCAGTAATAAACAACCCAATGGATTTTTTCTTAGGTGTTGATACTATCATCCCGACAAGAAGTATGGAACTTGATATATTTTCGTGCGGGGACCTAGATTGACTACCACGGGAAAATGCTACAAGCTCAAAGCCCTCGAGTATAATGTCCTAACTAGGAAGACATGATAAGTGTCGCCACTAGGAAAGTAAGAAAAGAAAAAAGCAAGAAAGAGATACAACGAGAACGATGAAGAGTGCAAAAAACCCAACCAAACCAGCCAGGCGACCCGCACCACGATTTTCCTCTGGCCTTTCTTTTCTCCCCACCGCACACCAAAGCAAGGCCACTTCACTAGCTAACTAAATCAACACTAAAGGAACGTACCTAAGCAAAAAAGAAAAAAAGATGGACTCTAAGGGAATTGAACCCCTGACCTCCCGCATGCAAAGCGGGCGCGCTACCAACTGCGCTAAAAGCCCAGATGATAACGAATTACTAAAATAGGAACCAAGACCTGGAAGTAACCGAGAAGACACCACGTGACGCCGACCGACAAAACAAACAAACACACGACTAGACTGGACGGTCCGTAGAAGTAAACTCCCCCGAGCGCATCGCATCGCATCGCGTCCCTTCCATTCTACTCTCCTCTCCCCTATTCAACAACCACCACAAACAATGGATCCAACTGAAGATCCCCAACGACTCGAAGAGTCACTAGATACCGACATCGCGTCCATCCGCGCAGAGAGTACGTCCCCCCATCCCCCCATCCCAATCCCCCGACCCAAGCCTAGCCATCCAACTAACCAACCCTCCAATAAAGTCCGCACCCTCGAACGCCGCAAACGCTTTCTAGCCAGCAGCATCCTCTCCTCTTCACGGTTCCAAATGCACATGAAAACCCTCCCCCGATCATCTCTCACCAGCCTCACCGAAAAAGTCACCCCCCTGGTCATGGACGCCGAGAAACACACCGAGGTGAATCACCACCGAATCGCCTTCTCGGCTACCACGTTCCCGTTCAAAGACCCGTCGCCGAACGCCGCGGATCCGAATCTTCTGGGCGTGAGGATCGATTTGTGTAAGCGGGACGGACAGTTCGCGAAACCGTATTATTTGCTGTTGAAGCGTTCGGGGAGTGTTGGGGAGAAGGAGATGGGAGGGTTGAAGGTGTATAAACATACGATACCAGCGTTTATTCCGATGGAGGGGTTAGAAAGGGTTTATTTGCCGACGATGGTGCAGAAAGGGCAGGAGGGACAACAAGAAGAAGACGACGAGACAGCGCTGAAGCCATGGAAGAAGAAGACGAGGACACCCAAAAAACAAGATCTCCAGGGCCTGGTACGGGAATTGCGACGCCAGCTGGTGGCGTGGCAGTTACGGATGGATGCGATTGGACTGTTGCGGGAGAAGCTGGGGGTGGTGCGGCGCGGGGTGGACGACTATCAAGACGACGATGGGGTGTGGGAGCGCAGTTTTCTGGATCAGAAGGAGACGAAGCTGGCGGCTAATGAGTGGGGGATCGTCTCGTTGGGACCGACGGCGCTGGAGGCTGTGTATGTGCGCGTGGAATGGGCCAACGGTCAGGTGGGAAGATTCAAGATCTCGAATTCGGGCATCGTGGAGCGGGCGGTGGTGATTGGGGATGATGGGCGAGATAAAGCGTTGGAGATGGCGCTGACGGGTGGGAATGGGAGAGTGGAAACGGTCCTTGGCCGGTTGAAGAAACATGCAGAGGCCAACTGAGTGTTGATTTGAGATAGATGTTAGAGTTTATTGGGCTTGCTTGATTACGATGCGATGATACCCCAAAGCCTATCGCCAATTCTATTTATTGTACTACTTCCTTTGAGATAATCTAATATTGTATTGAGCTGTAATCTATAAACCCCCCAGTGTCCAAAGCAAAAGGGTAATAAGTAGTATGCACATGAATCCAAATCAGAAGTCCGCCGAAATGTATATATAGAATGCCCGCTCAAAAGGCACAGCAGAAGATCGGAACGAAAGATAATTACAAAAATGTAGTAAGATCTGCCAACCTTGGCTTCGGGCGAGAAAGAAAAAAGTATTATGCCAGGAAGGAAAGAGTGTAGACGATGCAGGTAATATGTAGGGGTAAATGCAACCATGTATGAATGCTTATGAGAAACCGCAGAAAGAAGAGAAACGGAAAGAAGGGGGGTATCACTTAGGAGAGACATCAAATCATAATTTCAAAGCACCGATCCATTTCTCTTCGAGTGCGTTTGTTCCTCATCGCCGCTGCTCGACTCGGTGTGGTCGGTGACGCAGATGGCCGAGTCCCGCGTGTCGTAGTGCGAGTCGCTGAAGGGCAGCGGGGGCAGCGGACCATAGGGCTGCTTGTGTTGCAATTCGAGCTTCTTTCTCAAAATGGCTTCCTCGAGGTTCCACCGATGGTGTAATCGTGTTTTCCGTGCGTCAAAGGCCTGCATCACGGCCATTTCCTCCTGTTGGTGTCCGCTCTGAAGCCGGGCAAATCCTAGGGCATGTTTGTCGATGAGATCGTCTAGTTCCCGCTCCATGCGAGCGATCGCTTCCCGGAGTCGGATCTCCTGTCGGTCCCGGAGGACTTTGATTTTCGATTCGTGAAGTTGGTCCATGGCGTCCCGGTCCCGGTATTCCTGGGCCAGCTGGGCTTTGTGCTGCGCCGTGAACTGGCGGGTGGGTGGTGAGGGCATCTCTGGTGCGGACGAAGGTCCCGCTTGAGGTGACGAGGGAGGGCTGGCGTTGTTAAAGAATCCTTCCATGTATTTTATCCGCGTGCGTGAATTGACTTTGGCGCGTTCAAACTCCCGCATCTGGTCCATCTCGACGGTGAGTTGTCTTTCCTCCATTCGAACGGCGGCGGCGGAATTCTATGACAGAGTCAGTAATCTGGACAAAGTGACACACGCACAACCCAGCGAATGCTCACCTTTTCACGTTTGTCTTCTTCCAGCTTCTTATTTGCCGACAGCGTATCGGCCACGGTCGTCTGCTGTTTCTGTCGTAGCTGACGCATGAACACGTCCTGAAAAGTGAGGTGCCGATTCCGCTCCGCCTGGTGGCCATCGCGCATCTGTTGCAACTCCTCACTGTCGAGACTCCGCTGTAGCGACTCGTTGTCGAACACAGGAATCTCCAGCTTCAACACTTTGTTCTCGTCCTCGGCCCGCGGCGTGTCGGATTTAACCTCCGCATAGACTCGATTCTTCCTGTCGTTCTCCGCGACCGTGACCTGCGCCGCGGGCGGCAGGAGCACAGCCGAGGGCGACCGCCTCTTTCGAAACTGGATTTTATCCATCGCGGACCTGATGCTGGATTTCCTGCGCTCCCTCTTCTCGGCGGACCCGACGCTAAGAAAGGAGTGTCGCTGGCCCGCCGTCCGCCCGGCAAGGCTCTCCAACCCGTGCGCCAGCCTCCCTTCACTCGAGCTAAAGGACGTCGGGCGGGTGGACAGCGAAGCGATGGATCGGGTACTGCCGCATTTGGCGGGATCGGAGGAGAGGGTGAATTCGGAGAGCGAGGCCGCGACCTGATCGAGGGGCGGAGGGGGTTCGTTGATGGGCGTGCTCTCGCAGACCGAGTTGCGACCGGTCGACGAGCCCGAGGACAGGATCGGGGAGGAGAGATCGGCCATGCCGGAGGCAATCGACGCGGTTAGCGATGCCACCACCTCGACCTCGGGCAGTTGCAATCCGAGCTGGCGCGCTTCGTCGACCAATTTCTGTTCCTGCGATAACTCGGCTTCCTCGGAGGGTAGGCCGAGGACGTCATTGCGGTATTGACCATCGTCGAACTCGAGGGTCTTGACCGACTCCATAGTCATAATGCAATTGTGGTACAGTTCCCCCCAGCGCACATGGAGCGCATGAATCAGTTGGATAGAGAGAAACAATACAACAAGGATATGAACCGGGATGAGGTCCCAGAGAAGATATTAAAACCTATCACCCACGGGGAAAAGAAAGGAAGCGAAAGTAGAAAAAAAAAACAAAGGCGGGAAAAAAATAGAGAATAGAAAAGATTAAATCAATCAGGGGCACGTGTGGAAGGATAAGAATAGACTCGTCCACGGTACTTGAAGCACGGTGGACGAGAAGAGGGAGCTCTTGAGCAGCATCCGACTTGCGGGGAGGGAAAACGCGCTGGGTGAAAAAAAGAAGGAAAGGAGAAGGAAGTGGAGGAGTTGAAGCGCTAGGACAACTTGATTTGGGCCTTGATATTGCGACCCACGACCCGCCTGACCAAATCATTCTTATTAACTAAGAGCGAGAGGGGGGACTAAGGGCGTGTCTAACCATGGGGCCACGATTAATCAGAAATCCTCCGCCATGAGTATCCTTACGGGGTGATAATCCTTCGTGTTCAACGGGTCGGGTCAATAATTCTGATACACTGTCTGCTGTCAATCTGGTCGATCATACTCAGTGTAGGTCCTGAAACACTGTCGACAGGACGGAGTAGACAGTCAACATTCACCAGGGAGTAATGAGTAGGAGGGACCCCTTTAGGCAATTAGGGTCTAGGGCAGGGCAGCCCCGGACCGCGCCGGCGTTGAAAGCCGTGGTTTCACAACTGCTTCACCATCGGTTGGCTTCAGGCACCGCGCCTCATGTGGAAATAATGAGGATTGTCCACGGCCCACTGTTTCTCACGTTGTCAGTGGACTCCCTGGATTGATCTTCAGGGTATTTCTCGCTGACGGTTGACCGTTCTTTCAACTTCTACCGAGTACACCGTATGTGATACTGTAGGGACTGTGTACTACTCCCTATCCCTAGTATGTCTAGCCCCCAGCCCTGGATTGCCGACCAGGATCAAACTAGTCGCAAAAAGTTAAATGACTCGCAGGCTCACACGATCAGTCCGCATCAGCGCATCTACTCCGTACTTCTACAGGCACCGGGGGGGGGGGGGGGGGGGCGAATTTAAAAATTAACCCCAACATCCCACGCGGGGGGAAGTGGTGGTGAAAGGGGGGGGCAAAAAGGAAAAAAGAAAGAAGCCCCAAGAAAAAATGAAAAATAATGGGGTAAAAAAAAT